TACGATAATCCTCCGGGGCCGCGCGAACGCGTACCTACTAGCGGTCTAGCCCTACGCGGAGGATATCTAAGTCTATTAGGTCGCCGTAGTATTACTTATTCTTATAAATTATATCCCCAAAATATAACTCCTTTCTTTCTAACTATCGTTTATATAACTAGTTATCGATCTCGATAGAACGTTTAACGAGTACTTTATACTTATTGAGACGATCCGTTCCTATCCTATCTTTAACCGAATCCTTTAGGTCTTAGTAATAAACTAAGGCGAAAGCTTTATCTTCCTAGTTAAGCTTCGACGCTAGATATTAGAATATAGCGTAATAGCGAGCCATAAATCTAGCTTATCTAAGTTAATAGATCCTCTATAAGGCTACTTATTCCTCCTCTAGCATTCTAAAGATCTATTTAATACATTCTTCGTATATACCGAAGTTACTAAAGATTAAATTAGTCTCCTTATCTCGTTATCCGACGGTAGATCTATAATCTTCTATAATAGGTTCGAACTATTTAAACGTAGATCCGCGAAGTTAGAGTCCTACGAATAAGACTCGCTCCGTATAGATAGAGTACTTAGCACGTTATAAGGTAAATATAGTCTTTAACTATATAAGATATATACTAAGCTTACTTCTATCTCTATAGAAGTATTTAACCTTAAAGTCGTCTTTTATTTTTCCGATGTCTATATTATTAACGATTAGTATATTAATACTTATTAAAGATACGTTAGGTTATTAAGTAAGTCTAGACTCGGGTAATTTAGGGTTAGAGTTACTAGATATAGCCGTTAATTCTACTTACTATCTAAGATAATAGTTAAAATATTATAAGTCGCCTTACAATATATAAGATATTAACGAGTAAACTTAAGGTAGTTTACTTAGTAATATAGTAGTAAGGCTTAATATAGTAGAGACGGAAACTAAATATATAGTATATAGCTATACGTAAAGCGAGTAATCGAGAATAACTCGATTATTTATAACTAAGGTTAACTATACTTATTATAGAAGCGTCCCTAGCTAACTATATACTTTAGGTAGGTTTCCTATCTAGATAGGTCTAGATATTGTACTATTGTATCTATTATCTCTACAATAATATAACGAGTATAATAGGTTATTTCCTTTCTCGGTTATTACGTATTGATCAGTCTTACTAACGAGGCTATATCACGTTTCCCTCGCCTGACCTTCCCCTCCTACCTCGGGCTTGTCTAGCCGTATGAAGGTCGGTTCGTAACAATAGACTATAATAAATAAATAGAATATAATCTATTTAGTAGACCTAAATACTACTTTTAGGTACTAATAAACTAGGGTAAGGCTTTAAGACTATAAAGAGCTAACTCGTACGTAAATAGAGGAAGTTATTTATATATAATATAATTACTAATAATAATAATATAGCTAAATAAATAGATATTCGTATAATTAATTAATTAAGTAGTCGATTAATTACTAAATTAGACTTTAATATAGATCGAGTTAATTCGCTATAAGTCGAGTTAGGTCGAGTTCCGGATCGAGTTTAGACTAATTAATCTCTAACTTAATAATCTATTTAAACGGATTAATAAACTAATTAATCTAACTCGAAAATCCGTAAACGACCCGAACTTTAATTTTTAAGATTAGATCTTTCTAAATAGATAACTAAATCTTAAAAAAGAGCTAAAAATACGGGATAACGACGATATTAATAGCGATATTTATAGATAGAAATTAGATAGATAAAATCTAACTCTAGAATAGCTATTTATAATAGTAATACTAATAGTAATAATCTTAAGATCGTTAAAATCGATCTCGTTATCGACCTAGTACGAAGTATAAATTAGACTTAACTTAACTCGATCTAAACTTACGCTAGCGCGAGTCGAGTTTAGGTTAAGAATTAACTAGCTTGAAAACTCGTTTAGGTAAGCTAGTTAATCTCTAAACTCGACTTAACTTAATCTATATTAAAGTCTATACTAAGTTAACTATTCTACTAGTACTAATAAAGAAGAAGAAGTATTCTAGCGCGTCTATACGCGCTAACTAATTATAGCGCCTAAACCTATTCTATATATCTATATAGCCTAAGGTCTAGTCTTAGCGAAGCTCTAGCTTTTAGTACGACTCTCCCTAATATACTAATAAGAGCTTAACCGAAATAATTATATATTAAAAAATAAAGAAGTACTTAAGAAACTCTTATTAAATAAAGAAGTCTTTTATTAGACTATCTAAAGTACTTTAGAAGTATTTAAAACTTTAAATATCCGTAGATCTATATATACTCTAATAAGAAGAAAGTACTTAATTAGGATTTACTTCCTCGAAGAGGGACTCGTCCTACTAAAAGTACTTAAAAGAAGTACTTTTAAAAGTACTTAAAAAAGTACTTAAAAGAAGTACTTTTAAAAGTACTTAAAAAAGTACTTAAAAATCGGTATTTATATAGTAGTATTCTCTATAAAGAAGACTTTAAGCGCTAAAGTACTTTATTAGTACTTTTATTATTATAAATACTAACGAAGTACTTACGTAATTAGTGGAATTTCCACTATAATCGACGCCGTAGGGCTATTTCCTTTATTACTAAGTTCTTTATTAGTACTTTATTAGTATTTTACTAACCTATTGTATTTACTTTTTATTATCTTTATCGATTAGTTTATTATTATCTTTATTACTAAGTACTTTATTAGTACTTCTATTATTATAAATACTAACAAAGTATTTACGAAGGGAGGGAGGATATATCACAATCGGACTTAGTATTAGAAGAACTACGAAGTATTAGCGTAGTATTTAAATAGTATTTAGATTGAAAAGTACTTATAAAGTGAAAGCGGAGTTATTATTAATACTATAATATTAGTATTTTAAAAGTACTTTATGCGTAAATACTTACCCGGGATTCTAGCGACGACGTCTCTTACGATATCTTTTACGACGTCTATTAATATTAGTACTTTTTCCTACGAAGTACTTCTATAGTACTTATAAACGGCGACGTTATAAACGACTAGTTACTATTAGTACTTTAAAAGAGCTTTCTAAAATATCTATTAAAGTACTTACGTTAAGCTTTTAGTAAGAGTACTTAAAGATATTAGTAGCGGGTAGAAAAGAAGTACTTTAAAAGTATCTCTTAGTAGTACTTACGAAGGACTTTAGGCGGCGCTATAACTACCGAGCGAGGTATTACTACTAGTACTTTATAAGTACTATCTATAAAAGAGTACTTTAAAAGTATCTCTTAATAGTATTTACGAAGGACTTTTTACACTATTATAGCCGGCGCTAGAGTTACGACTACTACGGAGCGAGATATTACTACTAGTACTTTATAAGTACTATCTATAAAAAGGTACTTTAGAAGTACTTATAGACGCGGACGAGATAGAGTTAAAGAAACGTATTAAACGGAAGTACTAGATCGTATAGTAAGTACTTATAAAGTACTTTATAAAGGAAAGTATTTACTCTCTAAGATAACGGACTAAATATTAGCTAAGATTACGTCTCTCCTTAGGACGAGTACTAAGTACTTTATTAGTATTTATAATAACGAAAGTACTAACGAAGTACTTATCCGTACTAAGGATAGGTCGCTTCTCTAGGATAAGGGATATAAATAGCTTCCGGACTATTCTCTAAAGTACTTTATTAGTACTTCTATTAGCGTAAATACTAATAAAGTACTTACTATCTAGTAGTTCCTAGTCGTCGCTCTCTATACGGCCGTAGCTATAACCGTCGCGCTTATAAACTATCTAAGGACTTTATTAGTACTTATAAAGCCTTATATTAGAAATACCTAAAAAGTACTTACTATAAGTCGAATATTATAACTAGGAAGAGATAATATTAGAATAATACTAAAAAAGTACTAAATTATTAGTAATATCTTTAAAAGTACTTAACTTATTATATAGATAAGGTTTAAAGGGCTTAGACGTAGCGCTCTCGAGCGCGTAGCGCTTTAAAAGTTCGGCCTTAATTATATTAATAAATAGACGTTTTCGAAGCCGAAAAAAGTCGCTATATATATATTTAAGAGTATCGAGTACGTAAAGATAAAGAAAAGACTTAAAAAGCTATTCTTTATAATAGTAGAGGCGACTTACTTTAGTTAGTTAATTATAAAAAGGTTAAGAATGTACGGCGACGCTATTTTCAAAATAATTCGACGAAACTAGCTAGTCCTAATTAGGAAGTCCTTTTTAATACTATATAAGTACTTCTATTTATTTTCCTATAAAATTACTTACCTACATATCTTCCTTTCTTTATAAAATAAGTACTTTAGAAGTACTATTTTCCGTAATCTACACTGTATTTATGATAAAGGTTACGTTTTATCTAATCTCCCGTAACTAAGCTAAACCCTTTAGTAATTAAAACTAGGCCTAAAATGGGTTTTCAGCCACCGTCGAGAGACCGGGCTGAAAATAAAGTAGGTCAGGTCAGCTGTATTCCCAACCATTACCGCCATCCAAGAACGGATCAAAAACCTTCGCCACAAATGCCGCTGCAAGGATCATTCGTCAGTCTTGCCTCACGGTGGGGCCACCGCCTCCGGGGCAAAAGTCTCTCTGCGATCCTCTCGGCTTCTAGTCGGGAATTCTAGAGGCGCGTTATGAGGCGGCTTTGGCGGTTTTCGGGCGGCATTGCGCTGATTGGAGGATCGTGAGCGAAAGCAAACCTGCGAGCTGCCCTAAAGAGAAGATCCGGCAGAAAGCACAGCGAATTGCTCTTCGAACCCGCCTCAATTTGCCAAAAACGAACGGCATGCAAGGCTACAAACGGGGGCTTCTCCACATGGAGGCCAGAAATCTGGAGAGAAGCTGGAGAATGCATATAGCCTGGAACGTCGCAGGCGCAAGTACAAAAGAGAGCGTCTTCACCCTTCGATATTCGTTCCCAACTGCCACACCGGGCTCTTTCTCTTTCTTACAATCACCAGTACAGCATCCAGCGCAAAGACCTGCCTGGTTCCAAGATGATGGCCAACAAGATGGAGGCTCCTGAGGAGCACATGGTGGAAATCGTCAAAGGGGACTCGGAAATCGTACACAAGCATGAGGTCGTCGACCTTGTCAACGAGATCCGAGACGTCAAGCCCAGTGCGACTACACCCACCATGTTCAGGCTCTACCTCATTCTGTCCATCGGCTACTTCTGCATCATCCTACAAGGCTACGACGGCTCATTGATGGGTGCCATCAATGCGATGCCTCAGTATTTGAACTATTATGGACTGTGAGTGGTCGAAGTCTTTGTGTCACGATTAACTTCCGCTCTGTTGCTAGCCTTCTGACTCGGACTGTGTACTGATTTGTCTCTTCCTCAGGAAATCCGCAAGCGCTTCCACCGGCCTGGTATTTGCGATCTACAACATCGGAGCGATTGGAGCCCTCCCAATAGCTGGTCCGATAAACGACACTTTCGGCCGACGATGGGGCATGTTCACGGGCGCCGCGCTGGTCATTTTCAGCACTTGCATCCAGGCGCCCTCGACCTCCAAGGCCATGTTTTTGGCGGGCCGCTTCTTCGTCGGGTTTGGACAGGGGTTTCTCAACGTGGCGGGCATCACCTATGTCAGTGAGATGGCACACCCTTACTGGCGTGGTCCCCTCTCGGCCTTCCTCGAGACAAACTACTTTGTGGGCAGTATCCTTGCCTCGTGGGTGACCTACGGGACCGCGTACATGGCGGGGACCATCTCATTCCGCCTCCCCGTCTGGCTCCAGATGGCCAGTTCCGGATATATCGTGCTGGGCGTCTTCTTCTGCCCGGAGTCGCCGCGCTGGCTCATGGCGCAGGACCGGTACGCGGAAGCCGAGGCCGTCCTGGCGACATACCACGGCGAAGGATCCCGAACCAGCCCCTTTGTCCGTCTGCAGCTGGCCGAGATGCGCGCCCAGATCTCCTCGGACGGCTCCGACAAGCGCTGGTGGGACTACCGCGACCTGTTCATGACGCCCGCGGCGCGCCGCCGCCTGATCTGCGTCGTGGGCTTCGCCTGGTTCGGCCAGTACTCGGGCAACGCACTGGTATCCTACTATTTCCCCGTCATTGTCGAACAAACAGGCATCACCAACCCGCACACACAATTACTCCTCAACGCGTTGAACCCCGTCGTGTCATGGATCGCCGCGATCCTCGGCTCTCTGCTCAGCGACCGCGTCGGCCGCCGCCCGCTCCTGTTGGGCGGCTTCACAGGCTGCGCCTTGTGCCTGGCCATCGTGACAGGCCTGACCAAAGTCTCAGTGACATCCGGCGGCGCCGCGGCCGGCCACGCGGGCATCTTCTTCATCTACCTCTTCAGCGTCGTCTTCTCCTTCTGCCTCACGCCCCTACAGCCATTCTACATCTCGGAATGTCTAGCCACCGAGACCCGCGCAAAGGGCAATGCCCTGGGCCAGATCGTCGCCTCGGTCGCGGGCGTGGTGGGGCAGTACACCACGGGCGTCGCCATCAGCCACATCGGGTACTACTACTACCTGGTGTTTGTGTTCTGGGACTGTTTTGAGGTCTTGATCACGTATCTATTCTTCCCCGAGACAAAGGTAACGCATACACTCTCCCTTTCTATCATTCATGATCAAAAAGAGAAAAAAAAAACTAATGCGCCATGGCAATGTTAGGGCCGCACCCTGGAAGAAATCAACGAGATCTTCAACGATCCCCACCCGGTCAAGAAGTCCTTGGAGAGCAGGGGCGATGCCACGGGTGTTTTGCACGCGACTTTGAAGGTGGGAGAGGAAGCGTGATCTGGTGTATATGTGTGTGTGTATTCCTGGCTCTTGTCGACCTCGGGGGTTTCCAATTGTCAAGCTATCTATACGTACAGAAACGAGATATGAAAAGGTCATACATGTGAGGATGAAATCACCATGACCATGGAAGATGAAAACATCGCAACCCTAGCAAAACCCCACGGCCCGTGAAAATGGGGCAAATGCTTTCGGTTCTTGCGCTGAATGATACGATTTGATTGTCTTCCTTCTGTATGTCTGGCCTCCCTTGTCCTTCTCTCTAAATCTGTCCAGTCGTTGCTAGTCTGGATGGTTCATCTGCCTCTCTCATCCAAGCTTCGAATTCCAACTTGGTCTCTTATTCCATCCCGTCATGCTTCGTTTCTCATTTTCGTTCCGTTGCTGCTTCATCCCAAACTCTCGGTTGGATGTTCAGTCGAACCCCAAAACCAAGTTCATGTCACCTCATCACACGTCATGCTCATTGCTACCTCTCACAACCTCCCAGAAGGCCCTGAGTTAGGTGGCCGGACCCCTGATATAGATGCAATTCAATACCACACCTTTCACGGTCCTGGAGCGAAGCTCTTGACCACCCCTATTTTCAACGGCACTGACGCCGTGAGTTAGCAATGCTTAATTTTGCATCGCCTAGTCTGGACCCCAATCGCCTGCACATTGGGTTGACAGCGCCAGAGCGCGATGTCCTCCACTCTCTGGCCAAACCGCTGGGCGTTCAGAAGATACCAATCGAAGCCGCAAAATCGGCTCCTTCCCCGTGAATTGGGGCTCGGCGCATTCGGCATGGACTGTCTCCTCGAGACATTCAATTTCTGTGCTGGACTCGATCTCACTGCCGCTGTGGCTCCTTGGCCCTCCTTGTGTTTTCTTCTCCTAGATGAAATCGGCCGTATACGAGAATCCACGGAATTCCTCCTGGTGGGCAGGCGAAAGCACTAGAAGCAACATGTTAACTCCAATGGACATAAGGAAGATTTTGAACTCAAACCTACCACTCTGCACTGGTGTGAGCACCGGCGTCACACTCGTAAACTCCTGGTCGAAGTTGCTCGTATCCTTTTCGTTCTTGATGGTCGGCTTGAACGGCGTCGGGACCCGCTTATGATAGATGTCGTCCCAGTTGATACCCTTGAAGAAAGCGTGGCTCATGATTTCTTGCGCATCTCCCGGCCCGCTCCCCAGTCGCAGTTCTGGCTCTCTTGTCAACAGTTTCTGCAGGATCGAAACGCTGTCGCGTGGCATGTGGATGGGGTATAGCGGCTCGTCTGCAAGGATCGCGTCGTAGATTTCGTCCTCGTCCTCGCCACGGAACGGAGATTGCTGCAGCAGCATCTGGTAGATGAGGACGCCAAAAGCCCACCAATCAACCGCACGGCCGTATTTCTTGTCCAAAAGGATCTCGGGGGCCATGAATTCCGGGGTACCGCAGAATGTGGAAGTCGTCGATCCGAACCACATGTCCTCCTTGCAAAGACCATAATCAGCTATCTTGATGTGTCCGTCCAGGGTGAGCAGGATGTTGTCCAACTTCAGATCTCGGTAGATGACGCCGTTTTCGTGGAAGTATTTGAGAGCCAAGCATACTTCGGCAGCGTAGAACTGAGCACGCTTAAGGCCAAATTGTCCGCGCTGAATGTGCAACATTAGATCACCGCCCGAGATATACTCCATCACAAAATACACTCGAGTCTCTGTCTGGAAGCAAGCGTGCAAATTGAGCAAGAAAGGGTGCCTCTCTTTGTTGGCAATCAGGAAGACGCGCTTCTCCGATTTTGTCGACTCGACTTCGTCGTTCTCAATAATGAACTCCTTCTTCAAGACCTTGATGGCGTACAGCTTCTTCGAGCTCTTAGCCTCTGCAAGCATGACCTTGCCAAAGTTGCCCTTCCCTAGTACCGCGAGGAAATTGAAGTGATCGAGGCCGATTCTCGGTCCCGATCCGCGCCCAGATGGAGGTGTGGCTACCTGTTGTTGTGACGACGGCGCTGGTTTAATGGGGGCGGGCGAGTAGCTTGTTGCTGCTGCTGTCGCTGGAGGTTGAGGTCTTTGAGATTGGATCATGGCTTGCTGGGGCGGTTGATGTTGAGGTATTTGCTGCTGCACCGGTTGACGGTCATATCCTTGATAGGCGCGAGGGTCGTATGATGCATGTGGTTGTTCCGGAGCGGGGGGTCGAGCATTGGCGTATCGATCTGCGGGCATTTTTTGAGGACTGTACTCATTAAACGTCTGGTTGTATTGTTGAGATGGCGGCCGGGTGGTGGCGGCGGCAGCAGCCTGCACCGCCGCTGCGGACACGGCCTTTTGTTGCAGTGGTCTTTGCTGTTGCTGTTGTGGTGCGGGTTGTGACTGAGTCGCTTGGGGTTGGCCGTACATCATGTTTTGTGCAGCGTTTATAGCGGCAGCAGAGGGCTTCGGTTGTTCTTGATGCTGATCGTACGATTGGTTCGATATCTGTGGCGTCAGGGGAGTGCTGTCGGAAATAAAGCTCTGCGTAGGAGATGTGGGACCCGGTCTGGCTGCTGAGTTGGGTCTCAGGGTTCGATTGCTCATTCCAGAGCTCACGGAGGAGGATTTATTGTGGTGTTTTGTCCTCTGGATGGTCTCCAAAATTTCATTGGCGACGATCATGGACATGCCACAAAAGTCCGGAACCAAGTGCTGGCACTGGGCATGACAAGTCAGGCCACACTCCGAACACTTTTTCGCGTTGCGCCTTCCCAGAGGCAACAGATAACCACAGTGGCAACACCAATTGGCACCGATATTCGAGAAGTTGTCGAAACGATGGGGAATGCGGTGGTTGATCTTCTCTTCGTCGGGGTCCGTCTCGTAGTTTGCCTTGCTAATGCATTTGGTCACGACTTTGGGATAGCATTTGGTGTGACAGGTGTATTTGCAATCCGCACACTGCATGCCCGCCGAGTACTTCAGGAAATCTCCACAGAGCGCACAGCGCATGACGTTGTAAAACTGTTGCTTGACGAACTTGTGGCCCTGCTTTTCGTGCACCTCTTCCTTCTTCTGGCGCACTGCGCCTTGACGATTGAGGCCGATATCGAATGGCCGTTTGCCGCCCGTCTGCTTCTGGAAGCTCATTGAGAGATGGATCCTGCCTGCCGGTTCCAGAGAAAACCATGAATCGATCATCACAGGTTGGAACTGTTGCTGAGGATTTTGGGTGAATCCGGCGGCAGAGCCGGCGCCAGCGGCGTCTCCCGGGGGCATAAATGGTGCGGGTTGAACATCAGGACCTGGTTTGCCCGGGCTGCCTCCATTTGCCATCTTATCTGCTGATACCCAGCCATTCTGCTGAAATTCCGATTCAATCTTCTTCCGGCGCATTTCTTCCGCGATATCCGAGATACGGATCCATAGAAACCCGATCGGGGTTGGCCGGTCACCCGCTTTGTCATAGACCGTCAGCTCGATCTCGTTGGCCTTGTCAATGTCGACGTGATGAGTTTCCTCTGTCCATTTATCTGTGCGAGTCGCCCGGGTCTTGGCCCTTATGTTGTCCTCCACCTTCATGATGACGAACGTTTCAGGCCCCCTTGAAAAGCGTGACGAGGCCGCGTGGTCGACATCCTTAATGGCATGAATACGCATTTCGAGGTGACCGGTCAGGGGTTTTCGCATGTTAGGGGCATTGAGACTGTCATCTAAGCGACGCAAGTCAGCCGTGTCCGGGGAAAGATAAGCACCGGGATTTGTCCCGCTCACCGTCAGCAGCATCAGATGTTTCAATGTCGACGTGCAAGTCCATGTATCTTTTCAAGGCCTGCTTCAACAACTGGACCTTCTGATTACTCTCGATGCGCCGGCCCTCGGCATCCAGTCTGCTCTTTCTGTCGCCCTCGTCTTGATACAAGCGCACCATTTTCTCGATGCCTGCCTTGTACTGCTTCTCGACTGACAGTTTGAACTCGAGTTGTGAGAGCATGAGTTGGATCTTGGGACCGAGATATGGGGTGTCGTATTTGATCAGGTCTGGGAGGCAGATTATGGGTCAGTAAACCTTATGGACTCGTGCACAAGTGTCTGGGAAGTGAGAATACCTAGTTTCGAGAAGTTCGGGCGAGCTTTGGGGACCGGAGCGCTATAAGGACGAGGATCGCCATAGGGAGCCCGTGGAGGCATCATGCCGGTGCCGCCCTGGCTATATCCTCCTGGACCAGGATCACCGTAGTCGCCTCTCTCGTTGGAAAAATAACCTCGCTCGTCCTTGGGAGGAGGAGTCGGTCCTCCGCCTTGCTGGAATCGTGACTGCTGCATACGGGGATCTGAGGGAGTCTGATACCCGGACCCGCCATGGGCGGGCGGAGGGGGGGCGACACCCTCATTATGACCTCGCTGTCTTAGCTGCAATTCTGCCAATTTTTCTTCCAAGTATGAAATATTTCGTCTGCTGTCACGGATGTTGCTGTCGACACGTGCCTGGACCGCGGCGTTGTTGGTGGACTGTCGCATGTGAGTGGCGGCATTGATAAGAGCCTTTTCTCGCTCGATCTTGCGATAGACCTCTGCGATGGCCTGGTCGGGGTCCGCCATGGTTGCAGAGGGAGTGACAAGGAGGCAAGGAGAGGGCGTAGGGAAATGGGAAGGGAGGGTGTGGTGGTGAAGTTATAGCCAGCTGCGGCCGTCAGAGTGAACAGAAGTGCGATGTCACGAGCCCGTGCCTCGAGGCTGGAGGGGCATTTGTCTGACGAGGCCCCGGGAGAATCGATAGGGAAGAATGCGGTCGAAGAATAGAGATAGAGGAAGAGAGAGGTTTTCCCTTTGGTAGCGGAGGGGATTTCTCACGGGGCTCACCAGGCCTTGGAAAATGTCGTAGGTAGCGTCAGGACTTGGTGATGATGGCTAAGGTTGTTGTAGTAGTGTTAGCGAGGACAAACATGCAGCGCAGTGATGAGCGGTGGATACTTTATTGCGTGGATTGCGTGTGGGTAGTTCAAAAGCCAGGCTTTCAGGCTTGCAGGCTTGCAGGCTCGCAGGCTGAGCCGGAGCCGTTGGTGGTGACTGCGAAAAGTCGCCTGCAGCTGCAGTTGCGACTGCGCCCACTTTCGCCTGAAGAGGAGCACGAGGAGCACCCCGCCACGCCTAGTTCCCTCCCAGTCTCGGGTGTTTTCTTTTCTTTGCCACGGTGCAGAGGAGATGAGACGGGTACCATGTACCGAGTACTAATGATAGACAAGACAGAAAGTATACTGCACCGCGGACAAACAGATTGGATGTGACGTAGCAGTGCTAGAGAAGAAACAACAAACAAGCAAAGATGGTGAAACTTGAGCGGTCGATCCCTGGGGGTTTCTCTTCTCTATTACGTGCTCTCAGCCACGGTACCTGGGTGCCTCTATGCAGTGTGGTCTGAGGCAACCGGGGGCATCAGAGGGGGCCAGCCTGGCTACAGCACCGCCTAAACAATGGGTTGTAGAAGCGCAACAAACCAGAGCACGCGATGGGTGCCTGGGGGCGTCTTTGGGCATCCTCCTTGTTGATCCATCCCTCCCAGCGCCTGCGCTATGCGTATTGGCAATAACAACAGCCCGGAGTCACTCTTTTTTTCCCACGTCCACCCCTCCAGGCTCCGGTTCCTCTCCCCTTCTGACACTTGGATTCCTGTTCTGGTAAGCTGAAACACCCCATCGGGCCATAGTATACATGTCATTGATGTCGGTTGTTCAGCAGGCTCTTTTCATACTAAGGACTCCGGGAGTGGCACACTCTCCGGTATTCATCATCGCTCAACCCCTCATCCACCTTGTTCTCCCCACCAACAGCCTCCCCCGCCGTACGAGCATGCCCTGTCCCTGTCAAAGCCACTTAGTCTCGCATCCTAACCTACATCCAGCCTTAAGGCCTACAAATAGAAACCTCAATCTCTGCTCACGGTTGCTTCCTTCTGCAGACAGTCCATTAACAAGGGCCGAGGGACACCCAACACAAGAGGCCTCTCGCCCACTGGTCTTACGCACATGTCGAGCTGGCTTTGGTGTCATCCCACAGGGGCCTTTGTTGATGCGGCTGAAAGCTGGTCTCAGATTGTCAGACCAGGGTTCGGATTTGACGTTTCCGATCGCACAAAAGTGCAACGATTTCTTCCTCGCTGGCCTGGGCTGATATTTCCGAGTCTTGCTCCACTTCCCGGAAGTCCGAGTCTTGATCACGCCCAGGTATTTGTTATATATCCTCGTCGCCCTCCCGTTGACAACGACTAAGATCCGAGCCGTGTCGATGTCTGTACCCGTAGGCTCATGGCTGTTGATCACGCTATCAGTCCGCAGCTGGCCCCGTCCCCATGACTCCGCGCCCAAAGAACTCGCTGACTGTCCCGAATCGATTGCTGCTTCTTGCCAACGCCGCCTTGAATAATTCGTGCTGCTCCGTGCTTTCGACCTGCTGTCGCCGAATCGCCCGAATAGTGTCGTTTCCGAGTTTGCAAAGTGGGCACTCTACCTTGGTGTCATTTTCATCCATGCCAATTCCCGGTTTGTTCAAGCACTCTTGATGGAACGAGTGCTTGCACATAAAATGCACCGTGGGTAAAGTGAGGTTCCGATTGCACGAAGAGCACCGTCGCGCCTGAAACACGACCGGCTTCGTGCCCAGATCCGCCAGTTCTGCCTTTTTCGACGCGGTTTCAGTTCGGTAAGAGTCGATCAGTCGTCGGTTAGCTTGGATCTCTTTGCGCTCGCGCGAGATGTTGTCAGAAAGATACGCCTTGACCATCCCCATCGTCACCGAGCCTCCCTGCGACAGGACTTTGACCACTTGGAGCGGGGCCATGAGGTTTTCCCGGTCAATCTTCCGGAGAACTGACTGGAGTTCTTCCTTGACCCCAGGGGCTTTGAGGACTTCTTCAGACGAAGAAAAATAGCCAAGTGCAAGCGGATAGAGCGACTCGTCCTTGGAACCGTACTTTCTGAGTGCGGATATGGCGCCCGACGTGTCTTTGGCGGACGTGAAAGACCGGAATATGTCGGCATACAGATTTTCTCGTTCCCGTACTAATGTCGTGCCGGCCGGGAACTTGGAGAGCGATGACAGAAGCAAGACATTCGAGGTATCGATCGTCGACGAATCTAATGATGCAGTCTTGTTTTCGGCAATCAAGCTGGTTGCTTTGACTTGCCATTTCTCCTTCTCTGCCGGGCCTGTGGCAGTGTTTGCCGCCTCGAGGTACATCTCAAACAGTGTGGTCGACAGGTCGGATCTATCTTCTTTTGAGAGATTTTCCTGCAGGATCAGCGCCTCTAGGAAGGTAATGAATTGTGAAGGATGAGCGAGGAAGGAGGAGAAGGCGCTGCGCGGACTTGGTTTGGTGTACGTTGGCGTCGTCTCGACCTCGCCATGAGAGTCGGGTTCGTCGGGCTCAGGCTTTTCATTCGAGGCGGGTGCTGCATCAGTATTACTCGACCGGTTCATGAACGGTAGGCTCCAAAGAGCTGAGAGACTTTGAAATGCACCACCACCTGTCTGAGCCTGGACATCAGCCACTGCCGGGACATCCTTCTTGGGTGTATATTTCCCGGTGTAGTATTCGACAAACAGCTTCGTTGTCTCTTCGGGGCAATGTTCAAGGAGACTGCGGGCATATTTCATCAACACAGGATACGCTGCATCCGGTTCCAAACGCCAGATGTACTGCAAGGCTTCCGCGTACTTCTTCGAGTCTTCCACCAATATGTCGATAACCAATTCATTCTCGCCATGCTTGGTCGCAAGGTAAGCCGCCTGGTCGAAATATCCGCCTTGTCGACACATGGCAATGGCCGTTTCGACGTCAAATTTCGCCGTTCCTGGGGTGCGGATGAAAGCGTCCAGTTTGTCTGTGTCCTTTAGTTTCGCGTAGCAGTTCAACAGCAGGGTCGTGTGGTCGGCAGTAGCTCGGTCGTGATCATGTAGTTCCTCGAGATAATCGATCAAGTTATGAATCCTCTGCGTGTCTAGAAATCGTCGGATCACTTGCGATGGCTCAGTGTTGTCGATGGCTCTCAGATACTGCTGCATTGCCGTATCGTAGTCACCCTTCTGATACAGATAGTCGCCATACTTCCTGAAGATGATGTTCTGTTGGACTTTGTCCGCGCCCAATTTTTGTGCCAAGTTAATGGCATAGATATACAGGTTCCGCTGGTACAGGATCTCGAGTTTCTGCTGCAGCGTCTTCTCCTGGTATCTATAAAGCTGCGTTGGATCAGCAAAACGGCTTGGCCACCAAGCTCGGCAACGTACCTTTCCGTCCACGGTCAGCAGAAAGAGTTCATTCCATTCCACAAAGACCTCTTTGACTGGAGCAGGCAACGACTCCGAATGAGCAAGGTATTTCAGATCAGTATCCAACAATGTGAAGGACGAGTTGCTGAACAGCTCCTCAATCTCCTCGCCACCCAGCCTGCGGAAAGTTTTGGACTTGGATACCTGTGCCACCCGCGGCGGACACACAACGCCAACGTACTCTTTGTAGATCTTGACGAGTTTCTTCGGACCCTCAAAGGCATAGCTTGGACCACGGCCGTTAACGCCATAGTAGTAGATGGCATCTTCTCGAGCAATCACCATGTCTCCAGTCTCATGGTCTTGAGTCATGCATCCGACGTTGCAGCCTCGATTGTCGACGGTGCGAACGGGTTGACCTTGACCTTTCCCGGAAATGACCAGGCTGCAGATTTTGGCTGTGTTCGCAATGTATAAGACTTTCGTCGCGCCTTGACGGACTTCCAAGCCCGTGATTGGGTCTTCAGATTCAAAGACGGTCCTCTGTTTAGTCCCACGATCGTGGATGAAGTCGCCCCGAATGACGGTGACGGACCCATTGGCAAATCCCACGGCCACCTGGGTCAGGTCGTCCAGAACCACGACTGCAGATACTGGAAACTGTCTCCTGCCATTTTGCACGGCGATGGTACAAAGACATCTCGGGGTTCCCGTCTTTTTCTCGATCTTATCCAACGCCCAGACTTTCAAGGAGGGCTCGGATGAGAGGTTCTCTGAGATGGTCACAAGGAATGGAGTATTGGGAACTTGACGGAGGTGGGTGATTGAAGCATCGTGGGCGTCTGAAGCTCGAAAGTTGCGAACAACCTTCAAGGCGCGGGAAAGAACCCGCACTGAACCGTCCGAAGTCCCAAGGAACAAGGAATCCGCGCCGGTGGTGAGTGACACAACGTCGTTCTGTAGCTGAGATCAGCCAAAGATCAATGGGACCCTCTGTGCAAAGAACGTACGTCGAAGACATATGAACCATCTTCGTCTGCGGGCACAGGAATCTGGGAGACCTCAAAGAACGGGAAAGCTTTCCAGCTGGTAAGCGCCATGACTCCTCACCTCAAAGACCGGCAGAATGCGCGCAAATCCATGCTCGTGAAAGAGCTATTCAGGGCGGCCAAGGGAGGTTGCTGTTTATCCCTGTTGGTTTAACAAGAAGGTATTGTGCCTGGACACGCGCTTGGTGCCACGCAGGTGACGTCGGAGAAGCAATGAGGGCAAGCCTGAAATGGGTTGGTCTGGTAGGTCCACACGATGGGTCTACAACCCTCAGAACAAATTCTGTCCAGATTTCCAACAATTTATTTACATATTATGTAGGTACCTAGATCTATGAATCTGGTACTCTTACAAGCACTGTACAGTTCTCGCCGTGCCTTTCCTTTTCCAAATCGAATACATCTGTGTTCTATCGTGACAAGCATCTCAGGTCATTACAAGGTCATCAATCCGCCTTCCACCTCGCGTCGGTTTCATTGCTCCCAGCTGAATCTGTCTTCTGGAGGATTCTTTCGCGCAGGTGGGCCAGCAGGACGTTCTTCCGTCACAGTGCCGAGTCCTTCCTCGACAAACCTGCTACCAGAACTTGGCGAGCGTGAAGGAGGACGTCCATTAAGCTGTGGTACCAACAGGCTACCATGGCTGGTGCTCGTTGTTGGGCTGGTACTTTCTCCAAGCAGCAATTGTGCTTGTGATCTTGACGCCACTTCTGGTGATATTGGACTGGACATACTCCTGCTGTTGGTATTGCTGGATCGCCGGGAGTGGCTAGCACCCACTGGACTTATGCCCTGGTCATCGGAAGACACGGTCCCAAATGCACGACTGTGCCTGACACTATAGGGGCTGACACTGGCGCTGAAGCGATGATTGATCTCCGCTGGTGAATACGGGGGCACCGGCGAGCCAGATCTTTCGCTGGCTGCGGCTGCCGCTTCCGCTGCCTTGTTTGACGAGTGCTGATGCTCGAGCTCTGCCGGTCTTCTTGGATCGTTCCTCATGAGCGCCGAACCTCGACGTGGGCCATCATTGCCCTCGAAGAAACTCGGGGAGACTGGACCAGCCGGCATTTCGATGGGCGTGTGGCCCGACAGTTCGAACCGACTGACGGATGGATCTGCAGGTACCTCGGTCGGCTGACGTTTGTCCCCCAGCAATTCCGAAACAGACGTTTTCGAGTCGGGGTTCCGCTGTAGTCGACTGAGCAATGACCGTCTCTTCTCCTTCTCCGTCCCAGGACCGCCCGACGCACCCCTCTTCCGCAAGCAGAACCACAAAGCCAGTGCCATGGCAAGCAACGCCCCGATTCCGGCTCCTACTCCAATCCCTATTTTGGCGCCTGTGGACAGTCCACCAGCTGCTGGAGGACCTGGCCATGTGCTGTCTGCGGGTCGGGAGATTGCCAAGAGGTTGACATTGCTAACGGCATCCAATGTGAACACTGCTTGTGAGATCGAGAAATTGTTGCGCTCGTAGTCAACCGCAAGATAGGTCTCTTGCAGGAAGGCTCGACCGATGGTATATTGTGTGGAATTGGCTGCTTTGCGCAGGGGAAAATAGTTCGTGGGAGGAGAGGTAAAGTTTGCAGCAAGATTTGGGAACGGATACGTCAGTTGAAGGTTGAATGCGTCGTATGGTAACGTGAGTACAATCTCGTTGGATGAGCCTGGCAAATTACTCAAGGCGAATGTAAAAGTCAAATTCCATGCACTGAGAGCAGTAGGCGATGATGAACTGTCCGATGGGAAAAGGTAGAGTTGTAAAGTGTCGTCGTAGGTCAGATTTAGAGCATTTGCAAAGGCGTTGCATGCTGATTCCGGAAGCCAAAGAAATGGAGTTGACGAGTCGATGGTAAATAAGTCGGCTTGAGACATGTCCAGAAGCGTCTGAGGGTTGGAGTCCCAATTAGAAGGTAAAGCCCCGGCCCCAGACGAGACCGATATCGAGTTGATGGCAACGATCGGAGAGTAGTCCTGGCTTAACGTGAAGCTCATATCATTCGGCACGAATCGATTCGCATCAATTCCCCCAAAGGTCAATGAGGCTGGAACACTTTTTAAGCCTGGAGGTCGCATTAGCACACTGGCTTTGGGTGAGAGATTGAAAGGGGCACCTACGATAGACTGCCCCGGCTGTATAGCCGTAACTGCGGCTCGGGATATCGTTGCGCTTCTGAATCAGACTCGATAGGAGCGGTGAGATGGCCTCGGAGCCACTGAAGCGAGTCTGTTGAACTCCGAGCCCCAAGGTTCCGACCCAGTACTCGGTAGAATTGACTACGGAGACGATTTGATCGGGCACAGAGACTGCATCGTTGAGGGAAAGAGTGTCCAAGCCATAGTATCCGTCCCCAGTGCCGCCCAGCTGAGGATCAAAGTTGAGCTCATAAAAGCCTCGAGCCTTAAAAGAAGACGACTCATTCGCAGAAAACAAACCCCCTCTTTTATTCTCACAGATCGAGGTTCCATCGCAGCCTGCGGGACCTACTACCCACGTCTCTTGACCCAGTGTGCTCGGAAACACAGAAAGATATTGCTCGGGCGACCCAACCCGTATACTGATGGCAGACCATGAACCATCGTAACCAAAGAAATCAGTACTTGTTGTCGCAACGATTGGGGCAGGCTCCGAGGCTTCGACAGGGTAAAGTGATAGTATGAGACCGAACACAATCAAGACGTCGCTACTGCACGACCACGAAAAGGGCATCGAGCGAATATGATTTGAAGAGCGCATCTTGCTGCGAATTCAACGAATTTGGAAAGTCCTCATAGCGTGCGTGATAGCTGGGTCGGGGAACAGTCTGAACTTCAATCGCGGTCGAAGGGTTGAACGAGGGGCTGCGACAAGGTGGTACAAGTTCGCAACGAGCAGAACTGTTGAACGAGAGTGGATGGCAACTGTAATCGAGAACGAGAGGACGTCGGCGAGACACAGGAGGACGGTGAGGATAGTGAGGATGGCGAGGGGGACAATGTCTCATCCACAAAGGAGCCAAAAGAGAGAAGCAATAACCTCTGTCCGGCGCCCGCTACTCGTACGCCCACCCTCGGTAGGAGCCCTGAAGCCGACACCACAACTTTCTGGGGACCAACCCGAACGCCGGAGACGTGAGTCCCGGCGTGGACCATTTAGGTGTCGCAACGAGGAACTAGGGTGCTAGGCAGTAGCAACTACCAGTACAACGAATCATAGCTTGAACACCTCCTTTCCTCGCTCTTTTTGCCTGTCAGAATCTTCCACCAGGAGCAATCTATCCACTTCCTGGACGGAATTAACTGCACGCAACCTGATATACTAGAATTGCTTCTTCGTGGATGGGGAGTTGATGAGAAGGAGAATTTGCTCCCGTGCCAATGGATGGCTCCGATCTTCAAATGTACAGGCTTCTACGCCGCTTCTCCCCTACGAGTACGATGCGAGTGCAACTTCACGCAAAGCAAATCAGAACCATGGATTCGCCCTAAACTGATGAGACTTGGCACGAATTTTTGCCTAGGACTTTGATCCGGACGGAAAACTTTTCATGGGCGACTGTCTTCATTCAGACGAAAAGATCTCCTGCCAGCTGGAGGATATACTTTTGCACAGCTCAACGCAGCTTTCCGGACCGAATATCGCAGATTCAGGGTCTCCAAGTGCCCCTTTGAAACTGCTTGGCACTGCAACATACAAGATCATAGTTACGTGCAAGTTTCTCTCTGTGGTATTTGGACCGTGTCAGCCCCCAAAGCTTTCGCCATACGGATCCATACAGTTACACATGGCCTGTCCCTCGGGGATGTCTGAACGGCGAACTGCATCGGCGACTTGATACCTACTGTGGTTGAAGTGAAAGAGAGCCGCATCATGGTCATGTCATCTGTCCCACATGAAAGGGCTGGTGCGACGCTCTGGGGACCTGCATCCCCGAACACGAGGAGGCTGATTGATTCTGAAAACACAAGGCAGACAGGTGGAGCCTGACATCAACTTCTGGGAACAGGTGGCAGTCTGCTTCTGGTATCCACGCTCAAGTCCAGACTCCAGAACCTTGGCTCCGGGGGGCTTATTGGATGCGGTGTAACATGTGCTCTCCTTCTTTCGGGGTGTCATGGCGAGACCGAAGGACAGCAAGAGGGAAATGCTCCTCGTATATCTGTATCCGATGGGACAGCGGCGTGTCTCAGGTTAGGGTTGCCTACAGGAGATACTGGCCAGGCACTGCATGGTTTTGAGTTTGCTCATCATTATGCACGGTAGATTGGCAGACGGGAGAAGAACCACCACCCAAGAAGCACTACTCGTAGGATAAGGACGAGTAAGCGGGGAGATGAAGACGATCAACATGACAACCAGTGAGCAGCCCGGACGCAATAATTCTTTCGAGAAGAGACATCCTTCCACCTTGCCGGACACATGTGGTAGCTTCGACGGCGTGGCTTCCGGCTGGGGCTGCGGAGCCCGGGCTCTAGGTAAACAGGAGGAGACCTGTTGGGTGCCTGTTAATAACAGGCTTCTCAGTAGCAGCGGACGCCCCCTTTGGTGCTTTCGCTTCCCCATCGATAGGCACCCAATGGGCACCCAATGCACACCGCGCCCACCGAGACCTTGCGACATTGGCTGCTGCGTGGCTGCAGTTCAATCCGGAGCTCCAGCCAATCTTATGGCGCCCCAGCAGCAACTTGTCCGCGTGAGGAGACCTGACGGCTGGTCGGCATGAGGTGACGACGGAGTCCCCAGCCAGCCCTTTTGAGCCAAAGGTTGCTCGACGCCAGATGCAAACCCCGGTCTGCTGGGTCTGCCAGTCCTCGAAGCCTGGAACATGCTGGGAAACAGGGCCACTCCCACGGCTCGAGGCTGTGAGGCACTGGCTGAAAGACCCTGTCGCTTTTGATAGCCCCCGGTCCAACCTGTCCATCTCCGCCTCTGTTCCGACCACTCCTTGCACAGAACCGCAAAACTCACTGCACTTCGACTCCAACCTTCAACTTCCACTTCGGCTGGCCCTGTCCTTCGTTTTGAACCACAACAACTCACTGTTTCCTCGCGTTGCCCGAGGACAGGAGTCGTGAATCGACCCTTGTTTGGAACCCTGCGTCCTGTCATCGATCCGAACCGTCTATATCTCTTCATGCCTCTCGAATCTCCGACGTTCGCTACCACTCCACGTCCACGTCCAAGATCGACCTGGCAAACGTGGATTGCAGTCGGCGACTTGCCAGCCTTAATCGCCCGCCCTTCGCTATCATGAGGAATTGAAGGGCCACTCGTCGAATGTTTTATCGCACAGTCGTTCGTTCTCATACAGCCTTGCACCAAACACTCGCTTGACATTTGGGGTTTCGACGCAAGAGCAGGGCAGACCATTCTCTAAAGACGAGATGTATACCCTGTGGCCGCTCGTTTGTCTGTCTATTGCGCTGTCAAATGCACTACACTTGGATCTGAATTCGGCCTTGGGCTTGGACAAGAAGTCGCCCCTGAGGTTCATGCGCAGAGATATCGTTTATTCCAACACCACGTCGTCCCAGTTAGACCTCGCCCAAGAGGTCGCCACGATCACTTCGTCCAGTACAACATCTATTCCGGTTCTTATTGAGACGACCTCGTCCACTGTCCCGCCAATCGCTCCGCCCATACTTCCTCCTATTGGCATTAGTACTGGCACAACCATAATCGCATCCATCAGTCTTCCAGCAGTTCCAGTTTCCCCCAATTCGAGCCCCAGCTTGCCGACAAGCGCTACAATCAGTCCTCCACCGATACCAGCTCCTCCCAGCTCAGGCCCTAGCTTGACGACAGTCGTTACAATCAATCCCCCGCCCATCCTGCCTCCTATTGATATCAGTACTGGCACAACCACGATCGCTTCAATCAGTCCTCCACCAATTCCGACTCCCCCTAATTCAAGCCCCGGCTTAACGACACTCGTTACAATCAGTCTTCCACCGGTTTTCGGTCCAGTGGGTTCGAACCCTAGCATCACACCGGTCACTGCATCGACCGACTTATCTTCCGTTGGTTCTAGCAACATTGTCACCCAGACAAATGGATCTGCACCTCCCATTCTCAAAACCCCTCCACCACTTCCCTCAATCACGCGTCCTTTCACAAACTCTACCATCAGTATCGATCTTGGCGCCACCACCAATGCCTCGACGACGTCTCCGGCTTGCACTGGCTCAGTCACTTACTTCGGATCCGTTCCACCCACAGTCTACGTCACGATCACGGAGGGATTCAATGTGACTATGACAGCCAGCAATGAGTCCATGACCGAGACCCCAACCTTGATCACTCCGTTGCCCGCCTGTGAAGCGACCATCATGCCCCTCGCTGCGTCATATGGTCCGTTGGTGACTGAAAGCGGTCAAGACCTGACTCAAACAGAGTCGGATGTTCCAGGTCCCTCGGAAATTCCTGTTGTATTTGGTACCAATAATCCAGCTATTGCTACAGCACCCGAATTCTCTCTGTCCGTGGTACCAGGAGAAACCCCTGCTATCGCGACCGCTCCCGCTCCAGTCCCGACTGCTCCCGCGGCCTCTTCGGCTGTCTACTCCAGTGTTGACTATACCAGTACAGTCGTTGTCACGAAGAAGACACCAGTCCCTGTGGTGGTACAACCAACTACATCTATCGACATCAACTTCGACTTTCCCTCGCCGACTCCCACTCCCTCTCCCACCCACTCTCCCAGCAGCGGAGGCGGTAGTAACGGTAACGGAAATAATGGCGGAAACAGTGGTGGTGGAGGAAGTAACACTGGCAGCAATGGTGGCGGCGGTGGAAACACCCCTTCCCCCCACAACGCACCAGCAGCTCCCGCTACCAGCAACGAAGGAGGCACTTTCCCTTCAATCACTATCCAGGGCTCAACTGGCGGCAGTTTGATCGTGGAAGCTCCAACAACTACAAACCTAGGCAACATCATCGCTTCAATCATTAACTCACCGTTTGCGACCGCCTCGCCAACTGGCCATCCTTCTGGAGCAGCCCCCACGACGACAACGGTCAACGGTGTCCCGATCATTATCGAACCCTCAAGTGTTGTGATTGGGAGCCAGACCGTTGCGATCCCCAATCTGGTCGCCACCACCGTGCAAGCCTCTGGTGCTGTCTTCACCGTGGAGCCCTCCAAGATCATAGCCCCTTCCACGACCATAACAATATCGCAGCTTCAAAAAGAGCAGATCGTAACGCCAGTCCCTACGGCCACGATTACTACGGCAGTTGGCGACCTCACTCTCACGGTCGGACCGACGGTCGCGATCATCTCTGGAACAACGTACAGAGTCGGAGAGGGCGCCCCTGCCACGACGGTCACCGTTGATGGAACAAAAATCTCCATCGGCTCCGCCGGTGTTGGATTGCCTAGCACTACTGTGGCGCCTGGTGGCGCGACGAACTCGCCTTTTGCTGTCTACACCGTGGAGGGCCTGACCTTCTCGATCGACAGCACTGAGGCAATTGTTGGCGGCACCACGTACCGCATTGGGTCCAATGCTCCCCAGCTCACCGCCACCATTGGCCCTCAACATGTATCGGTATCGCTCGGTCCTGGTGGCGTTGGTCTGGCCAGCACTACGTTGGCACCTGGCGGGCCGACCAGCTCTCCGTTTGCTGTGTATACCGCTGATGGCTTGACTTTCTCAGTCGATGGCAGCGAGGCCGTTGTCAGTGGCACTACTTACCGCATTGGATCCAACGCACCCCAAGTGACAACAACCATTGGCTCCGGACATGTATCAGTGTCATTTGGCCCGGGTGGGATCGGTCTTGACTCGACCACGATCGTTCCCACAACTGCCTCATCACACAAATCTCAGGCTTCGAAGACCGGCTCCAAATCTGCATCAAAATCTGCATCTGCAACTGCATCTCCGACACAGTCCGTGGGTGTGGACAGCGCGGCATCAACTCGGAGTCGTTTACCCACCCTTCTGCGATGCTGTCTCTTTGTCCTGCCGTTGGGGTGGCTTGTTCTTTGAATAATCGACATAACGTGATACGACGGAGTTTAGATATTTGACATATTGGGAAGGAAATCGTCTAGTTTCTAACGATGGCTGGGATTTGATGGAAAATGCTTGACCTTGGACTTTGGTACGATCATGATACCCGCAACAAATTAACGATATGGTTGGAGTTCGTCCACGTGAAGAGTCTTGTTGGAAGGACGGGATACAAGGGGGATGGGGTTTTGGAAAGAAAAGCAATGGTAATATTGTCCATGGCATGGACCGAATGGAGGATCTAAATGAAGCATATACATATAATCAACCTTGACATCGCAATGTCATTTCCATTACGCTTTATAATTTTATCTCAACAAAAGATTTCCTGCTACCATTCCGGATATACTCATGATAGAAGCCATGAGAAGGTTGATTTGGTTGTTGTCCAAGATGTCGCTTCCGGAGTTGATCAACCTGCTGCTTTCTTCACTTAATCTCCGCCCTTGCACATGTGCTGAGGCCGTGGATTTGGGCCTCGTGAGCACCTTGACACCGCCGGGCCCTTCAACGATCTTTCCCGACCGTCGATCAATGACTGATGCTTGGAGCATTGCTCCCAGAAGAGAGTCGAGAAGTGTGCCAATCGTCCCGAGCAGTGTCAGCAAGAAGAACATACCAGGTGCGTTGGCGGTTGATCCAGCACAGAAGCGTAGGAATGCGAGACTCGTGGCAGCAATGGCAGCGCTGCCTCCCACACCCGCCAGCAGTCCACCAAGTGTCACTCCACCGTTGGTCCCTCGTGGCACGACTCGTAGTGGGTTTGTGATGAGGACTGGTTGGCTTTTGGAGAGAATGCCCAGTTCGCTCGACAGGGTGTCTGCGGCCACCGCAGCATAGTTGGCCATTATCCCCATCAACAGCAAGTCGGCGACCGTCTTATTATTGCTTCGTTGACTCCCACCAAAACATTCCCCATCCTCCTCGCCCGCGCCCAGACCGTACAACCAGACATGCAACAAACACAACAAGCTCGCACAACCGCTGTTGGCAACCACCTGGATGCTCGTCCGAGGCCCCTCTCCGCCGGAAGCTCCACTGCTTGACAGTGTCAATGTGGCTTTCACATCATGTTTCACTTTCGTGGCTGTCGTGCCGAGCAGGAAAAACACGCAGAGCAATGTGAACGGGAGGGCGGACGGATGCAGGGCGTGGATCGTTGCGGTGAGTGTTGCGCTCAGAATGCCTAGCGGTGTGAGAGAGCGACGGGTGTAGGCGCGAACGATGAGGAGGAGAGTGACGGGAATTGCGATTATGGGACGCATCTCGAGGGCATGGGAGAGGTATGAGGGCAAGGAAGGTGAGAGGTTTCCGGGAAATATATGCACCACAAGAGCTCTGTGCCCGGCGTGTGCAAGGTCGCAGCTTGAGCTGCACAGAGATTATGTGTGCCTTTGTTGTTGAGTTACTAAGAAAGGTGCTGCCAATGCGAGAAATACGAAGACAATTTGGCAACAAATGACGTCTGTCTCCTTGTGGTCTGTGAGTCCCGCTTTCTGACTTCCCTTCACAGATCTTTTATCCTTCTCTCTCAACAGGTATCACAAAGCCATCAATTGCCGGCAAAGCTTGACGATGGGAGACGCTTCCCCAGCGCTCTCCGCAGCACAATGTTCAAATCACTTCTCGCCAGGTCTGCCATAGCGCGGCCGGAGGTGCTTTCGAGGCCCGCCTCTACAATCACTCGACGAACGCTCCATCTCGCTCCCCCTTTCCTCCTCGACGACTACATTCCTCGCTATCACTTGCTCTCCTCCGCCGAGGCAGCCAAGAAGCGTTCCGCCGCCTACGCTCATCTCCGCCAATGCAACCTCTGTCCACGTCTCTGCAATGTCAACCGGTACGAGACCACCGGCCACTGCTTGATCGGGGCAGAAACAGTCAAGGTATCGACCATCGCGCCCCACTTTGGGGAAGAGCCATGTCTCCAAGGACATCACGGGTCTGGGTCTATATTCTTCAGTGGCTGCAATTTGAGATGTGTCTTCTGTCAAAATCACGACATCGCGCACCAGAAGGTCGGCTTTGACCTGACTCCAGAGGAGCTGGCGGAGTGGATGGTCAAGTTGCAGGAGGTGGGACATGTGCACAATATCAACGTCGTGACGCCCGAGCACGTCGTGCCCCAAGTTGCATTGGCTATCCTGACTGCTCGGGAAATGGGCCTTAATGTCCCAATCGTGTACAACACGAGCGCATTCGACAGCCTAGAAAGTCTCAAGTTGATGGATGGACTCGTGGATATCTATCTACCGGATTTCAAGGTCTGGAACAACGAAACGAGCAAGCGGCTTTTGAAAGCCGATGCGTATGCAGACACGGCAAGAGAAAGCATTCAGGAGATGTACCGGCAAGTCGGCGATCTGTGCTTCACAGCCGACGGCATCGCCAAGAAAGGAGTCCTGGTCCGTCATCTTGTCATGCCGGGAAAGGAACAGGAAGGAGTGCAGATCATGAACTGGCTGGCAGAGGCTCTAGGAAAAGATGTCTTTGTGAATATCATGGAGCAGTATTTTCCCACCGCCCATGTTGGTAAGGATAAAAGGGGCTCCAAGTCGGATAGCTCGAGCAAGAGATATCCGGAAATCAACCGAGCGGTCAGTCATGAAGAGGTCGGCGTTGTGCAGAAGGCAGCGAGGGACGCTGGGCTTTGGAGATTTGCTGAACCGGCCAGGCATGGTGGTTGGAATATCTGAAGATCCGGAAGCTCCATCATCCCTGGTCAGTCTATTGTTGGACCTACGGTGAGTCATCTAAACGGCCATTCACACAGTCCAGTGACAATCTATGAACAAGTCGGCCAGCGAAGGAAACATGCACAGGAGCGGTGACGAGCATGGTGAGCCCGCATGGTCAAAGCTCCATTGTGCGATGCGATCCACATTCCTGGCCATCTTTGGTGAGCACCACTGCTATTGGTCAGCCTTGGTTCTTTGTGAAGCCAGCTGGTCAAAGACGACTGTTCTTACAAAAACCGTCTGCGGATGACAATACCCTTTCCATCTTCCTACGATATTCGAGAGGGCCTCTCGACCCTTGAACAATCCCACATGCTCCCTTTCCAGCATCTAGGACCTTTCGGTTCCTCGAGGCCAACCCTGGTCACGGCTCTGCATTCCCAAGTTCGTCAGGAAGCAGAGTATATCCAGGAACGTATAGCTGCCGCGGACTGTCTTTACAAAAGGTTGACGGCGGAGATAACAAGGACGCAAGCAGAATTAGGAGAGGCGCAGAAAAGCGAGGGTTTTCGGGAAATGGCCAAACACTTGAAAAGGAATATCAGAAAAAAGCGATCACGGCTGAACAGATGCGCGCAGAATCGACGGGCCTTTGAGGCAAGACTGGCCGCTATCTTTGCAGACATGGAAAGAATGGCGCAACGTCAATGGCGTCACAGCGCTCCTAACCTCCGTAACCTGACGGTGCCTCATATCGGAGAGATTGCTGATGCTCCTACAGCGCCCAGTTGGCCCGCAAACTCATACATGTCAGCCCCCTGGGGTACAAGTTCTATGCACTCTCTCAGTGTTCCGACTCTTTCGTCGCCATCTTCGCGGTTTCCGCAAGCGCCGTACCAGACTGTTCCGACTCACGTTCCTCAAACGCCAGTCCTACGCCCGACACAGTTTCTGCAAGGAGGAATCGGATATCCACACCAGCACGATTTTGGTGTCGCTCAAGCTGGACAAGAAGGAATCAGTCCTACTAATACCGTTTCTACCTACGAGTTGAGCTCCCCGAAAGGCTTTTCGGTCACTTTCGCACCTGCTGCTCAATTCAACGTGCTTGACGCAATGAATCAGTTGCACATCTCTCAACCACATGAAGCCTATATGCAGCCTTCGAGTATACCGATCACAGCGCTTGAACAAAGACATTTCCCCCTGTCGCAACTCCCCAGCATGCTTGATCACCAAAGTGCAGCATTTCGACTTGAGAAAGCCAGAAAGGGCCGAGGTCAGCGGTCCTGCTAGCAACGTGGTACAGCCTTCAGCCGTGGGTATGACTCCTTTGTCCATACGAGCAGGAGTCAGGTGGTGTTATTCAAGTACACCTAGTTACTCAATATCTCTGGTTTGAGGACGACTTCTGTTTTCACTGCGCGACTAAAATGACTGTCGCTGCGGCGACTACCAACAACATGACGAGACACATTGGTACATTGTTTGCTCTTTTCCTTTCTGCCGCGCGCCTTTCTGCATCTTTGTTTGCCATTGACTGTTTCATTTCCTTCCCAATTCGATCCAAAAGTGACCGTCCCAGGATCCATTTCCGTACACAGGACTTCAGTTCCGAAACCAGTCATCCTTTATCCAAGTATCGGCCCTGGCTTCATAGCCTTCCCCCTGCTATCTTCCTATCTCCTTGTCTCTCTTCCGTGTTGGCGTGGACTTCTCGTTTCTTGGACTCCTGGACGAAAAGCCAGAGGCATCTTCCACAATGAAGCTCGTACTTTTCCTGTCTCTTCTTGTTACACGATTTACCGCCTGCCTCCCATTCACTCCACGCAATACACTAAATAATGGCACGGCAGAAACATACGATTATGTGGTGGTCGGATGTGGAATTGCTGGGCTGGTGGTCGCCGCGAGGCTGAGCGAGGATCCCACCGTCTCTGTGGTGTGCATCGAAGCTGGCTCTCTGTATGTCCATTGATCCACATGTCGTGTACTGCCGAGCTGACAAACGTTACCTAGTGACAACTATGAAGACTCGATCGAGATCCCTGTCTACATCGGCGAGCGGCCCGCAGAATACGAATGGGACGTTTCCACGACACCACAACGCCAACTCGACGGCAAGCCCCGTGTGCTCGCCATGGGCAAGGGCGTCGGCGGCGGCAGTCTGATCAACGGCATGTTATGGAACCGCGGCGACCAGAACGATTTCAACATCTGGGCCGTATTGGGAAATCCGGGGTGGGACTGGGCGAACCTGTTGCCATACTTTAAAAAATCCGAGCACTACACGCCGCGATATTACCAAGGTCTCGAAAGCCAGCCTGTCACGTTCGTTGAGGGTATGCACGGCTTTTTCGGACCGGTCAATGTGTCGTATCCGGAATACTTTTGGCCACAGACAAGTAAGTATATAAAACCATTGACAACTGGGCCTATGCTTCTGGGCCACGAGATCTTTTCCAAGATGGCTGACGCACGTAAACACAGATAACTGGTTCGAAGCCCTCGAAGCCCTGCATATCCCGACCTGCGCCGACCCCAACGACGGACTGCCCTGCTCTGGGAGCTACTTCCTGCCCTCGTCGCTCGACTCGGTCAATCAGACCCGCTCGGATGCGCGCAGGGCATACCACGACATGGCTTCCGGCCGTGCCAATTATTATCTGATCACCCATGCCCGGGTCGAACGGGTTCTCTTTGATAGTGAAGGTGATGGGAACTCGAACTCAACAAGAACAGGTCCTGGGGGAGCTGCCGTGAGGGCAGTGGGCGTCCAAGTATGTCCCATATCATGTTTCTGGAACCCCCAGGGCTGGACTGACAGCTGGACGCAGGTATTAAACCTCCTCGATAACACGACGTGTACCGTCCAAGCAACAAGAGAAGTGGTCCTCGCGGCTGGCGGCATTCACACTCCGCAGGTTCTCGAGTTATCCGGCATAGGCAACGCGAGTCTGTTGGCGTCTCTTGGAATCTCTGTTGTGCAAGATCTACCCGGGGTGGGCAGCAATTTGCAGGATCATCCCATGATTCATCTGGACTATCCATGTAAGTGCATTCTTTCTTATTCGTGGAGTCGAAACCTTTTGTCCTTGCGCCGCTAGTTCACCCAAGAGCTTTCCATATCTGCATGCTACTCCATTCTAAATCACGGTGTCCACAGTTCAAAACACATCCGTCCCGACTCCAGGGTGGCTCCTCACGAATTCAAGCTTCAACTCAGCGGCCGAACTCGAGTATTTCTCCTCGCGCACGGGACCATGGACATCCAAGCCCTCCACGGCAGTTGCATTCCCCTCCCTCGCCGAGATGACAAATTCCACACACTGCATCTCCCTCATTCGCGACGCGATGGAATGCTTCGGACTGCAGCCGAACTTGTCCACATTGCCGCCGGAGTACTACTACAGCGACCCCCTGTGCGCGGATCAAAGCGGCGGCAACCTCACGGTCCTGGAAGTCGGGTACGGCATGCAGCACAATCTGGTCGCCGCATCACTGCTCCTCAACACCACGCCCGCGTACGAGATCCTCAACGACAACTCTGGCGGGCTGGATCTGGCGCTCATGCACCCTCTATCCAGGGGCACCGTGCACATCACATCCCCCGACATCCGCGTGGATCCGTCAGTGAACCCAAATTGGCTCAGCCACGCCGTCGACTTTGAGATCTTGGTGCTTGCCGTACGCTTCAACCAGCGCATCCTCTCCACCTGGTCTATGGACTGTTTGGAGCCGGCGTTCGCCCCAGATCCGCAGGGGAGTATTGAGCGAAACGTGACGCGTGAGCAGATCGAGTCCATGCTCCGTCAGGGTATTGGGACCGAGTTCCACTACGCCGGGACGGCTGCGATGCTCCCGCGCGAGGTTGGTGGCGTGGTCGACACGAACCTCACTGTCTATGGCACGCAAAATTTGAGAGTTGTTGATACGTCCGTGTTTCCTGTCATCCCTGGCGCGCATTTACAGGCTGTCGCGTACGCTGTGGCTGAGAGGGCTAGTGATATTATCAAGGGCGTTGCTGTTGACGTTAACGCCGGTGTAGGGGGACCAGTGTAAACGGAGAGGGAGTTGCCGGCAGGTTTGTGGTCCTGTTGCTGTTGGATAGTGAGGCGTCTTGGGAAGGTACCCACATAGGTAGGTAGATATTGGCAACGAGCTCGAGCCAGCCAGGCCCATAAATCGAAACATTTTGAATCACACTCACTCACTCATGAACCTCAGGGCTGTACCCGTCGAGCCACAAGGACGGCATCTACTGTGCCGAAGTCAGTCTGTACCGCCCACACCCGCGAATGCTGACCCTCGTGCAGTCCACTCGCCAGACTACTGACTTCCAGGTCTTTCCTCCCGGTCATCCTCGAGTAGAACGAACTCAAGCCCACGTCCATGCTCCCGTCTTCTCGTACGGCAACGGCGACACACATTCGCGTGGCTTTCTCACTGTCCTTGAACGCGAGCGCATGCCGGCTCTGAAGTCCGAATTAGTATCTCCTTGACAACCCTCTTCAAGGGCATCGAGCAACTTGAGGTCCACCGCAGTAGCACTGCTCGTCTCCTATGGCGACTTGCCGCGGGGTTCCTGGCGCAGATGAAGGAATTCTCATTCGGGAAACAAAGATTGCGGACTACACATTTCCTCAACCGACCTGAGCTTTTCGGAGCCATAGCTGTCTTCCAGGGCTTGAGTGGTCAAGGTCAACCACAGAAACACGATCAGAGTGGAAAATACCTAGGTAAGTAAGTGAAAAGAGGGTCTGTGAAACCAAGCACGAGTGGCCAAAGCTATGCGAACTCGGGCTTTCACTTTGCATGGTACTTCGAATACCGTTCCGATACACCACGACCCCTCTTCCTAGCCTGGTTGTCGTCCGGGGGCACGTCCGCGAATCGGTTCAGAAGGGTTGGGACTATTTAACCGCCAACTTGTGACCTAACCTTCTTTGCAACCTCCGTCCAAATCGTCGAAGACACTCCAGACGTCCGTGTGCCCGGCCGCGTCCACCGGCCCAACGTCACGTTTTCAGCAGTTGGCACCCACGACTTCGTCGTTGCTGTGACGGCGGCCCCTGTCCCCAACAGCGACGCTGACAGACTCTTCCAGCGGCCTTCTGCAGAACATCGAGTGAGAGGGCGTTCTATACAGTTCTGTGCACGCCAGTGTGGGCGCCCACGGATCTGTTTTTGCTGGTCCAGATGGCGTAAGCTTCTTGTCGAGGTGGATTGTAATACAAGGACGAACAAGAGACTTGTTTATATATGCTTCATATCTGTGGCCCTCACCGTATGGGAAGGTTGGGCGAGTGACACTGCGGCACTCACTGCCACCATGGTCCTTTGGCCCACGGAACAGATAAATCTGGTCAAATGGGATTGCCAGATCAACCCAGCAACAAGACACGCCATGGCCCAGGCTGTTCACCGACGGGACGCAAATCCCAATCTTCCCCAGTCTCGGTCCCGGATGGTCTTGGAGTCCACCTCGTCCTCACCACCAGGACTTGGCTCTCGCCGGATGCAATGCAATGGCACGTTGTTTGTATGAGTGAGTACCTGGTAGGTAAATACCATATTCCCTGGGCGTGCTCTGCAAGCAGAGAGCAGAGTAACACAGGACAATTTGGCAATGACGAGGTCCCATGAGGTGCATCCCTCAACAACGGCTGCCCGGAGGAGAGAGTTTGCCATGTCTGCCCAATAGACGATGAATTGTAGCTGAAACCCGGCCGAATGAGTCTGAATGCGTCGATCTGCTTTTGATCCTCGAGGCCGTAGCTAGGAGTGACGAGAAAAGAGCCATTCATTCCAGCGGCTCTCTCGGGATGCAAAGATACTGGCGTCGGTCGACAGGGTCTATAGAAGCGGCAGTGAGTATCTTTAATAGTCAAGTATCAATTGCCTGATCGATAACGGCAAGGTTCGGCTGAAGCAGCGTCTATTCCACAAAAGCAGCACGTGCATGCATGCACAGTCAGAAATCTTGAAACCCCAGTTGGCCCAGCTTGAAAAGTTTGGAGATGGACTTGGCAATATTTCCATGCTTGTGTCAGTCGTGCAATCATTCTTTCATTCATGCTCACGTCTCTCTGAAAAAGGAACTGCCGAGGAAGGAAATGAATGTGAGACCGTCTGATGCCCTGTGTGCCGAACCGACGGTCGAAAGAAGATCCACTCACCTAGCGAGCTAGGTATTTGGCATTATATACCCCATTCTCCGAGCTTGCGGGATGTCGTTTGACATGTTTACTAATAGCCCCATCTGAGCATTCCGCAACAAGAAGTGTGGTCCCCGACGCTGCTTTTCCGGGTCGAAAAGCAGCCTGATGGTTTCCCGCCTCGACAAGAGCTGCTGTGTCTTGATTGGCTACTATGTTCGATGGTGCGTGAGGAGTTGGTCTTACGTCCACGGAGATACGTTGAGGTTTGAGGGACGCCCGGGGAACGATGAAGGATGCCGTAATCTAGAGTCTCGCTCAATGTTCTTAAAGATCGCTTGCCCGCATACAGGGGTTTCTCTGCTCAAGCCAGTCCTTTGTCCTCGGTGGCATATTGAAGAAATTCCATAGCCCAGTACCGCGACGAAGCCCTGCGAAAAGTTTCAAAACAATGGCTGCAGCCAAGAAGCCCGTCCTATATTACTTCGACCTCGGCAGCAAAGGACGTGGCGAAGTCGTCAGGTGGGTCGTCATAGCAGTAGCATACTGCGGGAGCTCCTTTCGTGGAGCGGGATATCTCGTGGCTTGCTTGCTGACATCCGCGAGCAGGCTGTTCCTGAGGGAACTCGGCATCGAGTTCGAGGACAAGCGTTATGCTTATGACGCAACATGGACTGGAATCAGCAAAGAGTTCGAGACTAAGGGATTGACCGTCACTCGGAAATTGCCATCGTTGGATATCGACGGCCATATTCTGTCTCAGGTACGAGAAACCTCGCATACTCTCTCTGTGCTGGCGATTGTCGATGACAGCTCTATCCCGTCTGCCCGTCTGCCCGTCTAACGTTAGCCCAGCATATCCCCATTCTGAGATATCTCTCGCGGTCTGTCGGTGCCTATGACGGAACCACAAACTACGACAAGTGGCTGGTGGACGCTGTTGCCGATACTTACATTGACTGGAGAGTACGTACCGCTCTGCATCACCGCCACGTGCGTAGTGGCTGCGACATTGAACTGAGATTCGACACAGGCTCGGTGGGTCGCCAATTTGACTGAGAAAAAACCCGAATACCAGACCGAGACGGTAGCTCTCTACCATGGGATCTGGGACAAGTTCTATTCTCGACACTCCGGCCCGTACCTCCTGGGGAATACCATCACGTATGCCGACTTTGCGGTCTTTCAGGCGCTTGATAATGATGATGTACTCGGTTGGATTCCAGTATGTCACAGATTCTCTGCCTGGCTTGGCCTGCCTCTTCTTCTAACACTTACCTCTCACCCAGGGCTCGCTTCCGGAGACACTCAAAAGGCTGCGAGCTGCCGTCTCCGAGCGCCCGAATGTCAAGGAATACTTAGCGACCAGAAGTGCCTAGTGGTTTGGTGCAATAATAGGAAGGTTGCTGAATTTCGTAGCCGGTGAGGACACAGTCAAGAACATCAGACGGTTGGGGACTGCCAGACACCGAAGCTCCCTGAACACAATTGCCGCAATTGGGACCCGGGTACTGTGCTCTGATGGGTTGTTAAGACCAGCAGCAGTCCCACGTGCGTCGTATAGTTATCATATCATGTGCGGACCAGTGTTTTCTTGCTTCCGTCTTCTGTATGCAAGCAGTACGATCTAGAGCGTAGGCGTCATTCTGTTCTGCGCGTAGTGTGGGAGGACTAAGTAGCATCGAATATGATTGACAGTTCGCAGAGGGGACGCCAGAGGCGTGGCAGCTTTGAGGATAAACGCAAACGCTTTTTGAACGGGGTTTGTCATCATGGAAAGGAAGCTGTCAGTAAATGGCTCGACGGTACCTCAGTATCTCGTATGTGGTTAGCAACCTGGAAGTGTGGCAGCCGCAGGAAATCTCTTCCGCGGTCCTAACAAATTTGGCCCTGTTCGAAGACGCGACTTGCCCCTTGACTTTTCCCGCCAAGACCCACCCACATTGCAGCAGAGGCAGTCTCATATCTTCTGCTGTGGAATTCCTCTCTTTCCATTACAACATACGACAATATCTAGGTGATCAAGATGGACCCTGATCACGGATTGCTCCTGCTGTCATGCAGCGAGGAGATCGTCACAAAACTGTCAACAAATTGCATGCAAACTGTACAACTACTGGAAGAGAACTTGAGTGTCCCAGATAACTATTTTAATCTTTTGCTTACAAGCATCAGCAGAACCCTGGACGAGGTCAAGACAAGCATTCTTACGGCTTCCACAAACTTCCGACATGCTCTTGCGGACCAAAGAGCCAGCTCTTCAGGCCTACATGGCCAACTTGACACACTCAAACAAGAGATCCGCCGGACCCAGGACAGCCTTCAAGAGGCAATACGGGAGAAGGTAAATTACCAAAGCGAGCTGCAATGCAAAGAATCCGAGCTGGCCAAAAAAAGCAAGGACTTGGTTGCAAAGTCTCATGAGTTGGCCGAACTCAGAGAAAAGGGCGAGGCACTCTGTCAGGGACCACAAACCCAAGAGTCAGCTCAACCCCGAGAAAAGGGTGAGTCACTCTATCAGGGACCACAGACCCAGGAGCCAGCTCAACCCAGAGAAAAGGGTGACGCACTCCTCCACGGACTACGGGGCAAGGAATCCGAGCTTGCCCAAGAAAGTGAGGACATTACTGCAATGACACAGGAACTAGCCGAACTCCGAGAAAAGGGTGAGGCCTTCCTCCACGGACTACCGCGCAAAGAATCCGAGCTGGCCACAAACAGCAAGGACTTGGTTGCGAGAACCCAGGAAGTAGTCGAACTCACACAAAAGGGTGAGGCACTCCACCAAGGACTGCGGTGCAGAGAATCCGAGCTTGCCCAAAAAAGCGAGGACTTGACTGCAAAGACCCACGAACTAGCTGAACTGGAAAGAACTAAAAACGAGTTGGCCATGAAATTCGAGGTACTCCAGGAAAGAGAACTCTCGTATCGAGAGGCTCTCCGTTGTAAAACCTCACTCCTGGAAACAAAGCAGAGAGAGTGTGAAGACCTCCTGCAAGAAAGGACTGGCTTGGCCACAGAGTCCATCCAGATGCGCCAAGAGAAAGAACTCCTCCAACGCACAATCTCTGAACTACAGGGGAACGCAAAGAAACAAGAATCGGAGAGAGATCTATTGCTCAAGGACATGACTCGGTTGCGTGCTAACATTCAACAGAACATTTCAAGCAAAGTCGAAGGTCTCCGCCAGGAGATTCGGGGTGAGTTTACTGACTTCTGGGATGAGGCCCGTGACAAAATACGGCTCGAGATAGAGCAACACGCGAATAAGCTCCGAGAAAGACATTTACAGATTCTCGAGGACGAAAAAAACAAGTTAAGGGAACACCATACGGAACAGCTTACAGATATCCAACGAAACCATGAACGAGAGCTAACACAGCTACAGTCAGACCAACAGAGGACACAGCAGGATCTCGAGAATTTGCAGACCCGGAATGCTGTTTTCAGATCCGAAATCAGCAAACTGAACGAAACCTGGCAAAACAAGCTGACTGCGGAGAGGAAGGAGGCGCAAGAGCGTTTCCGAATCGAACTCGCAAAGCAAAAGGCTGAAAGCAAGCAGAAACAGCAAGACCACCTTGCGGCACTGCGGAACACAGTTGCTGAAATGGAGGAGAGGGGTGCAGAATGCGAAGCTACATATCACGATTTGCGTGAGACCCAAGCTGAGCTGCTCGCCCTGATCCGATCACAAGCTGACAATATAGAGCAAATGAAGGTGGAACACAGCCGCAACACAGAGGTTACGGAGACGCACGAATCCCACCAAGGCGTCGCGCCTGAAGCACCGGTCTTCACGCTCCATCAAGGTGAGGAATTTTTCGGATACCCCGAAGACAGTGACGTGGAGAATCAAAACCCTCGCAAGAGAAATCGCGCAGTTTCGATGGAACTTGGTTCTAGGAAGCTACCCGAGATGCACAAGAGGAGAAGAGTGGATCATGAAGAACATCCTCTGAGAGCTGATCTCCAGGAAGACGAAGATATTTTCGACCGACCACGGCCTGCTTCAATTGAGACAATCTCAGAAACCCAGCTCGAGGCGGATGGAGACCGACTGACCTCAGACGAAGAAAGCCTGGACGAGAAAGTGAACCAACTCCGGGGAATGTTCCTGCTTGCATGGGATTATTCTGACGAAGAAGAGGAAATAATCAGAGGTTACCTCGCCGCCATGATCAAAAGCAGGAAGGAATTGTCTGCTGTAGTGCGAGATATTGACCAGTACTGTGTGGGCCCTCTTGACAGTGAGCCTCTATATCCACGCCCTTGTCTGATGGCAAAGTTATTCAACAAAAACGCTGGCAAAGGCGGCCAAACCATGACAAGCCGGAATTGCAAGCACTGCCACAAACAGAACAGAATATGTCTCTGGGCGAAACATGTTCCGGGTGTTGCGACTGGGTTCGGTCCAAGAGTAAATGGCCAAATCCTTGCAGACAACGGCGGCCGCAAACATACTCCCAACCAACAGCCGTGGCTCCTTCAACTCGGAGGGAACGAGGTACGTTGGGTCCTGAAAAGACGAAAAATGAGTGCCAGTGAGCCGGCAGATACAGCGTGGGAGGTGGACGGCCTGATTGTGTAGAGGAACAAGTAGTGACTAACGGGCCAGGGTCCGTCTAATCGAGATACACCTGGTAGCAAATCAATTGATTCACCGAGCCTCTCCTTGAGGCAGGCTCTATCCGAACCTGCCCATGCTTTCCAGTCCTCTTGTAATGACGGGTTGGCCCTCGAGAGTCCATCAAAAAAGTAGACATAACATGTCTACCCTCGTACCTACTCAGACGCTAGTACGAGAACCTGGAGTAATTGACGAGTCATCCAAGGCTGCAATGTCGAAGGTACGAGAAGCACGAGAGGACACTTCGAGTCCGACAGGGGCATTTACGATCACCGATATCCAGAGTGTGGCTGCGGGAGCTGCTGGGAACCTTTCTTTGAACCCTCAGAAAGTGTGCCACATGGCACCAATCTTGACCTCTGCGGGCCTGACGAGGCTGAATCAGGCCCTCGCCGCAGCATCGACGTCAGCCCAGCCCGTCTCTTGCAACCTCCGCTTCAATTCTGGGGTCAATTCTTGTTCTTTTGTACGCACTTTCACATTGCGATCGTAAGTATACATGACCCTGTGAAGCGTCGACGAGACACCGGTTGTGTTCAGGGTTTGCTTGAGAGTGGTTCACATGTCCTGGATGAGCTGGGCCGATGGGTAAGTGAGATCGATGGGGCAGTTGAAAAGAACACTGCTGGTCCTCGAAGATAACAAGGAGGGAGCGCAAATGACAACGCGAAATGAGACCCGATGAGCCCTGGGTTCGCCCAATGTACAAATGGATCAAATGCTCCATTTCACTCCCAACGCAGTCATGTTTGTGTGTGCGTCTTGTTGCTGCCAAGTCCTACTCTGCCCGGCCTGCGCGCGCCTGCATGTATGTCCCTCCATCTCATTTTGACTCCCCTTTCTCCCTTCTTCTTTCCTTTTCTTCTACACACAAAGACAATCACCATCACAATGCAGTGCCAACGCTGCTATTCCTTCTCTCCCCATCCGGGGGCTCTCTTTTGCACTCAATGTGGAGGTGCACTTCGGACGCCAAATGCACCTATACAGGGAGCGCTTCCTCAAACTCAACCTGGATACCAAGCTCAGCCGTATGATCATGATCAACCCTTCCCGAGCCAACCTCAGGCTTCCACCGTGCCTCTCCAGCCACCTGTAGGATACGAAAACTACTCCACGACTGCGCCACCTCAAGCAGGGTGCCAAAATGTGAATGGGCCTCCAGTGTCTGAAGCAGGATTTGCCAAGTACTCCGCATCCAAAACCCATCAGCTTGCATATCAAAACAATTCTCTCCTCGTGGGGCCTGAAGCCCAGCATGAGAAGGTTGGCGCAAGTTCCGCATTTATTGCTCCACGACCATCTGCATCCACAGCTGAAACGCAACAAGAGCTGCTGAATCTGAAGGCCGATCAAAGCCTTGAAAATGTGGGAAACGATTTGAAAGAAAGAGTGGAAAAATCCACGACTGAGGCGCTATTGAAAAAGGGCACCGGAGAACAGCAATTCTCGAGCCCATATGGAGCCGAACCCAAGCCCTATCCCAAGTCAAATTCCCAAACACTGCAATCAGATCAGCCACCACCACAGAAGGATTGCCAGACGCACCAGCGCAAAGAGGTGGAACACAAAAAGCGAAAGGTGTCAGAGGATGCGTTCCCCAGAGTGGGTGTAAACCCTCCAGAAACAAATTACCGAAATGCCCTCAGTTCCAAGACCACAAACCCGAGCGAGCCAGAGATGCCTGCCGTCCCTTGCGGACCACGCAATCAGAATGTTTGGCCAGAAGATCATTGGCCAAGTGACAAGCATACGCTTGGATTCATTCGCCAAAAGGTGTTCCCGAACTGCAAGTGTACCATCTGCAAGTACCCGCATCCTAGCAAACTGCATTACACGGCCATCGACATGTTTGAGGCCTGGAGAGAACGAAGCTCGGGCCCAGGTCTGTGTGAAAACTGTCACAAGTGGGGCCATACCGTGGCAGAGTGTGGGCTGGGCGAATGGCGAGATTTGCCTGATAACCCTCCCATCGACGATAAACTTTCTGCACAATACAGTCAGTACTTGCGACCATGGCCTCCACGTACGAACAGGACTCCGTTCCCAATCTACTACTACATGCCTAAACGTTCTAAAGGTAGCGCTGCATGGCCAGACCTGCCACCACCGTATAGCAAGACGGGCATTCAAGCTGGCCTTGTTGATGTTCACTACGGAATTCGATACTCACTAGAGCTCTTCCTCTGGAAGAATAACAGGGGGCCAAAGCCAAACTACGATCCGGCCAAGCATAGGCCATATTTCTGGTCCCCGAACGGAGGAGCACGACCCGGAGAGGGGAGATCACCTCTGAAAGAAGACGCCCGTGTTACTCCACGAGACTCTGAAAAGACTGCTCAACCGCCCACAAAACCGAGTGTGGAAGCAGGCAAACAGACATCGCTTAACGCTTTTGACGATGGTTTCCGCGGTGTGGACCATCATCCTCTTATGCCAAACCCCGGGTATGATGATAAACTCCGGACTTGGTTCAACGAAGCATTCATGGCAGCAATACTTCCAAATTTGATTAAGGAAGACGATCAGTTCTTGAGCAGAGTCCACAGACAATTCAAAGAAGCCAGAGTCAACTACGAGAAGCGTGAAAATGCGACAGAGTTGAAGACCATGCTCAATTTACTCGCCCAGGGTTGGGAAATCCTTGCACCTTACATTCCAGCTTGGTGGCCGGGCACATGGAGAATGCCCATATCTCTCCATCAAAAGCTCCTGGACCGTGCCAAAAAACGACAGCAAGCTGTCGACGAGCGACAGTCCGCAAAACCAGTAGGCCAACCACCAAAGGACCCTTCCGCGCTCGAGCGGTCAGTTGGCGAATTACAAGATCCATATCTTCCAGTACTTGTGGAAGACGATCGAAAGATTGATGTGCGCACGCTCGATTACTCCAAGACTACTTCCGAACAGCGAAAGCACCCAGGATTGCGGCCTAAAGGTCGAGAGGAAGCACAGGCACATATCACCCACTGTGTTCAATTTCACGAGATCAACATGTCTAGCTGGAAGAAAGCGAGCCGCTACACCCAATGGTTCTTGGAGGCATGGAAGCATATTGAGATGAACACTTATCTCGTCTTTCGAATGGTGAACAGAGTCGATGTCTTGGACGGACGTCTCAGCAAGTCTGAATCAGACACAAGATTGGAGTCACAACGCAAGATAATCAATGACCTCGGAGGAAGACTTCTGCGGCGAACCATGGTACTTGTTCAGAATCTTGGAAAAGAATGCGAGAGTCTCAAACAACGCAAGCATACAATGGAAGAATTTGACCAACTCGAAGCGCGCCTTATTGACCGGTGGGATAATTTCAACAGACATGTTACCATTGACATTAACAAGGCGTTCAATGGGCTAAGTCAGCAGGGAGTACAAATGTACGAAGCATTAAAAGCATGGCTGGATGAAGACGACTTCTACCCGACTTGGAAAAATGCAACTGGTGGCCTACTTCCTCAACGAAGTTCTGAGGAGTGCGTTCTTCCATTGTGGCTCTGGCCAGCCGCGTTTCAGGAGGCCTGGATACACGACTTCCACATGGGATAGTCAGACTCCCACCTCGAACAATGTTGATTACTTCAAAGGCTCCAAAGAGCAAGGGCAGAAAAGCTGATGCGACAGACTTGGTTGTTTTCACAACGTCAAACGGTAGTTTGTTGGCATTGCAGCGACGTCTAATACTTCGCAAGAGAACATGTTGATAGTTTGAAGGTAGCAACAAAATTCATGTATTCCAAAGATTCTGTCATCCTAGATGCTCTTCTTTTCCAGGTGTCGTGATTGTTCGCCTGAGGCGTCCTTTCTTGGCAAATCCGACAGCCAAAAGAAGTATTTATCGTCTTATCTATACCCTCCCTACCTCATAGACCAATAGACCTCAGCCGTGCTCCGTGCTCCATGCGACGTTTCTCCCCCTAAACCCAAATACCAAGCAGGCCGTGAAGGAAAAGAATGTCCCACTTCTCCAAGACGCAATACAATGCCTTCTCGGAGTCGTACGATGCGGTCAACGACCTGCCCATCTCGCGCGCCATCGTCATCAACGTGGAACGCCTGATCCGGCCACACATCCGCGGGAAGCGCGTGCTGGAGCTCGCGTGCGGGACGGGTTTCTTCACGCGGCACATGCTGGACTGGGGCGCCGCGAGCGTCGTGGGCGTCGACGTGTCCCAGGCCATGGTGGACATTGCCACGAGCGAGATGGCCAGGCAGAGGCCCCAGCACAAGGGCAAGTATAGATTCATGGTGGCAGATTGCAGTGCGCCGTTTTCCGCCCACGCCCACGCCGGCGAAGGGACAGAAGGAGAAGAAGAAGAAGAAGAACAAGAAGGTGGAGGGGAATTCGACCTCGTCTTCGCCGCGTGGCTACTAAACTACGCACCAGACCAGCCCACCATGACCGCCATGTTCCGCAACATTTCCACCCACCTCAAGCCCGACGGACGGTTCATCAGCGTCCTCCCGCACCCCGAGGACGATCCCATGGTATGCATCGACCGCGTCAACGCCGCGCGCCAGCTGGGGTACGGCTACGGGATCCAAGTCCGCAAGTCCCTCGCCCCGGCCATCCCGCGGGCCTACTACGTGCATTTGTTCTTCGACTCGACCCCGCCCGTCGACTTCGGGAACTACTACTTGCCCAAACACGTGCACGAGCGTGCCGCGCGGGAAGGCGGCATGGAGGGCGCATTGGCCTGGGAGGCCGTCACGCTGCCGGACGACTACGACGAGATCAATCGCTACATGAAAGACCCAGTAAGCCCTGGTTACTTTGATCGGTGGTTGGAGTATCCCGACTTTGGGATCTTGATCGTCGAAAAGTAACGGTTTGAGGTACCTAGGTATATAGATTATTGTAGCAGAGTGATGAACGCAATCGACCACAGGATGTGCAAAACAGGGCTTCCCGTTCGCTCAGCCGTACTTAAGTCACATGCCGATTAGCTAGTACCATCGTGGGTGACCAGGTGGGAATCCTAATTGTTGATTGTTTTTGCATTTTGTGCAAAATTTTTTTTTTTTCGTTTGGCTCTTACGCATTAATAGACTATAAAAAAAATCAAGGGACTAGATGGGCATTTGGGGTCGCTAATAGGACGGCCAAGGTCAACCCCAATGTGGCGGTTTACAGTCGCAAGAACCTCGGCTTTCCTCGCGGTCGAAGTCGTTTTTGATTGGGCTATTTTCGTACATTTCGAACAACAATATCCAGAGAATGAGCATCTGCAAATAAAGACTAATCCTTTTCAATGCTCTCTGAGACTTCGTCCCCGCCATGCATATCTGCGTATACCCAAATACAACTGTCGCCGATTATCTCATGACATCCCATCCGTCGATGAAGGGTCCCTGCCCATGAAAACCTTGTACAGTCGCTTGCTAATCTGCGGACCCAATCTCTTGTCGCTCCACCCGCCGTCTTTGTTCACGGTCTTGCGAACATCCTCAAGCATCAGGTTGCCATGCTTGTCGAACCCTTTCACCAGCTTTCGAATGCTCTTGTATTCTTCGACGATGCCGTAGGCCATGCTGGGAGTCACTCTCTGGACCTCCTGAAGCATTTTCACAAATGTGTCTTTGGGATCATCTCCGGTCCGGACTTGTCCACTGTCCATGCAGAACGACGCAGACTTGAGGTTATATTCAAGCTGAGCCAGGCGATATGGCCGAGTGGAAAGATTTTGAGTGAATGCACATATCTGAAACGCCGAGTCCGCTGGTGTCGACGTATGATGGATCAGTATCGGTTGGTGAGCCAGTTGAAGATGGAGGAGCAGGTCATCGACCATATCGGACGTCACGACAGAAAAGTCCATTGACTCGGTCGAAGGCTTCTTCCTCTTCCGGCTCCTAGCCTGGGACGGAGCAGGATCGATGTTAGCTGAGTTCTCGCCGTCAGTCTGCAACATCTGGGCTCGGACAGCAGCAGTGTATGCTCGATTCTTCGCATTCTCACTCTTCCGGAGCCAACTGCGGAGTCCTTCGATCAGATAGATTGGAACGCAGTCGCCGAAACGCCGGCGTATCGACGAAACATGAGCATCCAAGTTTGCCTTGAGCTCTTGCTCCTCGCGCACCACGCAGGCCACAGCCCCTGACCGCGACGTGGCTGCCATAGCAACAAAGTCTGCAGCGGGCAAATGAATCAAAACATGGTTTTCATTCACGATGCGGCATCTGGAGGTGGGTTCCCACAAATCGTCCTCGTCGTTGTACGTTGACTTCACCTTGCGGCGCCAGGTGGCAATGCTTCCATGTTGCACTGGTTCGCCGTCTTCGTCGACCAAGTTGACCTGCTCGTCCACATAGTTGACCTCGACCTGGACGTTCTTCATGCGCTCTTCAACTTGATTGCCGACGCTTGTATCTTTAAGAAAGCTCGACATATCCAAGATCATTTCTGGGGTTGCGTCTTTCTTATTCATGCGTGATTTGTTGACTTCCGCAAGATCCGCCGCCTTCTGCTTCTCCTTCGCCTTCTGTTCCCTCTCCAACTTTCTCTTCTCTTTCTCAACTTCCTTTAGAGCCTGTCGCTCTGCCCTTGCCGTGGTCTTTTCTGCTGCCCTCCGACCATCCTTGACAGCCGTGTCTGTTTGAGGCAGTTTGCAGGGTTTGGTGCTTTTGGCGATCACAGGACTGGACGAGAATTCGATGTCATCGAAAATCTTGGGTGGTGCCCGCCCCGTTGACAAATTCTGCGTCGATTTTGCTTTTGAGGGCCTCGATGTCATACTCGTTTCTTCGGTAGACTCCGGATTAAGGTTAGCCAGAAGGGTCATCGTTCTGTGATCATAGCCGGTCTGCATTGGCTGTGGCAGACAGAATGGGTCGTCGACAGAGAGATCGCCTTCAAATCCATCTGATGGGAGCCTCCGCGAACCATCCACGTCCTTCCTCTTGTGCGTTGTCAATGGTTCTAGAGCGGGAGATGAGAAGGTGATGTCATCAAGAAAATGGGTCTTCTTCGGCTCTGAGGGACGCGAGAACGCAGTCACAGAAGTAATGAGCTTGGAGTCTCCCTGGGACCCGTCACTTGAAAAGATCTCAGGGACAACATTGGCACTGTCAAGGGTTGAAGGCGAACCTACAACCGGATTTGTGCGTTTCCTCTTAGAGGGCCTATTGATCTCGAAATCAATTGAACCCGTTACTTCAAAGTTGTCGATATCAAAATCAACATCGTCGAAAAATGTCTTCCTGGCTGGGGGACATTTGACGGGCGATGATGACAGAAGCTCAATCACCTCGGTCATTGTTGAAGGCCAAAAACGTCAGCGATGAGTGTAGAGCAGAGAGTGAGAAAGCATGGGCACAAAGGGAGCGCATGATCTGCCAGCAGCAATTGTGTGCGGTCAACAACGTCGGTAGTGGCAACAGCGGCACGTGTTGTCATGATTGAGGAAGCCCCGATCTGGAAAGTCTAAACAAGCTTGGCATTCGCGGGTAGCGCGTCGTTGGTGGGCGACGCGTAAAGAGCATTACGAGCCTTCAAGTTGTTCCATGTCATCTGTCTACTCATCGTCTACTCATCGTCTATCTATTGTCTGCCATCAAAAAGTTGCAGTCGCGGACCGGCCTCGGGGTTCATTCTCCTGGCGCGAGCGAATTCACTTGCCCTGCTATCCCCTCGACCGTACTTGGCCTTGATGACTGTGGCCAGCAACGCTGCTGCAAAAGCTGCTGTGAGCCACACGGCTAAGACGATGTCTTTCCTCTCCAGAAAGGTACTCCTCTTGCTCTTCAGCATCTGGGCCATCTCCTTGCTGAGTTTTCCTGCCATTGTACTCCTAGTAAAGTGCTCCCGGACCCTTTCTCGCCCACTCCGACCCATGCGTTCGAGGTCATCCGTGCCGAGTTCATGCAACACTTTGTTGATGATTGCAGTCCAGTCTTCCACCTTGGATGAGTCACGTAACCAACCTGTCTGGCCCTCGACGATGGTCTCTAAGGGTCCACCGGTATTTGAAGCGAGAACAGGGAGCCCGTGTTGCATAGCTTCCACCGGCACAATTCCAAAGTGCTCGTTCGAAGGGGTGTACAAAAGCAAACGAGCATTTTTCAGGAGAGTCTCCTTGAAGAAGCCTGGCACGGACAGCAAGAACAATACTTGTATGCTGCTCGGAATGCCTAAAGCTGTTGGGACTGTTTTGGCAGTTGCCGCAGATAGACCTAGCCTTTCGGCCAAGTCCACCAGCTCTCTGTGATATTCCACATTCTCATTGACCCTCTGGTCGTAGCCCCCAGCTATGATCAGCCGGGTACCTTGACGGGCCGTAGGAGGCAGTTTATGATAAGCTCGGATGGCCAAGCTGATATCTTTTTTCCGCTCAAATCGATTTATGCTGAGGAGAATCTTGTATTGACCGTCCCACAGTGACGTGTCGTCTACTTCGGCTTCGGTCTCTTTTCCTCCATCATTGACGCAGGGATATATGACACCTAATGAGCCGGCCAAGGAGGGCCAGACTCTCGAGGCGACGGATTTTGTAAACTCGGAGTTGACAACTATCCTGTCACTGGCGCTCATGCTCCAGCCTTCAAGCCAGTCGAAAGGGAACCTGTATATTGTTTTTGCAAGTCCAAGCAGGCCAGCAGCTTTGCGATCGGCGAGTAACTGGTCTGGAAAATGGCAATAAAACAGGGTCCGCTGGCGGTGAGGGTATAACCATCGCAGAAGCGGAACGCAGGCGGAGAGCTGGTCGACCACAAAGACATCGGGTCGGAGTGTGCTCAATTCATTGCTCCACACTGCGATGGAGAGAACAAGATGAATTTGACGGAGGATTGCGAGCAGGATGTGGAAGCGATTCAGGAAAGAGGGGGGGAAGAGTGTGTTTCCATGGACTCTGACGTCGAGGGTGCCTATACTCACCAATCTGTCAATGATTTAGCCACGGGGAAAATGACATGACAGAGGCAGGGACTGACCATCTCGTGCCTCTTCAAAGCAGTGACTAGGGTCGCAATGCGAAGTGAAGATTGTGACTTTGTTTCCCTGCTCTTGAAGACCGACCGCGGCATCAACAATCAGCCTCTCAGCACCCCCAATCCCCAAGTCCGGATGGAAGAAGACAATTCGCTTCGAGGGCGACAGTACAGGCACAGCCGCCTTCTCTGAGGAAGCCATATTAGAAATACCGAGTAGAGAAAGGCAAGACTGGCATCATTCCCTGCTGGATGTGTTTGTTTGCTTGTTTGCTCGTCTTGTGTGACCACCGACCGCAGGAACACGGTGCGACATCGGCTGACCTTCCTTCCATGAAAGGATCTCAGTTCCACAAGACTTGTTTGTAGCCCATCGTCCCACTTCTCTCGCAAATAAATCTGTCTTGTCTGTAAGATCTTGTGCTCCAGTCGTTGTTGTATCAAGATTGCGTGTGACAGTGAGCTTGCGTCTACCATCCCTTCCAGCACATCTCACATTTCCGCCGGCTATCGCGCTCAACCCATGAATGCAATCAAATGTCTCCCGCGCCGGCTCGCTCGCACGTCGGGAAATCTCCAGACCCGCCAGGGTTGGGGAGGTCCGCCACTTTCCAGCGGAGGAAATGATTGGCAGCAGCTAGAGTCGTGGGCCGCGGTGTCCCTGGACGTCGCATGCGAGCAGGCCTGAAGTGGAGATGCATACCGCGAATGATACCCGCGAAATCGGGCATACCATGCCCAAACTGTAGTAGGTGCATGCGCTCCGGATGCACTCACTGATAGACGGTGCAGATTGTCCGTCCGGCGTCGAGCAGAAGAACATGATCTCAATGGAGTCGTCGTCGTCTCCCTCCCGTCTCATTCCTTCAACTGCTCTATCAGCTGCTTCATCACCACCTTCGCTTTTCTCTGCTATGAGAGTCGCGCCTGCGTTTGTTTAATCGGCGCGCGTTCACTTCTTAGCACCTTCTTCCCTTGAAGCTGCGTCCTTCGTTCCGGAGACTTCTCTTGCGCCTGGCGTAGTAACTCCAGCCGTCCCCTCGCTCAACTCACCCTGTTCTACCATTCAATTTCTTCTCTACCACTTTTGCATAATCAAAACTCGATTGATCGGTCATAATGGCTCAGGTAACGTGGTGCCATCTACTCGTGGGACAATACTGACCTGTCGACAGCTCAAAACTGCCTTCCTGGCCCTCGTCGCCCTCTTCGCATCCTACGTCTTGGCTGTCTCTCCGCTGGTTGTTCAAGGGTCCGACTTCGTCAACAGTGTTGATGGCACACGTTTCCAGATCATCGGTGTAGCGTAAGAGAAGGCATCTGACTGAGGCACAAGCAAGCTACTGACTGAGTTGTACAGCTATCAGCCTGGTGGCTCTTCGGGTTTCAATCCGGGCTCCGGCCTTGACCCGCTCAGCGATGCTGATATCTGCCTCCGAGATGCTGTGCTCATGCAACGTCTGGGTGTCAACACTATTCGCGTCTACAACCTCGATCCGGACTTGGACCACTCTGCTTGTGCCTCCATCTTCAACGCCGCCGGTATCTACATGATCCTGGACGTCAACAGCCCCTTGCCCAACCAGTCCCTCAACCGCGGCGCACCCTGGGAATCGTACACTTCAGCGTATCTCGAGCGTGTCTTCGACGTCGTGGAAGCCTTCATGCACTTCAACAACACCCTGGGGTTCTTCAGCGGGAATGAGGTCATCAACCAGGACTCGGTCCCAGAGGTGCCATCCTACCTTCGGGCGGTCACCCGAGACCTCAAGGACTACATCTCAGCGCAAGCACCACGACCGATCCCTGTTGGTTATTCTGCTGCCGATGTCCGTCCATTGCTCATGGGCACTTTTAACTACTTGTCTTGCGGATTGTCCAACGACACCAGCTCCAAGATTGACTTCTTTGGCCTCAACTCCTATTCTTGGTGTGGCAATGCCACTTTCCAGTCTTCTGGATACGACGTCCTGGTTGGAGACTTTAGCAATACCACAATCCCAGTCTTCTTCTCCGAGTATGGGTGCAACCTGGTCACTCCACGAGTGTTTACCGAAGTGCCCGTGCTCTACTCCGAACAAATGACGCCCGTCTTTTCTGGCGGTCTCATCTATGAGTACAGCGAGGAACCCAACAACTATGGCCTGGTGAATCTCAATGCCAACGGATCCGTGAGCATTCTACAAGACTACGACAACCTTCGCCAACAGTACAATGCGCTGGACGTCAACGCGCTCGAGAGAGCCAACGCTACGGCGACGTCGCTCACTCCTCCTGCGTGCGCAGCTGATTTACTGGCTGGGTCAAACTTTAGCACCAGCTTCGATCTGCCGGCTCGCCCAGACGGAGTCGACACCCTGATCCAAAACGGTGTTTCCGGCAAGTTCCCAGCAGGCACCTCGTCTGTCACGAATACCAAGCCTTCGCAGACTGTTTACGATGTCGATGGCCAAGTTCTCACCGGACTGCAACTTAACATTCTGCCCAACGATGAAAGTAACTTGCCGGGCAACAACACCAGCGGAAGCACGCCCAGCAGTACTCCATCTTCGTCGTCGAGTGCCACCACGGCCGCTAGCTCGCCTACAAACACCAACGCCGCCTCAAAGGTGGACGACATGAGATTCGGATCTCTTATCTTGGGTGCATTGACTGCTGGTATAGTGATGCAGTTGTGATTGAAGAATGAGCGGGAGAGGTGATGGAATGCGTGTCATACGTCGATTGTGTTTCGAATCCAGGCTTCATGCGCTGCATCTTCACAAAGAACCGGAGGCATAGTTCACGTTCTTTTCATGGACATATTTGCAATTGGCTTTGCAGGTCGAAGTCTAAAGAACCATCCGACGTGCTAATAATGATGATTAGATGAAATCAGAAGAACTTTTGTTACCAGGCAAAAGCTTTTCCACTGAAATCGAACAGGTTCTTGGGAGCTGGCGCCAGTCACACCAGTAACCCAGCCAGTGGCAGAGTTTTCTCCCCAGCTTGACAAGCCTCAAGCCTCGTCGTGTGTTGTGGCGCATACATTTCCCCTTTGGGTTTGTTGGTCGGGTGAAAATTCTTGAATCCAGCTCGCCAGCCAGATCGAAAAATGAGGTGGTGGTGATCGAACCAATGGTGTCACACGATCGTCACTCGCCAAGAGCTGAATGGGGCTGCTATTAGGTCATATCTGTGGCGCAGCAGGGATCCCAGCCAATCAGATTCCCTCTGTAGCGCCTCTTTTCCCTGCCCTGCATCTGGCAAAGTTGCAATGGTGATGCACAGCTGGTGATCGACGCCACCACGTCACCAGCCAACTTTCTCTGTCCATCTGTTGTTCCTCACGAAGGTCACAGACCAGGGTTGCACAGACGACCGTTGGCCCCTTGCGTAGAACTACAAGAGACCCTCGTGGCCCCCAACTCTTCTTTCGTGTTCTCGTTTTTCTTCATATCATTGTCCGGCCTCACGCGATACCCAACCCTCGATCAACACCCAAACACCATGGCTCTCGGCGGCACCGTCCTTCGCTTTGGCCAGACAGGCCTGCGACTCCTCGAGTTCGCGTCCTCGGCCATCATTCTCGGCATTTACAGCTACTTCCTGGCCGTGTTGGCCGACAAGAACATGTACATTCCACGATGGGAGAAGGCTGTTGAAGGCATGTCTGGAGCGGCAGTTCTGTACACCATCTTCGGCGTCCTCTTCACCCTCTGCTTGGGGGGCATCTCTGTCTTCGCACTACTTGCCGTCATTCTCGATATCTGCTTTGTTGGCTGCTTCGCCGCCATCGCCTACTATACACGTCACGGCGCCAACAAATGCAAGGGCTTTGTCAATACTCCTCTCGGTGTCGGTCTCTCCAGCGAAGACGCTCCCGGCGCGGGTGACTGGGGCTATGTCTGCAGCTTGAACACTGCATGCTTTGCCATGGCCGTCTTCAACATCTTCCTTTTCCTGATCACCGCTGGCATGCAAGTGCTGCTGGCTCGTCACCACAAGAAAGAGAAACGCTACGGACCCAGCCCCTCAAACAACTACACCAAGGGCATCGGCCGCCGACCATTCTGGAAGCGCAATCGTGCGACTCGATCTACACGAGATGCGGAAATGGCGACAGGAACTGTTCCCACAGGCGGTTATCGCCCCAGCCACGAGACTGGTATGACCGGATCGACGATGCATGGTAGCCATGCGCCTGTCACCTCTGAGCCCAAGTATGGTCAGCCAGGATACGGCATGCAAGGTTATTCCGCTCCAGCGACCAATTACTAGTCGGTGCGACTGAGCAAACCACGGAGTCATGATCGAAACTTCGTCTGGATATTTCCAGCTCATCACCAACAGAGACCAACCGTTCCACACCTGTTCCCTACGCCACTAATCTCTTGATAAGCATCCAGACAACTAGACAGGCGGCGGACAGATGAGATGGCTACAGATCGTCTACACCTTGTATCAACAGCGCTCATCACAAGTTTCAGGAGTGTGAGAGGGGGTACTCACAACGATGTCATGATAGAATCCTACCTAGGTATGCAGTTCAACTAGCTTATAGGCTAGGTAATAATGTCATACGAGAAAAAAATGGAAATGCTTAAATCTCATATTTGTCCACTGCCTTGTTGTCCCTTGTCCAAATTGCACTCGTGTGACAACCCTCCCCACAAGTCATTGCACTGGGTAAATTGCATCACAAACCCCCAGTTAGTGACGCCTTGATACGTCATGCAAGGGGTCAATCAACAATTTCCTGCGCACCAGTAACATCCCGCCAGTTCCACGGGGAGGTTTGATGTGTGGAGAACCACCAGGTCCAAAGGTTCAGACATGTCATGGCCTGCGCCACACCTCAAACGCTCTCCTCGTCCTCGTACCCTGCTCGTATCGCAAGAGGGTTTCTCTCGTTAAGATCTCGCGTCAGCGCGCATCGGTCCTCGCCTCTGCTCCCACCCTCCGTTGTCCGTCTCACAGGTACAACCGAGCCTCAGTTAGGACTCAGGCATGAAGCCCAATGCCCACTCAGATTGCTTATCAGGATGCACGAACACGTGGATGACTTAGCAGCAGGTGGGACTGGTCGAGCTCAACCTGTCTCCAATTCCATGAAGTGTCTGGGATTTGATAGCTGGAAGGTGAGCAAGATCGAGTCCGCTAGGTCATATAGCAAAGGAGGAAGTTGTCGAAGAAGCCAAGTACTCGATGGCAGGCGAAAACGGAGGGAGAGGGTGCCGTTTCGAGAAGAATTGGGGATCGTCTGCAACTTTGGATTCTATCAGTGGTTAGCAACCAGGCTACTGCTCGGTCTTCAGACTACTGCAATGCTTGAAATCCAATTCCAACGACCAACAAGTGAAAATCATGGCCCTGAGGTGGACTGCAGCGATCTGCTATCATGCAGCCAGCAGTCTTGCTGATACGAAAGCCTCAAGCTCGATGCCTTGAAGGTGGGTGATGAAACGAATGGCCAGGACGAATCCGCGACCCCTGCACGGAATCCGCGGGACACGTGATTCTCCCCGAAATATTTCCTGGCATCAATCCTGATTTCATTCCAACTTCTTCATTGCACAGTCGGGCCCAATGTATTGCACTTCTAATGACTCGAGAGCTCCCAGCTCCGAAGCAACAAGGCTCACATATCTTTCCCCGCAGTGTCGTCTATCCAAGATGGGTGCGAAATAGTCGTTCCTCTACCGGGCGTCATGCCATTGGGTGAAGCTGTCCGATTTCTATGCGTTCTGATGAATTTCCAACATGCCACTGACAAAGCATCGTCCTGGAGAAGTGGAAGCAGAGGCCAGCAATAGGCCTCCGCTGCGAGGAATCCAAACAGATGACTTGAGCCACTTCACGGGGGCCCATGGAGGCGAAGATCTGAGCCTGGAGGAACAGACTGCTGTCCTACAGGCAATGACGCTCGAGTCCCCTCCCGGGATCCAGTCACCTCAGTCTCTATCACCCTATCCATCTCCTGGAATTGTTCAGTCGCCTACGAGCCTTTCGACCGAATCCGGCTTTCAAACCCACGGTTCGGCATCCACGCCCACAACTCCTATCACGCCTCTTTCTCCACCAGCTCAGAATTCCTCTCCATCTCAGTCAAAATTTGTATCAGCCTTGCAAGATGTCCGACATTTTGCTGGTGGTCTGATCAATCATCCCTACGAGTCTACCAAGCACTACACGATCCTACGGCATTCCTTTGGGATAGTCTACTACAGCGGTTCGTCGACAAATTTGGCCATCACGATCTTCTCCGACCGAGAGCTAGCTCCAGATAGGACACTGTGGCTACAGCGAAGAGGCTTCTCCGGAAAGACGGGTTTGAAGATCGGGGGCATCCTGGGTGCCAGAAGCACCTGGATTGATGTGACCCCATCCACCAGAGCGACGCCGGAGCAAGTCAACCCCACCGACGAACGCGCCTGGCAGAGAGACATCAAGAAGTTTTTGAAGAAAGCTCCGAAAGAACTTCGATCTCATCGACCACGCGAGACGGACATCCTCCGAATCCCGTGTGATGCCGACGATGGCTATCTGAGGGTGGTCCTGTGCTCTGCCGATGGAAAGCGGACATTGTGCGGTAGCCCAGTGTTCAGACTAGCATCCTTCTCAACAGACTCTAGCGTGATCAGAGGCTCATCCCTCAAGAGCATGCCACTCGAAGCAGGCATCAAGCTAGCAAATGTTGTTGGAAAACAATTCATCACCGCTACTGCTGGCCCCTACGTCCAAACTGCCAGACAGACAGTCACTAATCAGCTGACATCAGTCTATCAACCAAGTGCTTTGGCTCAGCAGGCATTCACTACCGCGTATGATGAGAGTGGAATTCCAAATCGCTTTGACAACATGAATGAGCAGTATTACACTGCTCGAGATGAGTCTTATAGTCGGACCGACCTGGATGGGTACGATGCATTGGCCCGCCCAAACGTTGTCGGCCCAGCGACCGGCCCAGTCCCGCCATTTCCGGTACGGTTCCATGGAAAGGTGGTTGCCGGCACCGGCAGGAGTAGAGCCGTCTTGAACATGCCGACAGCCAACTTGACAGGCATTCCCGAGGACGTTCTTTTGCGGTATAAAGGCGTATTCTTTGGGTGGGCTGCAGTGAACTTGCCCAGCAAGCTTGCGGCGGAAAAAGATATCTCAGATGAATGGCGTCAAGCAATCATTTTCATCTCGCCAGACCCTTATGGAAGGAGGACTGTGGTAGAGAAGAACACTGCCCGTGTGTACCTGATTCATGATTTCCAATCGGTCGACTTCGTTGACGCCAAAGTGTCTGTGCTGGTGATGGGTTATCTGCGAGCTCTAGAGCCCGGGTCAGACAAGGAGCTGCATGTTGAAGCACAGCTGTTTGATTTCTACAAAGACGTCGCCATTACGAATGCAAGTTTGGCTCGACCCGCCTGGGCAGCAGATGCCACATTAGAGCGCGTCAAGTCAGCATCCTCCAATCGATCTTTGACGGAACGCTATGTTGATTTCAGGCAGAGCACACAGAGGCAAATCGACCGGGTCCCTGTTCACCGGTTAGGGGTCCGGACAGAGGGAGCAACTCTGAAGGACAGATTGATTGGAAATGGCGGAGTGTGGATTCCAAGATCACCTCTAACGCATAACGCTACTTCTTGACCGGTCCGATTCAGCTCCTTGCCTGACCAGCGAAGAAAGGACGTGCCCCTTCATGAATTCTCAAAGCACAACAGTTTGCTACAATCTGCTGTTGGCATGTCCAGCAAGATCCAACCCGGAAGTCGTCAGTCACGACTCCGGCCGCTCCGCGTTAGGAATCCCAGCACAAGAAGCATGACCTTGTAAATGAGCAACTTGACTCCTGTCGCATGCAAACAGTCAATGGCCCAATGCGAGGATTTCAAAACCCTGCTGGCTCGAGGCACGGCCACTTTGTCATAGGCCGTGACGGCTTCTTCGAGGGTGGAAGCTTTGTTGAGTGAGTTTGCGAGGTCCCAGGCATCCATTATTGCCATATTGGCACCGTTGCCTGCGAAAGGACTAACTGCGTGGTTTGCGTCTCCGATCCATATCACGGGCGCATGCCCCACTGACTGGTGTGGGAAAGGGGGTCGATCCATTGCATTGAACTGCATGATCGTGCTTGGATCCGTCGCGGAAATGAGACTCTTCACCAGAGGAGCAAAGTTTGCTGCCAGCTCCATTGATTCTTCCAGCAATTCGTCGAGGCGCTCTTGAGGAATGGGGTATTTCAATGACTCCTTCATCACGGGACTCGGACGACTGAAGGCCCAGAGCGCGGATTTGTCGTCTACGGGAGAGACAAAAAGCCCAACTCCCTTTGCACCCAACACACCGCCCCAATCACGATCCAGGGGCTTCGGGATGTCATCGTGACTGGCAAACTTGGCGATGCCGGACCAGAGATAAACGCCAGCATAGTTGAGGCCGTCGTTTGGTCTCAACAGCGATCGCAACTTGCTTCGAGACCCATCAGCGGCCAGGAGAATGTCACCCACCGTGGTCAAGCCAGTGCTGAGGTTCACTCGAACTCGGCCGTCTTCGGTCGGCTCTGCCCCCATCACAGCCGTTTCCCATTGGATTTGGGCCCCCGATGCTATAGCCGCCTCCGCAAGGACTCGCTGCAAAGCATTGCGGCGAATTCTCATGCCGACCAGTTTTTTGGGTCCGACTGGCTGTATTACGAAGCGCAAAAAGGGGCGAAACTGAGGATCCCAGAGGTTGAAAGAGCCCCTTGCTTCAGGAAGGCCTTCAGAGTTGACACTCACGCTCCTGACAAGCTCGTACAGCCCTAGGGAATCCAAGACCTGGACGGCCCCGGGATTGTTGTCTGTTCTCAAGGATAGGGTATAGCCTTCCCGTCCGATGCGGTCCTCATAGCTATCTCGCTCGTATATGATGATTTGAGGCCTTGCTGGTGACAGAGATTCTTCAGGGAATAATTTCGCGATCGCAACAGCGAACGTCAGTCCAGCTATGCCACCACCGGACACGAGAATGGTTTTGCCGGCCAGCAAATCTGACGAGCCTTTCGAGGGCATCGGAGACGTTGTCTAGGGTGAACAAGCAAGAATAAGGAAGTGTTTCTCCAACCTATGTGCATAACCCCGAAGGTGGATTTTCGTCGTGCCGGAGGTAATGACTTGGTTCTTATATATTGTTCCTTCCGTACCCAAGTGCATGCAAAAGCTGTCGCCTTGGGACTAGGCTCAGGCAGAAAGATTCTTGTGGATGGATGCAGCGGATTGCTTCGCAGACAGCCAGTCAGGACCCTGGATTTTTTGTAATCCCAACACTATGCCGCCCTCTGGAGCAAACAGTCCTCCAATCCTACTCGCGAATACTATATAACCTTGTCGGTGTGACGACGATATTGGTGCCAAAGAAGGGACTGACCTCTTGCAAAGCGAATACGATGTACTCGGTCAACCTGCCCTTGCAAGCTGCTTCGGTCGGTCCTTGAAGCTTTCCCCAGACTCGAAGATCCCGACGAACCTCTCCATCTTTTGCCCCTCATTTCGGGATTTCCTAATGAAGGATCCCATGGAGGCGAAAAAAGATGAGCAGTGGGGAGCAGAACAGGGGACGGTGCCTTCGGAGACAAATGAGATGAATGAGCTGTGGTCTTACAACAGGGGGGCACTGAGCGGGGACAAATGAATGCAGGCAATGGGCTGTCCTTCGCTGTCACCGTCGCGGGATTCCACATGCGATTGAATACCTCGATGGTGGATTCGTTTCGGTCGAAAGCAGAGCGGAGTTCCCGCTTTGATGGGATGACGACTGTTGGAGAGCTGCTCGTCTGATGATTCTTTTTGCTTTGTTTCCCTCCTTCTTACTTCCCCTCTCCTATACAAGGAGCCAATCCTGCTATTGCTCGAAGTCTTTCTCAAAACTTAACAATCACACTCTCTCTGCAATTCTTTCCAAGACCTCCCACCATGTCGCAAATGAATGCAGTCCGTTTCTACGGCCAGCGCGACATCCGTCTCGACCAGATTCCCGTCCCTTCCGTCAAGCCCGGCCAGGTCAAGATCGCCCCAAAGTTCTGCGGCATCTGCGGCTCTGATCTGCACGAGTATCTCGGCGGCGCGAACCTGATCCCTCAGGAAGGCCACCCGCACCCCATCACGGGCGAAACCCTGCCCCTGACGCTGGGCCACGAATTCAGCGGCGTGGTGGAGGAGGTGGGCGAGGGCGTCAAGAATGTCAAGCCTGGTGACCGCGTCTGCGTGCAACCCACCATCTACGACGGCAGCTGTCGCGCCTGCAAACGAGGACTGGTGAATTGCTGCGACAAGAACGGCTTCGTGGGGCTGAGTGGGTGGGGTGGCGGACTGTGCGAACACATGGTCGTGCCTGAGAGTTGTGTCAAGCCGTTGCCGGACAATATACCCTTGGAAGTCGGCGCCTTGATCGAGCCGCTGGCGGTGGGTTGGCACGCGGTCGACATATCCCCTTACAAGGACGGCGATGCGGCTCTCGTGCTTGGTGGAGGCCCCATCGGTCTCGCGGTCGTGCAGGCCCTGGTGGGTAGAGGGTGCAAAAACATCATCGTCAGCGAAGTCAGCGGCCGGAGGAGAGAATTTGCGAAGCAGTTTGGCGCACACCACGTCATTGATCCGGTCAAAGTGGACGTCGTCGAAGAAGTTGAGAAGTTGACGAACGGCGAGGGCGCTGATGTCGGATTCGACGCCGCCGGCGTGCAGGTCGCGGTGGATACGGCATTCAAAGCCATCAAGGCGAGAGGGACGTTGGTCAATATCGCCGTGTGGGAGAAGAGGGCGACGCTGCAGATGAATGATATCGTGTTCAGGGAGAGGGGGTACATGGGAGTGTAAGTGCGCGCCAAAATAGGCGAAGAGTGGACTGGCCGTCTGAATGGCTGACTGACCGTGAACTACAGAGCAACATACTCCCTCGGCGACTTTGAAGCCGTCATCAAAGCCATTTCAACCGGTAAGCTCTGTGCTCTCACAATCTCTTCCAAAGCCACCCATCCATGCATGCATCGCAAGAACAGAAAAAGAAAAAAGATTCCTCTCTCGTCCCCCTCCGTGAATAACACCATCACTTTCATGACCGTCAAGAAATTTCTACTCGTCACCTCTCCTGCGAAAGCTTTTCCTCTCCTTGCAAAAAAGTGCACATCTCCCCAAACTAACGTGATGGGTTGTGTTAGGCGCCATGAAACCCGCCGGCATGATCACCAAGACGATCAAGCTCGACCAGGTCGCCGAGGAAGGATTCAAGACGCTGATCGAGGACAAGGAGAACCACGTCAAGATCCTTGTCGATGTCGGCGCGGGTATATAGGGAGGTTGGTTGGTTGACACTGGTGGATTGTGACCAAGGGAGATGGGTAGGCAGGCGGGTAGCGCAATGGTGATGCCGGGTAAAGGGTATGCGGACTCTTGGAAGTGAAGAACAAGAGTGGGTGGTGGTGAGGAGAATAGGAGCGGGAAGAGGGTGTGGAACTATGGGATAGGACAGGGGATCAGGGGATTGTTGGACTTGAAAGAAGCATGTGGAAGAACCATAAGGGAGGGCGATGACGAGAGCTTTCTTGAGTATCATTTCAGCAAGCTCAATTGCGAGCCAAGACACGATGCAAGTCGAGGCTGTGAGGCTACGCTTTCTCTCGCGACAGGTCTGCTCTGATCCGATTCGATCCAAGCCAGGTGAGATATAAGCAAGACTACGAGAGACGAGGCGATATGGAGAAAACGAAAGTCCTCGGAGAAGAGAATAAAAAGCCCCTTTTTATTAACAAGAATCATGGACGTGACTGCTACCCCTTTTCCTTTCCTTTTTGCGATCCATTCATGAATCCATTCATCCATTCATCCATTCATCCATTCATCCATTCATCCATCTGGACCCTGGCGTCTAAGTCTATCCAAGCCTATCGATCTATCGATCTGGTATCGTCCTCATCTTCCTGTTCGTCGTCCTCGTAATCAATGGTATTAATAAGTCATAGTGGTAAAACGGGATGCATGGCGTTGCATCGCGCAATATGGGTGGGTGGTGGTACACTGTGGAAGAAAAACAAGGTCATCTAGCCTCCAATGCGTAGGAGCGTTTAGACCTGCTCCGCGACAAGCAGCTGGCTTCCGCGCTCCGGGCTGGGCATGCGCGAGTGCTGAGCAGTCGACTGCCCGCTGTGAGTGCCGGCCTGGCTGTGGCTCTGGCCCTGGTACGAGTGGCGCCAGCCGCTGAGGCGCGAGTCGCTGACCAGCGTGTGCTCGGTGATGAGTTCCTTGTTGATCTCAAAATGCTTGACAAAGAGGCCAACCACAAGAGCCACACCCGCCAGGGCGGTCAGGAAGCCGAAAACGCCGTGGAAACCGGCGATATACGCGCTGATGGCGGCGGCGCGTTGTGGGGAGTCGGCGGGCATTTGCTTGAGGATCTCCAAGTAGGCTTCGGCTTGCAGGGCGATGTCGGTGGGCAAGCCCAAAGACGCGAGCTTGGACTTCATGACGTTCTGGAATACAGATCCTCCGACGCCGACGCCGACGGCCATGCCGAAGCTGCGCAGGAACGCGTACATGCCGACCGCTCGCCCTTCGTCGCCGGGCTTGCACGCTGCTTGTGATGCCGTGTTCAGCGCATTGAGGTTCAGCCCGTGCCCGAACCCGAGGATCACCATCTCCACCGCCCACACGGCAGTGTGAGTGCCCCGGTTCCACGAGATGCTCAAGCCCGTGCCCAGCGTCGCCAGGATCCAGCCGGTGGTAATAGCCCACCGGAACTTGGCAGTCCGCGTGATGACAGCGCCGACGATGACAGAGGCCGGGACCAGGGTCACCAGTACGGGCAGGAGGGAGACGCCGGTGCGGATGGGAGAATAGAGTTTGGCAGATTCGAAGAAGAAGGGGATGTAGTAGAGCTGTGCGTAAAGCTGGACGGAAAAGGGCTGTTAGCGAGTGCATACGTCATGCAGGTGAGGGAGTTCTGAGGAGAGACTTACAATGAGGCCTTGGGCGAAAGCGCCAAAGTAGATGGCATGGGCCGACCACACGTGGAATAGCGAATGTCTCAAGAATGCAGTCTCTTTGGCGCCAAATCGTTCCCATATCATGGTGGCCACCAGACCAGCCAGGCCGACCAACAAGGGCACCAGGGTTCTCCAGTGATCCCAAGCATATGTTGTGCCGCCCCACGAGATGGCGATGAGGAAGCTGGTTGCGGAAGAGATGAAGAGGACCCCGCCGATCCAATCGACACGGCCCAGCATCTCCTTCAGGGTGGCCTCGGGACGCCTGAGCCGCACGAAGAGCGGCACAAAGACCAACCCCACACCACAAAATGGCAACATCATAGAGAAGACCCAACGCCAGCGAGTCGGGCTGGCGAAGGCGCCGCCGATGATAGGTCCAATGACGCTTCCCAAGGCCCATGCTCCTTGACTAGTAAGTCAATCGACGTCAGTAAACGAGATCAACGCCAGATGAGCTTGCTAAGTTGCTCAGGGAGGCATGAGCTGGTATGCAGAGGAACTTACAGGACGCCAACGTATTTTGGGCGGAATCGCAAAGGGACAATGTCCGAAAAGATGACGAGGGAGATGATAATGACGCCACCGCCGCCGACGCCCTGCAGGCAACGGCCAACGAGCATGATGCCGATGCTGTGGGCGGTGGCACAAAGAATGGTGCCGACGGTGAAACTCAACAAGACAGTGAAGAGGGTCTGAGGACGTCCAACAATATCACTGATGGAGGCTGTGAATGGCATCGTCACCGCCACGACAAGGAGATAGGAAGTACCTATCCAAAACCCTTGGGTGGATGTGGCATTCAGGGCCTGGACGATTGTCTGTGCCAGAAGTTAGACGCGTTCTTGGGTGGTTGTTGTCAAGCGCGAAGAGGTACGTACCGACAGGGCAGTGACAATAACAGTGGCGTCGAGGCTGACCATCAAGGAGATGATGGCCAAGGTCACCATGACCAGAGCTTCTGTTCTCGATGGCTTCCATTTCGGAGGAGTCTCCTTGATGAGGCCGACTCTCTCTTTAGCCTCCTGCTCTTGTTGGATCATGATGGACTGTGTCGTATCGGTGGGAGAGGGTGTTTCTTTGGGTTCAGACTGCGGGCTGCGCGATGAAGGAGTAAGAGGCTTGGGACTGCGGCTTGTGGCGAGCATCGTGAAAGAGTTTGTCGGGCATATAAGTTGGTTCTCTGGTCGGTGGTGCTCACGGGTGATAATGGCAGGATACCATAACTGTCACTGGAGCATAAGCACCAAGAAAGCATCGTGGAGGTACCTGCACTGCCGGCAAACATGTCTATAAACAAAAGTAGCATTCTGCCGTTTCCTCACATGGTCAGGCAGTGAATTGGGAATGAGAGTGATCTTCAGTGATTGGCGCATTGAGGGAGGCCCAATATGTCGACGCCCTGATACTCGCCCGTACGCTTACCTGCCCATTTCCCACTTCCCAGTTCGGTATCTTGTTTAACTTCTGGTCTTTGGGGTTGTGCCGTTGGTCTCCATGTGATGGCCATGTGCTGATACGCCATGGGGCATGCGCTGTTCCTCATTCAGATGCATTACGCGAGCTGACACTCGTTTCCCGCACATCATCTAGCCCACATTGGTGGCCGGCTTTTAAGCTTGAATAAGCCATAGTGATGCGGCTAGAGTCGACGAGGTTAGATAACGGAGCTGCCGTGGGCCAACGAGACTCAGCCGCCGCGAGAGAATTGGGACTGCTGCTCGGGCTGGGTCGATGGGCCAAGCAAGATGACCGAGCACCGTCCACACGCCGCCGGCCAACTTTGTGTTGGACGATTGTCGTGTAATCCCTTCGATATCCGCGCTGTATCAGCCTCGTCCAGTCCCGTGTCGTGGTCTCGAATCGCCTGTATACCAGACGCCTCGCGTGGTCGCAGATGGAGGTATGGCTCGTCGCTTGCTGCCCAAGAAGCCCCAAAGCGTCTAGATCGTGCTCTTTAATACACCCGTCAATTTCCACCGCGTTTACCCTCGCTTTGGCCTGTATTCGCGGTAATTTGCCGTTGTATAATTCCCATGTCCCCGACCCCCAAATTCCAAAGATGGGGACTATATCGTTCCTTCCTCACCCCTGATATTTTCATCCCTTGATTTTGGACCCAGGGACTTGTGATAGACACATCACCATTTTCCTAAGATCAAATCCCAATTCTATCTCCACAGGTGGTCCCCGCTCAGCCTCGCTGGGACCGTGTGTCTACTTGGTACTCGTACTTCGTACTCCATAGTAAGACCGCGGCGATTTTGTGGATGCTTGCTCCGTGACTGGACCACGAGCCGTGTCGGCCTAATCGGTCAAGACAACGAATCCTTCCGCGGGTCCGAATGGATTCTCCTAACAGATCGACATCGCACTCGAGTTCGCCATACGACTCCACGTCGCCTTCAAGCGATTCCTTCTCACTTCAGAACGATCCTCAACCACTATCCCCCAATAACCAGAAAAACACGGACCACTCCACCACGTCACTCGCGAGAGTACTTGCAGAGAGAGCTGATGTCCTCCCCTTGTGCATGTTTGGTGGACTGGTCGACGCTTCAAGCAACTTGACGGCCCAGCAGAAAGAGAAACAGAAGCTCACCTGGATCAAAGTCGAGCCTGGGGCAAAGTGAGTCAGCCGGAGGTCAAGACACCAACTCTCCTCCGCTCCACAAGAAAGTCTCAAATTGCAGCGCTGCAGGTCTCAAGGTCTTTCGCGATGTGCTGCAAAGGATGATCCTGACTGGGCACAAACGCGAGGCAAAGAGCAGCAAAAACAACACATCAGGGCCCATGAACGCAGAACCAGCTTCCGCATCAGAGCGGTAGGTCGGGCGTGTACAACTTGTCACCACAATACTTAGCAGTACGTCGTCGCATGTTGTTCCAGACTTGGGGCGTCGATGCACGATGATTCATGGCAACTTGAGGCGATGATCAAGTAGTGAGGGTGTCACCAATGATTATAGATTGTTGTATCCACCATAGTCACAAGTACAATATGCACTTGTGGTCTTCCTGACGGCCTTTCAGGGTTGCGGAGCAAAGGCCTTCCAAGCTTGCCGCCCCTATCGTCCGGTCGTCGAACTCTGACCTGTCGGCCGTAATTGTCGCGTGTGATGAGGCGGGGGAAGATTGCACTCATCTCTGGAACACGAGGGTGGTCTGTCGCGCTGACATTCTTTTTGCAGCTGTGTGAGAGCGACACACCTGCCCAATGTGTGCTTCTGGTCCAGGGTCTCCAGCGTCGTGATCCCTCACAGCCAACTGACCGAATAACCGTGGCCATAGTAAGCAATAAGAGATCTATTGGATGCTTGAGCCATTGGCACCCTTGAAGGCCGAAAACCCCTCGAGGTCCACAGACTCCAGAGGACCATAACTTGCCCAAGTTTAACTCCTAGGCGACGCCGCAGAACTTGAGAGAAGTGATTCTGGAGCGACTCGGCAGCATCTCGCATGTCGGACGAGATCTCGCGAACCATGCGTAGAGACTAGTGTAAGGTCACGTCAGACGAGCCGCCAGACCTCCTTCAGAACCAAGTGCCACAGTCTGACACGGAACAAACGCCGTGGTAGAATGAAGCTAGTGGTTCATCAGCGACAAGGCGGCCGCCAGATCAGATCAGCGGATGCTGTCACTGAGGATAGGGATACCACTGCGTCCAAGGGTAGACCGAAACCTTTTTCTTGTCAGACATTGCCACTTTCAAGCTGGCTGGCCGCGTAGGATCGTTCTTTCGGTGAATTCGAGGTTTCCTGGTAATCACTCCGTCTCGCAGTATGCGGCCTGAGCGTCTTGTCGAGAAGCGAGGATTGCCATTTTCGCATGTACAATGTGCCCAAGTCAAACAAAGCCACATATCTAAAATAGGGAATCGTGGGAATCTCAAAGTTCGCGGAATTTGGTCCAGGATTCCAGGCCAACCACATGGCGTCACTTTCGGGCCGGCGGCGGTGGAGCCGCAGCCGAGCGAGCGACGAAACAAGGATCGTGGCTTGCGGCGGTAGCCATGGAAGTCATCATCGTAATCATCATTGTGGAAGTGCGGGATCTCATTCTGCCCATTAAGGTTTGCGATTGTTGCATCTGACTTCTTGACGTTTCATTTCGAAGCCTGGCTGACACGGACACATCACAGGGCGCAGACAAGCCTTATCTTTCATGCTGCCGCGGAAGCGAAACATGACTGAAGCGATCGTCTGGTGCGTACGAGGAAAGGGGAGCCCTGAAGCGCTGTTTGACCTTGGGGAACCCCAGGCTTCGGAAGTGCTCCATTGATCCGTTAATTGACGACAGCGACTATGAGGTGAATATCTGTCTATGCTGGTCGGCACCAAAATAAGCTGCAATCCTTATCGACGTGAGCGGTAGGAATAGCTCCTCTCCTGTCGTGAGGCCTATCCCATTCATCACAACTGAAGCTCTTTCTGGTGAACCCTCCATGCGTGAGCATCTTCCTTTTCCGGGCCTGAGACTCTCATCGGCACTCGGTGGTTGCATCGCATTCTGATCGGCTCTAGTCAGCTCGGTTGCTCAAAGTATATTCGAGCTTGCCAAATCTGACTGACTAGCCCAAGGCTCACGGCATAGGGGCAAGAAAGTATTTGAATACTTCCGAAGCTAGCATGCAACTCGTAGTGAGCCTGTCCAAGAGACTGACTCGGAGGTCGTTTTGAGGCCCGAGCTGAGACACCGGGCGCGTCGTTCTCCTTTGATATTTGATCAAAGCTCTAGCAGGTCGGTAAGATTGGGAAAGGTGCTTCTCCTATAGGCAATATTTGCTGGGGCCAGCGGCTTCTGTCTCACCAGGGCCAAATCTTCCACTGTTCTGGATAGCCCATAGTGGGTCAATTCACCTAGCGTCATCGTGCTTAGATTTTGCTTGCTCGAGTCGCTTCAATTCGTCGCGGAGAAGCTGCTCCAGCCCTTCGTTTCGCCGTGCAAGCAGCATGACATCGTCCGTTTTGATCGTAGATCTCCCTGCATGTTTGGCGAATGCTTCGAGATCGATAGCGGCATTTCCTGAGAGATGGTTGTATGTCAGCTGGACAACCTCATTTCCATCACGCAGCCGGATGCATGAAATCTTATCGTACCGATCTGTGCCCATACCAGTTCCATCAGACTGCCGATGAATTGCGGCGTTGCGTTGACCCCTAGATTGATACTCTCTTCATCGACCATCTTTCCAATCTGGAACCATAGCGCAGAGCGGAGTTTCTAACGAGGTTCTACAGTGTTAGCAGCGGACATCGAATCCTGGCTGTCTCCCGCTGATGCGATGGGAAGACTTGGATCCCTCACCTTCTGCAGGGATTCCGCCTCTGCGTCTGTCGACGACGCCATGAACAATAGATGGACGACAAAAGGGTCAAGTGCAGGTGTGTTCTTCGAAGTTGTCCCGACGAGTATGCACTTTAAGCATGCCTTGTGGCCGGATCAAATTGCGTGACAGGAAGACGTCGTGTAAGAGTGGACGCGACAAGTCAACCACGCGTGGAGCGCGTGGCGCGTAAGGAAGGCACTAGGGTCGACTATATGTTCAGAAAATGCAGTACGTCAGAGCAGAACGAAAATATCTGACATATTCGAGGTAAACGACGGAGAATCTTATTTCATCTCCTATTTCAACCACTCCCCGGTTTCAGCCGCCTTTCTCTCAGGTACTCATAGTCTGGCATTGCATCCTCGACCCACGAACGAAGCTTTTCAGCTTCCTCTTCTCCGAATTCGTCCTTCCATTTTTGTGCTTCGCGCTCGATATCTAATCCGACCGCGGTCTTCCCCTCCTTGATCAGACCAGTGGAGGACAACAGGCTCGACTTCATCCTTCTTTCAAAGGCATGCAAGCTTTGCTGCTCCTCGGCGGTGGCAGACTCCCATTCGAATTGACATCTATCTGGATCCAAACCTACAATCTGACAATATCTTTTCATGACGCTTGGGTGAAGAATGACATCGTCCGCGTCTAGGATGATCGGCCACGGCGAGCCAGATATCCTATCATCCCCCGAAGCCCCTCGAGCGTGTGTTCCATCATTAACTTGCCTGTTGTACCACTCCCACATGTTTCGGCTCCATCTCCAGGTCATCTCCATTCGGAAACTCCCATCCGCATTTTTTCTGGCTTGTTCAGGGCCTTCGAGGTCGACACAGGTTCGGTAAAGTGACGGAAACACCAACGCAGGGTGTCGAATCAAGAACGTAGGTATACATTTCGTCAATAATGAATCAGGTAGCACCGTCTGGTTTTGTATCTGTCCGCCCCCGGCGGCCGGTACTCCTCGTTTTCCCAAATTTTCTGCTTCAGGTGAGAGCATCCACATGAGGTGTTCTTTGACATAAACACTCTTCCCTTCGGCTTCTGCTGCTGCCACGCAATCGACGAGGGTTCGGAGACAGTTAGAGAGACAGCGGTTCATGTCTGCTCGTTCTTGCTCAGTCCAATCTTCGGAGCTACGATCAGCCAGTTCGAGCCGACGAGAAACGGACGGCAGGAAAAAGTATCCGTTCATGTCGGACTTGAAGGCTGGTTGATTGTCCAAGTTTAGGATTCGGGTTACAAGGTTTGAGGCAGTTCGAGGGTGCGTTAGGAGGAATACCATGTTGGTGCGCCGCTGATCTGGGGTCGCGTCCATCCTCTGTGTTGTGGTCTTCTCACTGACATATGCTTTTTACAATGTGTTGGTTTGGACGTCGTCTTTGTGCGCCGAAGCTCGTTAACGATGGTGTATATGATCCCACTTGTATCCTGTTGGCGCCTAATTGAAGTGGACACGAGGGGTGAATCTGGTCGCTGGGTGTTCCAGTGACGCCACGATGAGCATATGATTCGACGGACCTCCCTCTCTCTTGCGTGTACGGCGAAGTGTTTGACTCCGTAGATAAGCGGAGTTGCCCAATCTTCTCCCCTCCACCTCCAATCACTCTCTATCAGAATATGAAATACAAGCTCTCAATTTCAGTATCCAGATAGTCCTAACCCGAAGCTCCTCCCATCTACACTCCAACCACCTCCAATCCACATTTCCCAACCCATTGACAAAACCCCCAATCCAGAAGGAATTAAAAGAAAAATGAACTTCTCCCTCCCCGACATCCCCGGCCTTCTCGAACCCTACCTCCCCCCGGCCCTCCAAGCCTACTTGACGCGCCAGAACCTGCAGACCCTGCTGCGCGTCATCGTCGCGTTGTCGACGTACATCCTCTTCCGGCCGCACCTGGAGTCCCTGTTCCGCAAGATGACGGGCACGCCGGATAGGAGGGAGGAGGAGGCGCGGGCGCGGATGGAGTTTCTTCGGCGGCAGCAGCAGCAGCAGCAGCAACAACCGCAAACGGGTGGACAGGGAGGTAATAGGAGTATGGGGATTGTGGGGAAGGATGGGAAGGTGTATCAGGTTGTGTCGCCGGCGCAGCAGCAGCAGGGAGCAGGGGGGAAGAATGCGAAAGGTGGGAAGAAGAAGGATGGGAGGAGGAAGGCCTAAGAAGACAAAGATATTTGTTGGATCTTCCCTCGGGGATGGATACATTTGCTGCTGCTGCAAAAGAGGTGAAATGGGCAATGCTTCTATCGAGCGGCACAGGAAGAGAATCGCATGGTATATCTTTCAACCGGTCAATATGGGAATATGATACATCAACGAACCGCCGTCCTGGGTGGATCGAAGGAAATGGTATGTCTCTCTTTGCGCCAAAGCACCGAAGCTGTGGCGGCGAAGACGGGTCTAGTGCTAGGACGAGAACGATAGGCACGAAGGGTGGACAAAACCTGCATCTGCATCGACGAGCACAAATGGATTGCGAAACTTCAAAGCATCGAATCTATCCTTTTTAACCTTTTCAAATCGACTGTCCATCTCAAGGGCCTTGATGCCAGAACCTGCGCAGAAATCACAACCTTCCTCTGGCCAAAAACCTCGTGGGCACATCGACGTACCGCGCCCTCAAGAACTCGGCGCAATTCTTGCCCAAAAAGTCCACGGTGCTCGTACTGGTGGCGCCTCGATCCAGGAGGTTGCGGAACAAGAAATGCACGCCTCTCAGGTTCGGCAGTTCGAACCGGTCGATCTCAAGCTTGGGGACTCTCGTCTCATCCCATTCTTTGCCCAAGAGGAGTTTGATGGTCGAGACGGACAACAGGTTCTTCAGCCACACGTATTCGTCCTCGCGCGCGACCCAGAAGCCGCAGTTGCAGTCGGAGCCTTTGTCGCCGGAGCGGGCATTCACGATAGATCCCAGAGGAGCGCGTTCTGTCGGCCCGAATTTGGACAGGTCGACCTGGAGTTGCGTTACCGGCTGACTGGGTTGCCTCTCCGCAAAGACCTTTGTGACCGTCGGTGGCGGGACGAGGGTTTCTCGACCGTTGAAATGCACCTTATGCGACACCTTGGCCTGATCCAATAGGGTGACATAATATTCAAAGTATGGTTTCGGGACGCCCAGACGGAAATCCAGATGGAACGTGGAACCAGGATATCCTTGCATGATATTGTCGATTATCGGTCTGAGGAATTTCCCGGTGGAAATGTCGCTCGCTTCCTTCCCCTGCACGAAGATTCGAAATATGCAAGTCGCGGCATTTTGGTTGTCCGCGTCCACGCCAGGCGTTCCCAGGACGCTAAATGACAGCGTCGTAAACTTGTCCGAGTGCTTCTTGAGACTGTGCCGCAGTTGTGCTTCGGTCATACGGGCCTTTTCGGCGACGCCCAGCCCGGTCATGTAGTACGACACCTCAGCCTGGAATCCGCCGCGGGCGGTAATGCCGACTTTTGTCGTCGGCGGTGGCGGGAGGGCTTTGACGCCGTGCAATGCGACGCGGTCGGGTCCCAGCTGTTCGAACCAGAGTTGGTCCAGCACGGCGGTGACGTCGCTGTTGAAGTACCAGGGTCCCTGGATCTCGTACAGTAACTGCGAGGAGCAAGTGTGCACCGTCACCGTCCCGCCCGAGTTCTTCTGCTTCGTGATAACGACTTTCCCATCTTGAGAAATCTCGGCAATGGGGAACCCAATGTCGACCCACCGGCCACCAGCCTCGAGGCTCTTGAACCCCGTGAAATTGCCGCCCGTGACATAGGTCGAGCACTCGATGAGATGGCCCGCGACGAAGGCGTTGGCCAACTGATCCAGATTCTCCCTTTGCCAGTGGTGAAACCACACCGCCGCGCCAATGACGGGCGACGCATCAGCGACGCGGCCACAAATCACGATCTGAGCGCCCTGGCGAAACGCCTCGGCAATGCCCATGCCGCCCAGATACGCGTGCGCGTAGATGGGCTCAAACTCCCAGCTCTCCAGCACCTGGCCGGTATAAATATTCTTGAACCTGGAGGTCCCGTTCTTCAATCCGTCATTGATGGCCGGCAAGACCTCATCCCCCGAGATCCACGCGACCTTGATCTTATTTTCCAATCCCTTCTTCCGTATCATCTCGACCACAATCCTATAAAGACCTTGGACGTCCGCATTTCCAGCGTTGGCGGCTACTTTGATCCCGTACCTCCCAAGGTCTTCCAGCGCGGGCTCCAGGGCCTCAAGGAACGAGGCTTCGAATGCGGGACCAGCGCTGGACAAGAGATTGCTCGTGTCGTCCCCAGTCGACTGGGCCGAGTCTATTTTCCTAGCCGCCCCGATCGTCATGTTCACCTCGGACATGTAATCTGAGATGATGACGTCGACGGGATCCGTGGCGTAGGCACGAGCAAATGCGGCCATGGCATGGCGCCGGTCTGAGGCGGAGCCGGACGCGCCTGTTCGATGAGGGCAGAGAAATGTTAGAAGGTCAAGACTCAATGGTTCCGCGCACAGTAGGACCCAGACTCGGAAAAGGGGCAGAAGGGATTGGACTTGCCTGCTATGCGGATTGGTCTAGAGGACATATTTGAAGCGCTGAACAGCGATTATGATGTTTTCTCGAAGGATATCGAGATATACAAAGCTCTGAGGCTTTCGTAGAACAGAGGAATTCCGACGGTTATGGCCCTTGCGGTGCGGGGAACAAGGTCTACGTATTCGGTACCTGGGTCAACGCGAGGTGTTCTCTGTCAAACCAAAGCCAGGGTCCTCATGAGGAGGATGAACAGTATAGCGTGCACTCACCGAAGCTCATTCGGCTTCGATATCAGAGCAGTTACATCTCGCTCCTGGTTGAGTTATACTTGCTGCTCGTATTTGGGACGATTGAGCGACGTCGAGTTGGAGAAGCCGCCGAGAACCCGAGGTCTCAAATGCTTGGCGCCGAGGCTTACGGAGAATGGATCCGGCGTCACGTGGCCGATGTTCCGGCAGAGGCACGCAAGCACGATAGTCATGTTTGGCCGGCCTGGAAATGAAACCCAGCCCTTTCGGGAGAGTAGGACAGTCAATATGAAAGGTGAATGAAGCTGTCGGAGGAACACAGTGGACGACGGATAGCAGTCAACACGAAGCGTGTCGCAGAGAAATCGACTGTCAAAGGATTGTCTTGTATTGGTCCACTATGAACCAACACATTCTTCCCTCGTACCAGCTCAGCCCATCCAATATTGTTGCTTAGTACATCCCCATCTTCTGCCATGTGAGCTGAGGGACTTCATGGGGACCTCTTGGCCCATATGAGAGACTGAAAAGGAAGAGAGAAAGAAAGGAAAGGAAAGAACCATTTCTGTCAACTGAGTGTCATCACCACCCCGGGTGCCGTTTTGCGACGATCCGTCCATGCTTCCGCTCCCTTGCCGTGAGTGCTTCCCAAGCACATGCTAATGTCTCGTTTTCGTTGGTATCGTATCGTCACTCTCAACCAAAAAGCGAATGCCATGTTTGTTCGATCGTGTTGTACACAGCCAGCTGCCGTTGTCGAAGACAGTCGGGTGGTCAGGGGTCATCGCAAATGTGAAATGAAAGAAACTTTTCTGTTGTTCTTGGACAAACACCCTCCCATACCAACGATGATGACGCTAAGATTTCGATTTTGCGCGCTGCTTTCAAGGACTGGACAAATGAAAACGTTGCTTTTTCCGCTCCCCACCAGGAAAAAGCATGCCCATGGACGAAACGCCTGCTGCGCCGAGTTTGTCACAAGGTGTTCACTGCCTCTAGGTCAGTATCGCCCCATTGGTGGAGTGGGGACGGGACTGTGACCAACCTTCATAGGCGCAAAGTTGCCGTATGAGTGAGTGGGAGGCATACCCATTGAAGGGTAGATCGGAGGCGGTGGCGCAGGGCGGTAGGGCGTTCCCGCGGGGCCAGAGTTGTTCTGGCTACGTCCCCAGCTCAGACGGACTCGTGAGTTGCCAATGGGATAGCCTTGCATTTGGTTGATGGCCATTTCAGCAGCATGACGTTGGACGAACTGCACGAAACCGCAGCCCTTGCCCGGTGGGATCTTGACGTAGGTGATCTCCCCGAAGCCCTGGAAGAAAGAGCGCAGCTCATCCTCGGTGACGTATCCGGATAGACCTCCGACAAACACCGTCGTGTTATTGGGATCGGTGAACTGGTTCATGGGTTGTGGCTGTTGCTGGCCGCCACCGTAGAACGGTTGCATAGGTTGCTGACCCATGGGTGGATACATTGGATTGCCCATTGGATTACCTGGCATCATGTTTCCTCCCATCGGTCCACCTTTGTTCTTGGGAGTTGCTGTAGAAATACGCATGGGACGGTTGCCGCAGTAGACGCCCTGCATCTCGCTCAGAGCGCGCTGCTGGTCCCCTTCATCCGAAAAGCGAACAAAGCCGTACCCGCGGGACATGCCGGAAAGAGGATCGGTCATGATCTTGGCCGACTTGCAGGATGGGAAGCGGCTCTGGAAGAGCGAGACCAAGACGTACTCGTTGACCTCGGGGCCAAGATCGCCAACGAAGATCGAGTACTCGGGTCCACGGTCGTCGCGTCGATCAGCGAGACCGCCTCCAGAAGCCCAGTTGAGTTTGAAGGGACGGCTGGAGTTGGGCATGGGTTGACCGCTCAGCTGAAGGGCCTTGGCCGCAGCCTGAGGGGACGAGAAGTCGACAAAGCAATAGCCAGCGTTACTGCTACCATGAGTTCAGAGACGTGCGAGGGAGGGGGATGGCTTTGCCGGAACTCACCCTGAAAACTTGTCACGGATCATCTTGACACTGACTTGCTCGCCCATTTGGAACCAGAGGTTACGGACGAAGTTCTCGTCAATCCATGGTTCCAACTCTCCCATCCTATCTAGTGCGTCAGTAACCTGACACATGACAGCGTGAAAATCAGTCATCGAACTCACCAGAGGGTTGTCTTTCCCTCGGCGCCAGCACCAGGCTGTGCTCCGGCATTCACTTCCGGGTTGGGGAATGGCATCTGTGGTTGAGCGGAAGGGTCGGTTGGCTGGCCCGGAGCAGCTCCATCCTGAGGAGTAGGAACTTGACCGGGAGCGCCCTCCTGCGGGGGATTTGGGAATTGACCGTATTCAGGAAAAGACATTTTGAATGACGAAAATCAAGATGACGAGCTTGAAGGCTAAAGTACACTTCCTGTGAGATGAGTCAGATTCCACCTCGTTTTGATGACAGACCTCCCGCGACTCTTCCGCGCAGCTCTCTACAGCAGCCGTCGCGGTCATCAGGAGATCCGTGGGTATGAGCGGTACGTACCAAGATCGACTGGACAGAGGTCTCTTGCTGGAGAGGTTGCCGCGAAAAGGATATCGAAGGAATTATGTGGACTTTTTTTCGACAACTCAACCAACTTTTGTCGCACAAGAATATCGCGAACGGCGAATGTCCAAGGTAACAGGGCACAAAGCGATCGCAAAGAGTCTTTGGGAATCGAAGGTTGTTCTGAAGTCTAGCAGAAAGAGGAAGTTAGCGCATGCATGGGATATAGCGGCGAATGTCAGTGACAGGTGAAGGAGGGGGAGTCTTCGCCAACACCAAGCTGTGAAGTGCAGATGGACGTTGCGAAGGTTCTAGATCGGTTTGCGATTGTAGCTCTGTCGACTAGTGCAACTTGGGTCGATGTCTGAGCAGTGGTGGTGCTCTTCGATCGTCCTTTGTGTTGCTGTCGCCCTTGGATTTGCGACTTTCATCTCCCACGCCCACCTGAGAGCGAGCATACCCTCACACGCAGCTAGGGGCCTGCCTCATATCCGTCTCTTGCGTTTGCGCACAGGTCGAGGGGGGTTTTGGAGGACAAAAGCAGAGGGAGATCAAGGACTTCTGCACCTACCGGATCAAATGCGCAGTGGTTAGATGGGGCCAAAAATGTCAGTGCAAGCCACAGATCAGACCAGACGCAAACGTGAGGAACTCCGAGAAGAGCAGGCGCCTAATTGAAGCAGGAAAGCAGAAGCAGAACTGCGATATTAAGAGAGACGCGCGCAGGAACGAAGAGAGGTGCGAGGAGATGGAGGGGTGAGGCAGAAGAAAGACGAGTGGGAAGTCCAAGGGAAAGTGCGGGAAGGACGACTAAAACTCAACGAGAGAAGCAGAGAACCGGGTTGGGGGGTGCGAGTGTGGGTGTGGATTGGGCGCGAGGGGTTACTCAGGGCCACCCACTGGCACCCATTAGCACCCAAGGGCCACTGAAGGCTAAGTTGGCAGCTAACTAAGGTTTGAGCTTAGGGCCCTAGAGGCGCCAGCAGGCCCAGAAGGGGGAAGCGGAAGCCTGAAAGCTTGGGGGGAAGATTTAGGCGAACATATGATGGTTGATGATTGATGACGGGAAACCCATGAAAACTCTTCCCTCTTATGACATGAGAATATGACGGCAAAGTGAGAAGATGTCGAGAAGTCTCTTCCCCATAACTGGCATTCTTCTACGAATACTTGACGGCGCCGTTTCTCATCCTGTTTGCCTTCGCCAACGACCGCGCCTTGTCTTGACTACATCCCACACCTTACGAGGTACAGTTTCAACAACCGCAGGATCAACAACCCCGTTCCTGTCCTAGCTCCCCTGCTCACGACAATCCTTTCCCCCCCATCACCATGTCCACCTTCAGCTCCGAAGTCCCCAAGCCCCAGACTGCTAAGTACAAGGTACCTCGCACGGTGAACACTATACTAGGAGTAGTAGGAAGCCATGCAGACCATGGATTACGCCACCAACACCAAACCCCTGTCAGAAAGGACCATGGTCTCAACACCCATTTGTCCGCCCTGCAGCGACACAATGACCAAACCATGAGTTTTCGAGGGGTCAAAGATGCATGCTGCTTCCCGCATGCGAATGCGCAACTCCGGAGGGCTTGGAAACTCCTTGTCCACAAAAGTCTATTTCCTCCATTTCTTGCCCTGTCCGAAACTCAAACATTTGCCCAGGATAGCATCTACCCTTGAGAAAAAGAGGATGGAGTCCCCCTCAAAATGCAGGCTTCGAGACCACCTGGTTGTCTCTTTTGTGCGGATACATGCATTTTGTTCGCTGACAGCTGTCACTGCGAGATCTTTGTGCAACCTCGAAGACATCCCAAAACGTGCTTTGTTGATGCTTGATGCCATCGGTGCTGCGTTCGAAGCAGGATTGTTGCAAGCCAATCATGCGCCCTAATTGCATGCGATGACCTGCATACCCGAACAATCCAAGTTGGTCGACCGATCGTCCAAGCCGCCGGTCTCGCCTATCTCGAACTCCGTGCTCCTTTTGGTGATCCCTTGGTTACACCAACACATCCCCCACCGATGCCGAGTGCGCAGGTCAGCGAAAAGCTGTTTGTTGCCCCGGCAAAAGAATGCTGAGACTCCAAAATCCGATGCTTATGTTTGTCAGACCCGAGTCTGGCGCATAGTTCAAGCGCGTAGCCTCGATCACGGGTCTCACATTTTCTCCAAGAATGTGCCCCCCCCAACAACCAACACTGGCATTCGGAAATCTCAGCCGAGCAAGAATGGCCCGCTGATGCAAGAAACTTGGCCTGTCATCGGGCTCGGTGGGGTTCCAGGGCAAGAATGGTGCGTAACCCTAATTGTCCCCCTTGGACGTGGCCCAAGCGTGGCCCAAGCTTCCGGCCACAAGATACACTGAGATATCGGATACGAGATCGTCAGACTTATCCTCACCATGGACCCCCAAGGCTCTATCCCTCGAACGAAGAAAGACGTCTCCCATCATAATCGCACTCTGTCATTCCAGGCCACGCCTAAAAAAAATCCTGAAAAGAGTCATGGACCGCTTTGCCGCACTCGCCCGGCCCTATCGGCCTACTCCTACCTCGTACTCGGGGTCTTGTCCCTTGGCAGATCCAATTGCGGCGTGCGCTTGGGGCTTGCATCGGTGGCTTGCGGAACCTTCCCCAGAGCAGCTTGGGCCGCAGCTCGGATGTTGTTGCACCCTATGCGCCCTTTTTTCTTCGGATGCCCTGGAGCAGCTACCCTGATTGAACAGCTGCAAGGGGACGGGGGAAAAGACAGGGACTACTGGCGCGTCTTTCAGCTTGTGTTTTGTGCTCTCTTACGTTTCCCTTTTTTTTTCTGGCCGTCTCTTGTACGAGTAGAAAAGCTGTTGGGCTGAATTCCTGACAAGTGCATGGGCAAATCGTTGGTCAAAATCCACGCCGTAGCTGCTGTAACGCACTGGCATCCGATATCCAGCCCATTCCCATCACTCTCATCACCCCAGATCCCCCCTTTCTGTCTGTACAGCAGCCATATAGCCGATCTTCAAGGGCCACTGCGCTCCTTTGTCCTCGCTGAATCTCCCTTGTCTTGTCTTACAATACAATAGAAGTCCACGAATCTCTGCCTAAGAGTTGATCCATGCAAGTATCAAAGATGGGCACGCGAAGAGACGGATTTTGACGCCTTTATCGCTGGAAGCAGGCTTTGGTGGCATCTACCAACTGTATCGGCCGAGTGAGATAGGCCTGTCTGTCAAGGTGATTGATATGGCCGGCGAACCTGTGGAGGAGGTACTTGGTATTCTGGCTCTACAGCCTAACATGTCCTGCAGCCTGCAGTGCAGCCATTTCTGGGATCTCGTGCGAATCTGTAGGGGACAGCTTGCTCTAATCTGATGGGACCAACCAGCCTTTGAATCTTGTATGAAATTCCAGTTATGTGCTCATTGACTTGCTATGGACTCGTTAAGGTTCCCTTGCATCTTCCCTCCATCGTTTATGTTCGTACCGAGTTCTGAATCCGGGACCAGATCTAATCAAGTCTCTTCCTGAAGCCATTGAAGCCATTGCTGAAATCCCCAGCCCATTTCCCACGCCTTCGCTTGAATGATGTTCCCTTCGCTTAGTTCCTGTCATGATTTCAGTTCATTGTCCAGCTCGTGTCGTGCTCCATCTCGTGCATTCAATTGCACGTATTTCCCGAGAAAATGAAACAAAATCTGAAGATGGAAAACAAACCGACCCCTGCCCGTGGCTTGACTCTTGTCGCAGTCGATAGAAAAGTCGTTCTACGCAGCTCTGATTCGTCGTACTGAAAAAAAAAGGTCCGAGATCGACAAGAATACCGGAAAGAAAAGAGATTCATTTTCGTCATTCGCTCAGATGCATGAACTTGTGCATGTCCAACGATCGAACAAGCCGAGACCGGTGTGAATACTGATATGTCGCTTGGTATCAGCTCCATCTCTCAACTCTTCTCCTGATCTAAAGGTGCTGAAAGTGTGGTGTATCTGTCGGAAGCAAGCGCCCATGATGCCGTCCGAATGTTAACGATGGTGATCCCAAATTCTCCGCGCCTGCCATGTTCACTGATGTGCTGCGCTTTGTGTCGAGCTCTTTAGAGACCATGCGAGAAGTCCGGAATTCGATGATCCACGGGCTGCCAGTGAGTCTCACGGGTCAAGTATCTCACATCCACGAACCTCCCTTTCTTTGTCCCTAGTTTCTTCAGATGCGCTTCCTCTTCGAAGCCTTGTTTCTCGAGCCAGTCTTTCAGCCACATTTCGTAGTCATCTTCGCGGTCATCGAGTCTTGCGGCTTTGGAGTAATCCTTTCGCTTTCGTGGTTGATGACCATTCGCAGAGGATGAATTCTTTTCTGACGCCTTTCCATTGCGACTGACCCAGCCATACTGAGTGACAGGAGGATCAGCTTGTATCTGAGCTGCTCCCCGAAGTCGGTCAAGCCGCTGCGGGGACATGGGTTTGTTGAAGCTGCGCACTTGAAAGACCAACTTGTGCAGATCACGTCCACCGCCACCACTGTACAAATGCCTCATCTCCGGCGCAACTCGAAAGTCATAGCCGCCTTTCTTGAAATAACCGCGGTCCGTAGCATCTAGGAGAGCGTCCATCAAGCATCGTCCTACGCCTGATTGGCGATGAGAGGCTGCCACATACAACTCCAGTTCCGCTGTGATGGTTTCAACGTAATCACACGCGGCCCAGTCTGTGGCGGAAGCCCAGCCGACGATGGATTCGTCTTTTACCACGCCATTGTATTCAGGATCGATGTTTTGGATGGGATGATTGGGATTGACCCTCGGGCCCTTCCGAGATTTGGAGCGGGTGTTCTTACGGCTGCGTTCCACGGCGACAATGAATGGTAAACGAGCTTGCGTTGAGAGGTCGAATCGCTGGTGCATGTCGTCGTCGCTAATCTCAGCCAGTTCCGAGGGACGGATGCCATGGGTAATGTGCCAGTTGAGAATTGCTTTCATACCTGGGACGTCCGAAGTAACAGCGGGGCGAAGATAGATGTTCCTGGTCGTTATCGGAGTAGGGGGCTCTTCTTCTTCTTGCGGGATTTCTTCTTCACCAACTCTACCGTCCTCAGGTTCGACTGGAACTCGCGGCTCCACATTCACTTTTGCTTCTCTTATCGCACGTTGCAAGTATTCCATGCGTTTATCGATGAACGCCTGAGCTGTCTCGTCCTTATACTGAGCGTTTTCGAGATTGGAGAGGTCGAGCTTCGCGTCGCTGTCAAAGTCCGGGGGTTGCTTTGCATTCCACGTTGCCAGATCGGCAATTTTGAAGCCGTAGCGGGCTGCGTTGTTTATGTCAATCATCGTTTCCTTCGACGTAAAGCCAATGCCATCAGCGTGGTTGTCAATATTTTGGACCTCTTCTATGGGCATGGCTGAGAACTCGACCTCCGGGCCCTGCGACATGGTCTTCATTGAAGCTTCTTGGAGCCAGCTGCTGAAACCGTTGATGTACTCCGGGGTATTGTTGTAGAAAGAAGGACGGTGCTCCCAATCGAGGGGAGGTGGCTTAAAGTTGCCATCCCATCCTGCAATTCCGTCCTCGGGCCCTCGAGGGCTGCGGCTACGAATGAGTCGGCCAAAGCCACGGGCCATGGGTCTTGTCGAGTCGTTATCGCTTTCCGGTTCTTCGCAGTCTCCAGCATTGCTCCACTGTACGGGATTCATTTCGTTCGTGTCCGACCATCTCTTCGCCTTTCCCTCTTGCTTTGACTCCGTAGGGTTGATGCTTGACAAGCAACCTCCGTTGGGGATACATTGGTCCTTTGAGCGATTTGGATTGTAATCAGGAAGGGAGCTCGCTGGGAAGACGGCGTCTCTCTGCCGAAGTCCATCTGAATCGGGTGGGAGGGGTTTCCGAAGGAGGTCTAGGGTAGTGAGAGCCGTTGTAGTGATGCTCTCACCATGGTCTTTCCGCTTGAGACGCTGAAACGCTTCGCGAGATCGTTCTGCTTGGAGGCGAGCGATAAGCTGCTCGGGGGTCTCGCTACCTTGCTTGAGAGTCTCGAAGGTCTCAGGGCGAGGCAACGACCCGGATTTCTTTGCAGAATTCATCTGACTGATTGTCGACTCACTGCGGCTTTGGTGCTCATTCACTTTGTCGTCTGACGTCCACTCCTCAGTTGGGTGAACTTTGGTGGAGTGTTCATTCGGGGCCTGAAACGAGGGTAATGAAGTAGTGACAAGAGGTGCCGAATTTTGAGAACCTAGAGGATTTGCTTCGGCGTTGAAGTGGTTCAACCTTGAATTTGCCGTGATCTCTGATGGTACTGCTGCGTCTGGGTTGCGTTGAGAGGGAGATCTCAGCTCTTGTTCGCTTTTTCTTGTTTCATTCGCTCGCTGACTTGAGACTCTTCTGGTTGGGTCCCCATAGGCTTTAGGGTCGAATACGGGAATGTTTATAGCCACCGGCGCTGGACTTGGCATATTGACACTCGGAATAGACTTGGCATCACTCGGTCCACATACTTCCAGCTCTTCCGTTCGAGGCTTGGATCCGCTTGTTTGCACATTGGAAGATACGCCTGTATGCTTCGTTTCTGTCAGTGTTGTATCGTTACCGCTTCGATTCATCACCCCTCTCTCCGTGGACTGCCATGACACGCAGGACGACTGTTGGCTGACAGGCCTCTCCAACAAATGTGGCTTCAATAGTGGGTACCAGCCTGGATGGCAGTCCGTATCAGAGTCTTCTTGACTTGCATCACTGAACCTCCCCTTCGCTGTAGGATCTCCATACTTCATTGCGTGGAACCCCATGGTGCTAATCGAAGAGGCGCAGCAAGGAATAACCAAATGCCACAGTTGTCAAAGGAACAAAGTGTGACCCGCGACACACAGACTGGAACTTAAATAGACCAGACAACTCACCTTTTCCGAGTGATGTTGAACACGTGCTCCTGGTGGAGTACTGTCACTAACATTTGCGATCTGACTTGCTGAACTAAGTGACAAACTGGAGGAGGATTGATGCAGATGTGAGAAATCAATGTTACGGGCCGGTGAACCAAGAACTGGGACAGAAGTGGCATCTTCTTCTGCGCTTGACGCTGCAGAATGCGAGACATCAAAGGGACGTGCATGTAAGAAACTCGTGTGCAATTCTTCACAACTCCTCCAAGGCGGAATGTGAGCAGCTATGGTTGAGTGAGCCTCAGCCATGGTCTGTGAATCGACAGACACTCACTGCTCAAGGTGAGGATGAAGGGTCACCATCATGTCACCAAAGGTGAAGCCTTGATCATGACCAGCTTCACAACAAGAAGGAGATGTTGATCGGTTGCCGCCTGGCTGCTTCCTCGAAGATCGGCATATTCTCAGCCAATCGGTAGTCGCTCTCGAGGGCCTTGTCGTTGAGGCTGTAAAGCAGCGAGTTGTTCTGCACAACCACAAACATTAAGCGAAACTACGGCAACGATACACGCACAAAGGAAGCTTCAACAAAAGGACGTACATCTACCAGCATCGGCAGATCTGTGTGCATCAAGACATCTAAGTCAGGCCTACGCAGGGTCGTGGATGATGAACGCGGGCATTACTGAATGGAAGCCATACAGTCGCAGTCCAACGACCAGCGGCGACGACTGGGCACGGAGAACTGATCGCCATGCTTTCCATACTTCGCAAAGCTCGGTTGAAGGACAAGGAGATGCGTATCCTGATGCTGTACAGGGGACGACCCCCCTGTAGTTGCGAGATACTGATTTGTGTTCCAGAGGACTTGACAATGCCGGAAAGACCACCATCGTCAAAAAGATCATGAACGAAGATGTCAATACCGTCAGCCCAACGCTTGGATTCATCATTAAGACCATTAATTTCCAGGGGTACTGCCAACTATCTCAACGTCGCATCAGGGACACTAATGGATGACCATCCAGTTACAAGCTCAACATCTGGGATGTCGGAGGCCAGAAGACTATAAGATCATATTGGAGAAACTATTTTGAGAAGACTGACGCTCTCATCTGGGTGGTGGACGCGACAGACCGACTACGAATGGATGACTGCAAGACCGAACTCAAGGGACTGCTGCTCGAAGAGGTACGCCAGCGTTCGCCATCACATTCCAGCTGTTAACAAGGACAAGCGGCTAGCCGGAGCAAGTCTGTTGGTCTTCTTGAACAAGACCGACGTGGCGGGTGGGATGACCAAGGAAGAGGTCACGCAGCTACTTGACCTCAAGCGAATCTTGACCCATCGTTGGGTGGTTGTTCCTTGCAGTGCGATGACAGGCGAGAATTTAGAGAAGGGTCTGGATTGGGTGGTCCAGGATGCTCGGGATCGGTTGTTCTTGTACTGAATGCACCACAGAAAGTACCACATAACGGCTGGCTATGGTTAGAACAAGAGGGAACAATGGAGCGAGGCCGCCGTTGAGCTATGGAGATATTTAAGCAATGCCGCGTTTCGAACAGCTGAAACAGGCGAAGCAAAAGCCACATGGGACCCCTGCAAGTCCCATAACGCACAGGGCGTAAATTGGCCTTTTGCCGGCCAGACCAAAAAGGCCAACCAGGACAGTCGCAGGAATCAGCCCTATCTACTCCCTGCCTACTCCATTTTGAAACCTCCTGACCATCATCACCGCGTCCAGCTTAACGACATCCGAGAGAAGGGCAAGGAAAGAGAGTCGAGGTCGCCGGAGTAAGAAGAGGGGGAAGATAAACAATCAACAGTTGGTTGGGTTTTGGATTTGGCTGCGGAGACACCTTGACGTGTTGAGCGCGTGTTCCCGAAGTCCCGCTCCTCTTTGCCTCTCGCAACCACGCATCAAACATCAACAATTGATACAATCCACCATTATCCTGCGGGCTGTACTACTACCTTCTCACCACACCATTTTTGCCTGTCGCTTGCCTACAACACCTTCTTTTCGCCTTCGCTCGCTTATCTTTTGCACACTCTAGCTGGTGGCCATTCTTTTTTGTCATTCTCAATGCAGAGTGCGGCATAATCTTCCTTTAGCACGGATCGTCACCGATTGGAAACCCGACCGCTTGCAGCAGAGTCAATATGGACGCGTCTAATGATGGCTCCGAGTCCGTCGACCAGTTCCTTGCTCGAATTGCGAGTCTGAGCTCAAAGCAGGGGCAGGAAGAGGCTGAGCGTTCGAGGAAGATGGAGGAGGAAATGTTGCAGGCTAGAAAAGAGAGACAGGCTAGAAGAGCAGGTATCTATTGGCGGAGTCTCACGTCACAAAATGCAATGGAGATGCTGATCATATGCAGAACGCGCTCGGTCTCTGTCTCCCTCCAAAACCGGCCCTACACCGTCGTTGCGACTTGTTGGAGAGAGTGCTCGAAAAACCACACAAGGAATTGACCCTCCTGTAGCCCTCACGCCTCCTCCCCTCCAGCCTCGTACAGTCGGCCGCTCCGACTCGATTTCTCCAAGGCCGGAGCGAGCTGCGGCTTCCGGGCTGGACTTCACTCGACCTCTCCCGCCTCCAGCTGCTAGCGAAAACCCCTCCACGCCCAGCCCATCTCTCAATGCCACCGCCCTCTCCAGGAGTGGAACTTTATCGTGGCAACAACGGCCTTCATCGAGGGGTGTGGGCTCAAGGCCACGGCCGCTGTCCGTGGCATCCATACCCGATTCAGCCCTTCCTCAGGGTCCAGCTCAGTTAAAAGATGGAGATGACATGACGAGAAAAGATATTGCGGCTTCCTTAGGAGCCAAAGACCCATCGTGGTTCCGTCAGACTGCTGATCGTGGTGTTGGTTCAGCTGCGTATCGCAAGAATGAGACAGATTCAGAGACGCCCCCACCATTCTCGAGTCGGGGAATGAGACTCCCTGGCATGTCGAAAGATTCCAATGCTCCCGTGGACCGCTCGAGGGATGATCCCGAGAAAGCAACTCCTCCACCGTCCCCTCCGAAATCCTTCGCTCAACCCCTCGAACAGGAACAATTGTCCAAGAAGGATGACCCGAGACCAACGAGACCGCTCTCCATGGTGTCATTGTCGCCGTCAAAGCCTCCTGCTTTGGACTTGCCAAGTTTCAAGCCTTTGGATCTCAATTCTTCGTTCGCGGCCGACACGCCTAGCCTGGGAAGAACGTCTAGCATATTGTCATCCGCTGGGCGTCCTCCTTCGCCTACCAAGGGCTTGGGTGGTTTTGTTGAGAGCGCGATGATGAAAAGATCAGATAGTGTGAGCAAGAGATGGAGTGTACAGGCAAATGCAGGCTTGAAGCGAGGTGACTCTGTTGCCACACCTCGTCCAGCTCATGTTTCTGGTACGTCGGGTTTCAGTCCTGGACACAGTCGTGGTACCTCTAGAGATGTCCGAGGCGTAGGCAATTCGTCCCCGCTATCGAGTTCAAGGCCTGTTTCGAGTCATGGAGCTGAACCGGTTCCTCTTACAAAAGCCCGCCCACTAAGCCGCACAGACGACCCTACAGGACCCTCAGAGGCTGAAAATACCAATGCGCAAGATGTCCAAGCCGGCCATGAAGCCTCCAGAGTACAGCATCAGGACCGCCCGACCACCCCACCATCATCCGAATCGCTCTTGTCTCGCAGCCCGTCCAAAACCATGGATCCTCGCCGCTGGAGTCCGACCAAAGCCAGTTGGCTCGAAAGTGCGCTCAATAAACCGGATTCCCCGAGATTCACTCCAGCTAAACCTGAAACACCTGCTTGGAAGCTCAACATGCAGCGTGCCAAACAAGAGCAGCAACAGAGGTCGTCCGAGCCTGTAGATACCGTGCCGGCGAAGCCTGATGTGGCACCGAAACCACACATTTCACCTCCCGTGAAGGAGCCGGCCACGCTGAGTGAACCGGTGCCTCAGAAAGACCCGTCCACACCAGCGGCCGACGAGGCAGACACGGCGAAAGGCCTCGAAGATGGGTCACTAGCACCACGCGACACGCCTACCTCCCAGGTCGAGCAGCCCAAAATGGAGAAAAGGGATGAGAAACCGGCGGTTCCTTCTAAGAGAAACGTCACGCCTATTTCACAGACAAAAAGTTCGAACACCAAATCCGAGACTGCAGCAGTAGCATCAATCGGAAACGAACAAGCCCCGGCCGAGGCGTCGCAGGCAAACACCTCTGACTTGAAGCCACCAATGTTAAAGCCGAAACCACAAACGCCTCCAAAGACCGACTTCAGAGCCACCTTAAAGTCGCGTCAAGCAGCGCCAGCAAGTAACAACGACGCAGAACCCGAGTTCAAAGCCGTATTCGGAAAACTGAAGAGGACGCAAACGCAGAACTATGTCGCTCCTGACATCTTGAAAGCCAACATCACCAAAGGCAAGGCAGGGCTGAATGCCACAGGCGGACCACAGAAGACTAAGCGGGTGGATGAATTCAAAGAGAGCATTTTACAGAAGAAGGAAGCTATGAAGACGGGGGACGGTCCGATTGGAAAGCGTCCAGACGCACCTAGTCCTCTTGAAAAGCCAGCTCAGGCCGTTCCTGAGGCGCTGGCAAGGCGCATGACATTACATAAGACAGGTCCGTCCAGTGAAAAGATCGAAGTCAAGAAACCGATCGATCCGCCTGTGAAGCCAGCAGTTTCAGCTCCGAAACCCCCGCATGCCTCTGCCAAGCCAGCCCCGGAGAAGCAGAATGCTCCAGTACGCACGGAACAAACACCGATCTCGGCACAGAAACTACCTGTGGTCAAACCTGAGAAGTCTGCATCTGTCTCGACGACTGTCTTTCCGGTCAAATCAGCTTCTGAAATCCGCAGTGATGACAGCCAGTCGAAAGCGGACACATCTCCAGCTGAGGTCGTCGCTGCGGTGGAGACGGCGTTCAAAACAAGAGCACCAGAAAACAGCAAACTTGCAGCCCGCCTCAATCCTGCACTTGCCGGCATCATATCGCGAAGTGGTAGTCCTAAACCCCCTGGTGAGGCCTCATCTAGTGGTACAAGCGCGGTACAAGTCCGAGATACTACCCCGGCGTCACGGGAGAGCACGAATGACCATGATTCAGAGCTGACGCATATGACAAAGGCTCGGGCTAAGGGTCCGAAAAGAAGAGCCCCTAAGAGCGGCCAATCCTCAAAAGGGACCGCTACAGCCACCGTTCAAAAGCCTGTTGTAAGCGCTGGCATCAGCGCTCCTACCTTTTCACAGTCAAGCTCGTCCCGACAGCCTATCTCTGATACAAGCAACACCGTCCCCGTGCGGCTCTTCGGGTCGAAGTCGATTCCTAGCAAACCCGTGTCAGAAGTTGAGGATAAGAAGCCAGTTGTGGCCGCTGAAGTCTCAACATTGCAGCAAAGATCAGAGGAGCGCAAGCCAGACGAAAAGGCTGTCGAAGACTCTGCTCCAGCCAGGCCGAAGTCTGCCTTGGAAGCAGGTGTGAATCCAAAATCAAAACCAGCAGTGGCCAACAAGTCGGCGGAGCTTAGAAAAGTGTCGAATCCTAGTATGTCGGCTCATGTTGCAGATGAGTCCGCTCCAGTCAAACCCGGGAAGTCTGCGGAGCTGAAGACAAGTTCAATTCCTGCACTGCTACCAAAGCATGTTCAACAGCCGTCCCAAGCCAAGCCCTCCACGCCGAAGAAGTTCGAAATTCTAGCAGACCGTGCACAAGTTGTGTCGCCTCCTCCCCAATTTGATGGACTCAGAAAGAATGGGCCTCTTTCGCCCCCACCTGGGGTGAATTCGCCTTTGACGCCCAATAAATTCAAGATCAATACTCCCAAAGAACCGAAACCTGAAGTGGACAGCTCGCTAAAGCCGACCTCACTCACTTCAACTAGAGCCAATGGACTCGGCCTGCAGCTTGCGTCTGCTTCTAGGAAACCGGCAGCTACCCCTGAATTAACGCCGCCGCCAGAGCCCGAGGCTGTATCGACTAAATCAGCAACATCCTTCCGGAGTCCTGCATCCCCAACAAAGTCTGCCCGCTCGGTGAAGCCCCATTTCGAAAGCTTCTTTGGAGTTCTGCCCCAAGCAAGAGCCAAAGCGGAATTCGACACACACGCTTTCTTGACCTCTCAGAACAAGGCGGCAGAAAAGTGCAAGACTCTCAGCAAACAGGTTTGGGAAGTATCCGGCGATGGAAAGCGAACAACCATGCCCCCCCAACAGGAACACATACTCTTCGAAGACTGCATGTACCTGTGTGTGCATTCAATGGAATCACCCGCCGGCTCAAAAAGTGCCGAAGTATATCTCTGGTGCGGTGACGAGGTCCCAGAAGCTGCTGTGGAGGATGCTCAGCTGTTTTGCCGGAAAGTTGCTCGCGAAAATAACGCTAAGCTTGAGGTAGTCAAACAGGGCAAAGAGAGTTCTGAGTTCTTTCAAGCCTTGGGCGGAATCGTCATAGTCCGGAAGAGCAAGTCAGCAGCTTTGTATATGCTGTGTGGCAGACGACATCTTGGGCACGTTGCTTTCGACGAGGTTGATTTGTCTGCTGATAGCTTGTCTTCTGGACTACCGTTTTTGATATCGGCCAAGTTTGGGAAGCTCTATCTCTGGAAAGGAAATGGCAGTAACCCAGAAGATGTGGGATGTGCGAGACTGATAGGCATGGACATGGGGCTCACGGGTGAGATCGAAGAAGTCTCGGAAGGTGAAGAGCCCCTCAGTTTCTGGGAAGCTTTCCCGTCACGTCCGGGCAAGCGGGTGGCCCCTCGAACACGCAACCAGACTAGCCAACTTCGCGGTCATGCACCCAGATTATACCGTGTTGAGCACGACCGCCCGAAATCGTCCGGCGGCTTCTGGGGCTTGAGGGCGGCATCACCGCCAAAACAACCTGTCCGAGCCTTGGTGGACGAAATTGCCCCATTCAATCAGAAGGACCTGGACGCCAACCACATCCACATCCTTGACACCTACGGGGAGCTCTACGTGTAAGTTCGGTCACTTTTGCCTTCTGATTGAGCATTATGCTGACGTCTGTTGTGTTGGCAGCCTCGTCGGTGGATCGGCCAAAAAGCCTGCCGAGTTCGTGACAGCTGTACAGGTCGCGCAGGAGATCGCTGTTCTGTCTCCCTCTGTTCAGGATAGACCTCTTCTGCCTGCTTGTTATGTGGTGATGGGTGATCCTCCAGAAAACATTAAGTCGGTCTTTCGAAAATGGAAGCCTGATAGATCAGCTTCACGAGACGAACAAGTGTGTGTACGAGTCGAAGAAGTGATACAAGAACTAGGGATCACGTTGTAAACGGATGATGGCGGTTTGATGACTGGGCTTGGGAGGACTTTGAGGATGACTATTCGGATGAACCTTAGGGGCACCTGAACCACCGGGTTGGTTGGCGGGCTCATGGCGTGCATATGTTCCTGCCATTTGGATGATGGGGGAATCTGGCAGACTTCAAATAAGGTGTCCTCAAAAGAAAGAGGATCGGACAATGTTCGCTTGGAGGAATATGTGCTTGATACACGAACTTCTGGGGATATGGACTCCGCGGATCACGGTCTTGGCGTTTCAGCAGTTGTCGTCAATCGTCGGCCAATCGGAGCGTGCTTAGGTAATGACATTCGTCATTCGGGTCTAGACTCCTCTCCAACCCGGTCCCGAGGTTGCCACGGTTGCTTGGCATTGGCATCATTTCTTTCCTTCTGCCCGTCGCATCAAACCACCTCCAATGCGTGTCCAAGGACCTTGTCACTGACTTCCCAGAAGTCTTCGTGTCGCCTTGAGCCGACAGCCATGGATTGGGCGGCTTCGAACCTTCCTCAAACGAAACCTAATACCTCCGTCCTCTCCGAGGGCCCCACCGCCACCCTTAACTTGGACCCGAAACTACAGCGCGAGCTGTCTCGGCTCGATGACTCCATCCCGTTCAACCCCAAGGCCCGGTATCTGCATCATACCTGGGCGCAGACATTCTTCTCGCGCCCGGAGTTGTACTTTCAGCCAGCTACAATCCCGGAGTTACAGAAAGTGGTTACCCTCGCGCGGCGATGTCGAAAGCGCATCTGCGTGACGGGCTTCGGGCACTCGCCATCCGATCTCACATGTACCTCGGCTTGGCTGATTAACCTCGACAACATCAATCACGTCTTGGAGAAGGGAGTCGATGGAACTCCGGGCCTATACCGCATCCAGGCTGGCATATCCCTTCACGATCTGAACGCGGAACTCGCCAAGGATGGCTATACTTTGCCCAACCTGGGATCTATCGACGTCCAGTCGGTCGCGGGGGTCATCTCAACTGGGACGCACGGGTCAAGTCTCAAGCACGGCTTGATATCTGAGTCTATAACCTCCATGACAATCCTTCTCTCCAATTCGCAACTAGTCACATGCTCCGCGACCAAAAATCCCGAACTCTTCCGAGCCGGCCTTCTCTCGCTGGGAGCTCTGGGCATCATTGTCGAGATCACCATACAAGCTGTCCCAGATTTCAAAATCTCCTGGTCCCAATCCCTCCACACCTTGACCTCCGTTCTAGACTCCTGGAACACCGACCTCTGGAAGAAGGACGAATTTACTCGGGTTTGGTGGCTTCCTTACCTCAAACGCGCCGTGATTTGGCGCGGTTCACGAACCGATTCCCCGGCTCGCCCACCAAACACCACTTTCTACGGGGGTCTGTTCGGCTACTATGTATATCACAATCTGCTCTGGTTGTCCAACACCTTCCCACGTATTCTGCCGTGGATCGAGTGGTTCGTCTTCGGCATGCAGTACGGCTTCAAACCGGGCAGCTTCATCATGTCCGCGGTGCAGCCTGCCCGCGAGGGCTTGCTCATGGACTGCCTCTACTCTCAATTTGTGAACGAATGGGCGCTGCCACTGGACAAGGGTCCCGAGGCTATCACTCGGCTATCTGCGTGGATCAATCATGACGAAGCCGCCGCGCGAATCCCCGTCTCCAGCAAGGGGATCTGGGTGCACTGCCCCGTCGAAGTCCGCGTCACGCATACCGGTCAGGTCACGCCCAATCGCTCCGGCGTGAGACCGTACCTCGACCCGACCGTCCCCGATGGACCCACGCTCTATCTGAACGCCACGCTCTACCGGCCCTACGGCCGCGATCCCCCTTGCCACGCCAGGTACTACGAGGCCTTTGAATACCTCATGCGCGAGCTGGGCGGGAAGCCGCATTGGGCCAAGAATTTCTCGGACAACACGTCGGCTGAGTACATCAGCGAGGTCTATGGCGGGGACGTGCGCGAGTTTATGAAAATCAGGGACGAAAGTGATCCCGAGGGCATGTTCTTGGGGGAATGGCACCAGCGGAATCTCCCTTTGAAGACTGGTGGCGCGATGTTGAGGGAGGAAGAAGTCCGCCGGACCAAGAAGGGTCTCGGCTGGGGATTTGGAGATGGGGTCTTGTGGGAAGGAAGGCAAATTGCGTCGTCGTCGTCGGCGGCAGTGACACCAAAGGGGGACCACGAAACAATCAATGACAAGGAGGCCAGAGATCTCGGGGTGGATGTGGCTGTGGGTGGTAACAGAAAGGTCGGCGACGGCGACGAGACGCCAAGTCCCCCCGCGACCACGACAAGTGAGGAGTCGTTCGACTACATGGCCAGAGGTGAGGCGAGCGTCTACGGCACTGTGAAGGAAGGTGGTGAATGAGAATGCCCGAATGCGATGCGTCGCGTGGGGAGCAGATACGAGGTGGGCGGGGTGTTGATGGGTGTCGACGTGGGAGAAAGAGAGAGAGAGACAGAGATTCGTTCCATTGTTAACTGCTCATATATATGCCTATCTCCGCGGAATCCATGACACAATTCTTCCTATGCATCCCGTCCGTGCACGTCTGCTTCGTCAACACGAGACCCGTTCAATTGGCATGTGCCACAGTCGCCTGACCGACCCCTTATTTGAACCCCCGCCCGTTCTGCTTTGTCAGGACGACTCACACCGCCTTGACCTCTTCCGCCTCTCGCTCGACACTCGCCTTCGTTCTCTCTGCCTCCTCCCTGTGCTCCCCGTGCTCCCGCATATCGCGGATATCCCCCACGATGCCGCGCTCAAAGGTATACAGCGGCTTCAACTCTGCCGATTTGTGCCAAAGCACGTAGCGCCTGATGAACCAGGGCAGCCAGGTACGCGTCTGGTAGGACACGAAGCGGCGAGTGGGTACGGCGAAGATGTAGTCGAGTTCTTCAAGGGTGCGCTGCTTGGTCTCGGGAACCCAGAAGAAGATCATGACCAGAGCCACCATGTTCAGACCCGCAAAGAACCCAAACGCGCCCGTGGGGGCGAACGCTTCGAGAATCTTGGGAAACGTCAGCCCCAGCACGGCCGCCCAGAACAGGCACGTCGCCACGGCCCAGCCCATGCCCACCTCGCGGTGTGACAGGGGGAACACTTCGGCCGAGTACGTGAACGGCACGGGACCCTCGCCGGGCGAGTAGAACGCGGCAAACAAATACACGAACAGCGCAATGACGCCCAAGTGCGCGCTGCTGGAGCGCGGGATGTAGAACGCAAACCCCGCTGCCAGCAACGTCCATGCCATATTGGGGAACGTGAACAGCAACAAGGCCCGTCGCCCGAAGGTGTCGATGGTCAAAAACGCCGGAATCGCGAACAGGAAATTCACGGCCCCGAAGCCGAAGGAGCCCAACAGGGCCTCAAAGTCGGATGCGCCACCCTCGCGGAAGATGGTCGACGAGTAGAAAGCCATGATGTTGATGCCGCACATTTGTTGCGCGATCATCACCGTGAACGAGGCCAGCGTGGCGCGACGCACGCGCGGCATGGTGAACAGCTGCGTGAACCGCGAGAGGTACGTGGAGTCGTCGCCGACCATGTCGTGCTCGATCTGGATCTGCGTGCTGATGTAGTACAGGTCCCTGGCGGCGAGGAGGGGGTGGTTTCGGAGCTTGAGGAGGGATTGGTATGCTTGGCCTGGTTTGCCGTGCTTGATGCACCATCTTGGGCTCTCTCTGTTTTTCGAGCGACGCGTTAGATTCGGTTGTCGTGGAACAAGTTCTGGGAAGGGTAGGGCGATGATAGGGGCCGAGAAAGGGTCAAAGGAGACTGCAAGAGGGTTTGCAAGCTGTAATACTTACGGGCAGAAAAAGACCATCGCAGCAAGCGGAATGGCAGGGATAAAGGCTGACCCGAGCTGGAGTCGCCAGCCGATGTCGCCGGCATCCCAGACGGCCAGGTTGAACGCAGTGCCCAGGAATATCCCAAAGGCCGTCCAGAACTGCCACGTCATAACAAGAGCGCTGCGGACAAATGTTAGCCAAATGAGCTATGCTAGCGTTGGCTATCCTGATAGCAACACTTCCAGGGCCTAGTCTCTGGAGATGGTCGAGGCGACTTACCCTCGAATCGCAGCGGGAGAGTTCTCAGCAGCAAAGACCGGTGTAGTGGCGCCCTTCAAACCCATACCAATGCCCATGAGAATACGTGTGGCCAGTAACTGTTCCCAATTTTGGCAACACGCTCCTCCAATCGGCGTTGCAATCAAAAAGACTGCGGAGGTGAAGATGGTCCCTCGACGGCCCAGGTAGTAGTTGCAGGGATCAGACAGCCAGCAGCCCAGAAACGCGCTGCCAATGTAGGGCGCCGAATTGACAAGGCCGATGATCCAGAAGTCTCTCTCGTAGCCCGGCTGTCCTTCTGGTGTGTTGAGGCCGAAGGCTTCCGGGAACGACAGGTTGGCGCCGTTGGTCCCGGTCTGATCCCAACCCTGGACTGCGGCACCGATGGAGCAGACGATGACGGTCATGTAGAGCTTCCAAGGGTGTTTCCACTTGCGGGAAACCTCCGTGCGAAGAGCATCGTTCTCGTCGTCGGTGAGGAATGTAAAGCTCTCGAATTGCGCGGGGTTCTGGGCCACCAGGGCGCCCTTCTTCATCAGCTCGATTTCGGAAGCCAAACCGGCACGGTTTGCGAATTCTCCAACCTGTCGGCCACAGGGTCAGTTGTGACTGATCTAGAACGGTGGAAGTTGCTTACGTCGGCTAACAACTCTTCTTGAGGGATATCAGCAAGCGGATTTGAGATTCTGTCAAAGCTTAGTCCAAAATATATCCGATGACCAGGCGCGCGGCGTACTTTGCATCCAAGTTCTTGTTTCTGTTGAGATCAGCTATGGACGAGCGCCGGCGCTCCGGACCTGGAGACTTTTCATGGTGGTCTGCGCTGGGCCTGTGAGCGAAGCCGTCGATGTTCTTGGGTTCCGACATGTTGGTGTCCTAGAAGACCGGGACTGCGAGAGTATCTCCCAGATATGTGGTGACAGAGGAATTCAGAAGAGGGACCACTGGATTCCATCTTTTTCATATACATCGATTATCTGTTCAGCTGCGAGAACCCCGCGCGCCGATCAAGGCCATGGGACAGAATCCATGTTGCGGTGACATCGTCTCAAACATCGCAAAAGTCTGCATCAACGGCCTCAGTAAGTACGGAGCCCAATCCACCTATTCAGTAGCCGGCATTGCGCTTCTCGAGGCCAGGTTCTCTGGGGCAAGCATTGTGGGCGCCCGCTTTGCCTGCAGGCGAAGCCCTTGGCAGCCGAGAAACCTCCACTGCACCAAGAGCAAGAAATGATTGGCACATGTCATTGGGCATTGCCCAGAAATGAGTCTCAATAACCTTACTTGTGGTTGGTGTCCCAGACGGATGCAAGCTCTGCCTTGAACTCGTGGCCCGTCAGTCGTCGTATACAGAGCACAATGTGAGTGGAGTGTGGATAGAGAGAGCTTCCAGAGAAGGCGCAGCACCTCAGCATGGGCGGGGAGTGGTTAGGTGAAGGAAAGGAGATGGAGTCAGTCAACAATGTGACAGCGGGAATGCCTTGCCAAGGTGCTTGGTGGACGCCAAGGGCGGAGATCAGCATTGGCCTGCTCGGCGGGATTGGGAGCGTTATCCATGGGGTTATTGAACCGACCTTGTCAGTCTTTGATGCTCGAAAAGCTACGTCGGCCTTGGTTAGAGAATGAGAACACCGTGGTGATCGCGCGTCATTGCGGCCAGGACGTAGAATGGGGCTGCAACGTTGCGCGAATCCGACTCAAAATGTGCTGGCGAGCATGGATGGTAGGTGGCTCGCTGGACTCATGGCTGTCCTTCAGCCACGGTCTCCGTAGGAGTCAACAAAAAACAGAGAGCATGTGTTGGAGACCATCAAGCATCAGATATTAGATTACCTGCTGTCCGTTCAATTGCCAATTCGCCCATCATCCGCGCCAACTATTCGATAGCACTTCATCCCCATACCAAGCATGGGCAATCTGCATAGGGGGTATCTCTGAATCATAAAGGACAATAGAATACGCCGTTCTCGCCAGCTGATTGCGCATGAATCCAAGATCCGAATGTTGGTCGGCAGATCATGTATCATGTCCTGATGACCCACCACTTTCTCCATCTAGACGCGACTGCGCCGGTACCAGGGGCGGCGGCGTGCATATCTGGCAGCTTTGGTCAGCCCATAATGACTCCCATGAGGGCTGGAGGTCAGACTTACGCTCCTTCAGCGGCTGGAGCGGCCGCGACACCCTTGCGTCTCTCGCGATGAATGAACCAGATACCCACCAGGGCACTCAGGATCCACAAAATCGCAGACAAGAAAGAGAACGCCTCGGCAGATCGATAGCGTCCGCAGAACCCATGAAAGCTGATTTGATTCCAGTCAAAGGTGTCTCCATCACAATCAGTGCCGTTGGCCCATTCGACCAGGAGCCCAAACGAGGCAAACCAGGCAAAAGCGAGGATGATATCCATAGGCCCTGTTCAAGAAGAGTAATCGGTTACCAAAGTGTCCCCCTTGTCCACCATATTGCGCACTTTGGAACGTACAGTGAAAGAAGCCGCCTGCGAACGGCAGCAGCCAAAGTAGACCGAGGAGAAGAGAGATTCCAGCCACAATCTCGATATAGATGAAGCGGGCCAGGGGCCAACCGTTGCCGTGGCGGTATTGATTTAGGTAGGAGCCGACAATGCCCGCAACAACCTCCACACGGTTAAGAAACGCTCGTCAGATCGGTCAGAGTTAGACTTACCCCCGCGAAAGCGAGCTCGCAGACACGCAGGCCCATAGATACGATTCTGGAGAGGACAGGCATTTTGACGATTGGTTAATTGGTAAGAAGGTTTCGGAAGGAGAGAAAAGAGGTGTTTGGAGACGAAGAGCTCTTTTTGCCAGTCTGAGAGGGAAAAGGTCGGTGAGGAGAAGTTCAAATGCCAGTGACTGGCGAGGAGGGTGAAGCAGTGCCTTAAAAGTGAAGAGAATTCGGTGAAACTAGGGTGTTGACAAGGCCACACAAAAAGTGCCCGTTTGCCCTGCCGGCCACCAACATCACTGCTCTGTCCTCACTTTGGTATCCTGGCAACCCTTGCGCAGGACAGCCATGCCACAGCCTGCCTTGATTTTGTGACACACCAGACGGTGTGTTGTCCTACCAATACCCTGGTTTGGACATGGGGTTCGATAGGCAAGGGGGCGCGTGACAGGGAAACGCGTGGTAGAGACATGGCACGACGTCATAGAGGACGATTTGGATAGGAAAACATGCTTCCAAAACCGGGCAGAATGCTTGAGCCTCACCAATCCGCGAACCCCACGGGGAGGTTATCAAGGAGAGGATATACACGCTGCTGGGAATCTTGAAGTCTTGTTTTGAGGCAGAAACTGGTAAGCGAGAAGCCACCGCCCGGAAATCAAGTCCATCAAGGCGCAAGGGAGGTCACGAGACCCCCATGACGTAGCCGCGAGGCTGGCATTCCAGATTCTCAGCCTCGAATTGCGCCTACAGCTGCCCTCCATGTCTCTCTTTTCAGTCTTCGTCTCTCGCTCTCTCGATGAGCTCTTTGAGGTCCCTAAGTAGAACAACCTCGCACAACGTCCATCTCGATTCGTGCATGCCGTGCTCCTTATCGTCATCCTCCCGCTCCCTCTGCTGCTTGTTCAAGTCAAGGCCCTCGCCTTCTCCTTAACTTCGTCCCCAAAGTCAAACACCCCGCCAAACATCACCTGCCTGCTCGTGTTGAGAATGATGTCCTTGAGTATCATCGTACGCCCCATCGTATCCACCCATTTGCCCTTGAAGCCGCCAACCGACATGCGTGGGTACATGTCGTCGCTCATCAACTGTGGATTCTCTTTCACATCTTCCACCCGCTGAATAGCCAGAGCTTGTGATACCTTGTCGGCGTCGGGAGGAAGTATAGGGAGGAGGTAGTCCTTGTAGGTTCTCAATTCGAAATCGGCCACGTTGAAGAGTGTCGCGGGGGTTTTGGCACGGTCGGGGAGGCCGTCGGGGGTGAGGTTCATAGATGGATGAGAGAGCAGAGCCCGGAGCAGAGCTGCATGCTGGGATGCCTTGTCAAACCGTTCTTTGGGTGATGGAGACGCATTCATGTTTGTGGTAATCGTGGATGCCGAAGTTGGCAAAGAATGATCAAGCTGAGCAGCGAAAAAGATGCGAGAGCGAACGCTAGGATCAGTGCTAGTGAGAGGAATGAAACAGAATAGAGGAGAGTGATACTTGCGGTCGGTAGGAGACAGTCCCAAGTCCTTGTCGACAGCGATGTCAGTGGCACTTGAGCGGTGAGGAGAATCTCGCCAGGTCGCGCCTGAAACGCAGGAGACGCGTCTCGGCAACCTTCTCGTAGCTCCCTACGTACCTACGTACCTAAGGTACGAGGTACTCGGTACATATTCCATATAGCCAAAGCATCGACATGCGATAATTTCTTCATCTACCTGTGTGTTGTCGATGGGACAGACTTTCCAGCGGTACTGTCAAACATGGCACCGTTGAACTCAGGAGACTCTCTCCCCCACGAAAAGATGCTTACGGACGTAAATCACCTGCAGGCTAGTAATTAGGCGCCATATTCAACTTATCCACCCCTAGAGTTCCACCCACTAGCCCCCATACAAGAGCCATGACTAACGAATTCTCCGTCCTCCGTATTCTCGTCGGGTAGGGAGTACGAGGTACTCGGTATATACCGAGTCCTTCTGGGCCCTCATGCCTTCACCCTACCGGTTGTTGGGTCCTCGAATTGAAGGCCCGCACTTGCTTCATCCCATTGTCCCTGGAGGAAGAAGATCGCCTTTTCCGCCAACTCGGACATGAAGACGCTCCAAAAGCTACCGTTGGGTGTATATTAAGCACGATTGATCAATCCTCCTAAACACGCGAAAGCCCAGGCAATGGTGAATCATGGTTTCCCCAGCAGAGGATGTGCCAACTGCCAGAAGAGAAAGATCAAGGTAAGAAGTATTGATCCCACCAACCGCAAATTCTGGAATACGTATATAACACTCTTTACAAGTGTAATCAAGACAGTCCGGCATGCATTCAATGCGTCAAGGCTGACTGGCCTTGCCCTGGCTATCGGCCCCGCGTTGACCTCTTATTTCGCGATCAAACCAAAGGCATCACCCGCAAATACCAAGCATATCGGCCGAAACCCTCCTCCATGTCTACATCAAATGGAAGCTCCGGACATCGTTCCTCCAATTCGAAATACTTGTATCCAGACGTGTTACCACGCAGGCTGGAGATGGACGTCATGACGCGAGCAGTATCGTTCTTCTTCTCTCAGTATGTACACCAACCCCTTGCATCCTCCGCGAAATTCCAACCTGGATCCTTCGACTATCTGCCGTCCCTGTACGCACAGGGTCATCCAGACGGCCCTCTCGTTACCATTGTGCGCGCTGCAGCGCTCGCCAGCTATGCCAACGTGGGGAATGTGCCCCGTTGGACAGTGGAAAGCTACCGTTTATGCGGGCTGGGCATTTTAAAATGTAGACATGCGCTTGGGGATCCAGTAGAAGCAAAGTCGGACGCTGTTCTTGCTAGCATCATGCTGCTAGCCATCTACGAGGTGAGTCTTCCGAGCCTGGGCGAATCAAGATGGCACGTAACGTAGGAGCGACAGACTATTGCCCTGAAAGGTCGAGAAGCTATGAAAGCATGGAGTCAGCACATGCTTGGCGCAGCTGCTCTGATCGACTTGCGTGGTCCTAGTCAGTTCCAAGACAGATCTAGCATTCAAATGTTCCTGCAGATGCGACGTCTCATAGTATGCGCCATCTTACTTCAGCTTGCGTTCTTGGTGCCTGCAGGAGAATATTGCTGACAAAAACTTGTGATAGATCCTCTCAGCTTACCAGCTCCAACGACCTGTGCCCTTTTCCTTGAAAAAGTGGTCAACATGGGTAGAATGCGCCGAGGTTGGCGAGGATTGCGAGTTCGTTCATCTCGCTAACCGTCTCGTGGAAATTGTCGAAACGCTTGCATCTGTCCGGGCATTGATCAAAGCATCCAAGACACCAGAAATTAGTGACATCTCATCTATGCTTTTGCCAATCGACAGCATGCTTCAGCGCTGGGAGGACCAGCTGCCCATCCGCTGGAGGCCTACCCCTCATCCTGCCTGCTGCTCTGATGATTGTTCCATGCACAGCCATTTCGAAGGAATGCCTTTTGACATCTATCCTGATTTATTCTGTGCCTCTATCTGGAACAACTACCGTGGTGCTCGGATACTGATTCACGAAATGCTGCTGTCTACGGCCGTTTCCCTTCCCACCACCACGGGGATCCACAGCAAGCAACTGCACACCACGATCAACCTATTGCACCGAATGAACACTGAAATTTGTCTGAGCGTCGAATATCATCTAAGACCCAGTCCAGAGATTCCACTCTACAGCTCCAATGATCATCAGAATGGAATAGGCACAGACTCAATTCCAGGCGGCGAGCTCCTTCTCTGGCCCCTCTTCATGGCCGGCATGTTACCTACGACTAGCCCTGAACGGAGAATTTGGATCTCGAATCATCTGAGACGAATTGGGGCCAATCTAGGCATTGGGTTGGCGCTTTCAATGTGCCAGATCTTGTGCCACGAGAGGGACACAATTCCTTTCTCACACAGCGAGCTGTGGGCGTATGGTGACTGCCAGGCCGAAGGCGTGTTGAAGCAACGCTAATGGCCAAGAAACGGACTAAATTCAACTCTGCATTGACAGATCAGAGCTCCCGTCGGATAACCGATGCCGAAAGCTCCCTGCAGACCAATTACCTATTATCCTAGTCGCACTCATGCGAAGCAGGGGCTTGACATTGAGTGAATATAGCCACCAATACTCCACCAGCGGTTCTTGATTGGTTTTTCCGCAAAGCTAACCAATCACGGACTGGCTTCCTCCTATTCACCGTTCTATAGCCGTTGTTGCTAAACGACGAGCGAATGGAAGCAGCATAGCCGTGCTCTGCAGCACGCTAACTGATCTAACGGCGGATGTGTCTCTCGAAATTAAACGTCGATATTGGCTCCGTTGTCCGTCTCAAAAGCAGAACCTCTGCTTGTTACTAATAGAAGGCAATTCTAACGATGCGGGCATATAAAAGTCCAGTGGCTATCTTTGCCAGGTCAAGAGAGACACAGACACACTGGCGACTTAAACTCCGTCTCCCTCACCAAGAATATGCTCCTCCCAGTGCTTTTGGCCCCCATTCTTGCCTTCAATGGCCTTGTGCAGGGTGCCAAGTTACCTGTTGTCGATCTTGGGTATGGACTCCATCAAGCAATAGGATACAACGTAGGCAAAGACCACTCGCGCGTCCACAAGATGAGACGACTGATGCCTTTATAGGAGACCTTTGACTTCTATAACTTCTCCAACATCCGATATGCTCGGCCTCCGACCGGCAGTCTTCGCTTCACAGCCCCCCAGCCTCCTTTGACGAACCGAACATTGCAGGATGGCAGCTCCGGAGGTATCTGTCCTCAATCGTACCCGGTTTGGTATCTCTGTGGCCTGGCTTTGCTCAGCGGCTCCATCAATTCCACCGATGCCTGCGATGCCAGCCTCATTCCCAAACCTGAGCCCACAGAACAAGAGGATTGTCTCTTCCTGGATGTCATAGTCCCGAAACAGATCTTTGCAAATGCCAGCACAAAACATACCACAGGAGCGCCGGTGATGGTCTGGGTGTACGGAGGTGGATTTACATTCAGCAAGATGTATCAGGATGGGAATCCCGTTGGGCTTATCCAGAGAAGCCGGGAAGAAGACCCCAGTGGCAAAGGTGTTATCTACGTTACCTTCAATTATAGGGTATGTCATTTCTTCCTTGTAACCTCTGACTCTCAAGTATATCTGACGCAGACATACAGGGGGGTGCTTTTGGTTTCCTATCAGGGCCCAACGTTCAATCGAATGGTACGGCCAACGCTGGCCTGCTTGATCAGCGCATGGCGCTCGAGTGGGTGCAGCAGTACATCCATCTCTTTGGAGGTGATCCGAAACAAGTCACCGTATTTGGACAGTCCGCTGGAGCCGGATCCATCATGCACCAGATCACCGCGTATGCGGGCTTGAAGGGACCAGCACCTTTCCAGAGGGCGATCTTGCAGTCCCCCGGCTTTGAACCATTCCCCAGCCACTGGGAGCAGGACAATCTGCTGCAGAAGTATCTGGGACTGCTCAACGTGTCGACAATTCAAGAAGCTCGCGGACTCCCCTTCGCCGCTCTCTCCGCCGCCAACGTGGAACTCGTCGCGTCATCCCCATACGGAACGTTCACATTCGCGCCTGCGGTCGACGGCGACTTTGTGCCTAGCCTGCCCGGCAATCTACTAGCGCAGGGAAACTACGATACATCTGTCCAAATCATGACGGGCTTCAACGCGCACGAGACATTGTACTTTACCAACCCGGACAGCACCAACAACTCCATCTTCCTGTCCAGCATCACGGCCACGTTCCCGGGCATCCAGCCCTCGGTTTCGGACTACGTGGCCCAGACACTCTACCCGCCCATCTTCAACGGGAGCTATCCGTACACCTCGTTCTTTGAGCGCGCAGAGCTCACGCTGCAGGAAAGCGCCTTCACGTGCAACACGTTCTTCCTCCAAACGGCCGCCAACCGCAAATTGAATTCCGTCCAGGCAGAAGACTACGGCTACCGCTTCAGCGTCCCGCCCGCCTACCACGGCCAAGATGTCGCGTACACGTACTACAACCCCGCGACGGCCTCTCCAAACGTCAACGCCACCATCGCCCTCCTCATGCAGCGCGCCCTGACACGGTTCGCGCTTACGGGCAAACCGAACCGCAAGGGCGACGCTGTGGGGACCACGATGCCCGTGTACCAGGGGACGTCGACGGCCGCGGCCGGCAAGATCCTGGACATGAACGTCACGGGCTTGACTGTGATTGCGGATCCCAATGACAATGACCGCTGTCGCTGGTGGCAGAAGTCGCTGTACTACTGAATTGAGCCGACAAGGGTATGGCATAGTACTGCGTATGGTACTCCGTATAGGCGAAGCACAGGAATGGTGATGTGTATGGTGTGGAGCAGTTAGCATGGAGTATTATGGCACGGGGTGTGCGCTGACCACCTGCAAGAGGTAGGTGCCTAGCTACCTAGCTAGGTATCAATCGTTACATCGTACTCAGCCACCACATGGATTTCTTCATCTTGTCAACATCGAAAGGTATACAAAGACCTCCTGTTGTTCGTCCCTTCATCCAAAAGTGGTGCTGTGGCTCGTCAAGTTTATTTTCTCTCTACATGCCCCTTGGGATCGGACACAGATATCCAGCACGTACGTGTAGCGTCGAAGATAGATAGGTTATTGAACGCCAGTCATGATTGAATCAGAGTGTGCACACAAGCTATAATCAATGGTATCTCTAAGCTGCAAAAGCAAGTGTATCAAAAAGCCCACGTCTTATTTCCACTGCTACACTACACCCTTGGCAGCTCAATGCTTGCCCTCCGTAAACCAGGCAGTCGCCCTGTCGACAATCGCCTTTCCGCCCGTCTCGATGACATCGCCGTGACAAGGAATGACCCTATCATAGTCCCACGACTTGATTCTCTTGGCCGACTCGGCAAAACCCTTCCTATCCTTGCCACCAGCTGCGTACCAGAGAAAGCGTTTTTGCCAGGTCATCTCACCCTTGGTGTTCATGATGCCTGCAAAGAGCTTGGTCAAGATTCCCGAGTTTGGGTGAGTTCCGGTCTTGGAGTATTGCTCGGTGGCAGGGAGGTTGAAGAGCAGATCGGCCTCGATCATGGTTCTGCTGGGTTTGTGAAGGAAGACCAACTCTTTGTTGGTGTGCGAGTGGAAGTATTCGTATGAGAACTCGGCATCGAATTCGGGGGTGATGTGCATGTCGAGCTTGTTCTTTGCAGAGAAAACGTGCACGAATTTTGTTCCCTTTGTAGCTGGATCACCCTCTCTCTTCTCTGGCAGCCCTTCCATACCAATCACTTCTGCTTCGGGGTATTCTTTGGCCCATGTGGAAATAAATATGTGATGCTCAATGTCTGGCGCAACGATGTATTTGATTGGACCCATCGACGTGACTTTGGCCTTAACATCCGGTGTGAGCGCGACGGGAGAAAAGACAGCTACATTGCCCGTTTGTAGCTTGACCAGTGTCCCGCGACCGCCGAGCTTGATGTGTCCGAAGCGCAGGAAAGGTACACTGAGCGTTGTGATATTAGGAGTGACGTCTCGAATGACCATGACCTTCGCGGGGTCAGCGGGAATCAAGGAGGAAGCGGATTTGGAGGTAGTCATTGTGAAGGCGCAGGTAAGAAGTTGTTGTGGTGATGTACTGTAGAGGTATTCGACCTGTTTGTGAAGTTATTGCAATACTGAAGACGCAGTGCTGATGAAGAAAAGCTCGGATTGAAACGCAGGGAAACCCTCATGATATACTTTTCCCTGAGCCCTCGTATACCAGGTATCAGACCTTCGTATCAATCTTTGTTCATGGTGGTGGCTTGCATTACCAGTTCATTCGGCTGACTTCTGGCCCAGTCCGCGTGGTTCAAGAACGCGACAGCGGTCGAGAGGTCTAAACGTCATGCTGAAAGTGGACACGGCGCCGCCACGGCCGTTGCTTTTCAGCAAGACAAAGCCTATTGCGGAAGAGCTTCAGGGTTTTCTCGGCTTGTGGTTTGTGAAACTGTCATCATCCCCTGTCGGTCAAACTCAAGTGCAAAGGGCCGCTGGAAAAGCGAGACTCACCTCTACTTACTCATCAAAACACAGCGTCCAGCCACCGTGCTCGCTGCAGAGCTGTGATTGTGATTGTAATGTTAGTCAGCCCTTCTTGTCAACCATCCCTCTCTTGTACAGGTTTGGGCTTGGGAAGCTTCACATTCCGCGAAACCAAGCGAATTGGGGCAATGGGTCGCCTCTTAGATGCTATTTGAAATACCATTCGACCGCTTGCGGCCTGCGCCCCAGGTCCGCTGAGTGCTCGGCCGTAAAGGTATTTGGAAACCAGCACCAACGAATACGACTGCGATCGGAACGAACCGTCTCTTTGGTATCTTCCTCAAGGCTCGTGTGGTAAGTGACAGTGCAAACAAGAAACCTGAGATTATTGAAGTCGTGGGCGTACTTGCGTACTGCCCGAACCCCGAGAGGTCAATACCACCGCAGATTCTGGATATTTGTGAGGTGTATATGGCTTGCCTTGACATGCGGCAGTCGTCATCTGCGGCGGGCTGCTATGCTGAAATTCGAATAGCAGAGTTGTGACGTGAACGATGTAGCTGCAGGTATGGAGAAGACCTCGAGGTCGGAATTGAAGTGTCGACCATGTTGTAAGATGATGAGGGGACTAGGTAGGTAAGGTGATGGCCAAGGTGCAAGGTGCAAGTGAAGGCAGGCTGCGCCGGATGCTCAGCGACGACAGAGAAGGTGCTTCACCTGACGTGGCCTTCTTCAGCACTGCGGCTTCATCATCTTACCGACTATTGTGCACCTATTTCTTAGCGTCAGTGACACACCAGACTCTCGATGCCCATTGTTATCACCTTGACGTCTCAAGACGACTTCGTGCGCACCACCATCTCCGTCATGGATACCGATACCGAGGCAGAGGACTGTCAGGTATTGCATGGCCTACAACATGGACGACGAGCTTCGCAGGAGGACACAGATGAAGAAGCGGCAGAGGTTGTCATGCCACACGAGACACGAACTTGTCTTGCTCAGAGCTGATGCTTCTCTAGGTCGCACAACGTTCACTTAATCAATCCAACGGGAAACCACCAATCCCTTCCTTCTCGCCCAGACAATGGCTTACGCCGAACATGATCCACTGGATCGTCCAGCTCCTCTCCGTCGTAGCATTCTGCGCCCTACTTTTGCCTTACCTACGATACACCCGCTCCAAGAAGAACATTGTGCGTGAGAGATGCAAAGAGGGTGCGTGGTCTCTGTATCAGAGCAAGCTCGCTCAATGTGACGCTCAAGCTGCGACGGAGTTCAGTTTTCGTGGTGGAGCATTCGGGTTGAACTGGATCGAGTACGGGACAATCTTACTTGCCGTGATAGCATGGCATTATGCGGCGTGGCTCTCCCAAGGCTGGATTATTGTGAGGATCTGCTTCGTTAAGACTGAGAGCGAGAGGTAGCGGCCATTACACAGACCAGCTCCATGTTACGAGTTGGCATCCAGTGGCGGACTAAGTGAGGGTATCAACGAATTATGTTGAACAATGGTGAACGGCATTTCTATTTCCTTGAACGCATCGTTTAAATGATCCTGTACGCTTACTATCTCAGAGTCCTCTGCAGCGCCAGTTTCAAGTTGTCTTCCAAGAGCCCGCTACCTCCACAAACATTGCTTGTCTCTTGTCCGAACTTCCGCTTTATTTCGTCAAACCACACATCGTTTTCTTCGTCACTCAAAGCTTGGTTATCAAGCAGCACATAAGCTGGTCCCTGCCCCAATTCTCGTATCTGCACGCCATCGTCACCAGCATCGGGGATGTTAGCGGACGCCGAAGACACCAACTTCCTGGGTTCCCTCCTCGGACTCTGAAGACCTCTTGGGGTGATAAGCAGGAGGTCTGGGTCATCTCCCGAAGATGGATTCAACGGCGCCCATGTCTTCCTCGTATCAGGAGACGCCAATGCGGCGTCCAGCATCTGGCTATCGATAACCATTCCCGGCGATCGCAAGAACAGTGCTTGATCATAATCCCATCGACCCCACTGCAGCTCCCCAAGTAATTGAGACCTGACGTCCCATGCATCGTATATTCGCACTGGGTGGTAAATGAGATTGTGCAATTCCTGGATTTCGCGCATAAAACTCAGTGTTGACGTGTAGAGAGGGGAGAAGTCCGTCTCCCACGTGGATGGATAGAGCAGTACGATAGACGGTTCTTTGGACAGCCGTGAGGATGACCGCTGGTGTTTTGCAAAAAGGAGAGCCGAGCACAGGTGATGGGGCTCGAGAAGAGCGAACATATATGCGAGTCGTTGGAGTGGCATTTGATCTCTCGAAGGTGATCCCGACAGTTCTGGAGAAGCATCCAAGGGCGCTCCATTCTGACCCTCGACGATTACTGGCACTTGTACCGAGTCCAGCATATCTCCCTCCCTTCCGGCCCCCTGAATACCCTCAATGACCATAACAGACTGCGAGCCATCTTGGGGCTGTTCCAACACTTTTGGGACGGTGTCATTGTCTTCATGTTGAAATTGAGGAGGCAGCGTAGGCACAGGCTTTCGTTCAGGCGGTCGCCGAATGGCTTCTTGTATGGACCGCACGGATTGCTGTTGTAGCACGTATCCCGAGAGAAATAACAGGAATGTGAACATGCAGACAACGCCGCTAGAGATAATGACCGAGACGGTCGACGATGTTAGGAGGACCATTGCTCTGCAGGGATCAATTCGTGATCCGAGAAACAGGAGTGTTCGTGCAGTTGGTTGGTACCGTGGTGTCGGCACGAGGAAGATTCTTGGCTGGCCCCAACTTGAAAGATTAGGTCTTCTTGGACGTCTACCGGTATGAGTTCAGACCGTCGTCTGCTCTTCTCAGGTGGCTTCGGATGATGCCGCTCATACTAGGTATGCCGGGAACTTGTCGTCCTGCTAATACTTAGAGGATCGAGTCCAGAGGCTTGTTTACAGCCTCGTCGCGAGGGACAACCAGATTTCTTGGCGGGCCAATAAAGGCTCGCGAGGCTCCCGCCAAAGACGCCGCTTTAGAATCGACGTGGTTGCGGCTCTGCTCATTTTCCACCTTGTGTTCTCCTGCTTTTCACTTCTTGTCGGATAATTAATATGTGCTCCTCTTTCAACCTCGGCCTTTTTCTTCGGCAGTTCTATTGGATCTTCTCCCTACGAGGTACATGCATTAGTATGCTGCTGAACCCTCACTCAGTACTCGGTATCCCGGCCAGGGTCCACCAAGCTCTAAGGTTCGCGAGCTGCAGATCTGGCCCTTCTGGACCCCTTCTTGGATAGGCTTTCAATCAATGGATTCACTTGTTCCACGCAGACCTTTCTGTTTTGTACTTTGAGCCGTACAAAAGTACAACAACCGCCGTGAACCTGGCCATTTCCTCCATATCAGAAGAAGATGGCTACAGTCCAGCCGCATCTGCACAAAGCCTTCCCGGTTTTAATGCCATGCCGCTGTCGAAGTGACACGAGGATGCCTGCGTCGGATCATCCTTGCAAATGTGCGCCTACGAGGTAGCACTCACACGGAACTTCGAAGCGAGCAGCTTCTGAGCGAAGTCTGCATGCATGTGTCCAGACTGCTGGGAGGCATCCCTTCTATCTCGGGACGGCTAGTGTAATCTGCATGTCTGAGCCACTGCCTCTTGGTCGCCTTTTCGTGATGAACGAGCGGCCAGCCTCATTCATGGAACCGCTGGACTCAGCGACGGCGGTAGCCACCCGATCACATGAGCGGTACTATTGGTCGGAAAAAGTGATGGTTTCTGTCGAGCCCATGTCCATAGTGAGGCTGAAGTCTGACCTTCGAATCTCGACCCTTCCCCTCCTTTCCCTGACCAAACCTATATATTTCCGCGTCGCACAATCGGAGCGGCTTCCATTCTCCCCTTCCAGCAAGATTTCGAGGCAAACCCAAAGACCCTAACTCAAATCTGCACTGTATTGCACTGTTGACCATGGCCAACGGCGATGCTTGTGCTGACTGTGAGCGGTCTCATGTCCACGTCTGGCTTTGTTCAGCCTGTTCAGGTATCTCGTTTTGCAATGAATGCTGGCCAAAACAGGCTGCCCACAAGGCAAAGACCACGAATCTCGGGAATCGCTCTCATGTGAAAGAAGACAGGGCCACGATATTGATGATACGCTCAATCCTGGAACCGCCGATGGATCCTCAAGAAATCAGGAATCTGCACGACAAAGACCAGGGCACAAGGTGGTTTGGAGTCGTCAAATCATCTGATGGAAGGAAATCAGAGTTTTATGACTTTGGCCGTTACGGTCAAATGATGCTGGATAGCCGGCCACTCGGCGGCGCGGCGAGATACCCAAAACTAGTCTCTTTCATCGGAGACACGTGTAGGTTCTCTCAGATCGGCCACCTGGTAACTCTCTGACTTTGGCAAGATGCCGGCAAAAGTACAATCGTGAAAGCGCTGGTTTCTCATGGCGGTTTGCTGTCAACCGAGGCCGACCGCAATTCTTTGCAGACCCCTGTTCCGGGTTCCAGAGCCAATGAAGGAACAGCAACGTCTGAAGGCGTACACTTGTATGCGGATCCGGAGCATCTAGAGGTTGCGATGCCGATCCTTTATGCTGACTGCGGGGGTCTGAATGCGGGTGAGAAAATGCCTTTCGCAGTGCAAGAGTCGTCCCATTCCAGAAGGATGCCAAAGGAGTCAAGTGGGCATAGGAAACTAAGAAAGAGGATGCCTGGGAGATCTGTCCCTATTGAAATGGACAAAGGCAAACGATCCAGTCAAAGGGACTCGGGAATATGCTGTCACCAATTTCTACCCTGGATGTCTCTATACTTTCTCTGATGCTATTGTTTTCGTCCAGAGAAATCCGAAGTGAGTACGTTTCATTCAGGAAGAGTACCCACTAACAAACGCAAGCCAACTCCACATAACCTACAAGTATCTCGTCGACTGGGCAAAACGCAGCGTCGAAAAGTCGCTGAATCAACCTATTCTGCCGAGCGCGATAGTGGTCCTCAACGCGGTCGAGGTGGCTGGTAAAGAGGAGAGATGGACGATCGAAGACGCCACTAAAGAGCTTTTTCCGAGACGTTGAAGGCATCACGACCACTGAACCGGATCTAAGAGAGCTCGCGAGGAACTTCGCTCCTGAAGGTCATCGTCGGGGCTTGTTCGCCCGAGAGTTGCTCGAATGTTACTATCGATCTGTTCGCGTCATTCGAATCCCCGCGAAAAGCTCCGAGCCGTACAACTTGATCAACAACCAAATCTTGCAACTCCGAGAGGAGATCGTCAGTGTATGTCAGACCGCTCACTACGAGAAAAGTATCAAACGCCGGCTGGCCAACGCCGACGACCTGCAGCAATATCTACAAGCAGGTTTCGAGCATTTTGCCAACGACATTGAAAGACCTTTTGACTTCCGAAGGGTGTCCACTCGTAATAAACTCATTGCCCACGATTTTGGCGACCACATTTTGACGTTGGCAAGAACAATCCACGAGAGTACTCGTCACGAGCGCCTGCAGCCGATAATGCTCCTCGGTGGCTTGTGTTCGTTGAGAGCATCGTGCATTCTGTTGGACTACGTCCGGAATAACTTACAGGGTAAGTCAGTGCTGCCTTTCGTGATGCTGAGATTTTTCAATAACATCATCACAGGCCCTGTGATTGACTATTTCCTGAAGGACTACGCCCCTTTCTGCAAGACAGCCTTACATATGTTCTGCAACGATGTTATGCCATGTGAATACACTAGTAAGAGAATTCCGCATTGTTTCAATGTCAAGTCAGCCCACGACAAGGGACACCAGAATGAGAAGGGCACGAGAGAAATCGGGGAGTATAAGTCTTCTCTTATGGCTTCTTCATATGAGAAGGTTTGGCTGAAGAAGATCGAAGACAATCTGAAGGCGGTCAACAGCACTTTTATACAAGAGCTCCGCTCGAGGGTTCCACTTTCAAGGCAATCTCGAACAGATCTTTCCGGTAATCACGAAGGCTCCATTTCAACGGACATGAAACTAGTCTCCCAACTACATGACGAGAAGCTCGTCCCAGATCAAGTCTTCTCGGGACTTTATTAGCTGTGTGAGCTGCTTTCGATGTCTCATGGCTACACCTGAACACGCTTTGGAATGTGGTCACGTCCTTTGTGACCCTTGTATTCGGGAACATGGGGAAGAACAGGATGATCTTATCACTCTGGTCGGAAGCTGCCCGCTGCATGGAGGAAAGATATATGAATTGGGAAATAGCCAAGAAACCTGAATTCGCAGGCCTGCGGATTTTGTGCCTGGACGGGTAAGTGCGTCTCCGCAGCCTCTTAGAAGACACTAACAATGGCGACTCAGGGGAGGAATCCGTGGCATCGTGGAGCTTGAGATCTTAGCTGCCATTGAGAACTGTATCAACAACAACCATCCGACCCACGGGATTCAAATTCAACAACTGTTCGATCTTATTGTGGGAACAAGGTAAGTGTCCCCGCGCCCGTCTTTCTGCGAATTCTGACACGCCTAGCACTGGTGGCATCGTCGCTCTCGGTCTGGTTGCAGCGCAGTGGTCTGTATCTGAATGCACGCACAAGTTCCTGTCTCTTTGCAAAGAAGCATTCTCGGAACGGGAGTTTGCAGATACAATCTTCGAAAGTCTGGCGACCTTGAACCACGGGAGCAAATATAGGACGACACCATTGCATAGAGTATTGAAGGAGTCTTTCGGCGACGACCTTTTGTTTGGGGGCCGAAGTGACGCTGCGAGATACACCACAAAGGTAGCTGTGGTGTCTACGTCAGGGACGGGGAACCGAGCCTTGATCATGGCCAACTACAACCGCCAGCAAACTTCTGATCCCGGATACACTTTGGAAACCGCCAGGGCGCCCAGCGAAGCATTTCATGTCTGGGAAGCTGCCGCGGCAACCTCAGCTGCTCCATCATATTTCAAACCTTTTGTGCGGCGTGGAAGAACTTACCTCGATGGAGCCATCAATCACAACAATCCTGTGATTGTCGCGAAAAGAGAACGAAGGCTGCTGTGGCCAGACGTCGAATCACGCCACCCGGATGTTTTTCTCTCACTCGGGACGGGTCAACATGAAGCAGAGATGAAGCGAAAATTGGAGAAACTCTCTGGTCATTCCAGAGAGGACCAACTGAGAAGGAAGCAGCAGCAAAACGAAGGATCGCGAGATTCTCGAAAGCGCTATCGAGCCATCAAAGGCATCAAAAACTACCTCAGCGTCTTGGTAAGTATCATTGTGCCATTCTCGTTCCACCAGTGCCAGTGGCGAATGGTTATTCTGACCTTGATCCTCCAGTTTGACAAGATTGACAATATCCTCGACACTGAATGGTCCTGGCACGAGTTCTACCGCGACACGGTGGGCGAACATTGGGCAACCGATTTCGCGTCCCACTATTTCCGCATCAACCCTGACCTCAAACAAAAGCCACCGGCGTTAGATGCAAAATTTGAAGTGGATAACCTTCAAGCGAAGGTACATAAAATGCTGAGACAGCCTCCGTTGTCCCGCGAGATTACAGAAATTGCGAACGCCCTGGTTGCCAGCACCTTCTATTTCCGAAAGGACGAGTCCCGCGTTTATGGGGAAAAGCACAATCAGACCTTTGTTTGCAGCGGTGAGTGCAAATGACTCGGGAAGGAAGTCGCTGACAAGGTCGAAAAGGTCAAATCCGCTGCAAGCTCGCTCATCAGGACCAGAGCATCAAAACCCTGGCTGAATTCCTGCAAAATCACATTATTGGAAACTTTGTGCCTAGCTTTGTTGTGAAGAAGCGTTTGGCTTCGTCGGAAGAATTCACGGTATGTATTTACTTCCTCGCAACCTGCGGGACGTTTCTTTTACAAGGGCGTAGAGCTGAATCGTGCTACAGCTTCTCGATTTAGACAAAGACTTCCTTGACGACATGTACACTCGGAAAGTATTTGACGGAGGATGGACTGGAGAGATCGAGCTTCGGGACCGCGAAGAACCAACCTACATCCTTCTTCGACTGCGACAACTTAGCTCGAGGTCTAACAGAGTCTCCACATGCGACTATCCCATCAGCGGCTTCCCGCGCAAATTCAACGTGGAGAATGAGAGAAACGGTGAGACCCCTCTCGACTACATTTTACTTCTCGATGCCGGAAGGACTGACAAACGTGCAGCGTCGAGAATGCAGAAGCGAGTGCAGGAGCTTGCCAGGCGCCGTGAAGCTGGGGGCGAGGCTGCCGCTTCTTCGTCTTTTTCACCTACGATCCAGCCCACCGCCTCAAGGTCGTCATCCAACAACAACCGCGTGTCGACTGCAGAGAGTCTTGCGGATTCGGATACGGAATACGAGGATGGGCTCCTGTCAGAGCAAGTCCTGAAGGAGTATGAGGTGTGGTCGACACCAGACTGACTGGGGTTTCCTTGATGAAGATTTTGAGAGGACAGGCACGCAGGTTATGGCGACATCCGCGTCGATGAATATCTGGAGAGCTAGCTACCTAGGCAGGTACATGTAGATTTCACTCTCAATAGCCATTTCTTCCCTTCATACCTCGTCCATCTTTCCCAGGGGTATCGAGGGGGTGCATAGAGCGGCACTAGGCTAAGCCCAAAGAAGGATGGCGGCTTCATGACGTTGTTGCCGCCCTGCAAGTCTGCGCAGGGCACATATTTTGGTATGTCATGAATGAATATGTTCAACTAGGCCATACAAGTTTGTCTAGAGAGCGATAGTCTCTATCTCCCCTCCTCCATCAGCGATTGAGCAGCTACCATGACGCACCGCGCCGATGCCTCCAACACACTCGATAACCGCGGCTACAGCGGTCCGCTGGTGCGCGGCCAAAATCCTGCCCTCCTCCTAGAAACGGCCATGCGCGACCGCATTACCGACTCTCTCTACTGGAAAGAACAATGTTTCGGGCTGAACGCGGCCACTTTGTGCGACCGAGCCGTTGAGCTCACCTACATCGGCGGCACATATGGCGTGGCCATGAAACCTACGCCCTTCATCTGCCTCGCATTCAAACTCCTGACCCTCGTCCCCGACCGAGAGATCGTGCTCGAATATCTCCAAAATGGGGGGGAAGAGTGGAAATATCTGAGAGCCCTCGCGGCGTTCTATGTCCGCTTGACGTTTGAGCCCGCAGACGTATACAAGACCCTGGAGCCGTTTCTGGAGGATTCGCGAAAACTACGGCAAAGGAGGAAAGAATCTTATGTGTTAATACACATGGACGAGTTTGTGGATAATCTGCTTACGAAAGATAGAGTTTGCGGGACAAGTCTGTGGAAATTGCCCGCGAGGCAGTTGTTGGAGGATCTGGAACAGCTGGATGAGAGGGTCAGTCCGATGCAGGCGGAGCTGGACGCCATGGAAGAAGAGGAGGAAAAGGGCGAGAGACAAGACGGGGATGAAGATATGGAAGATGGGGAGAGAAATGGAACGGCCTCTGAGCATGGGAGAAGTCCCAGGTCGTTGAGCAGGAGTAGGAGCGGAAGCAGGAGCAGGAGTCGATCGATCAGTGATTGAGGCAAAAAGCACGCATTACATGGTCCGCCCCAACAGCAGCTAATCCACGACCTCAAACGACGATAAACTCGTCGTCAGCGGTAGACGGTGACTCGGCCCCCTCTGATCTCGACTTGGCCACTTCACCCTCGATATCCCCGACACCGTGTCCTGCGTCTTCCGTCCCGAATGGCGCAATCATCGATACCTGCGATCTAATGAGGTCGATCAGGGATGTGCTGTCGTCGTGGCGCTCCCACGTCGGATGCCTGATATGTCTCTCAGGGGCCTCGACTTCCTGCGACGGCGGTTCATCCTGAGCCGTGGCTCGAGCGGCGTGCACATCATTTTCGTCCTCATCAATATCGCCTTTGGCCGAATTCTCCTCGAGATGGGCGGACTGTTGAGGCTCTTCATGAGTAGAGGTCTCCGGATCTAGCTCTTCGTGCTCTTCAGCCGCTTCATCCTCCCAGTTCACAGGGTTAGGCCCCTCAGGACTCCTGGGAAGCGCCAAGTTGAGAGCATCAGAGCCCACAGACTGGTCATCGTCGTCATCGTTTTCGCTCCTAAACGATCGCTCAGACACATTTTCGCTATCGGCAGCAATATCGTCAGGCTGACTCCAGTTTCCCTCGCCCGACTCCCGACTCACAAGGTCCCGTCCCCTCCACACCTGCCGCCTCACATACCTCGTCCATTCAGGAGCATCGCATGAGGCATCGAGTAGTTGGGGCATGCTCGGGCCACCAATGTCTGTGTTCACGACATTCAGCAGTGTTATGGAAAAGCCACTGCCACGCATAGCTCCATAGCTAGCAGTGTCACTTAGTTTTGCAGGTATGACCGCGCCAACACGGCCATAAACCCGAACGGGCCAGATATTCCACTGCTGTTGCAGCTGCTCGACCGTCATATCGATCACGTCGTTGACCCGGTCTCTGTCCTTGGGCCGGAGAGGTTGATCGAAATTGACTAGCAGCACTGGCTCATTGGAGTTTATGTGGACATGCCTCGATCGCGGGGTAGCAGGGTCAAGGAGCGCTTTGAGCACCGAGGCGACCGTCTTGCTGTGCTCGTCGATACTGATATCAGGCTCGATCTTGACGTGTGATGAGTCCCAGGTGATCAAGTTCCTCGCGACGAGGCTGGCGACTTTGCGAACATCCTCGTCGCTGTAGCCACCCCAGTTCATCAGGGCGTCACATATTTTAGCCACGAGGAGGATCCCGGTACCTGTATTTGCTGTGTTTGTGTGCTCGTCGCCAAAGGGGACAACATCTTCCACTTCAACCCCGAGGGATCCTGGTAAGTCGAGGATGCTCCTTTGAGCACTTGCGCCTGCCACATCCATTCTTATTCTCTTCTCTGAGAACCTAGGATAGATATCCGCGATGAGCTTGGGTGAGGTCAGTGACCTTGAGCTGTAGGATGCAGCCACGCCGCCGCGCGATGCGTGTAATCTTTCTCGCGTGGTTTGTGTCCAAACCGATGAGATTTCGAGGATCTATGAGCTGCCGAATCCTGATAATCGCGTCAGAGCAGCAGGTTGCTAGATCTCGCGCAGAGCAAACGTCCGTGGAGTCAAAATCACTTAAATGTTCGCATGTACTCTGTATACATATATCCCCCAGTTGTGAAGAAGTGATAAAAGATAAGGCAGAAGGCAGTAAGTAGCTATTTCTCCTTCTCTACATATTATCGAATAAATTATCACATGTCATGCCATGCTCTCTGTCTTGTCCGGGAACCCCCAATCGACCCATCGATGAAGATCGCTGACGTCGAGAACGTTTTGATCGGCGCTGTTGTTGGGTAGCGGGGGGATGTGTTAATATGTAGTAAAATAACCGAGCTGAAAGCGGTACGATAGGATTCGGATACTGAAAAGCCGCTCCCAATAATACTCGGTAGCCATGGCCCAAATATGTACCAACCCTTATGTGTCTTACCACCAGGGCCTTTTTATCATCGCCACTCTCGTTTTTCGTGTGACTTGTCAATATGTGTACCTGTGCCCTGTATATCTTTATCACAACCACCGACCCTGGAAAGGGGGAGATAATATCGCAATACCTTAGGGCACCGGAGGTGAATATTATTGAAACAGTGTAAATAATTATCACATTTGCGGTCCGCAAGAGTGGGATTATTTTTTGCTTAACTAGGCTTTGTGAAAAATCAAAAGATGATATGGTAAGGAGGGGGATTTTCAGCCTCCCGTGAATGTCCATGCACCAACCAGTTCTTGTCCATCTTTGTGTCGATTGAGGTCTAATTCGTTTCGCTTGTTTTTTTGTCTTCTTTTTGGATTCTCTCTGGTCTGGCGTTGATCGCGTCGGGTTTTGTGGGTTACATGCGTGCGGGTGAGATCCTTTTCGTCACCTCCTGCGTGCTCCTTGCGGCGGGTGGTGGTGGTGGTGGCGGTGGTGATGATGTATCTATCTTCTTCTTCTTTTCTTCTTCTTCGCATCGGCCTTGTCGAGGTGGGTATCCCGCCGCTCGTGAACAGATCCCGTGGTTCAACCCACACGGCGACACCACACCTAGCTGTATCCCCCTTCTGGTCCAGCTACTCAACATCCCCAAACCCCTGCTGACCCACCCACTTCTCCTTCCACCCCGGAAACCACGGACTCTCGTCGAGCGTGTGATGCTGCCAATCCTTCTCCACGATCCCCTTCTGGATCTGCTCGCGCTCGTACTCCTCCAGCGCGGGGATGACCACGTGCTCGACGTGCCACGTGTTCTTGTACTTCATGAGGTTCTCCTTGCCATCCCGCAACACCTTGAGTACCAGGCTGGGGATGTAAGGCTCGGAGCGGAACTCGGACACGGGTGTAAAGAGGGCCTTGAAGTTGAAGACGATCCCGCCCGAGAGCGGTAGCCGGCGGAGTGTTTGCCAGTCGACTCGCAGGTGGATGCGTGAGAGGTCCAGGTCGGGGGATTGGAAGTCGCGGTACTTTTCGTGCGGGTCCCCGGGTGGCATGTATAGAGGTTGGTCAACCTCTAGACCCCACGAGCCGCGCTGGATGGGTTTGGGAGAGGGCATTTTGGTGAAGAATCTAGAAAATCACCAACGTTGGTTAGCAGGCCACAGAACTAATAGTATAGAGATGAAAGGGAGGCCAGGGCTTACCGATCCATGCTGAACTGCATCTTCTCCTTGTAGTCCGGGATCGGCGCGTGGATCTGGTGCAGCTGCATCCCAATCTTGGTCCCGACGTTCCACCCCAGCGCTGAACAGATCATACCCGCCCGGAAGTGGTAGTACCCGGTCTCCGGGTTTCGCAGCATGATGGCAAAGTCTTCAGGAACGTTATCCAATAAGACCAGAAGAGGATGCTTGGCCGAGACGTCCTGTTTTGTGCCCAGGATCTTGTTCTCGAACGTCTTCTTGTCAGAGCCGAGGGAGAAGTACTGCGGGTACCGGGCGCAAAGGAACTGGAGCGCCATCTCCATGAGTTCTTTGCAGGCCAGTTCGGATCCGGGCAGCCACTGGAGGACGGCCTCGCCGTGTTCGGCGTACAGCTTCTTGCGTTGTGCAATTCGCGTGACGTACGTGTTTTCCAGCTCCAGCCACCAGTCTGGCTCTAGCTTGGTAAGTGCTGTAAGGGGGAAAGAGTCAGTCTAGTAATATAAAAGATGAAGAACATGGGGACTGACACATAGTCTGATGATATGCCCATCGGAAGGGTCGGTAGGGCCGTGGAAGTGCTTTGTTGATGTCGTGTTCATGGTAGGGTTTTGGGAGCGGAACTCCGCTGAGGGCAGCGTAATCGGGGAAGTCGCCGAGAGCTCGAATTTCTTCAACCTTGTAGCCGGTATAGACATATTTGTTGGAGTCAGCCTTGCGGAAATCCTCGCCAAATCCGAGAATAGATTTCGTCCAATTCTTCTCGTCGAATGTCACACTCTGCAGAGCTGCGCGGCGATCTTCGGGTAGCGAGGCAGCGGCCTCCACAAGGTTTTCTCTGGTTAGAGGCGGGAACGTGTTGACATATTCGGACGACTTTGGTGGAGAGTTGTTGGGCTCCTTCTTCTCTGGCGAGAGGGAACGAGGAGGCGTGTCTGCACTTGACGAACGACGACCTCGTAACGTCAACCTCCTGTAGACGACTTCTTTTTGACGTTGACTGAGGCTCAGATAGGTGATGATGCCGACACAGATGGCGAGACCCACGTAGAGCAGGGTTCGCTCGTCCTGGAATGACCCCATCTTGACGAAGAAGGGAAAGGTCGAAAGAAAGCGAGAGATATATGTACAACCAGCAAGGACAGATCGATCCTGAGCAGTAACGGCTTAGAGGTGAAGTCGTCTCAAATCCTGGAAAGTGACAAGCCACAACCACCAACAACAGCCGAGAGGTGTATATCACCGTAAGCGGGCAGAAGCCAAGGACCGCTTGTTGACAATCAATGCCAGGGACGGTGAAAGGGCGTTTGGTATAAATATCGGCGGCGGATCTCGAAGATCTCCCGAACAGGACAAAATGCAAGCAAAACAAAGATAAATGGGTCAAGTCACACCACCGAGGCTTAGCAACCTTGAGGACAGCGGTAAGACAAGACCTGCCTGTAGAACAAAGGCACAGAAAGAGCAGGTAAAAGGTCAGAAAGGTTGAGCTACCAGCAAGCGATGTGGAATTGGGGAAATCAGAGGGGGAGTTGATGATGTTGTCTGAAGGGAGAAGTGAGCTCAAATGGGTGTAGAGCAAGCAGGGACGGCGGCTGTGGCCAATGGCGAACCCCACCGCTTATTGGAGAGGAGTATAGAGCTATCAGTCCAGATAACTCAGACCAGGTACTTTGATCCAAAAGGCCATGAGGACGGCTGGACAGGTACCGGTGGCGTAGCCTATTCTTGTCGAGGATGATCGCAGTGGTTCGTGCCAGGTTATCGAGCAACGTGCGAGTGGCTGATGCGTGAGCCCAAAAGAGCAGAAGCAGAAGGAAGCCAGCGAGCCAGATCCAGGGACGGCTCGACTGGCCATCCAGGGATCCGAACAAGAAGGTCGATGGAGCGAGAAACCGATGCTGGTCGTCCGAATGCAAAGGCCAGCGGTTGGCTGCACGGACAGCCTTGCCATAAGGGGTTTAGTGCGATATTGATACGGCGATAACGTATTCAATCCACTGGCAGCCCCTGATTGGTGGACGCTTGACCCCGCGACCCCCACTTTGACCATCCATCGATTGTTCCTCTTTCGGGCAAATCTATCCCGGCCTCGACATCTGGGAGCTTCCCTTCGCCCTGCTCTCTTGGAGCCAGGGTCACCTCGCCTGACAACGTGAAGACAAACGGTCCCGACAGCAGTCCTCACCGGGCGAGCCAGTCGAAGTCTAAGGTGCAACATGTCTGTGCCATACACGCAGAGCACAGAAGAACAGCCAATCTCATGATTTGTTGCTCCTGTGCCACGTCTATTCTCGTCGCTTGTAACGTCAGCCTGGCCGAGTTCTCGAAGCCATCATGAGAACGACCATGCTGTAGCACAATGACTTGTGCAACGTGCCTTCAGTTGGCCGCCCAATCACTTGGATGTGTCCACACGTGGCCACCACCCCTCGGATGCTTGCCGATGTGCTTCTGGGCCGCTGATCGTGAAAAGGACATTTGCAAGTGCTATCATCCTGACTGTGAAAGGAGCCAATTGCACGGACGAAGAGACGCGGATTTCTGGTTTCCCGGTGGCCGCTCGAAGCCACAACTGGAATTCCTCGCCGGTGGTACTGGTGATTGAATACCGCTGGCTTGACGCCCTTGTGTAGGACAGCTTTGTGAGATTTGTACCCAGCCACTTGGTTCACCCGTCCTTGGTGGCGGCTGTCGTCGCGTTTTCCTGAATTTATCTCAATCTCAACCTCGCAAGCACTTCTACCTCCAGCCTTATAAGGCAGGGCGGGCGTCAATATGATGATTTCGGCTACTTACCATCCAGAGCAGATCCGCAAGCCTTTCGTTCGCACTGCTGCGTTGCTCGACCCTCCATTGCGTTGTCGGACTCGTCGCTCAGAATGTTCAACCTCCAACCCTGCTTGTACAGGCCACTACTCGCAAGTGACATGGTGAAGGAATACAAGGTGACCTGGACGCCGATATCAAGCAATACCCACCGTCTTTACCTGCGAGTGCGACGGTAGCCCCAACAGCTGTCGACACAGCGTAAATGATCGTGTAACACCGGATATGTTGCAAGCTCCCCAATATTGAGGCTTCTGTTGCAACGTGAAGGTAGGACGCGGCGGGACTCGAATAATGGCAATACCAAGAGGATCTCCAATATCAATTCGGGCTCGCGCAGACCTATTCTGGGACATCCTCAAGGCAACTTAACCCCAATCGAGAATTGATGAAGGACAGTATAATGCTTGGTGCTCGCGTTCATGTGGGCGACAGCATGAATTTGTGCGTTGGAATTCTCTTAATACAGTCTTTCCTTCCTTGAACACGCAAATAGCTGGCACTTGCTTGCTCGCTTGTGTCAAATTGTCTGCAGTGCGTGGTCTTCGGTGCACGAAGCAATTCCAAAAGTCCTCCCCTTCGACACTACGGCCAAGGAGGATCCCGGTTCCTTGCTCCAAGCAAAATGGCGACGCGATTTTCTGATCGTGAAAAAGGGGAGAGTCGCCCCTTACAAGGAGTTTTGGAAAGCCACTCTGCAAGTCGCAAGGAACTTTTTGCTGTGTGCGGAAATCTGACAACATTTCTTGCAGTGTGAGACTCAGTGCAACGCTGGCTGTGCGTTCAACCGAGCCTTTGGACATTCAGAGCTGGACAAGGTATCTGCGTTGCGACAGAGATCGGACAGACGGTAAAAGTCTGAGGCCGGGAATATTTAACGATCCAAAACCTGGATAAGTGCAATCATGGATATCTCGACGCCTTCGCAGCTCAAATTCCTTGCAGGCCCAGGTGATAATCAGCGCACAAAGAGAAGTGGTTCGCCGATCGATGGTAATCCAGAGGCTGACACCGTTCCGAGCTGACGGCAGTGTAATCATTTGGCATGGATGGTAGGCAAAGCTACCACGACTTTGTTGGACTGAAAGGAGGATCGTCGTACAGTGCAGCCTTAAGCGTCCAACGTCGGTGTGCCACTCTCGTCACGATTTGAGGGGGCCTGAGAAGCCAAAGCAAACGAAGCAGCGCAATGTTGCGCTGGAGGCATATGCATTTCCGTTCCCCTCTCACAAACGCACCGCAAGAGCCGGCCTTAAGCGAAGCGGTTGGTCGAAGTCAAGTTCTTGTCGAGGCATGCTGTATGAGAGTGTCGAACCGCACGGGGAGCTCCTAGACCCTCGAACCCGGTACTATGAAACATGGCGAAGAAGGCACCAACGCACTGAGAAGGTCTCTGAATCCGCGCTGACGCGCTGGACATAGTTTGAATCCCGCTTGTATCGCCTTCATGCTGCCCTTGTCTGGAATGGTCGCTTCCTGTGCGAGAATCGCGTCCTTTTCCCTAGAATAAGTAAGTGTGCGGTGAACATAATGCGATCTTTGAGCCACGCAAAATCAATCCGGATGTCCATCGGTTATCCTAACTCGGCCTCATAGAATGGCTGTGAGGGTTAGAGCAGAGGATGGTGATGTTGTTGAAAGCCCCTCCAGGCTGTTGCGCGGAAAGGCTGCGCAGCGTTTACTGATGATTCACCGTAGCCGGCACTTCCAGCTTGATGCGCACTTTTCAATTTGTTGAACACGACTCTCCCTCAGGTCTAACGTCGTCCAGCATGCTCCAATACCACGTAGAGCAGGAAGGATGAGGACAATGGCCGAAACCCTATGTACTCGACCACAAAACAAGTACATCCATCATGGGCGCATTCGTGCCTCGCCGAATGTACCCTCACCTCGGGTCGATACCTAGATCCTATTACCTAGGCCACCATGCGGCCGGTTTGTCGAAGATGAAATCGATGATCTCGCAAATCGATCTTGTCATCGAGTGCCGAGACTATCGTACGCCTCTTGTATCTCGTAATCCGCTGTTCGAAGCCAACCTCGGGGAACGACCGCGACTGATCGTTTATACCAAGCAAGACCTGGGGAGTAATTTCACAAGTGAGGATAAGCAGGTATGGGCAGCCCAAGGACTGAGCTTGTGGGTAACCTTCTGACATGGACCAGAGGGAAAAGATCATCAAGAAATGGGATGTCCCATCCACCTCATTCTTTGCAGATGTGAAATCCCGGGTTGCCATCAACCGAGTCCTTGACTTTGCCCGGGCGCATGCCAACGCCTCTACCTCTCTGTTCGGCACCCGTCTCATGGTAGTAGGCATGCCTAATGTTGGCAAGTCGTCGCTTCTCAACGCATTGCGAAACGTCAGCTTGGGCAAGAGAAAGGCTGCAAGGACCGGAGACCAACCCGGAGTAACCAGGAAGATTGGCAGCGATGTCAAAATAATAGAGGCAGAAGATGGTAGAGAAGCTGTGTATGTTCTGGACACTCCTGGCGTTTTTGTTCCCTATGTGCCCGACGCCGAGAGCATGCTGAAACTCGCTCTTTGTGGAAATGTCAAAGACACGATCATCCCGCCAACGACCATCGCCGACTATCTTTTGTACCACCTCAATCTTCGAGACCCGGCCTTGTACAACATGTTTTCCGAACCAACAAACGACATTTTTGTTGTGCTGGAGGCACTTGCGCGGAAACAGGGTCGTCTGAAGAAGGGCGGAGTGCCGGATTTTGAATCTGCGGCTTTGCAGTTTGTGCAGAAATGGAGAAGTGGGCAGATGGGCAAATTTGTGCTGGACGATGTTACGGAAGACGCGTTGGCTGAGCGGACTCGACAACTGGAGTTCCTGGGAGGCAGTATGAATCAAGCCCGCAAAGCCGCGAAGCAACAGAAGAAGGAAGCCTACCTGGAAGCAGACTGAACCATGATTGAAGTCCTCAATGGCCAAGCGGGACAACATCACCGGTCAGATGCCTGTTCTTCACCTTGAACCTTGGCGACGGCCATCTGATATCACCACCTCCGCCAAGTATGTCACCCACAACTACGAAGGCACACCACAGGCATGATAAAAATACCTCATGTGGTCGATCTTCGGCGACAAAAAGTGCAAAAACTTAACATTGTGTTAAGAAACTCTGCCCTTGCGGGTTGGTTTTTTAAGTCATCAGCTTTACAGCTGGAATCCCGAGCTTTGCAGCCCAATCTCCCCTCTCGACGCGGACCCCTCCTGCTCGGCCTCCTCCTCTTTCTTCCTCGCTGAGCGCTCGACCCCATTTTACCCTCCCCCGTCTCTCGCTTCTGAGCCTTTTTTTGGTTGGTTGGTTATGGTTCGAGGTCCTGCTGCCTGCACACCCGTTATTGTGGCTTCGACCTGACAGGACCTGGATTTGAACTGGATATCGGCCCTTGTTGAGGTAAGGGGGTCTTGGTGTGATAGCAAATTGCGGGTTTCAAAGATATATGTTTGAATTATTTGGACCTGACCTGGGGGAGTGGGCCCAGCCTTGCGATGTGAAGAGCCGGGAGGAAGTCTTCACATGACAAGGCTGTCTCAGAGGGATTCACACACCTCAGTCAATTACGGGCTTGAGGCAGGGAAGCAGAGTCTCCATCTGGGGAGCAATGCAGCTCATAGCCTGCGCTACGAGGGCCACTTCCTCTTGCTCTCTCTGGAGCTATCTCAAGTCTCCTTTCGAATGAGCAGATGAGGCAAGCTTCCAAAATCTCTACCACGAGCTATCTGTACTATAGACCATCTTCTGTGTATATACCCTGTACATGTACTACCGTCCACTCCACCTCCTGCCTTTGATCAATGAAGGCATCGATGCCATGCTGTTGGCCTACACATCCGAGACACCATGAGGGTTGAGACAATGCAGCGACCCGTATAGGTGATCCTGTTCCTGTTCTGACAGATATCTTCTCACAGGTCCGGGATACAGCAGAGGTTGGAAAACGGCCGGCTTACACCTGGGAACGCAACAGCCAAAGGAATGAGCTGCACAAGGTACCGAGTAGAAGGAGGTAAAAGGGATGAGGGCAATATGATATAGTAGCGTCAAATCTACGTTCTCGCGTCGTCATGGTCCGTCGAACAAGTATTTCTAGAACGTCTTATATACGAGTGCTCCAATTTAACCCCTGTCTATACCTCGTACATGGCATTCCCGCAATATCTTCACCAACACCACAGCTCTCTCCCTCTCTCTTTCTTTCTCAATCAAACTCTGCCAGCAACTCGTCCGGCAAGGTCCATATCCTGACGGCTCCCTCATCCCCGGTCGAAACGATGATTTCCTCCCCGTCAAACCGTCTATCCTTGTCCCGCCGCTCGGCCCAACAGACGTGGTTGATCTCGAACTCGTCGTGCGCGGCTTCCACGAGGGCCACGATTTCCCACTGGGACGCATGCAGTCTGTACGGCGCGCCGCCGTCTTCTGCGGGCGTGGCACTGGCCATTGAGGTCGATGTCGATGTTGTGCCGTTCATCACCACATCGTCTCCAGCGTTTCCAGCAGTAGCAGCATGATTCTCATCTGCCGATACTGGCGCAGGTGCAGGGGAAGGTGCTTCCTTGTACACGGCAATGGTGCCGTCTCCGCCACAAGTCACCACCAAACCCGTCCTCTTGGACCAGTCCACCGCGTACACACTCCGCACATGCACGGCGGGCAATGTAGCTTCCTCGACCCATTTCTCCACGGCACTCATCGGACGGATCACGCTTGGTATTCGCGACGACGCAAAGCCCATGGGCGCGAAGGATTGTTGTTGCGATTGCGCTCTTCTTTTCTCCTTCTCCGCCTCGCTTAGTTCCCTCCTCCACACACGCACGGTTAGATCGTCGGAGCAGGAGATGATGCGAGGCATCCAGTCGGCTTCGAATTCCCGCGTGGCAACTTCTCTGTCTCGTTCGGTGGCACACTGCGACAGATCCAGGAGGGCGTAGTTGATATGATTCTCCCACTTGAGATCCCATACTGTGCCCTTGTGCCTGTCAATCACGCCGACGCAGATCCAGTCGCCTTCTTCTTCGACGTCGCGCCAGAGCCGGACGGTGTCGTCGTACGAACCACTTGCTAGGATGGGGCGGGAACCAAGAATGTCGAACTCGTCTTCCTCATCGTCGATATCCATCATCTGCTGTTGGGTTCTCGTCGTCACTCCAGAACCGATGCCGTTCGACCGCGCAACTGTGTCTCCTCCTCCTCCCATCATGTCGACATCCCCGTCGCGATCTCCCGCCGTATCTCCGAGTTTTCTTCTCTTCGAGGATCTGCGCCCATTCCCCCGTCTTGCCCCTTGACACCAACCCACGCATTTGACGTCGCCCGTATGCTCACTCAACACTGCAATGGTTTCCCACTCTTCCGGCTCCACCTCCTCCCAAATCCAAACACTCTTGTCCCTGGAGCTGGTCGCTAGGAGACTGGCCGGGTAATGCGGAGGGGCGAATTCAATGGATTTGATCTCCGAGTCCGGGCCGGTGAGCAGTGTGGAAAAGTGCCACTCTTCATCTTCCTCGTCGCCGGCTTGGTCGCGTGTCATATCGACTTCGTCTGTGTCCCCTTGATTCTGCAGCGGCGCCCGCTCGTTCCCATTCCGTTGTTGATCATCATCATCCGCGTCTCGAAAAGCCGCCCACCTCCGCCCCTCATTCCACACCCAGATCCCGACGTTGGCGTCAAAGCTTCCCGTGCCCAACACGACGGGTTTCTTCTTCTCGGATTTCGTCCGGGCTTTGGTGCTGCCGCCGAAATCCCTCCACGCGACCGTCCTCACGCTCCTCTTGTGTCCCCCACTTATCGTCGAGATGAGCGAGAAATCCCGCAGCGACCACACGTTGACGGACTTGTCTGCGGACCCCGTTGCGAGGAGCGGTGTGGATGGATCGGGGTGTGCGCTCGACTGCCATGCTCGGCTCGACCCCGAGCCCGGCGGGTGGAGGGTTGTCAAAAGCGACAGGGGAGGAGGTAACGCATCTGCCATTGGAGGCGGGTATGTGTGTGTGACAAAGAAGGTGGTGTGAGGCCAAGACCCTGACGGCGCCCTGATTTCTTCAGTGGTGCGGGCTTCAAGCGCCAAGAGTCCGGGTGCAGACACGGACGAAGAGGAAAGACTGCAGTGTGAGAAGTGGAATGGTTGCTTGGGGGTTTGCTGGAGCAAAATGGAGCTGGTGCTGGCGGAAAATTGTCCAAAATGTCTTTTTGACAAATCGGAGGTTCTGACGTCGGCGGGGCGGAGATGCTCGACGGCGGGAACGCCGCTATCGACTTTGAAAGGGCTTCATACCTCGTCTTATTACCTAAATTGTCCCTCGGAATGCTCAAGATTTCGTTCAAGACTACGCTGGAATAACAGACGCCAAATCAGATGGCTTCAGAAGTAATCTCCGTGCGAGGAAATGCATCCGTTCAAGAGTTCTTTGATTGGTAGCTAATGATGACATCTGGTACTTGAGTGGAGTTGTTCTCTATTCAACCCAGCTACCTACGTACCTAGATAGGGAGCTGTACTGCCATGCATGAGTCAAGCCGATGATTGACATGCTGCAGCAATGCTTCTTCACCCTTAGGAGCATGTGCCCGGACGCACAACAGGCTCGTCTTGCAGGAAGACCGCGCCATGTCCAAGCCATTATCTCAAAGCCGGCCACGTCCAGCCTGGTCGTTTGGTCAAGACCTCTGGAGACCTCTGGATCAGATGGGAGTACCGAAAGTTTCCTCCCTCTCGCTTAGCTCGGAGAACCGTCCTTCGCAGCCGAGAACACCGTGCACGGATGCGGCTTTGGCTGTTTCATCTGCAAATAAGGTCGTAGAACTTCCTTCTTACGCAGGATGATATACACACTCACGGCTTTTTCCCGACCAGGTTCGTCCACCATGAACCCAGTCTGGTCGTGTCTTCCCTTCGCCTATGCCCTTTGCTCTGTAGCCATCGAGCATAGGCGTAACCCACCGCCATCCCCCCTAAGTGGTCAATGTAGTCGTACCTTCCCAGACGCCCTAGTGCTCCAAAAACTTGGCTCACGGTAAGGAGCACCAAGACTGTCTGGCCGTTGAAAGACAGTTTGTCCGTCCACTCGTGGGGAATAAATATAAGAGAGAAGTTATCGCTGTAACGGTCGTGTCAGTGAGTTTTAATATTCGACAAGCACAGGAATTGGTCCTTACCGGGAGTGGAGGGCAAGATATGCAGATATGATGCCATACACGCATCCACTCGCCCCAAGAACAGAAGTTGCCAAATTGCGTTGAGCAACGTGGCGCGCAAAACTCACAAAGCCTCCTATCAGACCCGAGGTGAAGTAAATGGATAGAAAGTTACCGCGGCCGATTTCTTCGTGAAGAGGAAGACCAAAGATCGCCAAAGCGCCCATGTTCATCGTCAAGTGCCATAGTGTTTGGTGGCTAAACAAGTTTCCCAGCATGCTGAGTGCATAAGGATAGGCGGGAACAAACAAGAAGTATTTGTTCAGCATAGACCAGCAAGGCGGGAACTTCCAAGCCAGCCACACAACGGTGTTGATGGCAATCAGAGTGCCAATGGTGGCGAATGAAAGCGACACCGCTGGAAAGAGTCGGTCGGACTGCTTTGGTCGAGTCCAGGCCTGGGCAAAGAGGTAGGAACCACCACATAACAAGGCAACGAGGAGAAGTGAAGGAAAGAGGCGCTGCAACATGGTCATCTGAGCGATCTCTGGCGATTCGAGCGTCAGCTTAGACTGGGCTCGGTTACGAGCTCTCAGCACCCATCTCTCAAAACTGTTGGGCGGCCTCAGCTCCTTGGCCGTCTCTAATCCTTGTTCTGGACGTGCGGCGAGGGCTTTCGATCGCTCAGTCTGGATCTTTTCGAGTTTCTCCATTTCATTATCGATTTGTGCCTGCAATTCCGCCTCTTCCTGTTCGCGTTTGGCTTCATTTTCTGCACGGATCCTGTCCAGTTCACTCCTTCCATACGGATCGCTTTCCTTTTCGCTCAGTTCGGCCTGATAGTGCCCGCTCTGGGGACCGTAGTAGGGTTCTTCCGATGGGTTATGTGCTCTATAGAGACCAATATCTTGTCCCCGTTGCATTAAAACCGAAGGATGGTCTTTTGGAAGTTCGTCCTCTTCTCGCTCAATGCGGTACAGAATCGCCTCATCTTCGTCGATTGGATACGTCTGCCTCAAATAGCGTAGACCGTCCTCGACTGCATGAGGGAATTTCCCCAACTGCGACTCGACGTCCTTGGGAAGCGGCAGATCCAGCGTTCCATCGTGGCGGCGGCCATGGAGGATTCGAAGCAGTCGATTCGCATACTCAGTAGGTGGCGCGTGGCGTCCGAAGATAGACAATATCTGCTCTCTGCTGAGTTCCGCGTCCTGGAACTTCAGGCCTTTCTCAGGCTTGTTGTCGGCTCCATAAGGTTTGAGTTTCTGCACGATGGGAGACTGGCGAAAGCTGCGTCGAGCAGACCGTGAGAAGGTGCGACACTGTATTCCTTGGAAGGCAGATTGAAGTAAGGGATTACGCGATCGCTGGCATGTCAGAGACTCCTGGCCATGACAGGAAAATGTGCTCAGAAGCCATGCTCGCGAGATGGGTCGGAGAGAAGGGTGGGAAGGCGAGGCTTGTAAGCCTGTTCTGGCTATTCGCAGAGCTACCGTTCCAACATTGTTCATGGCCCTCGACGCCCGAAGGCTGCCCCTCTGCAGCCGCTTTGAGACGAGGTGTGGAATTGGCGATGGATCTGGTGCAAAGGAACCTTTTGAAACATTGTCGCAGGTTCCCCGAAGTCCGCATCCACATCACGTGATGGCCCCTTTTCCTTGGGGTTCATTTACTCTCGCATACAAGCTTCCTTTCACTGCCTTGCCAATATCTTCCTGCTATGGTGTGCATAATAGCTGGGCCATCCGCCTTCACGGACCTTCCAGGTGCTGTACGGCCAAGGATCCCGGCAAGTCACTTGGGAGGAAATGGTACGAAGATGCGAATAGTAGCAGGGCCGCGATATCGGACGATGCCATAGTCTGAAGCGTGAACGAGCCCTTGACAGGTTCAGTTCTCCAGATCCAAGGCACCCGTCATATCAGCAACGTCCTCGTACCGAGTATCAGGTTGGGCAAAATGTAGGGACAAGTGGTAGTAGATCGATTATTCTCCAATTAGGCAAGATGCTGTAATCCTACACCCCAATACCAAGTACTTTCGTCCGACGACAGCCCTTGAAAGTAGAATCATGATACCACTGACTTCCTGTACTAGGAGAAACAGGGCCCCTGAATACACTTATCCCAGTATCTGCGGCCGTTGTCGTTCATCTGACCAACTCCGACCCCAGCCCCGGTGAACACGCCGCAATACTATTGAAATACCAACCATGATCCGTAATGCTGCTGTCCAGTTGTCCCTGATTACCCTGCAAATCATACACGCCGGTGCTCTCCTGGATGTCGTTCACCGTCACCGCTACGTTAGTAGCCGATGTGATCCAGTATTCGGGTGAAACGTGGGCAAAGATTGGGTAGCCTGGCAGCTTGGGGATCAGGTCCTGGGCATGGGTCACGCGGTAGTTGCCACCCGACTGGTTCGTGATAAACGTTGCCAGAAAGTAGTTTCCTGTCATCGGCGATCCGTATGTGTACTGAGAGAGCCAATGTCAGTCAGATGAATCGTGGACTCGGACGACCAGCGGGGAGCCGACATACCAAAGCAATGTCGTAGCCTGAGCTTCTCAGGTCAGCAGCAGCCAGCGTCGCTACTGCACCGCCTAGGCTATGGCCTGTAGAAATAATCTGGTATGAAGGATAAGTAGCTTTGGCGTTGGCGAGAACGTTCTGAATCTGTGGTTTGACAGTCTGCCAGGAATCAAGGAAGCCAGAATGTGCGGTGCACGAATCGCACACGTCCCAAGGTTCCATCACCAAATTGATGTCTGCGAGTATGTTTTCGAATGATGTAGTGCCTCGGAAGGACATTACTATCAGCTGATTTGTATGGTCGACAGCCACGAATCCAGTCGCGTCCTCTAGGCCTTCACTGGAATTAGAAGAGGGACGTCAGCCTTGCTCACACCCAGCGCAAATAAAATGGAGAGGGTAAACACTGCCTACTTTTGGAACTCAAGTAGTGACTCTGCCCCGGCCGATTGAACAAGGGGGCAGTTCCCAGCCGCGCACGTAATATTGGAGGTGGAAGTGGCCACGTTATTGTTCGGACAGTATGCGGCAGCCGAGTATTGTTCGAAGAATGACAGTTCATTGAACAAATCTTGAGAAATCGCTGGAGGAAGAGATCAGCACAGATCCCTATCATTTATGGAGATCCACAAGTACCTCTCTTTTGAAGCGCAAACGGTGCGGCGTTGACGAGGGTTAGAAGCAGAAGAAACGATACATAAATGGAAGCAAAAGACATGTTGGGTCAATAATGAGGGACAAGGACACGGAAAAGTGAGTGGAAGCCGGACCTGGCAAAGATGGAGCTAGAAAATGAATGGAAGGTGTGCAAGCCGCGAGAGCAGTGAAAGATTCAAGAGTGGAAGCCCTCGACAAGGCAAGCACCAAGACGAGAGACTAAAGCAATAAAAAGAACCAAATATGATTGAGAAAGGAAAGATTCGTGCAGTTGGGAGGAATGAATGGCAAACTGAGACGAGGTCGGCGGCTGATGCTTCATATGAAGTATCGAGTGCCTCGGGACAATTCAGCATTGTTGTCCCAATGCTGGTAAAGTGATACTAGAGCCAGCATCTTCCCCACAAAGCTTGCGCAACCAGCCCGAAGCTAATGCAGGTACTCGGTAGCTGAGCAGGGTATACAGGAGATAGAAGTTGGTTATGAAGGGCCGAGGAAGGAAATGTAATCTCGAGGAGTAAGGATCGGGTAGAAATAGGGACTGTGTCCTGCCACGTTCGGCCAAGCTGATGCTGGTTGGCACCCTCGATCGGCCAGCCCTTTCCATGTGGAGGAAATGAGCCGTGCAAAGAGTGTGTGATGGGTAGCATTTCTCTGGCCAACAGGAGGAGCAGGTTCAGGAACCGCAGGAAATGAAGTTGACGGAAGACGCGTTTAAAGACGTCGAATGGCGGTGCTGCGCTGAAATGAGAGGAGAGGCGCAGTTGGCCAATCAGACGCTGAGGGACGTTAGGACAGAGAATGCACTAATCCACAATCAGTTAGTGAACGTGACTGGGTAAAGAGCGAGATTTCAGGATTCCCCTCGATTCGGTCCGTTTTCACTTCATTTTGGTTCTATTACTTCCACCCTTTATTACCCCATCCCTCATCAGGTCTAATCCTGCTCTACCTTGCTTCCATGTCGTGCATACCTTCAATGTACTTTTATATACGAGCACGCTCTCTGGTACCCAAACCTCTCGGGGAAGTCGTTACTCGAACCTCGGCACAGCACCCTGCAACTGGCGCGGCGACTTGAGGTCCTCGACCCTTGCCAATCTCATTTCCCCAGATCAGCCTTCAACGGGCCTCATGCCAGAACGGGTATGTAGCACCGCTCGACATTCGATCTCCCAGGAAAAGCAAAATACCTTTACATTCTTATGACCTGGGCTCGAAGAGTAACTAACTTGGTCTACGCGTATCCTGTGACTGCGCCTGGCCATCGCAGTGTTTCCCCCTGGCACCCACCTGGTCTCTTTGGCTTGTGCTCAATGGTAACTTTCCGAAATTGTTCCTTAACCACTGGCTGTATCATTATTAAGCCATACAAGAAACAACACGGTGATCATCAATCATGACATTTACGGGGTGCCATCTCCGGCTCTCCGTCGGTCACGTTCTTGCTGAGTGACCCCAACGAGCCGTATATAATGCATTTGTTAAGCGATCGTGCTTTCGGCTTGCCTTTCCTTGTTCATGACCCCTTCATTAACTCTCCAATAGCCACTCATGACGGATTATCGAATCTTTGCGACAAAAGATAAGTAAAGACTGCTCCCAGCTCGCGTGCGGCTCGCCCAAGCTGTCCCGCTTTTATAACCACTGACCTTCCCTCTCACCTTCACCACCGCTTTCTCCTTGTCTTTACTGCTTGACGAACGGCTGTGCCGGGACCGGATACGCAATCTGCGCCACCGCGGCAAGCAGGGGTGGACTATGTCCCGTGGCTGCTGGGCTCTCGCCCACGAAGTTGCTGGGAAACCCGACGTCGAAATCCGTCTGGCTTTCCAGGTAGCTGATCTGCGCAGCCGTCAACCTGACGCTCAAAGCCTTGATGTTGTCGTGTAGATGCTCGACTTTTCTCCCTCCAACGATGGGGAAGACATTCAGGGCGCCCGCCTTCTGCATTACGTACGCGAGCGCAATGACGCTGAGGCTCTCCAGACCGTGCTCCTTCGCGACCTTTTCCAGCGCGGCGGAGATTTTGGCTTCCTGCTCAGTCTGCTCGGAACGCAGCCCTTCACCCGCCCTCTTTCGCTCTTCGATTTGTGTCTTGGACTGGAATTTGCCTCCTCCGATCACGTCCCACGGTGCGAGTGCCATGCCAAAGTGGCGAGCCATGGGTATAATCTCACGCTCAAAATCACGGAGCATCACATTCCAGCGGCCCTGGTAGACACTAAAGGGTGTCTTGCCATGGGTCACGGCGTATTGATTGGCGATGGCGACTATCCAGGCCGGTGTATCGGAAATACCAAGGTAAAGAACTTTACCCTGTTGGACAAGAATATGAAGGTTGTCCATGACTTCCTTGATCGATGTCGTCCAGTCCTGCACGAAAGGTTAGAAGCCGGATTCTTAACGAACGACGCAAGAGACGTTGACTGACCCACCAATGAACGTAGAGAAGGTCAATATAGTCCGTCTGGAGCTTGTCGAGGGAGGCCTTGATGGAGATATGGAGACTTTTCCCATGGTTGCCTGCGTAGTTTACGGCCTTGCCCTTCCCAATAAGGTGGCTGCGATAATCCGAGGTATATCTGGTGTTTCCGTGAATGGACTTGAACCTTTTTCCGAGAACGAGCTTACTTCGTCGCAATGACTAGCATATCGCGATTCTTCTTCTGTGCCATCCACTCCCCGAGCCATTTCTCTGACTGCTCATCTTGATAGTTGTTCTATTGGTAGATGTGAGAACTTGGACAACTCGATATGTCATGCTTAGACCCACAGCAGTGTCGATGAAATTCCCGCCGGCCTCGTAGTATGCATCGAGTAGCTTGAACGATGCTTCTTTGCTCATGCTGCCTAACCACTGCATAAATCCATTAGCATCGAGCTTGAAGGGCACATGCCTTGCCACCAAAGCAGGCAGAAACCGACGCACTCCTTGCCACGCATTACCAATAGACAAGGCACCCAAGCACAATGGAGACACTCTAACGCCGGCGGTGCTGGACAGGACCCTATAACGCCCCAGCTCCGTGGGCGGCTCAGGGGCGAGCTTTGTGTATTCAAGCTTGTCCATGTCTGCTCGGAGGAGAATTCCTGATCGCTCTACTTGTAGTTGGTTTTGCGTTGAGAAAAGCAGGGATCGCGAGAGCAGGAAGAGGAAGAGGACGATGCTGGGAGTGTTTAATGGGGGCAGTTTCTGCGTGATTGTTCGGTGTGACCCCTGCTGGTCGGTTTGAATGAATTGCACCACAATCGGCAACCATAAATACATATACGAAATCGCGTAACGTACAGTTCCCGGACTTACTGGTCATCTACCAATTTGTCATTGAGCCCAACACATGGTAACTGAGATGCCGACCTTGGACTTGGCGGAGGAAAGGAGTTTTCGGAGTCGATAGAATGGTCGAGCTGCTGCTCACATAGCCAGACTGCGATGAGCACGAACACAGTCTCCTCCAAAGCCGACCCTATCCCGTTTCTGTTCGTTTTCGTCCGAGTATACCGAGCGGGTATCCGAGTGGGAATCCAGTCCTCGCATCGGGCTTGGCTCGGACGAACCTGAGAGAAGTACAACGTCGATGACTTCTCGGATGCCTACTTTAACGCAGTTTGAGAAGGAACAGAAATCAGCGCTCACATCTTCAGTGTTAATAGCAATTGCAGTTTCAACCACATATGAGAAAAAATGTCCAAGACTCTGGCGGTGCTCGGTGCGACTGGCCGCCAAGGAGGCTCCGTGATAAAGAATGTCTTGAGCGATCCAGAACTCTCCCAAAGATACAAGCTTCGCGCCATCACTCGAGACGCCAGCTCGGACAAGGTCAAGGGCCTAAAGCAGCAGGTGGAAGTCGTTGAGGGCGATATCGCGAACCATGCTTCCATCTCAACAGCTCTGACCGGAGCCGACTTTGTCTTCATCGTCACGACGCCGGCCTTTGGCCCCGATGCCGTCAAAGTCGAAGTCGACATCATCAAGACCGTTGCCGACGCTGCAGTCGAACAGGGCCTCGAATACATCATCTTCAGCACCCTGCCATCCTACAGCGATCTCTCCGGCGGCAAGTATACGGCGGTCACAGCTTTTGATGCCAAAGCCGAGGGGGAGAAGTATATCAAGACTCTGCCCATCAAGAGCGCCTTCTGGTGTGGAGGATACTTCATGGAGAACTTTGAGACGCAGCCGTTTCTCGGTCCTCAGCCCAACGGCGATGGCACGTATTCTCTCATTCGAAACGTCCGGCCCAGCTGCCGGCTGCCGTATATTGACGCTGGGGGAGACACGGGCAAGTTCGTCAACGCCATCCTCGCCGAGCCCGACAAGTACGAAGGCCAGACATTGTACGCCGCGGTCGCTTTCTATAGCGTGGTAGAGATAGCTGAGATTCTGTCCAAGGCCACTGGCAAGACCATCGTCTACAAGCAGCTCTCGTACGAGGACTTTGCCAAATCCTTGCCGTTCTTCGGCGAGCTGTTCGCCGACGGTGGCGCCTTCCAAGATGAGTACGGTTATTTCGGGCCTGGCAGCGAGGAAAAGGTGGCCCAGTCGAAGAAGAATATCAGTGCGAAACTTACCACCCTTGAAGAATACTTTCAGCAGCATCCCTACACGATTGCTTGAGGTCGGCCAGTGCGCATGCTAGGCAGGGCGGAGAGATGATGGTGGTTCTGGCTGGATCGAATTTGTTTCGATCAACGAGGGAGCACTATGGGACAACGATGGCGACGGACGGCGACGGACGGCGACCGGACGTATCCAAAGTCCGCATTACGACTGTCTAGTGTGTACGGCAGGCTGAAGCTTGGGAGCATGTCATCGATAGTAGTGTAAGAGAATCGCCAATCTACTATTGATAGCTTTGTAAGCCGTACCGAGTACATTTCTCTGATTTTGTCCGCTTCCCCCCCCGCGGCGAAATACCACCACCGGGAGACCAATGGACGGCTCCAGGGCCGATCCAAAAGGTTGGCAAGTCCTGCGACCCCATAAACTTTATTTCCCGCACTGATTCCCCGTACGAAGACCGGCTTGCGGAGGACTCGGCCCATCGTGGGGCAGTCGTTGAGGGGACCGAATGCTTCGAGGCAACTTGGACTGCAATTATGCCGCTTGACACGGCATGCGGAGGGACGGTAAAAGCTCCCTCCCCTTTTTCTCAACATACCGTGGTGAGAGGTTCTGACCATAATATGGACCTCGTTTGCTTCACACTGCAGCTGTGTGTTCCCGGAAGCTCTGAGGAGAACCTAGGTCCGTGATCAGCTTCCCGCGGTTTGTGAAAGTCCACAATGGTCGGTTCCCCGTACGGCGGTGCAATCGATTGCACAATCGAGCTCAACACCAGCAGTCTCAAGGGCAAGACTGCCATTGTCACGGGCGGCGCCAAGGGCATCGGCTCGGCATATAGTCTTGCTCTGCGCGCCGCGGGAGCCTACGTGGTCGTCGGCGATGTTGATACCACCAGTGGCAAAGCCTTCGCGGCTCAAGACCCCGAGCACCTTCTGTTCGTGGAATGCAACCTCCTGAAATTCGAGGACCAGGTCCGTCTCTTCAAGGAGGCCGCTCAGTTCTCTCCTCGTGGGAAGATCGACCATGTCGTGGCCAACGCGGGCGTCTACCGCGAGGTCGACCAAGTCTTTCTGTACGAAGAGGATGGACCCGTCAAGCCCGAACTCAGCACCGTCGACGTCAATCTCAACAGTGTCCTTTACACGTCCAAAATCGCGATGCATTATTTCATCAAGCAGAACGGAACCACTCCGTCTCCCTCGCAAGAGGACACGTGTCTGGTCCTCGTCAGTTCGGGGGCGGGGATTCACGACTGCCTCAGGATGCCACAGTATTGTGCCACGAAATGGGCCGTCAGAGGCTTGATGCATGGTTTGAGGCGGACGGCACATCTATATGGCAGCCGAGTCAACGTGATCAGCCCGTGGGCAATCAAGACCACGATTCTGTCCGAGGAACTTTCCAACCTTCTACGCGCGAGAGGAATTGAATTTGCAACTCTGGAAGATGCTGGGCAGTGCTTGCTGCGCCTCTTGAGCGACCCGACCGTGAATGGTCGTTCGCTGTTTATCGCGGCGAGGAAGTGGGCCCCCAAAACGGGATACTTGGACCTCGACCTGGAGGATACGGAGGAGAATGAGCTGAGGAAAGAAATACAGCATGACCAGATGAGGTTTGCTACTGTCGAAGAAGGCTTGTTCGTATAGACACAGAGTACCGAAAGCTGGAAAGCAACCCTTGACAAAAGAATATTAACACACTTTCGAGATTCGCAAACTGCGAGAGCTTGCCTTCCCTCCCTTTTAGCTCTCGGACTCTCCCACAAACATTGGCAAAGCCATGTTTACGTTCCAGAGCGGTAGCATAAAATGACATGACATAAAGCCTCGGATAAGCATACAGCAAACCCAGTCAAGCAATCCCCGCCCTTAGATCGTCGCGCCGCCAAAGACTAGACTTTCTCTTCCGCCTTTTGTTCAACGGTGGTGAGTTCGACATGATATGCACTCGACTTATCTTCGATAATATTCGTCCCGTCTTCCGTAAGGTACACCGCGACGGTGTCACCAAAAAGTGCGCCAATCTCTTCGACTGGGATACCCTTGGTCTCGGGGAGGAAAAAGTAGACGCCGATCAAAGACACCACACAGAGTCCGGCATAGATGAGGAACATACCCCATTTGCTGAGGAGACTTTGATTAGAAGGCTGGTTTGGTCCTTGACATGGAATGCAACTCACATGCTCTGTAAAGCCACTGCGGCAGGAGTCGAAAAGGTGACGGTCCCTACGAAGTAGGCAAAGAGTCCTAGGCTGACGCCTTTGGCTCTGATGGCGGTTGGAAAAACCTCGGCCATCCAGACGAAAGTAGGAGCGTCGATAGCCTTTGAAGCTGTCAGTGGTAATTGATGAGTTGTCAAGACAGACTCACCTGGAAGAAGATGATGAACAAGAAGATGAAAAGGACGCAGGTGCCATTTCCACCCGTGGAAGTTGTGCCTTGGTATTTCCATTGGAGCAGGGCCTCAGCAAGCAGGATACATGGCACCGTGGCGAATCCAATGACTATTTCAGTCAATTTTCGTCGTGGAGGAAACGAACAGTCTTTCCGTGAAGCAGAGGAAGTGAATTGGTCTGCATGGAAGAGTCAAGGAGGTATACATACGGAGGAGCAATCTACGTCCATATCTGTCCAACACTAGAATGAAGGCACCGATGCCGAGCGTTGCGACGACCGAGTAGACACCTTCGATAGTGAGTCTGTCATTTAAGTAACAACGCCGAAATGGTATGGGACTTACAAAATAACCACAAAGCTAGATCTGCCGTCATCCCGAGAGATTGAATGAGTAGTGGAAAGTAGTTGGTGATGCCGTATGTACCAGCAGCTTGTTGCATGAATCTGGAGATCATTAATTCCGTACAAAAGTGTGTCTTTGGTGGGATACTGACAGAAGAATCATCACCGAGATAGATCGCCGCCGCCACGATGGCTTTTGGAACATCACGACTAACGTGGCCTGATCCTCCTTATCCAGTTCGACTTGCCGGATGATTTGTGTAAACTCGGCTTGAGCGTCTGCCTCGGAAGGGGCTTTGGGGTCATGGTGAAGTAGCTTTAGAATGTCGTAGGCTTTCTCCTGCTTTCCTCGCCACACCAGGTAACGTGGAGATTCGGGAATGAAGAAGAGACCAGCAAGAAGTCCTAAAGGACCAATGCAGGCACATGCCAGGGGAAGGCGCCAGCTCAGAGAGAGATTGGTTGAGTGATAACAACCGATTGAGGCGAAAGAGTTGCTGTGTAGAGCTTTGATTAGCCGAGATTCATTCAAAGCATGATGGAGAACGAGAATCCTACACGATATAGCCGCATCCACCTGCAAACTGGGTTGATCCAGCCATGAGCCCACGATGTTTCGGTGGAGCAACCTCGGTGAGATACAAAGGCACAAGGCCGAGTATCATACCTGACCCGATGCCCTGAACTACACGAAACATAAAGAGCTCGGCAATCTGGACCGAGCCTGCAACCAGAGCAGCCCCCAAAAGAGTAAGGCACGCAGATATGGCGAAGGCTCCTCGACGACCGACCCAGTCGGAAGCGTAGCACTGGGCTAGGGCGCCCAGTGCGCAACCGCCGAAGAAGCAAGCATTGATTGCGCTGAGGATGTTTGCCGTATCTGGAACACAGTATCAGCAGCCATGCTCGGAACAAAACATGGCGTTCAAGCAACGTACGCCGACTTGTAGGATCAAGCCCAAAATAGTCGTAGAACCCAGGCTGGCCACTGCTGGTCGCAAAGATGGAGGCGCCGAAGCCCCAGCTGAAGGCAGCAATGGTCACAACCAACCATACTTTGAGGTTGTAAGAGGTCAGCTTAGCCATGATGATGGAACCAGTGTTCGAGAAGATGCTTCAAGTTTATGGCTTGCAAAGTATAGTGCAGCCAACACTCTTCAGACGAGACGTAGCAACTTCTTCTCTAGAAGAGTTCGATGGTTGTCATATAGTGCTCCAGACTCCGGCCTTCTTAAGAAGCTAAGGAGAAAGGAGGTGTCGCCTCCCCACGGGGTTCAGTGACACGAACCCCATCTTCCGCTAAGAGAGTTTGCCTCGACCACTGACTGGTCGCCAGTGTTTGCACCATGGTCCCGCTCGGGGAAGACGACGGGGCAGACCAAGCTAGAACCGTCCCTGTATCGTGTCAATTGAGAACAGCCGCGTTCTTTCGGAGCACCATGAATTGAGGACCAGACCCTGTGTGAACAAGGGCAATGGATGCTGCAAAATCCCACAATCAGCTACGGCAAGCGTGTAGGGCGTATGCTCAAGTGAATCAAAATCCTCGCCTCAGTTGCCACAAGGGCATGGAATTGTTTGTGACAAATTAAGCAAACTCGCCAAGACTTCTCGGCCGATTGAGTTCTTCCCTCCGCAGCCCTTCGATTGGTCAGACACCAACCGAGAGGCAACAACTTCAAGTTTCTTGAGGCATCAGCCAAAGCATCTCACGCCCAAAGCTGGCCGATGGCTCTTTTCGCGATGAACCCTGCCTATACCAGCACAGTAGCGTGGAAGAAGTCCGCGCCATTGACCAGGCTTTGAATCCGAGACGCGGTTTCGGACTCTCCAAACCTCTTCGCAAAATCCTGGTGAGCTTGGACGCTCTCCCAGCCTGTCATCACGACGTACTCCGGCTTTGGCTCTCCCTCAATTGATGGGTCGAATCCTTTGTCCAACCTCCGGCCGCGCGTAATTTTGTCCTCCCCTCCCACCCCCGCCGCCAGTGTCGGAGTCACAGAAGTAAACAACATTTCGAGCTCATCGATCTTTCCTTCTTTAGGATACCAGCGTCCGAGGGCGATAACCTTTGACTGCGCTGGAAGAGGGGTCTTGGCTTGGTCGATATCAATGTGGAATGCCCATTCCGGTATGGCGATGTCCTTGATTGCTGCTTGCAATTCCTTGTTCGCTTCGCTGGGCACGAACTTCCAATGGTCGTCGATTGTTTCCCAGCCGCCGTGCATATAACAGGTATCTGGCTGTTCTTCACAACGAAGAAAGTGAAATGCGGAGCCAGTGACCCTTTCCAAGACCGTCTTGGCCTTGCGCAGGCCATCGAGTACTTCCGACGATGTCCATTCTTTGCCTTCTTTGAGTCGGAGGAGACAAAGCTCGGTGACGGGCATTTTCAGGGAGAATTAGCATATGCGAGAACCTTTTAGGCCGGATCAAGGCTGTGAGAATGCTTGAAAGCGGGCTGCGAGAATGAAAATACTGCTTTCAATTGCTTTGATTTAACTTCTGTTCAAGACTTGTACCTGTAGCAGGCCTTAACTGACATCACAAGGGCTGTCAAAACCCACTCGGAACTCCTGGTACCCGTGCGGGTGAATGAGAGAAATTGCTGTAGGGTGTTAGGTTGGACCAACAGCGTAGTGAAGATCCCATGTCTCATGCTTCTTGGCCTCGAATTTTCGGAAGTTGTCTTCACCAACGAAGAGGAATTTGCCAGACTGTCCTTGGGCACAACATCTGGTCCTACCCCGAGTCTGTGTTTATACTATGCTTCCCAAGTCCAGTCACGTAGGCAAAGTAGTAATTGTGACACGTCTTTGACTTCTACTTTTCGGTTGCCAGTCTCGCACAATAAGTCTCGCCTGCCGGCTTCTCCTGATTGCTTCAACGTCTAACAAGCAAGCTTAAACCGTATCGCCAGTCTCTTCGTCGGACAGATTTGCAGTTATATCGTCTAACACCCGCCATCGTGGCACTGGTCCAATTCCTGAAGGGACGTGTACGGCCTTAGCTCGACTGTAATCGCGCAGTGTTTCGATGCAATGCTCTCGTCCATAACCACTTTGCTTTGCTCCTCCAAAAGGTGTGCCGAGAACCAAACGGCTGAAGTTGTTAATGTAGACTATGCCGACATCAATCTCCCTCGAGGCCCTTAGCGCTTTGGTATGGTCCTGTGTAAAGACAGCAGCCACCAGGCCATAATCCGAATCATTCGTTATAGATATGGCCTCTTCGTATGTCTCAAACTGTATGACAGCCACCACTGGACCGAAGACTTCTTCTTTTGCTATTCTCATGTCGCGAGTAACACCAGTGAACAACGTTGGCTGCACGTAGAAGCCCTTAGCCAATCTGGGGTCCGTCGGCTTCGGCGCCTGAGCAAAGATTTTGGCACCTTCTTCAGCTCCAATACGGATATATTCTTCGACCCTTTGCTGGTGCTGCTTGGTTATCTGGCCACCGATGTGTGTCTGTGGGTTGGATCCATCACCGACTTTGAGCCTCCGAACAGCTGCTCCAAGTCTTCGGATGAACTTGTCGTAAATTCCTTTCTGGGCAAGCACCCTAGAAGATGCCGTGCAAGCCTCTCCTTTGTTAAAAAATCCCCCGTCGATCGCAGAACTGACCGCAAGATCTAGGTCTGCGTCATCGAACACTGGTATTGACTTAGCACAGAAAACTTTGTCGAAATGATCAACGAGGGAAAGGACTTCACCCTTTAGGTGGAGGCCCGCAGTCACTTACCGATCAAAGCATTCTTACCACCCAGCTCGAGTACCATGGGAGTTATAGACTGTGCAGCAAGGGCGGCCGCTCCAGCACCACCCCTCGTCGACCCGGTGAAAGAGACCTTCTTCACATGAGGCGAGGAAATCAGCGCCTGCGGAACTGCTATGCCTTGGGCTGGAATGGCCTGAACCACGCCAGGAGGCAGCACCTCTTGCAGGAGCTCGACGACCCTGAGCACCGTCAGAGGAGCCTGCTCCCCAGGTTTTAGGATGATGGTGTTCCCGGCCGCTATAGCTGGGGCTGCCTTTCCACCCGCATGCAAAGGTGGCCAATTGAAGGGGAGAATACCGACTACAACGCCAAATGGTTCGCCTGTGTAACTTGCAGTCAATTTCGGGACCACTTGATATCTCGTGGCTTCGAGCGTTGTCCATTGACGTTAATGGGCCAACGTGAACCAACAGAAACGGGGGTACAGGGTTGGCCTAAACGGGCAGAGAAAACTCACGAAGTACAGATGTATATACTCCGCCCTTATCGTACAGCTCCCCAGGAAGCTTGTCAATCAGCGACCCGAAATACCGAAACACCAAAACCAAAAAGTTGATGTCATAGTCGCGTGCCTGCGCTACAGGCTTGCCATTCTCTGCACTCAGAAGGTAGGCCAGCTCGTCGAAGTGGGCGGCAAGATGGTCGGCAGCTTTATTCAGGTATATGGCTCGCTGCGAGGGCGACACCCACCGCCACTCCTCGTATGCTTTCTGCGCTGTGGCTATAGCCCTTTCGACTTCTAGCACTCCCGCGCCCTGCACCGTGGTGATGACATCTCCTGTTGCAGGGTTATGCACCTCAAATTGATGAGCTGGATCGTCGGAAGATAATGGATAACGAGTCACGGGACCAAAAGAGGGCATTTTGATACGCTCGTTGATGGTCAGGATTCATGGAGAGACAATGAGTCCGCGAAGAAATATCCAAACCCATCAGTCTCGCCTTTTCAACCCTTTGGGAGCCAATGGAGGCAACGGTGTAACTTACACAGAAGTCCAGTCTGGTCATCCGACGGACCATTTTCTCCCTCTCGGGGCTGGAGGGCGGGGCCGAAGGATGGCGACAGTCGGTTCAATGAGCCAAACCAAGTAGGTAAGCAGCAAGACGAATATATTCTGGATCTCCAAAGCCAATAGGTAGGGGTCTTTGTTTTAGAAATCAACAGAACATCAACACTTGTCCCAACTGACCATCCACCACCAAACGCAACGATGCGGGGCAAAATCATATTCGAAGAGCATATTGCCATGCCCGATGATGACAAGGACGGCTTTCCCGCCTGCCGCAATGTGGACAGTCTGAGAGAAGCCTTACTCGACCTTCACGACGCTCGACTGAAGGAGATGAACGCCAATGGCGTCGAGTTGGCAATCATCTCACAGAACACGCCGGGACCGCAAGGGCTCACCGACCCCAAAGAGTCTGCCGCTTACGCCAAACGGGCCAACGACTATCTGGCCAATGTTGTCGACAGAGCACCGTGCCGGTTCGCCGCTTTGGCTGCGATTCCAATGCACGATCCGGAGGACGCTGTTGCAGAAGTGACCAGATGTATCAACGAGCTCGGCATGGTCGGGGTCAACTTAAACGACGGCCAGCAATATGTCAACCAGGCAACCGGCCGAATCAGCGAATACTTCTACGACGATCCTCGGTACGATGTGTTCTGGGCGACAGTCGAGAAATTGGACGTCCCAGTCTATCTGCACCCACGGGCCCCCTTGCCCGATGACATTCAGAGGCTGTATGCAACAAGACCATGGCTGCTAGGACCAACGTACAGTTTCATCCGAGACACAAGCTTCCATGTTTTGGCGATTTGTACCAGTGGCGTATTTGACCGGTTTCCTGGAGTGAAACTTGCCGTCGGCCATTTCGGTTCGTTCTTGTGCTCCCAATCCTTGCCCGTTCAATGGTAGAGCTAGTATTAACAGGGCAGCAGGGGAGGGTATTTTGGCTTATCTCAGTCGCCTCGACTACTGGTTGGAAAAGCGGGATCGCGGGCGAGGCCTTCGCAGCCAAAAGACCGTGCGGCAGTACCTGGAGAGCAACGTGTTCATCACGTCCGCAGGACATTTCTCTACGCCTGTGCTGCTCCACGCCATGAGCGAGATCGGAATTGACAGGCTTCTCTTCTCTGTCGATACGCCATATGCAAACATCACAGAGGCGTCGGAATGGATCGACACATTACCCATCAGCCATGGGGACGTGGAGAAGTTTGGTCGTACAAACGCGCTGAAGCTCTTCCCCAGACTGGCTACGCGGTTACGGAGTGATGAAGTAGCGAAGGAGCAGCGTGACAGGCAGCGTGTGCTGTTTACGGTGAATGCTGGGTTTGAGCAGGACTGATTCCGCCTAGCGTATATAGAAAAGGATTCTATGAAACGAATCGATTTCAAGATTCCTTCGACTAACTCTTGTCTCTCTTTCACCCTGCTCTTGACGCGGTGCTGCCACCATACTCATACAACCTTACTGCACCACAGTCAAACTCTGTAAGCCTCCGACTACAGCCATCAAGATTCCAGTCTTGCTGTCCCCACGTCTGAGATACCATTGGCTGGTTCCCCAATAGAGGATGAGGATCAGAGTAGTGATAGCCCGGTCATACAGTGTCCACGTCGACGGATCCCGCCGAGAGAGTTGATAGTTGAAAATGCCTAGGAAAGATCTGGGTAAGTGACCATTGTGCTGGTTCGAGTGAATGTATTTCTTCGGACACGATTCGCAGACCTACCGAAAATGGCGAACGAGATTGAGCCTTGGTACCAGCCTGCTTGGGAGTATGCGAATTCGAGGACAGGCAGTGGTGACCAGACTGGACGTGCGAAAAGCTCAAGGCCGAGCATCTGAGGTTGTACGTCAGTTGAGCCGTCCTTCCACTATATGACTGGGCGACCAATTGTTGTATAGGTGGTCAGTTTCCACGTACGGTGTGGCCTATAGAAATGCCAAAGTGAGCGATAGAAGTTGCAAGGGCTAGGAGAGACATCTTCTGGTTCAGATGAGGTGTCAGTTAGTAGAGACACTATTCTGGCTTCGTGCTTTCTGTCGTAGTGTGGTAGCGCTGAGTCGCCCGGAAATGGGTGGTGTAGCTGATGAGGTTTGGGGACGAAAGACGATAGAAGCTTCCAAAACAAAATTTGGTAAAGCATCTATTCGATGTTGTTGTCGGCACCTGGATCTCGCCGGCCTGCTTGGTTCCTCGCCGTCAAGGGCATTACGGCGGTAAATGCGTTCGTACTTTGTGTTGCCCCGCGGGGGGCTTCTGGATCTCGTATCTCGTACTTTGTAGTCTGATACTCTCGTGTTGAGGTGGCGTCGTACGAAGATTCCGACATTTCGTCCGCAAACTTCCATTTGATGCCTCCCGTGCCGGGTATCGAGAAACCATAGACTTTTGCAAGTTACCTAGTTATTCAGCAGAGGGCTCGTATAAATCCCGACGGGGCAATGTACAACACAAGGCCAGCCGAGCGGGTAATTCAGCGCAGCTCTAACCTCAACTATGGTGCGCTAACGGAGGATACGGACGGATCGACTGCAGCCATTCGTACCTGCAGGTGGATGCTCCTAGAAGGTGCCAGCCTCGTCTGGAATGAATGGCCGATGTGCGCCACCCTCTTCCTGTGAGGCAGGTCAGCTGTACACCACTACATCATCCCATCTTGGGTTTGAGCAAAGCAGTTAGCTGGATACCCCGCGTTTTATGTGCTTGGAGGGAAGAGGCAAACAACTTTCGGTGCACTGCTTTTGCACTCGTCGTTCTTCACGTTTTGACTTGCCACCTCTAGAACTTAGGAATCAGCTCAGTGGATTGTCTATGGCCATGCCGAGCTATACTTGCAATTCCTGCGACGCTCACTTCCAGCGTGCGGCGCATCTTTCTCGACACAGAATGCTTCATTTAGGTGAACGCCCATTTGCGTGTCCTTCTTGCGAACGCACATTTACAAGAAGGTTAATTAACACCGCCAGAACCGGTCCTTTGCTGAGCGTTGCTGACTGCCTGGTCCTCGCTAGGGATACTCTGCAGCGTCATGGAGCCGTGCATGACAAGCATCGTGACAAGGACACTCCAAGTCGAAGGGTGCAGCATGCTTGCCGGAAGTGCTCGCAATCTAAGCAGCGCTGCGACGGCAAGAAGCCTTGCAATCGATGCGCCCAGAAGAATCTGGGCTGCTCGTATCGCATTTCCTCTTCGCCAGAACCGAATCGCAAAGACATGTCCATCCTTCTGTCCTCTTTGCAATTGCCACAGCCTGCCACAGAGGGAAATCAAAGCTTGGACCCCAAGAACACCTGCCGGGTGTTCCAGAACCATCAGCCGGGCAATGCAGAAGCAGTCTGGCAACAGGACTACGAGGACGAGACACGCGATGTCGTCTCCACCTCCACTACCTTGGAGGCTCGCAATGCCACGACGCAGCCCCAGTTCACCGCAGAAGCCAACAATTTTGAGCCGATGCCTCTGATGATAGACTACCTCAGTGACATGTCCTTTTCGGCTTTCGGTGATCCTTCGCAGCGGCCCAGCGCCGTTCCTGTGGAGGAGAGTGTCATGACAAGCAAAGCGGTGGCAACCCAGGGCCCTGAAATCGACCAATTTAGCATGGATATGATGTCTCCAGATATGGAGTATTGGGATGTCTCCCCGTCCTTTGACGCTCTCTACCAAGATCTCGGTTTGAATTTTGGGTTTGCCAGGTCCATCGATCTTGCCCAGTCTACACAGCATGAGACACCGGGATCAGAGCCCGACCTTGGCGCGAACATTGCAAGTCCGCCTGCTCCGAGCTTTCTCGATGCCAGAGCTAGCCCAGAGCCATGCGAAGGACAAGGTCTTACTTACGACGACTATGTTCGAAAAGTATTTGCCAATCGACGCCACCTGCACAGCAAGGACAAGCAAGGATCCCACGGCCATACGCTGGAGAAGGCTCACATCCCGCCGGTCATCGGAGACTTCCCCCTTTCATTGTCTTCACAGAGCGATGACTCGACGTGGGAGCCAGAGAACCTCCGTCACGTTCCCTCTCTCACACAGGAGGTCTATGATCAGATTGTTGCCGCCTTCCAGCAACTCAACGCCACCCAGTGCTCTTACATACAATTTGCAGGCGGCGCGTTCCCATCCCTGGCTGCGTGCAATGCTTTCATGCAGCTCTACTTCGAAGAATTCAACCCACTGTTCCCCTTCCTCCACCAGCCCACTTTCAACCCCTCGACAACACCATGGCTTCTGGTCCTCGCCACAATCTCCATCGGCATTCGTTTTGCACGGGATCCCGCAGCTGTGGAATGCGGCGATATCATGCAGGAATTCCTGCGTCGAGCCTTTCTTGCTACGGTATGCATCTCTACCACTTTTTTGATTTCTTTGAATAATTTTCTCGTCTTGCATCACAGATCGAAGAAGATTACAGCTCCTTTTGCGAGCCTTGGCTGGCTCAGGCGGGACTCCTGAATCAAATTGGCATGCAATTTTCGAAAGACATGCGGCTTTTCCAGTATGCCCAGTCCGTGCGAAGTATCGTCACGTCGATCTGTCGTCAAGTCAACTGCTTCCATGAAATGAGACGTCCAGCGCCTTTGGAGAACAATAAGCAATCTGCCGAGGACGCTTGGAAAATTTGGCTGCGGAGAGAAAGCATGCGCAGGCTGGCATACACCTTGTGGGTGAGTAGGAGTTATGCTTATCTTGTGGGCCGTTTGGATTTCGCCAACCAGACTGAACTTGGTTCCAGGTTGTCGACAGTCAGGCTCTTCTATTCTTTGACCTGCCGCCTCTTGTACCGATGAAGCTCCTTCAGGTGCGACTGCCTTGCCATGAAAGTCTGTGGCACGCGCCGACAGCGTCCTCGTGGGTTGAATGCTACAAACAGAATAGTAATCCTTCTTGAACAAAGTGGCTTGCGTATCTGGACTAAGCTTCCTACAGGACCCTATCTGCCGCTAAGCATTCGCGAAGAATTAAACAACCTCTACCGCACGCACGTCCGCCAGCAAGGCCTTGGTGATTATGCCATCCTAGTATTGATTCTTGGAGTCTTCAGGAATGCCGCGGAGGTTCGACGTGTTCTCGACGAGGGGTGCCACCTGCTGCCGTACTTCGCACAGTCTAAGACTCAGCCAGCTCCCGTGTCATATACAAGAGCGGAGACTTTCCCAACCATTCACAAGGCCATGGAATATCTGCGGGTCCTGTGCCCGGCCGATGAAGAGGTTCCCCGGCTGTCTTCGTTGAAGTCCGCAATTTTACTCCACTATCACGCCGTCGGAATTCTCCTGAGAATCCCGCTCGGAGAGCTTTATTGCTACTGCGGCTATCGCGTCACCAGCACGGACATTGCGCACTGTGAAGCCCGCCTCAAGGTCTGGGCACAGCAGCACGGCGAAGAGGTTCGCCAAGTGGCTTTGCATGCTAGTCGACTGTTTGCCCACATTCGCCGTTCGAACCTCCACTATCATTACGAAGGGCGGATGATGCTTATATCATGCCAGGCCTTGTGGATCTATACCGCTACGGCTCAATCAAGCCTATCGTTGGGCGGGCACAAAGACCAAACGGAACATCCCTCGGGACATGGTTTAAGTTCCAGCATCCGCCTTGACCAAGGTCTTACCAGGGAGGCGGTGGAGGCTTGGATACGAAATGGTCAGCAGATGGTTCCTTGTCTCGCAGGAGTGGGCAGCCTTCAAGGCGTGCAAGGGATCGCTCGACTTATTCAGGAAGGCTCCCGTATCATGATGGCAGCATCGAGGTGGCCACTGAACATCGCGCAGGGGAGGTGCTTGCGCATATATCACCAGCTTCGCTCAGGTTCTCCAGCAACAGACGTCGAGCCAAGAACCCTACCATATCCGAAGGCCATCCCCTGAGGGCACCGTGCGCCTATAAACTTCGCTCCGGCCGACGAAAGGATGTAGGCCTTGATGCGGAGTCACCTCTAATGATCAGGTGGGTTTATCTCTCCTTGATTCTCGACTAGGTAGGTAGTCACACCGCCACCCCAGTGCTAGAGACTCAGTGCGAGCAGCCATTGTCTCCCCAACAGCCTGAACGCAATACTAGTACGCGGCTTCGAGCCAGACCCTCGCATTGCGATCGACGTTCCAAGCGCTCTCATTCGTCATGATTGCAGCGGTGGAAGAATCCACGACTCAGAAAATTCCAAATCTCGAAGCTTCCGGCCACCGTCATAGAGGCCATCCACGAGCAATGGCTGAATGATTTTACCATAATACGGCAACTCTTCCAAGAAACCCCAGTGAGCCGCTTGCTTCCATCCCTTTTTCTTCCAGTCATTCAACGTGCCATGGGGAAAGAAGTCAAATGTAGCCAGCTCGGTCGGATCATGCGCGAGACAGACCAAGACGTTGGGGTCGGCGTCGTACTCGATGAGAGCTTCGATCGAGTCCTGAGCTGTAGCGGGATCTATGAAGAATGAATTCGGTGCAGTCGAAGCCCTGAAAAACGGAACCTAGAGAGAAAACCCCAAGAGGTACAGTCAGCAACACGGTCCATCATTGATCTCAGGTCGGGGAGGTGCCATTACCGTTCGACCGTTCTCCTTTTCGGGATGAGACGACAAGAATGCTGAGCACGGACAGGGATGGGAGATAAGCTTGTTCGTGAACTTTGTCTCCTCGGGAATGAAGTCGGGCATGGGAGTATAGCGCGTGGGCCGGATCACACCGCTGTGATGACAAACATCGCCGCCGAGGTAGACGAGGGTCTCGGGAGTTGTTCGCACCAGAGCCCCGATGTGTCCTATCGCATGACCGGGCACGTTGAGGATGTACAGAGACCCGTCTTCGAAGTAGTCGTGTGCCTGGTACCGACCGATCTTGAAGTCGTCGGAGAACGACAGCTCCCTCACCTCGCGGCCATCGAAGTCGGCTTCATGGAACGGCGACGTGGGATTCGCCGGCCAGCCTGGCATGAAGGCGTCTTTGAATCCAGGGCCGACGATGATCTTGACAGACTTGGGCAATGCGGCCGGATTGCCGCAGTGATCCCAGTGCCAGTGGCTCATGATGAACCCTTCAACGTGGGTCAGGTCGACGCCTCCCTCGGTCAAAATGTCATGCACGTCCTTGGCAATGTCGAGGCCGTCGACGTTCTTGCTGACCGTCTCGCGGATGTGAGGCACCGCATTCTGCCAGTCCTTGCGCATGCCCAGATCGAAGAGCACTTCGCGGCCAGACGCCTCGTGCTTGATGTAGAATGAAAAGGTCGGGAAATTGATCCAGTCATGGCCGGGGATGTTAGGCTCGACGGTGCGCGATGTGGTGCAGACTATGTTACATGTTGTGTCGATGATGGAGAGCTGGCAAACGCTGCCACTGGGGGGAATGTTGAGGTCTGGCCGTGGTGTTGCTCCATTTGGCAACGACATGTCTGAAGCATTAGAAACGAGCCTTTGCTGGACCTCGATCTTTTCAGAACAGAGGGCCGAAGTATCAAGAATCGTGTTACTCTTTGTGAACCTTGGTGGCCGTAACATAGCATGATATAATAAACTCGACTCCTACCCACATCAGCTATTTGACTGTCCGCATGTATAAACCATGGAGACGCCGAGTAGCTCACGCGCAAAGCCACTTCCGCGAGGCACGCAACCAAGAATGAGCGACCAAGGACTCACCCATTCTCTCCGCCCCGATGATGGGCGGTACAAGGACAGCGTGCCTGGTGCTCACCATTCCACTCGGGACCCCGAAGACTCCCCCGGGCGGGGTCGGACGGCACAGGGTTTCTGGCCATTTCCAAAGTCCAGGTACGATCCCCTCAAGGGCCCGGCGGTCCTCTTGGTAATTCCCCCAGTCGAACCGTCCTGATTTCCATTGATGGATGGCCTTGGGTGATCCTACTGCCGACGGCACCTCCTGATTTCCTGACCACAGGACGAGACCTGCGGAGCGCCACAAAAAGACAGACTGATAAATCATATTAAGACCATCATGATATGAAGACAGAAATCTCGCCCGAAAATTACGTTGGAAGGCCCCTCTGTCCCTGATCATCACACATTACGGTAGATCTAGCAGACGAAACGGTGCTCTACATCGATCGACCCATTGCCAGGAGAGCTTCCTGCTTGGACAGTTCTCCACCATGGCGTCTCAGCTCGTGCTGCCGTTTTCAATGGCGTGGGCCGCCATGATGGGTGCTCTCGCGCCTCGTGGCATATGTAGGTACATTCCCGGCGACGCAGGGTGGCCCAATGCCACGGACTGGGACGCCCTCAATGCCACGGTGGGAGGTCGATTGATCAAGAACGTGCCTGTGGCGGCTGTGTGCCACACGGCCGGCACTTTTGCCGCCTACGACAAGGAGGCTTGCGAGAAGCTGGCTCGAGACTGGCGAGATGCCAGTGCGGAAACTTTGTTCGTGAGGCCCCAAGTCCTCCTTTGACCCTGTCGCGTCTGGTCATGAGTGCGGTGCCTTTCCACTGATTGTTGCATGCCATGGTCCTAGATTCCCTCAGCCCGGCGAGATGTGGCACCCGTACTTCCAGAATCAAAGCTGCACGCCGTTCACCGCGCCAGAAGTCCCGTGTGAGCTGGGGAACCGCCCTGTGTACTCGATCAACGTGACCGGAGTGGCCGACGTGCAGGCAGGCTTGAAATTCGCCACGGAGAAGAATGTCCGCCTTTCTGTCATGAACACCGGTCTCGAGTGAGTCCCATTCCATCCCTTGCCTCTCCTGCCTCGACGAAGTTCTAACCCATGCCAACCCGATCTGAAAAGCTACCTGGGAAAGTCCTCAGGTCAAGGCTCTTTAGGCCTGTGGGTATACAATCTCAAGACCCAGGAGATTATTCCCGAGTACACGAGTCCGTCTTACTCTGGCCCGGCGCTCAGGATGGGAGCGGGCGTCATCTCTGGCGAGACCAACGAATTGCTCGCCCGGGCGGGATACCGCGCCGACCTTGCATCGTGCGGACTGACGGGCGTCGTGGGCGGCTATCTTCAAGGTGGCGGACAAGGACAGCTGATATCGGCCCATGGCATGCCGGCAGACAATGTCCTTGAATGGGAGGTGGTCACCCCTACTGGGGAGCATGTCAGCGCTTCTCCGGAACAGAACCCGGACCTGTATTGGGCGCTCACGGGCGGCGGAGGAGGCACATACGGAGTTGTTCTCAGCGTCGTTATCAAGGTGTTTCGCGATGGCCCCATCGCCGGCGGACAGCTGATGGTGCAAAGTGAGAACTCCGAGGCCATCTGGGACGCCGCCCGGACTTGGATTGAACACTTGCCACGCCACGTTGATGGAACACGAAACCTCTTCCACTTCGGCATCACCAAGACCATCTTCTGGGTCTTTGCCTTCATCATGCCCGACCAAGACACGACAGCCATCGACGCTCTGCTGCGCCCGTTTCTCCCGGAACTCGATCGGCTGGGTCTCGGCTACGAGCTGACCACCGTCAACTACACGAACTACCTCGACGCCTATCTCTCCACGTACGGCCCTCTTCCCTACGGCGCCATCTGCCCCAAGTGGCCCATCATCTCCAGCCGCCTGATTCCGCGATCGGTGTTGGCGGACACGGCGCAACGAAACGCCCTCGTCGACTTTTTCCAAGACGTGGCCCGCGACGGCAAATGGTTCTGGGGCTGCAGCTTCTTCGACGTCAACGACAAGGCCGGCTCGCCGCGCGGTCCCCATCCGCCCAATTCTATCCATCCTGCCTGGCGTGACGCTGGCGCCTATTGCAACCCGCAGCCCGAGCTTTCCGGAGGCTACCACTGGGAGGAGCCCGAGATTGACGAAGCCCTGCGGAAGAAGCTGGTCACCGAATTCATCCCAAGAAACGAAGCATTGACCCCCAATTCGTGCCATGTCAATGAGCTGGACCCGACATACCAGGGAGATTGGAAGGATGCGCTGTACGGGCCCAACTATGCCCGCCTGCTGCACATCAAGCACAGATACGATCCCAACTACATCATGTATGGCCAATGGGCGGTCGGGTCTGATGAGTTCACCGTCGATGGAGACGGAAGGCTTTGTAAAATCTAGGTAGTCTTGCCTTGTTTCGCTCATTTAAAGTCCACGTTCATGGACTGCTTCGAGCCATCGTCCGCCGGAAAGTCTTCACTCCTCTCAACCATGATCCATTTGCCTGCCTCCGAAACAAGTGAATCTCGAGGGATATGGCCGTGCTCATTGGTCGTTGGAAGTGATCTTCAGCCATTTTAATTCCAGGGAGGCCGCATCCAGGACAGTCGAGTAGAAGAACTCCGGCCCTCAGCACGCGCGAGCCGGGGGTGAGCACAGGGCGGCATCACCCCGGTGCCAATCCCGGGGGAGTCGCGAGCAGTTTTCACTCATCTTGGCTTTCCACACTGGTCCTTGTCATCATCGCCTTCCAGGTTCCTTTAAACACCAATTTCTGTTTCCGTTTAGCAGCCAAGATGACTAAGTGTGGATGGGTGCTTCAGCCACCCGACGGCCACCCAGAAATGCCCACCTTTGCTACGACGACAGCTTACTTATCTCCTGCTTCTACTTCCAGGAACTGTACTACCCACCTCGAAGCCTCTCGCCATCTTCTCAGCGTGTTGCTGTATTGTCGGCAGAGAAACTCATACGGGATGAGAGACAATAATCGAAGAGTAGTCTCTCACATTCAGGCCCTGACAGACGGCTCACGGTAGCGACAAGCGGCTGACCTGGCCCGTGCGTTTTCCCAGATAACTAGAGCAACCACCTCGACGCCTCTTCACCTGTCTGGATTGACGTTTCTGCTGCTACTCGACAGGCTATTTTGACACGTTTGTCACAGATTTATCGAGCCTGCTACATTCGTCACATATCGCCATGTCTGCTCGGAAAGAGGAAAAGGATACGTTTCATTTCGTGGCGTTTCAAGATCCTTCGAATGCCGTGGCTCGAAAGTCGTTGGAAAAATCCCGAGCACGTGCCCATGCCGCTCGAGTCACACATTCGAGGAGAAAGGCAAAGCGTGGGCAGACCGTCGTCAAATGGATTATCGAGAGCTCAGGCTCTCCCAAGGACAACACTCCGAAGCAGGCACAAGACAAAGTCCAAGTAGCTGGATTCAAGATCAGCCCGCTTTCATATCTTGGGCAGGACAAGGTCGACCCCTTTGGATCGAACCCTCATACGGTATTGCCGAAATATCTGCAATCGATTCTTGACTACGGTGAGTTGATGTTCGTCCTGTTGGTCGTTCACTAGGACTGATGTCCCGGGATCTTGAAAGCCTACGAAAGTATACACCCGAAGATCATAACCGTCCACGCGGTGAACAGTGTGTCCGAGGTCAAAATATCCTGGAGACGGATCGGTCAAGAATGGCCATTGATGTACCACCTGCAAGTTGCTTGTGCAGCAAACCTCGCTCGCGCAGGCGCCGACAATGAGCGCCTCCCCCACAAGATCGAGGTTCTACGAATGAAACACCAAGCACGCGGGTTAGCTCTGGTGACGAAGGAGCTTCAGAACCTTAAAGGTCCGGCATCCGATTCATTGATCATGGCACTGATCATGGCGGCGTTCCTGACCGATCCCAATCCCACCTCGGCTCAATCTGGAGAAGTGGTTCCACCATCTCCTTTGGCGACTGCTTGGAATCTACACCTCTATGCGAGCCTTACACTGATGCCTTCTATGATCCAAGCTCTTATGGAACTTGTCGTCAGCCGCGGTGGGATGGACGCTTTGCAAGAATATGGACTCAAGAATGTTCTTCAATTGTCAGTCGGATTTTCAACCATTTTTGTCGAGTCTCTAGCTGATGTGGATATTAGCGCCGACCTGATGGTCAGCTCGAGGCTCAATATGAGTCCTTCTTTTCCCTGGGTGCTTCCAACCACGTCGATTCTCCATGGACCGAAGTATCAGCCTGACCATGAAGCTGTCATGATGTCAATGGTGATCGGCACCGGCTTCAGACAGATAGATCCAATAGCTATGGATCTGGCAAATGCCTTGAGAGCCGCAGGCGAGGTCACTGTCGCTCTTGACCACTACGTACAACGCCGCCCAAACCCGCCCATCATGGCCGATATAGTCAATGCGGCGAATCAAACTCACCACAGGCTAGCAAGTCTCGGGCCAAGGATAACTATGGATCCCCAAAAGACCGACTACTTGTGGAATCTATGCCGCGTGGCTGGCCTCATCTACAGCGACTTGGTACTGCTTCCCTTACCACCCACGACCGGTGTCAGACCTCGGCTGGCTGGAGAGCTTCGCCTTGCCATGGAATCTTTCGAAGTATTTGAGGCTGAAGAAACTGCTTATATTGTCCCAGGCACCACAGCGGAGGATTACACCTGTCTGGTCCTGTGGGCTCTAATGATGGGAGGTCTTGCTGCGCTAAACACACCCCACAAGGGATATTTTGTTCGAAAGATGCAAGAATACGTCCTCCGTTGGCCGTATATTATCGAGTGGGGTGCTTATACCAGTCTCATGGCTACATATCTGTGGTGGGACCACATATTCGCGGAGCCTGTGGCAATGCTATGGACAGAGGTGACCTTGTCCCTAGCAGACGTGGTGCAGCAAGGCTCTGTATTTACACAACCAAGTCACGATACTCCTCCAGCAGATCAATTTCCCACACTCCCACTCCATTTGAAAACAGAGCCTGGCTACCGTGGACTTTCGGTTCAAGATGTATCGACCTCGAGCCTCTTCGAGTAGTCTTCACGTCTGCGTGGGAATGCTCATTTGAGCTGCTGTCCGCAGTGTCTGCATCAAGCATTTATCGACATGATGATGCTCTCTACAAACAGATCGGGCTCGCTGAGGAAAGGTGAATGCCCAGCTCCACACCTTAATTCCTGCACGTCCTCCAAACCTGACTGCCTCACCATCATCTCCTGCGTGGGGAGCGGGAGAGCTTGGTCCTCTTCGCAGTAGAGGTACGTCACTGGAATGCTGGTATACGCGACCTGGGTGAGCGGAGTTTTGGTGGCGATGATGCTATGATGTTTGAGCTTCGACACCCAAAGCTTCTGTTCTTCAGCTGGCAGATCGTTATAGAACACCCGCTCGGGGTTGGTTGCGTTGGTGCTGCCATCTTCCTGGAAACCCGAGATCTCGAGTTAGCACACTCTCGAACGAGACTGAAGAGCCTGGTTTTCCGGCTTGCCTCTTCTTTGACCCACGGCGGCAGACCACCGAGCCCAGCGACGAGGGACTTTCCCACGGGCAAAAGAAAGGCACAAGCATAAAACAATCGGACTATGCCGCCTTTTTGCGCTCCTTTCATCCTCTCAGCCTTGCCCAGCCCGGCGGCCGCTTGTGTCCCTACCATACCGCCGTACGAATGCATCACCAACAAGACCTCTTTGCCTTGCTCGACCAATTGCTCCAACTCCGCACGGACGTGAGCTGCGTCATCGTACAAGGTTCTGGTTGGAGGCACTGCTCCAGTGGAGGGTTGTTGGGGACAGAGCATGGTGAATCCGAGCGCTTCGAATCTGGACTTGACCGGCTCGAAGTGCGCCGGTCCGTGCCAGGCTCCGTGGAGGATGAATATCACCGGTTTGGGCGACATTCTGAGATTATTGACCTTGGAACAAGGACGATGATTCAAACAAACGCAGGAAGGTCGAAGATCTTTATAAGGAGAGGCCTCGCAACAGCTTTCCTCCTCTATGCCTACAGGAAGGAAACCATTGAACGAGAGCCAGACCCAAGCCAGCCAAACAGCGCCCCTCGCGACGCTCGCTCCATCCATACGACATCTCAGCGTCTACGGCAAGCTCATCCACCCCGACTCATTGGCCAACCATGTGAACCCGCCTGATTTTCCCAGAACCAAGACATCGAGAAATATACGACGCTTGCAAACGAGGTCCACGTTATCTATACCGGGGGCCCGCGTTTCGGGCCAGCCGGGGGATGGGAGACCTGATCGGCAATCCTAGAGCCAGTCAAAGCGAATCTCAACACTCACAAAAGCCTAATCGCTAACATGTCAAAACTATTTTCGATCTATTATGCGACCTTTTCAAACCTATTATGCGACATTTCCGATCTATTATGCGAGTGTTGTCACCAGTGTCAGTATTCGTGCGTCGAACGTCTAGGGCATCTAGGACAGATCGCCACCCACCCTCTTGTCTTTTTTTTCAAAGACGTGCTGTTAGTTCCCCCCTGGGACGAAGACGAAGAATGCGACCAGCACTCCAGGCCCGTGTGTCTTTATTCCCAGCCCAGCGACCGATGAACTTTCTTCGACTGGTTTATTTCCGGCAACTACTGCCTTTCGGGATTCAAAGTTCTAAGGCGCGCCTGAATGTTTAATTAGAACAGAAGCGGGTGAATATACGATGAGAGACGAGGGCCTGGGTGTGTCGCGCGAGATGGGCCAATGTGATGCGTAAATAAACTCACAGATGCCGGGAGGAAGTGGAGGGGAGAACACAGGACACTGAGTCATGAATCGATTGCAATCCATGCACATACATACAGCTCGTCATTGATTGATTTCGAATCAGCCTCATTTCCATATTTTCTAAGCTCCAAGCTCCTCAAAACCGCCCCATATCCTCCCTCCCTCTCATCTCCCTGCCATGTGTATCCAGCCCCAACCGCGCAGCTCGTCGAGGTTGCCAAAAGCAAGGTACCAGCACGTACCACTAAAACCAAGAAAGCAAAAAAGTAAAAGAGCAAAAAAAACCCCGAGCTATGTAGGTCTCTAAAGCCTGAGGTTCGCAAAGCTCCAGGTCGGCTCTCCCTCAGCATCGCCCGTACTGTCTTCCTTCGTCGCTGTTTCCCGCGGGCCGTTGCCGTTGCCGTTGTCGGAGCTTCGAAGACAAGTCGATTGCGCGGGATCGGTCGTTGTGCCTTGGTGCGGATGAGTCGCCACTGGATGGGATGACAACATGTTAGGGAGTGGTGGTCGATCGACAATGGAGATCTCGCCAGCACGGGTGGTTGCTGTTGACTGCTGCCTTGCTGGGCCGGGGACGCCTGAGTTTCTTCCGCGCAAGGAGCTTGTGCTGCCAAGAGACTGCTGACTTGATGCGTTGGCGGGAGGTGAGCGCTCCTGCTGTCTCGTTGATGGATGCCGACTCGACAGATCGGCGATAGTGGTCGTTCTTGAGTGCTCATCCAGCTCGACATTGACACTGCTTGCAGCTTTCTTTCCCTCTCGATCAACCGTTGCCTGGCGTGGTTTGCCGGGATGTACTTTGATGGCAGCTGCGCGCGACGGGTCCTCAATACTCGACCGTGCCAACTCCGGCTTCCTGGATTGTGTCTTGTCCACCATTCCTTCTTGCTGAACCCACGAGGGCTCTCGCTTTGTACTCGATTTCCCCGACGACCCACCCCGCTGAGACGCAGGCCGTATCTGGATTTCCTTTGGAGACGGTTCTGCGAATATTGACTTGTTTGCCCTGCCCTCTTCCTTGCTTGCAGGGCATGGTCCACGTTGTGGTTCTTCAGCTTTGCTTCCCGCCCCAGGACCAGATGCGTTCCGATCTTGATCCGTATCCTCGACTCTAGCAGCTCTTTTACCAGCTCTCTTTTCCTGCAGAGCATTGTACTCTGGCGTGCTGAGCACGCGACCATCACCTAGTGAGATTCGGATTGATGTTCCATGCGCGGAGTTGGTGTCCGGTCGTGGTTGAGAGTGAGCTACTTGTGAAATCGTCTGGTTTGGGTCGTCGCTCGTCTTTGGTCGTCTATCGAACTCCAAGGGTGGTCCTGAAGTGGTAGTGCGATGGGAGCCAGGATCACTTTGCCGAGTCGATCGAAAGTTCTGTGGTTCTTCAGACAGTTCCCGAGGGCTCGCGTCTTCTGTTCGGCTCGAGGAAGTCGGACGAGAGTCCAAATGGGGTCCTTGCTCTCCTGGTGTCTGTGTGCGGTGCTCAGGTCTTCGATCACTGGACCTCCGTATTCCCCGCTCTGGTCCTTGTCCCCTTCTGTCATCATGGCTCTGCGTCGGTCGACCTGGGCCTCGTTGTACAGGAGTGCGGGTCTGCGTACTTCCTGGGGGTGTTCGTGTCGGAGGACGCAGACCATTAGTCCGATCCTGATTTCGGTTTTGAGGCGATCGAGGAAAGGGCCACAGAGATGGATCTCCCGGGGTTCTAGGTCGACGAGGCTGATGATGAACTGGGCGACCAAGACGATCTTCATTCTCAGCGTAGATGACGACGCGGTTGATGGAACCGCTAGAAGAACTATGGCGATGCGCGCTACGGTGACGGTTGTACGGATCATTGTCCCATCGACGACCGTTGCTGACAGAGACGAAGCTGCCTCCACCACGCAGGGAACCTGTCGGCTGCTGCGGGAGAGAAATTTGATCCTGAGCTTCGGCTTGCTTTTGTGCGACCCGGGTTCGAAGAGCCTCACCAATCCTCTGATACTGATACTGATTTGATGTGCCTTGAGAAGGTTTGCAGCAAGGAGTGATTGTGTTGGAGAGCATCGTTTCGACGCTCGTGTTGGTGCTAGGGACCGCAGGTCTCTTGTCCCAGCACTTTGTTGGCCGCAAAAGCCACTTCCAAATCTTTAATAATCGCTTTCCATTCTCCTTGGTGTTGCTTTCGAGAAGAATACTGGCTGGCAGAGGCTGCCCTTCGCTTGCGCCATCCACATCCTTCGGACACGTCTCTTGTGGTAGTGGCGACGACTCCTGGTCACTTTCGCTCCCACTCTCTGGGTCTGAACCTTCCAATTTACTCTTATCGCTGGAAGTTTCTTTCAAGAAGGTGTCTGCATAATCTGCCGAGACACGGTCCGACATTTGCTCTGGCGGCGTTACTGTTCGTCTCACATGCTCCCTCCATTGCTTTGAGTATATTGAGCAAAGCGGGAGATTCCGCGAGGGTTCCTCGCATCGCGCAGAGAATTTGATATGCGTTTCATTCGGAACCTCTGGAACGGACGAGATTCGTTCATTCCGCTCTTCTGTGTAATGCTGCCCGTCCTCCGCGGTCACAGGACAATCGAGTCGTCCTTGCTGCTCAGAGGGGGGGCCATATGGAATAGCGACACCTATGGCCTCGCTTGGGTCGATCTGACATCTCATCGTCGAGTCATATTGGACGGCAGGGTTTCCGACATCGAGATTGAGGTCAAGTTTCGAGTCCTTGAAGTCGAAATCGAAGAGGAAATCCGCGGCTGGAGGAGTCGCAGCTGTTTGTGACTGGTGACTTCGATGCAAGGCTCGTGCGTAGTGCTCTCTGGTGCGGGTAAAGCGATCCATTCCTTCGTCTCACCTCACTGATAGTTTCTAGGCAGATCAAGAGGGCAACAGGAGGATATCTGAGATCCAAACAGCGAAGCAGAAGCGTCTGATAACGGAGATGAGAAAATAAGGCAGGTCTGAAAAGGGATTTTTGGCAGCAAGAGAGAAGCCGTGAGTCTCGAGCGGACCAGTGACGCTCCCAGAAAGCCTGATCTTGTCTGAAATATCAGATATACAGTTTCCCAATTCAAGCTGGTGACTTGAAAGGCGAGGTGAAGAGTTCGGAGGACGCTTTTGACTTCAGGCTGGCCATGTGGACAACTGAAGTGACATGTTTGGTTCAAGAGACCGGTGAAACGCTGTGAATATCCACCTGCAGTGTCAACATGATGATAATAACATCTGCTGCGTGTAATAGTCGTTCACTCATTCATCAGTGACAATCCCTGCCATCCCTGTCAATCCCTTAGACGCTGATTGTTTTGAAGACCCCCAGACCGCTTCCACCGGTGACCATGACCGTGCCCGGCATTTGTGGATGCCAGTGCAATTCTTTACCATCTTCAACGTGATGAATGAACAGCAACTGCGGAGGAACCTTTTCGGCACCTTCGCCCAGACCCAGGCCCGTTTCTCTACCATATTCCTCGTCGTCAAGCTCGACTGCGAGATCCCACAGAGTTGCAGTGTTGTCTGCACAAGCAACAGCCACCACGCTGTCATCCGTCGGGTGCCACTCGATGGAAGTGATGGGCTTCTTGTGGAAGTGAAAGTCTGCGACAGGGCTCGGCTTGATCTGCGCGCCGGGTGGCGCCCCTGACTGAGGCTTCCACTGCCGCAAATCCCATACTGCCCACTCGCCATCGTCAGCACCGGTAGCAAGCAAATGGAACGTCTGGCGCGACCACGACATCACGTTGACATCGGTGTTGCTGATCTTCACATCCACGGCGGGTTTTCGGCTCTTACTCCGCACATCCCACACCTTCACAGTCCCATCGGAGCTTGCGGACGCAAAGACAAATTTCTCATTGGGTGACCACTGGAGTTCTTCCACGGCGTCGGTGTGGCCGACAAATGCTCTGGTATCCGTCACCCAGCCGCCGCCCTCAGTTCGTTGTGTGCTGAATATCTGTCCGGCATTGTCACCAGAGAGAAGTCGACCGTTGGGATGCGAGGAAGCTGGCGCCCAATCTAGCGCGTATCCTTCAGTCTTGTGCATTCGGAGAGTGCTGAGGGGCTTTGAGGCGTTCGGAGGCAGTGTATAACCAGGTGTCGAAAGAGAATGGAGATGTGGTGATACATCATGGATCAGAACCTGACCGTTTTCGAGGCATGTAGCGGTCAAGGTCTGAGGTATTTGAGTCACGTCGGCAGTGGCAGTCGCTGGCTGGAAAGCTCTTATTCTGTTGGTTGTGCTTGGAAGTGGGATCGACCTTGACTCGAGCACTGGGTCAGATGCGCCCTCGTCGTCTTCGTCATCGTCGCTATCACTCTCTGAATCCGTCTGATTGCCGCGATCGATCCTGGACAGACTGCTCAACCGCAAAATGTACAACTCATTCTCTTTGGCGCGTGACGAGTCGGCTTGAGTACCAGCAACTGCATAGACCGTTCTTGGATATTGCTTGCGATTGTCGCCCAGGTTATCTCGTACAACGTCAAAGGATAGACAGGGCCACGTCGTCGACATCAGGTGGAGCATCTCGTAGGTGGAAGGGTCTGGCGTCAGAGACATTCCGGGTTGCAGTATCGATCGGCCTGGTATAAATGTCTGCTGGCTCGTGTCAACATCCATAGCATCTTGTGCCTGTTCAGCTTCTCTTTCGGCATCTGGTCGCCCATCAATGCCCGCCTCCATGACCTCGTCTTCCGACTCGTATTCATCTTCAAATTCGTCTTCGAAGTCGAGGGTAGGATCACCGTTGGCGCTCGAATCTGGCCGTTGCCCTGCCTTGAGGGACTCTAGGTTTTCCTGGCTCTCAGCGGTCCTTTTCGACATCTTGGTCAAATGGAGGTCTTATTCACAGTATCACAACTGAGGCAACGTCTGTGGCCGCTCAATAAATCTGCATTTCTCTCTCCGCACATGAATTTCGAAATTATTTTTTTTCTCCAAAAACATGCTTATGTAACGAAGGTCACGTGCAATAGTGGGATATTTGATGCCCATACATGTCCTGCTTCGGGTTACGCATGGATTACTCCGTATGAGCCAGTATTCTACAGTACTCGCCTGTAGTTCAAGACGCTTTGCCGGTTCAAGGTCATTCTTCTGGGCGAGAATCAAGGCATAGCCGTCTCATTACCGACCTTGACCAGAATCGATTCTGCTGCCGTATTAATAGTGAAATAGCCTCGGCTCTTATGGGCCCGCCCGGGCACCCCAGACATGGAGATCTCAATGCAGCGAGCAGCTACATCCTCCCGCACTCTCTACAAAATCGCTACTCAGCTAAAGTAAAGCACTGCTCCTGTGAGAACAAGAGTTGAGTTGTTGACAACCGTCTCTGAGCCTTGAATACCTCACGCAATCGCCTGCACCTACACCTTTCTTTCCTGTACGCTGACTTCGACTTGGAGCGCATTGAAAGAGGTCAGCTCTCACTGTACTACGGTTTCTGCACACCCGAATACTTCCCCTTCATCCTTCGAGCCGAGCCAGTGGAGATATAGAGAGCAATGTCCGGTGTACCAAAAAGGCGCCTCGCGGCGTTGTCGAAACAACTTGCGGAAGGAATACCTTCCGAGGGCACATTTGAGGAGATCCCTCGCATTAGACACGTCGCAGACAGCTCAGCAGGGCCGAGAGTCAAGGGAAAGGTTGTCATCGTTACTGGTACGCACCAAGAACACAACATCTGGCGAGCCCAAGCCACCACTAAGAGACTAATTTTGAGTGTATTTGCTCTTTAGGATGCAACTCTCCGATCGGCATCGGTCGAGCGTCTGCGCACCAATACGCCCAGAACGGCGCGAAGGCGGTCTATATTTGCGACTATGATGACAAGTACTTGGAGATGCACAAGAGGGAAATGGCGTCCTTGTACCCCGAGTGCGAGGTCCACTGCGTGAAAGTGGACGTCGGGGAGGAATCCCAGGTCAAAGCCGTGGTCGATCAATGCCTGGCAAAATACGGCAGACTGGACATCATGTTTGCAAACGCAGGCATCTCGGGTGTCCCCAATACCTTCGAACATATCTCGAGCACGGCATACATGAGGACAATGAGGGTCAACGCACTCGGTGTATTTCTGTGTTTCAAGTATGCCGCCATTGCGATGCAGAAGACAAGCCCCGAGAAGAAATACCCCGGAGGAAGCATCATTGGCACGGCGTCGGTGGCTGGCCTCCGGTCAAATGCTGGGGGGACGGATTACTCGGCCAGCAAAGCTGCCGTGGTGTCAATGGCGCAGACCATGTCCTATCAGTTAAGTGGGACAGGTGTAAGAGTCAATGCCATCTGCCCAGGTGTGATCGAGACCGGCATGACCAAACCCATGTATGATGCAGCACGGAACCGGGGCACTGAGAAGAAGATCGGCCAGTTGAATCCGCTGCAGAGAGGCGCGGTGGCCGACGAGGTCGCCAGAGTCGCCTTGTTCTTGGGGAGCGACGAGGCTAGCTACGTCAATGGCCAGGCCTGGGCTGTATGCGGAGGTCTGAGTGCTGGACATCCGTTCGTCCCAGGCAAGCTAGGGTGATGATTTTCAGAGAAGTGGTAAAGTAGACTCAGCCGTCCAGGTCTTTTTGAAGGACTTCCAAAACCTTCTTCTCGTCAATATTGTCCAACGAGGCAAGGTTTTCCTCATCTGCTTTGTCCCTCGGGTCGTAGGTTGGCAGGTTGATCGGCACTTCTGCCCCGTACTGTTTGTTGTAATCTTCTTCAGTGATGTATGGATCAGGCAAACCCTCGGGGCCATCATATCCAACATAGAAGGTCGGAAACTCCAGGATGGTCTGATTGCGAAGAACATCAACCAGCTTCGAGTCCGAAGCAACCGGAATCACACATTTCACTTTCGATATTGTGTTCGGCTTGAAAAGATAAAAGTTGAGGTTCTGTGATGAATATAGAGTTCCTGGATGCTGCCCATTCCTTTGTGTCGGGCTGTGAGTCGTGTCCGTGCGCTTCTGGTCAGTCACGAGTTCATGGGCGGTCGATTCTGATTCTGGATTCTGAGAGTTCCCCTCCAAACTTCCAGCATGCGACGTTCGCCCATTGACTTCTCTGGCAGCGACAGGCGGAACATATTGATCGGTGGGGCGAGGGGCTGAAACAGATGTTGTTTCAGCATCACTTCGCTTGCGTTTCTTGCGGTTGATGGCGTGTTTCCCAAATGCGATCAGAAAGGCTTCCTCGACCGTCCTCGACTCGAGAACATTACAAGTTCTCTTGTCGCCATCGTAGCACAACCATTCAGTCGTCCACATGAGACACTTTCCATGGCCCGCCCAATGCGACTTGTTTTGTTTGTGTCTTGACAGCCCCAAGGGCGCCCTGATCAAGGATATCCCTCTCTTTTCGATCTCGGCATCAAACTTTCGTTTAGCATCCTGGCCTTTTCGGACGAGTCCACTAGGGACCAAGTCAATGCCCTTGCTTTGGGTAAGCTCGTCCGCGCGGGCCAGAGATCTCTCGACGGAAGTGATGAAGTTGAAGTCCTGATCGACAGAGCTTGGTGTGGCCAAATCAGCTCGTTTCCGGTAGGCAGAAGGGTCTCGAACGCCTGAGCACTGAGCCCATGACTTGTGGCGCTTGACGCATGGCAGGGAGCATGTGTGCACTCCGCATCGAGGGCAAGTGTATTTGATGGGATTGACGTGGCTATTCAAGATCGAGGATTTAGTCGTTGTTGCAAAAAGTAGGACGAGATTCCAGCTTACCAAATGGCACAAAGATCAGTCAACAACACGTCGGCACTTGTTTCCTGCATAGCATCGTCAATTTCTGCGAGGCATGTTACTGCAGATGCAGATAGATAGGTCTAATATGGAATTCAACAAGTTTGGTTCAGTATGGCCCCGGGCTCTAAAACTTTTGTCTGTTTTTCTTTGCTTATCGATAACGAGGGTGGCACACCAGCCGGGGGATAAACTCGACGTCACTGTGCAGTCTCCGCATCGTTCAAGAGATGGACGACAGAGGGTACAACTACCTAGTAGGTACCTTACCTAGGTAGGTAGGTAGGTGGCTAGGCATCTAGGTACTCGGTAAACCTCTTGTCCATCTCCTCCCATCCTACTTTTCTGCCTACTTTCCCCTTCCATGCCAAGGTCCATCGTCTAAGCCGTTGTGGAGTCTTTTCTGTGGCACATTTTGGTGGCATCCTATGTCTTCCACTCTAGATATTTGGACTCCAGGACAGTAAAGGACCTGAGCAACCCGCATGTCAGTAGAATTGAGTTCTGTGTGTGACTCGAAATTTTGGTAGTTAAGCACGTCAATCATGCCCTATAAGATTCCTGTAACTGTGCAATAAGACCGTCAAACCCTTTTACATCCAGACTCCAAAAAGGCTTGCAAAATCAAGTTCATCTCTTTTCCTCCTTCGTTGGCATCAGCTTGAGTCAAGCCACCAGGTAGACTAGGTCGATGTCGCTGCAGAGTCGAGCGAGACACCTTGTTCAGCGACATCGGTAGCCAAGGTGCTTGTACCTCGTAAACCACAGTCGAATTCCAAACCTTTTTCCAAAAGCACACAGCTATCCGTCTTGGTCTGACCTCGATTAGGGCCTCATTCATCTTCCCGTAAACGAAATGGCCGTTGATGTTAGGGGACTTCCGCGTTTGGGGTTCTATATCCTCAGCTTCAACAGAGTATGTTGAGAGCTGATGTTGGAAATTCAAAATCCGCTTGACCCCGCGCATGTGCGAACCAACGTGGTACGCTTGAAGCTAGAAAAGTGGTGTTTGTGCCGCCGAGGGGAGTGAGGCCGGGCAAGAAAAGGCAAAGGCGAAAGAAAGCAGCAGCTTCATGCGATTGGGAGAAGTGCTGTCCCTCTCTCCCTCTCGTTCTCCCTCTCCCTTCTCTCTACTCGTATTCTCCCTGGTTGTTGCATGTTATGGTCGATCGGCCGGTTGCAGAAAACTCAACGCGCACGTGGAATTAGAGGAGCAGGACAGCCGGTTCATTGGGTAACGCACCAACCTTAATTGCCTTTACCAATTCCCCTGGCTGTACCTAGGTAGGCCTGTGGGATCAGAGTTTGGAATATACAGCACATCCTGGCAAACCTAGATAATTATGTTGTCGCGTCAGGCACGCAATGATCCAGCGGATCGTATCCTAGAATCTCGATTGGACGCAATTCTTGCGGCAACCCCGCGGATTGCTTTTCAATGGGGTACTCGTGCACGATATGTACCCCTGAGGCGTGCAGCGTTACTTCTGGAAGCAGGGCAAAGAAAACCTTGATACGCGGCAAGTGACCAACAGAAGTACGTCTCTCCATTCCCGACGGAAATGTAAATGCATCTGATGGCTTGAATCATCAGCCTTGACGTGAAGTGAAACGCGTCCGATTGCGGTCAGGAATTACGAACACGACGGAGGTCCGTCTCCTAGGTACCTAAGTAGTCAGCTCCTTCCCGTGTGCCGTGTGCAACTCGTGTGTCGCAGCCGTGTAGACCCCATAATGAATTACTCGTACTGCTGTGCTGGCAGGGAAGATTCGAAAAGATGCAGTCGTAGTAAAAACCTTGACTGTAACATGGCCAATTGCGGGCTCGTCCTTTACATAAAAAAACATGTGGCCAGATGGCTAGAACGCGCAACACGCGAGATTTTCCTTTGTTACGTCGTTCGCCCTTATGCTCGGCGACTTTCCATCAAAGAGATTGAAAAGAATACGAGTGACCGAGTATTGCTCCAGGCCCAGATGTCCAACCCATCCCTTAGGCCAAGGCACTGAATCTGTACCCGGTACTGAGTAGAGGAGGGGTAGTACGGAGAACCCGCTGAACAAAAGCCTAGAAGCTTGGGAAAGCAAGCCACATTCAAGCAAGAAGAGCGACCCCTGAAAGCCCACACAGGCCGTCGAGAAGGAAGAGTATGCACGTCTTCTTTTCCCCCCAGAAAATCCAAAAGCCTCAGCCAGCCTGTGATGGAAGTGGCCAAAAACGGTCGGCCACAGATTGGGGCTTTGCGCACAGGTCCGTCACCGAAGCCATCGTGGCCGTCAACCAAGTTTGCTGGCTCATCACAAACAAGTGGATCACGAGTGTTGGTTGCCAACCAAATTGAAGGCTGCCGGGGAAAAGACTGAGCCAGGGTGCTGCAGGACACCAGGGGCACGTCCAACCCAAAGCGGCGTCGTTCCGTGTGGGCGGGCAGCTCGACCATCTCGACCTGGATGGTGTGTGTCCCTCAGCTCCTGGCTAGACCCAACCTGGGGGGGTTCGAAGCTCTTTGGGCTGTGGGATGATTTGCAACAGGGGGGCCATCTCCATCATACTATGTGCTCGGACAATAGAAGCTTGTGAGGTACCTGAGTGTGCAGTGTGCAGTGTGCAGCTTGTGATGGTACAGACCAGATCAGCCACAAGATTGAGTGAATCTGGTAGAACCCTTCCTCTGTCAAAGCTGTCTCTCCTTGGTCCTTCTACCCAGTCCGAGGTACACAAATCCGAAATGGCGAATCTCTGCACACTAATTAACCTCTGCCAGTGCCAGTGCCAGTGCCTTTCCCTGTGCCTGAGCCTGAGCCGTGCCCGTGGGCACCCATTCTCGGTTGTGGGCTCGGTGGGCTTTGTCTCGGTGGTGTCGAGTGGTTTCTTCCCCCTGCACGCCTCATCTTGTTAGCTGCATATCCGGAGTCCACCACTGTTAGTCACTGCTAGTCGTGGCCCTTGATGGCACTTGATGTGCCTCCGGTCCGCTTGGCCTGACACCTCTTGTTGCGCCTTTTCTCGCTTCCAATGCCAGATGGACTCCTGAAATCTATGGAGCTTCAACTGTGCCTTGCAATAATCTCTCCTGGCACCTACGCTCGTTCCAGTTTTCAATAATCCTCCCAACGGTCGCAGCCCGTTGGTTTTTCTTTCTTCTTCACACCGCGGGGGCTGTCTCTGCACCACGTTCTCTTCCCCTCCCTCTGCCTCGAGGAGAAAAGAAACTCCTTTGTCTATCCCGTGAAGACATCCCCAGATACACAAGGCTGCAGGGTTGTCTGGAGCTCGCTGTTGCTTCCTGGTTGAGTTGCGGGAGGATTGACATCCAAGACCACACAATTGCAGTTGCTGAGGCGAACCTCCCTATCACCGTTCGAACCGGCAACATGGGTCCCTCGCTCAGAGGTCATACCTCAATGACTTCGATGGCTGCTCGACCTCAGACTCGCGATACAAACCGCCCTGCTACCCGAGAGCAGCAGGTTGACAATGCCATGGTCCCCAGCCGAACCTCCTCGCTCCATTCACGAATCACCCAGCCACTCCCTTCGACTCTAGCAAAGTCGAACAATCGACCGACGCCAAAGACGTTGACCCATGCATACATGGTCTGTGGTGTGGGAAGAGAACCGTCGCAATGGGTCAAAGCACCACCTCCCTCCCACGGCAAGATCCAACATATGAAAGGAGCTGTGGGCCAATTTTGGCTTCCCGAGATCTTGGGAAGCAGCCCCAGGCTGGAGACGGATAATGAAATTGCAAGAGCTCTGCACAGCGCCATGAGGGTTCGTCGCTCTTGCTCTCCACGGTTTGATTGCAACCACTGACCACTAGACAGGCGTGCTTCCCTCATGATGTCGAGATCTGCACGGGCAGAAGCCAGCCACACTGCGTTCATCACTCCTTCGTCCTCCAGCAGGACTCCCAACATACCCTATACGGCATTGCCCTGCGAGTTTGGTCAAGAGCCGATGAGAAACGCGCCGAGACCATTCGTGACCTTCGCCGCAAGACGGAGTCCGACTACAGAGATGTCGCAGATGAGACCTACTGGATCCCCTATTGCTTGAGCTTTCTTTCCAGGTATCCCCTCTACAACCTCCTGGGCGACTACCTGCGAGGCATGTGGATTCACTGGAACAAGGCCACGAATTTGTTCCACGCCGAGGAGGTTTCGAGAATCCTGAGCTTTCCGGCTCCACGACTGAATGACCTTGTACGGATCGATATGAAAGATTACGCCCTCTGCTATCAATTCCCATCCTCCCCCACCGGATTCCAGAACTTCAATATGTGGCCACTCTTCTGTTGCTTGAGCATTCCCAATATTGTCGGCCTCATTGAGGCGGCTGTCTCGCCTACTCGCCGCATCATCCTCACCAGCCACCACCCAGCCATGCTCACAATCGCCGCCGAAACCATCAGATTCTGTGTTCGAGTATACGAATGGAGTGGCTTGTATGTGCCTGTTGTCCATGCTCGCAATGCCAGTGAAATGGTGCAAGAGCCTGGACCATACATCCTAGGTATTACCACGGAATGTCGATCACTCTTTCAGCCACCAAAGGATGCTCTCCTGGTCGACCTGGATCGGAATCTCGTCATCACTGATCATCCACCGAACATTTTGACCGCTGGCCAACGCACCAAGATGATCAACCGTCTCACACAAGCCTTGAACAGCGACGTGGAGATCAGCGGGGTCCCTCAGCATCTCAAGTCTGCTTATGGAGGCGGCAAGCTCATCCCTGCTGGCCAAATTATTGTCTTGCGCGGCGAGGTTGAGAGTGTACAAGATCCCTCGTGGTGGAACCAAGACGCAGTCATGGCAGTCATGGACCACGTCTGCGAAAAGCTCGGTCGCAACACTGGTGTCAAGGCCATCTTTGGCGGTACCATGAAGAAACCGCTGATGACCAAGATCTCGATGAGACACATGAACGAGATTGTCCGAGAGCGTAACCAATATTCGCGAGACGCACTTGAAGCATGGCAAGACTTCATCAACCTGAAGGGTCGCATGGACACAGAGCTTGCCAAGGTTGCAAAGAGGAATAACTACCTCGAGCAAGAAGTCGAGACATGGAAGTTGCAATTCCAGAAATTCCAGGCCTTCGTCGAGTCTCTCAACAAGGAGCTGGCCGAACTTCGTGTCAAGATTGAGTCTCACAAGCGCGAGAACCGCAGACTTACCGGCCTCATCGACCAGCAGAAGGATGACGCTGCTCGTCTTGCTCTTCGCTTGTCTGGCACTGAGAGACAACGTGATAACGCACTAGAAGCGTTGGTGCTCCAGCAAGGTATTGCCGAAGATCTGGAGAAGGAGCGTGCTCGCAATCGGAAGGAGATCGCAGCCCTGCAACATACCAATCAAACCCTACAGCGCCAGCGGGATGAAGCTCAACGGGTCGTTCTCCACCTCCGATCCCTCATCACCGGCCAAACCCATCATATGGAACACATTGTTCGCTCCATCGGATCAGCTTCTGAGCTGGCCGAGTACATCAACGAAGGGTATGAAGAGGAGGAGGATGAAGAGGGAGAGGGAGAGCAAGACGAAGAAGAGCATGATGGGATCGCCGAAGATGGTGACGAACTCAAGGACACCAGACCAGGCAAACGGGTATCAAGATCTGGCTCCATTGACGGCCAAGATGTCACGCCCCAAATGGAGAACAAGCTCCTGGCCGCCAACAAGAGAGCCAGCAAACGCTACTCCGAGCTTAGCATGTCTGATGTGGCCGATCGTCATCTCCGTGACAAGACTGATGCCATTGCTGATATCATCCGCAACATCAGTGAGCAGTGTGCCGCTGCTGTCGAAGGGCTTCAGCTCGCCAACGAAGCCGCTGACGTCGAGGAGGACGAGCAAGCCGAACCGGACGAGGCTAGTGTGTCGGCCTCAACCGGCCATGCTCGACAAGATAGCGAAAATTTGTCTCCTGTCGACCATAGTGCCAGCGATTCTCGTGCAGGCACTGGTCACCTGACCCCTCAGAGCGAACGAAGTTCGATCCCACCAACACCGGACTTGGTACACCAGCGTTCCAGCACTGCATTGAGCATGGCAAGCACGGCGCCGACGAACTACACTGCTCGCGAGTCGCTCAACCACAACACCCGAGGTCCCGATCGCACCAAGATCGTTGAAGACGAAGACGCCGAGCGTGCCCACGCTAACGTTGCCAGCAGTACTGGCAGTGTGAAGGGAGACTCTGTGTCCGAGGAAAATGTGAAACCGCCTCCTGGTCGAGGTCCTGTTCTCAGCCGCGTGTTGGAGGCGTGAGGCACCAGACTGAAGATCTAATATTTTGCATACCATGGCTTTGGATTTGGATTCGCATCGAACTCGGGCTGGCAAGGAGCTTTGGCGCAATACCTGTTGGGAACGGGAACTAAGCGGCACGAACGACCTTGTCTGCCGTCGTGTCTCAAGGCAGTGAATTTGTCCTCGCTGTCCGACGTTGGACATGTTCCTCCTTTTTATTCTCGAAGGTTAATCTGTAATTCTGGGGGGGCTTTACTGCTTACGGCTTTTACGGTGTGATATTGCTTGTTTTTTGCTTTGTGATTTACCCGTTCTTTTCATGACACACTCAGTTGTATTGCCGCGTCCAGGCATGAGACTTGACTTTGATGGATGGCTTTTGCGCAAACGCAAGAGACAGAAAATACCTAACGGTTATTTGGGGAAATGGAAACCAGAAAGAACAAAGTGTTTGAGGATCTAGATATTGAACTGAGTCCTGTTCCCCCATGAAACGGGGCCTGTCTGCAGCTAGGTGGTAAAGCGAGCAAACAAGGCAGCCAAAATAGCACAGAAGCAGAACAGAGCAGAATAGACCGGCAGAAGCCCATCCATATCAACGGGGGAATATTCATTCACGTTCCAGCTAGCTGATCAGTCAGTCAGTCAGTCAATCAATCAATCTACCAACTGCCTCGCTTTCGAGTGTGTTTCTCCTTCGCGGTGTTCAATCTGACCCTGTCTTGTCTCTTGCATTGCTTCTTCATCCGCCCTCGTCTCCGCGTAAGTTCTTCTTTTCCTCTCCCTCTCGCTCCCGTTCTATACTCATGGCAGTTTTTGTCCCTGTCCCTGTCCCTGCTCCTGCTCCAACTCATCCTGAACCCTCACAACAGCCTTCAATCCCCTATCCCTCTTCCTAATATCCTCCGGGCTGGGCACACCATATGCCTGGGCGCATTGTTTTATAACGGCATCTTTCCACTCGTCATCATCCATGCTCAACTCCCCCGCATCCCTCCAAACGCCATCAATACTCTCGCCGATATTGTCCAAAAACCCCGCCATGCCCCGCGCCCCGCCGCCAAAGTTGTACATCTTGAACGGACCCGCGACGGCCCACCGCGGACCCAGACTGGCGCGCACGATCTCGTCCATATCCGCCACCGTGCACACGCCCGACCGGACCAGGTGGCACGCCTCGCGGAACAGGATGAAGGCGAGGCGGTTGGCGACGAAGCCGGCGGTCTCGCGCGCGATCGTGATGGGCCGGTGCACGGAGGAGAGTTGGGAGAAGTAGGTTCTGGCGAATCCGGTGGAGGTAGGGGATGTATGTGGGGAGGGGACGATTTCGAGAAGAGGCATCAGGTGAGGGGGGTTGAAGGGGTGGACGATTAGGAGGCGAGAGTGTGCTGAGGACTTGGTTTCCTCTGAAAGGTCGCTGTCGCTGGGTACGGTTGCCGTCGTGGGACTGGGACCACTGGCTGTCGTCTCGGTGCTGGTGGTAGTGAGGTGCTTGAGCTGTTGGCTCGCCGGGATCCCGCTGGTCGAACTCCACAGGTGCGTTTGGGGGCTCACATGGCGCAGCACCTCAGACCACGTCCTTTGCTTAAACGACAGATTCTCAGGCCCTTGTTCCTGCACGATCGTCGCGTTTTGTACCGCCTCACGCAGCGTCGAGCAGAACCTCAGCCGGCCGGACGAGACGAGCTTTTCGACCGAGAGCTCCCCACCCTCGGCCTCGAGACCACCTGATGCCGATGCCGACGCCGACGCCGACGCCGACGATGCACCTGTGGTCGACGATGGTGACGGCAAATATAACGGCAAAATAGCAGCGACATGTTCCTGCAGGTCCGGGCGCGGGTCGAACACCGACACCCGCGCGGCCGTGTAGGTCAAGTGCAGTGCCAGGAAGGAGATGCCGATGGCGCCGACGCCGATGAGGGCGACGTGTTCGGATCCATGGGGCAGCGGTGTCGATGTCGATGTCGATGTCGACGCAAGCTCAGAGGGTTGTAGTTGTTCTTGGACCGCTGGGCCTGGCATCTTGAGGAGGTGTTATGGGGTGGGACCTCGCGAGAAGGAATAGGAGCTCAAGGACGAGGATATGGCCGGCAGGATGCAGATGCCCAAGCTTGAAGCCAGCCGTGTAATGTAGAATGTGATCTCGTCTGCTCGCCCTGCCCCGTCCTGTCCGATGTGAGAGAAGCTGAAGATGGAAAATACGGGCCTGAATATCTCAATGAGGAGGTGCTCGACACTCTTTTTCACCCCCGATTAATGCAGTAAAAGCTTTCCCTCTGTCCTTCTTTTTTTATATTCCCGTTTACCTTGTCCCCCCCACCTTGCTATGTCGTTGTCTCTTACTCAGTGACAAGGAAGCCAGCCTCCCCTTTTGCTCACTCTGGGACGGGTGTCTATTTTCCCCTGACCTGTTATTTTGTACACTGGTATGTGTAGGTTTACCACCACCTTCGCGACACAAGACAGGTCGCACTCGCGCACGAGCAGTATTTCTCAAAAATCTTTCTTCGTCACACAATGTCTAGTAATCACAAAACGTGCACAAAGCGCCCTTTGATGGGGTCATTTAAGATAAAGGAGCAAGAGAGAAGTAACAAGAGAAAGTCGGGAAGCTTGGAATTGTTTTGGAGAAGCGCACGGAGAGGGCCCTCGGGATTTACAACGCCGGTAGGTATGCCTCCGGGACATCGGCGGGTCGATCGACCTGACTGACTGACCAAGCATTGCCATCTACGTCTGGCTGGCTTTGTACATTTTATTCATGGCTAATTATGCTATCTTTTCGACGTCCCTTTGCCCTCGATGTGATGATGATCAGGGATGATGCAATCCCTCAATCACGAGCGCGGCTGTTTACACCACATGGCTGACTACCGCGATCTTTGGCAGGTGGAAGAACGAGGACTCATCCGTCTCCGGCTAATGGAATATGAAAATGTTCCCACCTCGGTCCACACTGACCACGCACCCATACGGTCTTCTCAACATGACCACGTCCGTGATGGAGTCCAAATGCGTTCGGAGCAATTGCTGCTGTGCCGCGCTGATGATTGTGTTACGAGGGGGCTTGATTGCTTGAGGGGTCGAAGGCGCAGAGCCAGAGCCAGACGCAGCGTTCGCCCCGGAGCTTCGGTGCACGTTCGGCGTGCCAGGCTGACTGCTTGTCGTAGCGTTTGGTGTAGGTGTATTTGATCTTTTCGTAGGACTTGACGTGGCATCTCTCGAAGCACGGGTGTAAGACGATGTCTTTCTCGGCGTCTGTCCCGACGTTGTGCCCTCCTCGCTGCCGTTGACCTTTTCCTGTACAAGCAAAATCTGCGCCCCAGCGCTCAGGCTCAACGGATGCGAGACTTCGTATTTGTATTTAGACTTGATACTCGCAGCAGACACATAGCCGTCCTCACTTGCATCGTGCAATTGCGGCCCAGAGACAATGAAGCTGTTCTCCGGTCTGCCAATGTCCCAGTACCGCAAGGCTCGATCAACACCGCCGGTCAAAAGGATCGAGTGCTTGTTGGGGTTGTCAGGGTTCGAGCTCTGGGTGTAGTCGGTGAAGATGTACATTGCAAGAATCGGAAAGGTTGAAGCCGAGCCGGCGCTGGACGACGATGGAGCTGATCTCTTCACAGGTGACCCGTCGGACACTTCATTGGGGGTCGAAGACCGGTGGAATTGCGGTCCGATCAGGCTGTCGTTCTCAGACACCTCCTGCGCAAACCGCGACAGGATCTTTTCGCTGCTCTCCTCGTCTGGAGACCACGCTTCATACGGCCGGCTGTGCCCACTTTTCGGAGTGAATGTGCTTGGTCGTAAAACTTCGCGGCAGACCATCTTTTCAATGTCCCAGGCACTGATCTCGCCCCCGGCGCTCACCAGAACCCATCTCCCGTGCCCTTTGGCGGGATGGATCAGGAGCCGATCTATTCGAGAGTCGGTTTGGATGCCAAAACTACGCAAATGCAACTTGAACCGCAAGTCCCACAGGTCTAAAATTCCGTGGCTCGTCCCCAAGAGCAACCAATGGTGCTTTCTGTCGACACAGAATGTAGTTGGTGTACCATGATGTACCGGGTTGTTCATGCTGTGGAGGATCTCCATGTTCTTCATGTCAATCACGAGAATACGACATCTGTTGGTCGCTGCCAGTAAGATAGATTGGGAATTTGGAGTGCGATAGTGATGAAGCCAAACGGCGTATTCTGCCGGACCAGCAGCACTACCATCGGGACCACTGACATCGTTCACAGCTCGGTTAGTTGGTATCAGGTAGTCCCGCACGAGACTCGGTCTGCCATATCGGGAAGTCTCACCACCTTCGACACTTCGATAGTCGACTCGAAGAGCATGAATGCTCCCATCGTCCGCGCCGCTGAGAAAGGTGTGCGTCTCCTCGATGAAGCAGAGACTCTTGACTTTCACTCCCTCGGCGCGTCGATGTGTATACCTCGAACGGGCCGTGACATTCTTTTCTAGCCTGATCGTATCCCAGATCTTGCAGGTCCCATCATCTGATGCTGTCACAAAAAAGGCATGATCAGGTGCCGCACACACTCGATTGATGGCAGCCGTGTGCTCCGAAAATTGAGTCAGCAACTGGCCCGAAGGGCGCCATGGTTCGCTGCGAAATCTCTCTTCCTGCTGCGCCGCTTTTCCGCCGCTCTGTTGTAAGACGTCGGTAGCTCTCCGAATGGGTGTTCTGCTGTCTGCGGGAGGTCGATTCCCGCCAAAGTCCATTTGATCTATGGGGAAGTTTTCCAAGAAGTGATTGTCCAGCAGTCGTAAAACATTGGCATCATTCCCTTGATATGAATGGTTGGGCTCGTAGAGCGGCGTCCTCGCCCCGCTGCCACGAGGTGAAACGGATCTGGACTTTGCGGCCACGTTTGCTGTCACTGACAACGCTGAGGGACCCGCAGTGCTGCGTCGATGCAATTGGCCGTCAATCTCGACCTTGCCAAACGCGTTCTCCGAGATGGTGGAAATCTCGGCGTCTGCCTTTGCAGAGTCCGCTCGGTTCATCAAGTTCAAACCGCTGTTTCGATGTCTGAGTTCGAGCGAGGTGTTGCGGCGCAGAGAAAGTCTGTCTCCATTCATGGAAGTCCCTCCATTTGAGACGCTTGGCCTGGAGGATACACTCGCCCTTTCCACAGCTATTGTAGGTGTGCCATTAGGTCTCATTTCCGAGGGTTTGCGATTTTGGATGTCCATGGGTCTGGTAGCCGGTGTTGCTGTTCCGCTGGACTGCTCTGCGGACGAAATCCGTCTCGACATAGGGTCGTCAATGCTGGTTGATGCGTCCAAAAGAGCATCCGCCAGACTATGTCTCTCGTCCATTCGTGTTCTTTTCTGTGCCCTCCTAGGTCCAGTCGTGTTCTCTCTGATCGGCTGACGCGAATCAAAGAAGACGTTCTGCGGAGCAACATCGATCTGATTCAGAGCGATGATATTATTCAGCATGCGGTTCCTTTCGTCTGTGTCCTCAGATGGTTTGTGCCTGGCAATTTTCAATATGTACTCGCGGAGCGCAAGAAGCTTGATCTCGTCATCTGCAGTCATTCCGAGGTTTCGCAGACTCTCGAGAGATATTTGGTCATCTTTGTCTTTCTGTGAGGGAGGAATCCTGGTCAACAGTCGCTTGGTGAGTGCTGACGGATTTTGCGGTGTTGTAGGATCAGACAACGTCAATCCACCATCTCGGCTTGCGGCTGTCCAGAACAAGCTGTTTCCCTTTCTCGCTGCCCAGTTGGTGGCCGAATCAAACACGATCTTTGGCAACGGCCGTTTCAGGTTATCTAATATTCGCTCTTCCGTCAGAGCAGAGATTGGTCCTTTCAAGAATGGCTGGATGAGAGGGAGGACGATGCAGTATTGATCTGCTGCTGGGATGTATCTGGCAGACAAGACAATAAACTGTATAGCACTCTCCCGCACCCAAATGCTGGGATGAACCGAAAACCTTGCAGCGATGCCGACAAGTTCCCAAGTTGTACTCTTCTGCAGTAGACCTAATGCAGCCATCCGGGCTAAGGCTCGGAAGACTTTTTCCACGACAAAGTTCTCGGGGTCAGTTAAAGAGCCAACCATTACCGGCAATATGAACTTTTCTAGACTCGTGGCTCCAATATAGGAGGCGATTCCAACGAGGGCCTCGAAGAAGGAACACCTCAATATCCAGTCCTTGTCATTCAGATATGTGTTTAGGTGGGTCAGTATCACGTCACTGGACTTCTCACTGCCGAAAAAGACGCATAGTCGAGATGCCGAACCCAGCAAAGCTCTTCTTACAGACGCTTCCGGATCTGTTATCAAAGCAACGGTCGACTCCTCAAAATGCGGGACAATTTCGCGCCGACCAAAGTCATACAGGGCGTTGTACGACTGCTGGGGTGCCAGTTCATCTTCTCGCAATGCGGACAGACGTCCGTCGGCTCGGATGGCGTGGACCATATCGAGAACTCTTTCAGCAGACAATGCCAACGAAGCGAGACATGATGCGTACGCGGAGCGCACAAGAACGCTGGGCTCGCCTGAAGGACCAGGTCCAAAATGCTTCAGACGTGGTAGGATATACTCCGGAAAGATATATGCATTGATGGGGGAGACAACTTCAATCATTTCGAAAATCGAGGTCATTGCGTAAATTGCTGCAGCCCTGACCACGTCCGATGGATCCGCGACCAATCCAACGATGTACGGCAGGATGCGATCCAATTTTGCCTCATCCGGAAGTCGTTCAGCAAAAGCAACCAAAAGGTCACATGCCTTGAGTCGTGCTGATGCCTTTGCTGTGTTCCTCAAACTGGACTCGACTAGAGTGAGGAAGAGTAGGCTACCATCGTAAAGACTAGGATCTGCATCCGGAGGCTTGACTTTATTGTTGGACTTCATGGTCAACGGCGACCGCGAAGACAGTTTTGTGGAACTTGGACCATAGCCGAGAAAGAAGGAGATCTTGTCAAAGTCATAATAGACTCGTTCAATCTTCTCGTCGAATTCGCTCAGGCTCCCAAGATTCAGTTCCACTGGCTTCAGAGCGGTAGCAGGCTTGGTGAGGTTGAGCATATATTGATGAAGAAAGCTGTAAAAGTACTCAGGAAAGATCTTGGATCGGTAGAAGGAGAGATGCTGTTCTGCATTGTAGCGCTTCTCTGGATCCAGCTCAATCATGTTGAGAATCATTGCGCGCACTTCAGGGTCTTCGATCTTGTTGAGATGGGTATGCTCGGGGCTATAATCTCCTGATCGGTATTTGAACAGGTGACTCAGAGAAAAGATGGGCCCTTCTAGAAAGATTTCGGCAATCACACACCCAACGCTGAAAATATCCATGGCCCAATTCAGTTCCCCTTGCGCCTCTTCCAGATTGTCCGAAGTGAATCGTTCTGGAGCGATGTAGCACGTCCGTCGCGACGAAGTGTCGAAATAGAATGAGAAGTCGGCTGGGTTGTCTTCTGGCAGATTGACAGGCTTAAATGAGGAGGAAAAGTCGGTGAGATAGAGCCAGTTCCACGAAGTGACGAGAACGTTTTCAGTCTTGATGTCGCCGTGGTATACGTTGCGTGCGTGGCAATCACGAATGGCGCAGAGGAGCTGGAAGGCCAGCCATTTCTTTTCGATATCCTCCAAAAATGGCCGGGTGCTCATCCGATCGTATACTGAGCTGAACATGTACTGACGGACGAGGAAGCCACCGCTAGGAACCTCGATGATTCGTTGATAGCCCAGAGCATTGGGGATATCGGCCAGAATGTTTCTCTCTTCTATAAGTTGCCGAATGTACTCGTGGACCTGGAAAGACGAATATGGCTTCATGACCGCTTTGACGAACACGAAGCCCTGCTGACTTCTCGCGCGGACGCTTTTCATAAAACGCGCCGAGGCCAAGGTCTTCTCGTGCACCAGGTCCGCAAGTTCAGGGACATCAATGCTGGCGGATGCCGCGGAAAGCGTGGTCATGGAGTAGCCTTGACCCATCTTGAATGAATGGTAGCCGAGATGCTTTGGAGCAGCGACTCGGTGGTGGATGGATTAGGAATAAAGAGATTCGAGACCAAGTCCAGTTGCTGGCTAAGAAGATATCAAAGATGTTTGGGCGTCCATGATGGTTTGATTCGTTCAACCTCCGAAACTGTTTGTACTGGAGGGCGCGGCCGCGCTCAGAATATCTGGTGGTGGATATAACTAGAGTAAGAGAACGGCAGGTGCCTGATGTGTGCCACGTTCGTTTGTACGAGTATGGGACGATGCTGGCTTTGAACAGCGGCTTCGAAAATGTGATAGTCTGTGAAGGACAAGAGTCCGCATTTGATGGGATTGTTGTTAGGGCCAGTTGACTGGATGTTTGGTATTCCTTTTCCACCACATAATGCAGAGGTGTTGGTCATGGTTGGATAACGGCGACCCCTTTGTAGGCACCATGATCACATGATTGGATCTCTGGGCAGCGGACACTCTCCCGCCCTGCCATCCACCATCCACCATCCACCATCCACCGCAGTATCTTCCCCCCTTGGTGCCACCCAGAAGCCACCAGAGCCACCCACCAGGGCCACCCAAGGGCCACCACGAGCCACCACGGGCCACCAGCGTGTTTTGCTGGCATGAACAAGCTCCACCCCCTGTAACACCCGAACGCCAACCCGCTGTCTGGCTCGCTGCTACTTGTGCGTTTCGTCATATCACACGAGCATTTCTTTCTGCCAGCTGCCAGAAGATGCCCAACCATACTACCAATCTTCAGCCAGTCTGCATTTGATGTCCGGTCAGATCAGGGACTTTCTTCTGTGCTGTCCATGACCGCCTCTTCCACGACCAAGCAGCTACCCTCGCCTTCTTTACCATCTTGTCTTCACTTCACAACAGACGTCATCACTATTATCGTCATCGAATTCAAGAGCATGGCCAGATCCCTTATGCTATGACTTTGACTTGCCTTCTCTTCTCCCGCGATCCGACAATTTTCACGATTGGTTTGTGACTGGTGAAGATGCGGGCAGCAGTCCTTGGACGATCAACGCAGAGATCGACGAGTCGATAGGGCCAGCTTCGGCTTCAAAATGTCCGAACATGGCAGCAATGAGTCGAGACGATCCTCCTCCCAGACTTCCAGTCAGTCTGCCGATTTCAAGAAACCCAAGACTATTCGGGGAGCCCCCAAGCGTCATGGCTCGAAACACTCCTCTAAATCCTTCGAAGAAGACGACCCTTCCCTGACGTCCTTTCCCTCCTTCTCTCCGGAGGCAGAGACAAAGTCAGCAAGCATTGCTCAAGAGGTGGTGCCCAAACCCATGCGTACAATATCACAGAAGGCAAGGGATAGAAAGACCACTCTTGCAGGCTTGACAAGTGCATCTCCCTCTCTCAATAGACAGAAGGCCTTGTTCGATGACTCCCCGCGGTCATCCCTGGAAATTCCAGGTTCCTTGCACTTGGCTAGTGACGAGCACATAGAAAGACTCATTGCGAGGTCTGGTGCGGTCAAGTTGGTCCGTCAGTATGCCTCGGATCTTGCTCAAAGGGACGCGGAAATATCTGCGCTACGAATCCGAGCAGATCACCGAGAGAGGGAATTGAAAAAGATCCTGCGCGAGGCCAATGTCCCCACGGCGGAGGTCGAGAAGAGGCTTCTCCGGCTGGAACAGGGAGAAACTGACGCAAGGGTCGGGATGGCATCAAATGCCGTGGATCGAGCAGCTGCGTTGCTGGACGGGATGATGAGCGAAGCAATGGCAGATGGCATTGTGGTCAGCAGCCCCTTGAACGGCGACTTCCCTACCGGCCAGGCCTCAGATACTCGAAGCCCGCCAGCAGCCCTGAACGCCGACCTAGAGGCGAGTCGCAGCAGGGCTGAGTCAATGGCATCTAGTCACGCCAAGGCAAGCCGAACCCCTAGTAGGGCCAACAGCAGTGTCAGCGACAGCAGCCAGGATATGGAGGCCACCCTACGTCCGCGGGTATCAAGCTCAAATACCTCCAAATTATCTGGTCTCCAGAGCATATTCCAGCCTCCAACACAGTCTTCGAGCTATTTCATTGGCGGCAAAACCGTCAGAAAGCCCAAAGCCAGCGACGAAGCCAGTGTCCGCTCCAGTCAGTCCACTCGCTCTTTTGCCTCCTGGACCCAGATTTTTAGTGGAAAGTCCCAACCCGGTCGATCTAGGGCATCATCACTGGGACAGCAGAATGCACCAGGCGAAACAGAACCGAATGTACCGAAACCGCGCAGCAAACCGCCTCTAACTACTAACAAATCGTCAGCTTCGTTACCGACAACGGGGACGGTCAAAAGTCGACCACCAGCAAAGCGTGCACCGACTGCCACACGACTTTCCGCCAGTCCGAGTCATGCACGGAAAGAATCAAACGCAAGCAGCCTTCCTCCGACTGTCGAGCTAGATCCTATGATTGAAAGTTCTCAGCTGCCGCCCACAATGACATCGCAGAATCTGGACAGTACAGGATTGTTGACGGACCGATTCGGCTTCATCTACGACCAGAAACGGCGGAAGCGACAGAACCTAACGGTCCGAGGACACAAACGCAACAAGCTGAGTGGTGCCGAAACCATCGCAAGTTTCAGAGCCGGTGAAAATGCACAAGCTGAAGAGCTCTCCGTCGAAAGGCCGGCCACCCCCGTTTCAGTAGATGAAGAGGCACCTAAAAAATCATGGCAAGAGTACCTCAAGGTGCCCGCAGCTCTGTCTTCAGGAAGGCCAAAAGAATTGCTTTCACATACGCCCTCTGCCAGCGCTGTCGTTACTGTCAGTACGGTGGACGCTGCAGGCACTACAACGCCACCGCGTCGAAGTAGAGAGATGTCCATTTCAGTTTCTGCTGCTTCGCAGAAGGCTCTTCCAACCACTAGTGTGGTGATGGAACCGCAACCCTCGACAGTGACGGCAACCTCTTCCGACTTTACACCGGATTCCGAGTCCGAAACCACGGCGGACTCTGGGCCTGCGAGATTGCTTCTGGAGCAACTCACGGAATTGCACGACGCACTGCAAGCAGAGAGAGCTGTCCGGTGGAATGACTTTCTGCGCAGAGTCAGAGCAGAAAGAGCGAACGCCGATCGCGCGAGCAACAGCAACACACCCGAAGCGGACCTTCTCAACGGCGAACTCATAGGAATAGCAACCCTTGGGCGCTCTACAAAGACAAAAGCGAAGTACATGCATTTCAAGTCACTGGTTCTGGCCGGGATACCTGTCTCCCTCCGGCCAAAGATCTGGGCTGAATGTTCTGGTGCAAGTGCTCTGAGGATCCCCGGTTACTATGAGGACCTCGTTGCCCGATCGCAAGAAGGTGCCGACATAGACCCGGACATTGCAGGCCAGATCAAGGCGGATGTCCACCGGACGCTCACGGACAATGTGTTCTTTCGGCACGGACCTGGCGTTCAGAGGTTGGAAGAGCTGCTGAGGGCTTACTCCTTGCACAATCCTCGCATTGGCTACTGTCAAGGTATGAATCTCATCACAGCGTCTCTGCTGCTCATTTGCGCGACGGCGGAAGATTGCTTTTGGCTTCTCGTTGCCATCATTGATGTCATTCTTCCGAGTCAATATTTCAGCTCGACCCTACTTGTGGCTCGGGCTGATCAAGTGGTTCTTCGCCAATATGTTGCGGAAGTCCTGCCAAAATTGAGCGCCAAGTTGGAGGAGTTGGGTGTCGAGTTGGAGGCATGCACCTTTCATTGGTTCTTGTCGTTATACACGGGCGTGTTGACGGGCGGAGAGGCCCTCTATCGAGTTTGGGACGTCATTCTCTGCCTCAACAGTTCCGACGCTCCTCCACAGGCCTTGAACCAGTCCAAGACCACCCTCACTGTGGACATGCCTTCCCTCGGCCTGTCAAGCGGCCCATCAACCCCCGTGACGCCGTCGCATCCCCCAACAGAACCTAGCGTCACCGCAGACAACTCCTCAGAAGAGCATGATGGTACATCGTCGCCTTTCCTCTTCCAATTAGCCCTCGCTTTGCTGAAACTCAATGAAAATGCCATCCTCGCACTCGACTCGGCCGCACAGGTGTACACATATATCAACCATAATATGACGAATCATGCCATCAGTATTGATGCGCTGGTGCAGGCGAGTGAGGCGCTGAGGACGAGGATCGTAAGAAAGGAAATGTTGGAGAGGAGGAAAGAAGCGATCAAAGAGCTGGGGCCATGAATGCCAAAGCGAGTTGGTACCTACGATGAGTGGTGCGTGTACTCGCTTATATTGGGTCATGGTGAACCCATGATGCAGTACCTCATGCTATAATCGAATGCCCATCAGTCTATACCTTGCAAGGTCTTGATACACAGCAAAAAGCCAAGGTCGAGGAAAGAACAGAGACACAGAATCTATACAATCACTGGGGAAAATTGCCATCGGCCCCCAATCGAGAGACTGGTTGGTACGAAGTAGCCGAAGGTCTTGGGCTGGTACTCGAGCTTGGAGTCTCCTCAGGATAAAGAATTTGATTCTGGGCCACGTGACACTTCTGCTGGATTCTGGATCGGCTGTGAAGGACATGAGGAAAAGGTGAAAGAGAGAGTGTGTGTATTGAGGCGCCGTTGATGGTTCAAGGCAAGAACGAGAACACCCGACAGACCCCATGTCGACGTTCAGATGCCAAAAAAGGGAGGAAAAAAGAAGATGCTGAAAAAGATCGCAATGACTTTTCTTTTGTTGTCATTTTGCCTTGTGTGCTTTGCCCCCGAAAGGGCAAGCTTTTATTGTTTACCTTATGTGCATGTTTACATGATACCCCCGGGCTACTAGGTACCATTCGAGATAAAAAGCGAGTGCGGGAAAAGAGAGAGACAGAGAGATGTGGATACAGAGCATGTCAATGAAAAAGAAATTCCAAAATGTATAGAGATTCAAGCTTGAAATCACTGTCTCGTTGTGATCATGTCGTATGATTGTGGATAGCACAGCATCCCAGTTCACCCTGTACCCCTGTGCAAATGATATGCAATGTATGTACGGGGCTGGCTGTAGCTAGATAGGACTGGAGATAGAAAGCTGGCGTCCGCCGCTGTAAATGAGTGTAAATAGACAGGACGGGCCCCTTATGCTGATATCGTCTGCCTCCCGACCAATCTCCTGCAGTACAGCGTGGCGTGTCACAGCATGCTATGTATGGCCCGGCTCAAGCCTGATCTGTTCTGGTCCGATGTATTCTGCTCTGATCCGCTCTTTCCTGAAAATAGCCTTTCCTCTTTTTTTTGGATTTCGATTTTGCTTGTTTCTGATAGAATGAGGGGGCTTCGCAAGAGCGTGTCTGGGTTCTGTTGTTGGTTGGCGGTCGAGGGCCGTTCGTGCTTGTGATCCACTCAGCTCGGACTCTTGACAGCTCATCTTATTGATGTCAAATGGCGTTGCGTTGTTGTCCTCCCGCAGAATGCATTGTGACAAACGTATAGCTCGTGAAACCCCCCGTGCTGTTCAACGAGGATAAGGTGAGGTGGAAACGAAATAGGCCCACGGTTCATATGAGACCGCCTGCAGCGTCCTCAGAATGGCCGAGGGGGAAGTCTATTGCTAAGGTCGACCTCATTGTTGTCGTCGTCCGCTCCTTCATTCTCGTCTTCCACCAAGATGAACTCATTCTGTCCGTCCTCTTTCACCTCGCCAAACAACTCGAGCAACTGCTGAATGGTGGCTCGCTTCCCCATGCTATCCGGCCCGATCGCACTCGTGACTTCGATGTCCTTGCGGTCTTGCATCTTGATGAGATCCTCGTCGATGGAATCCTTGACCACAAAGCGGAGGACGTCGACGCGGTTTTCCTGTCCGATGCGGAAGGCGCGGCAGTATGCTTGAGCTTCGATGGAAGAGTTGAACCACAGATCCAGTATGATAACCTTGCTCGCCATGCTGAGGTTCAAGCCGACGCCGCCGGCCTTCAGAGAGCAGATCATGATGAAGATGTTGGGATCGTCGCGGAATTTGTCGATGGACCGTTCTCTTGCGTCGATGGTCATTTTACCGTTGAAGTGGACGTGGCCCCATCCCTCTGCGGAGCAAACATTGCCGAAAATATGACCGAGCCCGAGAAATTGGGTGTAGACAATGATCTTTTGTCCCTTGTACTTGCTTCTCCAGTTCAGGATGGCGGCCTTCGTCGCTGAAAGTTTGGCAGAGGGGAGTAGTGCGCCGCCGACGTCCAGCCAATTCACCTCTTCCTCCTCGTCGTCCTCACTGTTTTGGTCAGAGACAACGCTGCCCCGGCCGAGACTGGCACTTCTGGCCCCTCCTTTGGCTTTCTGAGTGAGTTTTGCCAACTTCCTCTTCTTCTTTTCAACCTTTGCTGCCATCTCCCGCGAGTTAAATCCTAGCTCTTTCAGGCCGGCACAGGAAGACGTCTCCTCGAATACAGTCTGGCATTCGAGACATGCAGTCTTCTCTTCCCCACTAGCTCTTCTCTCTTCGTGCATGGCGATGATGCATTCTTGGCAGTAAACGTGAAAGCATGAAGTGCACACCGGATCATCGGGCGGTAGGCGGCATTTGGCGCAGATCGATCGAAGGTGTACTTCGGTCCAAGTTTCGGATACAGTCAACGCCCGAAGGAACTTTCTGAACTTGAAGGAAAGCCCATAAGTGGAACCGGTGTCCATAATATCGTCATCCTCGATATCTGGAGTACCGCCATTTTCGAGCTCCTTCGTCTGACACGTCTTGAGCGTGTTCTCATTAGCGGCGAGCATCTTTCTTAGAGCTTTCATCATGTTCATCGAGACGGTGTCTTGAGAAGCCTGTACTTCCTTGGCGGTCAATCTCCATAAAGTCTCGATATCTGCTGCGACGAACATTCGTTTCAGCACGTCTTGACACAGCATGATGTGAGAACAAAGCATTCGAAGACGCATCAACATGCCCAGAATGTGACCGTAGTTGTTATTTAGTGTGCCAGATTTCGAGTATGCATTGATTTGCTGGATATATCTTGACTTGACAATGTTGTAGATGTTCCTCTCCACAGGGTTAAATTCGACCTCCACTGTGTTGTGTGTAATACCAGGGAGTTTAACGATAGGGGCGTTAAAGAGGGTGTCCACGTGTGTTCTCCGGAGCATGATAGCCCTCAAGATGTTGTGAATTCGACCCATATGCACCGGGTCTTTCTTGATGCGATTGTTGCAATAATTGTGACAGAAGGTCCCGTAGTCGCCAGTGTGGGGAACCCTGAGGAACGAAAAGTATGGAAAGAGCTCTTCGATGTAGTTCAAGATGGGAGTTCCTGTAATGCACCATCTGTAGTTGCCCTGAAGACCACGAACAGCAATCGAAGTCTTGGATGTGTGGTTTTTGATATGGTGAGCTTCATCCAGGACGATGCGATGAAACTTGATTTGATGAAGTGGCCCGACGTTGTCGGTGTAGTGCTTCTTCCACCACTCATTCTTTTTCTCTTCGGAGGCCAGATGCTTGGGCGGTTCTGCCAGAGGATAGCTCTTCTGGACCTCGCCATAAGTCGTCAAAATCACATCATAAGCCGTCAAGTCCGCGACGATATTGTTGCTGTAAAGTCGGGAACCTGAGTGATAACGGAGAATCCGACCTAGGGCGTTCCCCTTCACGTGCTTGTCCATTTCCTGCATCCATTGATTGAGTAGCGTTGGCGGTGCGATGATCAGGGTGGTCTTCACAACACTACCCTCGTCCGCCTTGCCGTCAAGGATATTCGCAATCATCTGTATTGTTTTGCCAAACCCCATTTCATCACACACCAGCCCACCCTTGGGTTTCGCATCTCCGGTTTCACGTTCACGCATGAATGCAGCACCGAGAAGTTGGTGGTTGTAGAGTGAAGACTCCATGCCTCGAAGTCTCCATCCTCCATGGTTATCCGATCTGACTGCGCCTCGCCCCTTGAACTTCTTGGTTGCTTCCAAAACAGCCGTTCGGTCGGAGCTGGCAGTGCCTCGCTCAGCTGACGGGATACTTGCAATGAGTTCTTTAAGCGCCTGGTCTTTGTTGGACGAGGTGAAAGTTGGCATGTCTGGTCTCGAAGCGTTTGCTTGGGCGGCGCTCACGATGTTAGTTCGTCCAAGACTTTGGATATTGCTGAGATTGGGCCGCTGTTTGCGGCCTCTCTTCTGTGCCGAATTCGGAGCGCTTCTGTTCTTGTTAGTTGCACCTTTCTTCTTCGGCTGACGAACTTCGTTAGACGTTGCTGCCTTTCTCTTCGGCTTTCCGAAACCTGCATCGATGCCAGCAGAGATAGCATCCTGCAATTCCTTCTTGGTAAGATGATTGCGAGATTTGGATGCTCTCTTCTTCGGCTCCGAGCTCGGCAGTTCAGGAATTTCCGGAACAAAGAGTGAATCTGCCTCCTCATAACCAGCAGGTAGGGGATTCTGCTGTGGGGGGTCTTCCACAACCATTTTGCTCCTTGCGATGTCCCTGAGGCGTCTGTGCTCAGCCACCTTTTCAGTAGCAAATCGGATGTCGTCCGTTGGAGTGTTCGAGCCTTCCGCTGCCTTTCGCTCGTACTCTTTCTTGCGAATAGCAAACGCCGCGGCGGCATATTCATTCGCTGCTGACGAATCCTCGTCGAGGACAGCATTCCAATCCATCTCGTCGAACTCTTCAGCCTCCATGTCTGGTGGATTTGTGGAGATCCCGGCAGTCTCATCATTGACGACCCCACCGTCATCTTCCTCATCGAAGTTGGCCTTGTTTTGGTTGTACTGCTGGATAGCTTCGAGACCGTGCATTTCCACATCCCCGTCTGGGGATGAATGAAGGTCCGGCAAATCTATCTCTAGCGGTTCACTGGGGTCGTATTCAGGAAAGGGGTCGGTGTGTGTCATCGGTGCTGCGTAGAGATGGCTGGCGAAGTGGTTATTTGAACCATCATCTGGGGCTTCCTCGAGATCGACATCAGCCTGCCCGCGCTTGAGATTGACATGAGATATTCCAGATTGCACATTGTGAGTTCCGTGATTTGCAGAGTCATCGCCCCCGGCCCCGGCAATGGCTGCTATGCTGTCGATATTCTCGATGTTGGGCTGAGCAAGCGGCATACCACTTTGTCCACTGGCTGACTGATTTGGCAGGATTGACTCTGACTTGCAATTGAGCTCAGCCGACCCGACATCAGGCGCTTCATCATTTGACTTCGGGGGCTTTCTCAACTCGTTGTCGTGTTGGACAGACGTGGTCTCGATCTGTGAAGCATGGACGTCCATGGGAACAATCTTGCCCTGTTCCTCGTCTGGTTCATCCTTGACGATTGGCTCGACTGGTAGGGCCACTTCGATATCGGATACTGAGTCGTCGTCTGAGTCGTTTGTGAGGTCAACGAACCCAGCGCAGCAGTGATCAGAGGGGGCCATGGTGCTCTGTGTTGATCGTAGGGTATCGCGTCGAGATGAGTTTGGCACAGGATGAAATCTTATGACGAGACAGCAATTGCAGGAGTGACCAAATCGGAAAGAGACAAACCGGTATCAAATAATAGATGGAAAAGAGTAAAATAGTAGCAGAAGACGCGAGAAAGATGGAAGAAAGAGATCAAAGAGCAGTTGGGGTGATGATGTGAAGGGGGGTACTTATAGTTAGAGAAAGACCTCCCCAGGCTTAAGCTGATATAGCCTCCATTCAAGAGTGAAGCAATGGCGACAAGGCACGTGGGTTCAGAGGCAGAGGCAGTTGAATGACCACCAAGAGTAGTCGAGTAATGGAAAACAAACCTTGAGGCTATTATGGAATAAGAGAGAGGTGAGGTGTTGTGCTTACGCAGGTAACAGCCTAGTATACGAAAGTAGAGGTCGATCTAAAGTCAAGACGAAGAGGTAAGGGGCCACGAGCATTGCAAACTTGCCATTGATTTGAAGGGGGGGTGCTCGCGGCGGTCATCGCTGCCTTGAGCTGGATTGGACCAGGCGAGGCTCCGGCGCCTTGATCGCAGAATCCAGCTCTTTGGTCTTCAAGTGTACGCCCCTTCCTCCATCTTGTAGTCTTTTCTCTTGCATACTAATAGTCAGTCTGGAGGCTGATGCGGAGGCTACTGAGCGATGTGCTGAACAATCCATAGTGGTAGGGACGTATGACGGTCGATCTGTTCCTTTCTCCTGAACGGTGTACAAGAGGAAGCTGCAGTCGGGGGCAGATGTAGCCATGGAGCATTGGAACTGGCCAAGTCGTTAGTATTCGAGCGTACGAGTCAAGAAGACTGGTGTCGAGCAATGTGAAGCGGTAGTCGTGTGGACAAGAGGAAAACTCATGGAAGATTTAGGGATCCATGATGTCGGGATGTCGGGTTGGCGCATTGGCGGATTGCCCGATGCGGTTAGTGGAACCTTGGCTCACCGTAAGTTGGGAGATGACGCCGCTTTGGTCAGATTCGTGCCCTTGGCTTCCCCCCGGGCCCCCGAGGCCCCTTCTCCAACAACTTTGAACAAGTCATCGGCATTTAGTCAATTCATATATAACCCTTAGGCTCCTACATCAGCAAGCACTGTGCTGCCTTGGTGTCCCTCTCCTTTCCTCGCTGTCTTCAAGCACGGTCGACCTCGGCGGTTCACAGCATGCCTCGATGTCTGCGTCTAGGTCGTCTCATTCTCGCCCTCCCCTCTCCGAACCCGGTCCTACGCGCTCCCTCAATGTCCTGTCGTCCGGTGCAATCCACTACCACGCCTTGAGCTCTATGTGATGACCCGTACCGCAGATTCAAGTCTATAAATACTGTATTGAGATGCTGGGGAGATTGATTCAAGGCTACGCCAGAGGTAGCCAGCTCGAGAGTGCTACAGAAGAAACACACACCCGCAGTCTGCTCTGGCCAGAATTGTATGTGGAGGGTCGTCCCGGTTCTCTGTCACCACCAGCCACCCCCTACGGCTCTCCTACCACCCGTGTCTCGCCTTTCGATGACCGAATTGGGCTGGAACTGAACGAGTCAAAGGACTTAAGGCTAATAGTCGCCCAAGATGCCTTTGGAACAAACGACCGTCCTTTGCTGCTCTTTGACACCCAATTTGTCGAGTCCAAGGAGCCCAACTTGTCTCAAGGCACAACTGTCCCCTCTCCTGCTGCCGCCGGAGCACCTCTTCGTGCCGGCCCTTCCATTCCTATTCTGGGACATGTGAGAAATCGAAGTTCTACCATTTCAGGAGTGTCCGCGTCGTGGGCGCGCCCTCATAAGGAGTCGGAGCCGACGGACCACCTCGGCAATGTCCTGGACTGCATGTTTGGTGTCAGCAGTGCTACAAAATCCGGATCCAGCACAAAACTGCACTTCCTCCCGGGCGACCGGAGTCCTGCGAGCGACCTAAGTTCACGTGCACCATCCTCAAACCTGCCCAGCACAGCGCCTTCTCGTGCCCCCCTCTTGAGAGCGAAGACAGCCACGACCACCGTCAACAGCCAGGGTCAGAACAACCCTCCCAAGGAATCCGAACCAGAACCACGGGACGCCGTTCTGGTTACTCGTATGTTTTCGGTTACGCTTCCTGAGGCCCAGGATGATTTGAGGCAGCGCCGAAGGTCTTCTGCTGAACATGCCAGTTCGATCAGTCCGCTTTCGTATGGCCCTGAGTACCAAAATGGCCCACCTCTGCAAGGCAAGAAACCCAAACTCGTAGAGAAAAAGACTCCAGTCTTTGCGATCGGCTTGCTATTCTATCTGCCTCGCCCTGGTGACGTGCGTCCAAACACCTCATCGGCTCGCCCATCATCAAGAGCTTCATTTACGCCGTCATCGACTCCAAATTCTCATGGGTCAGGTTCCTTCTCTTCCTGGACATTTCTGAATGCCATCCCCGAGCACTTATGGTCTCCTGAGGATTCCAGCCTGCTGACTGATCGTGGCATTGATATCATTGTCAGAAACTGGGAAGTCATTCTGAGGAGCCTCACTGTTGTTGAGACAATGGCACGCTCCGAGATTGGCAAGTTTTTGCAGGAAGTGAACCTGGCGCTGATTACCTCCGCAGCAAAAGCACCAAAAGGTCCTTCAGAGCAACGCACGAATCAACGAAACGTCTATCTTCGCTCTCCCAACAGATTGGCCCAAGTGTCCGAGCTGCAACGCGCTGTCAGGCATACTCTATGGAGAGTTTCCTATGCTCTCCGCATTCCGAGGGTTCTTACGGGGCTAGGGCTTGACAACGGAGGCCACTGGCTCGACGAAGCACGGTATCTGGTCCGAATATGCGGAAATAAACAGCAAAACTTCTTTCTTTTCAATCTGTTGACTGCATTTCTCGGAAACCATACTGAATGGCTGGAAAAGTTAGGGCCAGACTGGTATCGAAGGCAATTCAGAGCTTTGAATAAAGGGAAGTCTCGACCCAATAACCTTGCCTCTCGGACAGTCATAGTCTGCGAAAACCGATCAATGGCTCGCCGCATAATCTTTTTACTGGCATCGTTCTTGCCGCGGAATGCAATCACAAAGCTCCCGACTGAGAACTTGTCGCCCCTGCTCACGCCCGATGTCAGCTCCGCTTCGCCAATCAACAGGATCCTCAACGAAGGATCCCTTCGCCGCCACGCTCATAATAAATCCCGAGACGGAACTGTCCTATTTGATCGCCGCGATGGTGCCGGGTTATCCAGTAGCGTCTCATCGTCCGAGAGTGCCGCTGGCATTGCTAAAGCTTTCCGTGGAAGCTCTCGGTCGAGGATCTCCAACGCCGAGCTTACCCTAGGCATGAGACCCGTGTCAGTGTTTTCTCCAGCGGATAATGGTGGTAATCTCCACAAGACAAATGCTACTAGTTCGACGGCCACACCCGGCGTGGGCACACCTGTGCCGCATTTTGCGACAAGGGCTGATGACAGCTACTTTCCTGAAGGCGCGGTTTTGGATGGCGAAGAGACTGGCGCCAGCGCCGATCTGGCCCGAATCTTGAGGCGTGACAGCGTGAGCCAATCACAGTCCCAACAATCAAGTATGAATTGGGGCTCATTGATCAGCAACGTTTCCGGGCTGTGGAACAAAAGGCAAGACTCAACCGCTTCAACGAATGAGATCACAAGTTCTTCCGGCACTGGGAGCTTGAGCGATCGTCGCAGGCTTGCTCCTAGGTCAGTACCAATCCATGGCAGGCAGCCAAGCCGACTGGAGGCCATGGTTGATGAAGCCGGTCGCCTTCGAAAGAGTAAACTGCTAAGTCAGGACGATGATCCTGCAAGTATATTTCGTCCGTCGACGTTCCCAAGCGAAGTACATCCCCCACGACTTACAGTTGACGAGAGGGACGGCGTTGTTGATGTGGATATCAATATTCCTGGTTTTATAGGCTGGAATGAAGGGAAAACGTCTTCTCCTCCATCATGGTTACATCATCGGTCACCTTCTTTTGCGAGTGTGGATGAAGCGGGCTCGTCGTACAGCTCACATTCACGTCACACCGATTCGACAGGGTCGAGGACTTCAAACGTTGCTGGTTATCTGAAACGATTCCATGAAGACTTTGTTCTGCAGGGGGTCAAGCCGTACTCCGAGCTCCAAGATGAAATCAGGCAAAGCATGTCAAGAGAACCAACTCCTTCCGATGACATGTCTATTTCCCCTTCTGACACGCGTGACGCGGGAGGACGATGGGTCACCGTTTGCACGACGTTACTTGCCGACCTTAGGAACTTTAGCATTCAGCGTCTGACCTTAAGGCGATTGGCGCAGCGAGGGACTGGAGGCGGCACCGCTACAGGTGCCCAGAGCCAGTCAAGATCAGAGAACATCTCAGAACCTTCTGGCGCATCATCCAGTGTCCAGCCAGGATCGTTAGTGACTCAGCTGGAGCAGTTTGACAGCGAAATAGTCATGGACTTTGACACAACGCTTACTGATGCAATCGAACGTGTTCTGAACGAGACAGAACCGGGGAAACAAAAGTCGGTGGCTTCAACTAGGACACACTCACGGACTGTGTCCGCCGCTACTTCGTCTTCCGTGAAGTCGCTGCCGCTGGAGATTTCGGGCCCCGGTAAGACCAGGGACTGGCCTCGCCCAACTACGTTGTCGCAGTCAGATTGCCGGCAAGTTGTAGTAGGCGCTCTTGAGGAAGTCGTGAAGAGTGTCAATGAAGATTTGACCAGGTATAACAGAGGCCGAGACGCTGATGGACATGTCAAGATCAACGGCGATGCTTTGAATCAGGAAATGAGGCAAGATAATGTGTTACGTGAGGGAGTGAAGAAGTGGCTCCTCAATGTCGAAACGAGGAGTGTGTGGTAGGAATACTGGAGGAATGCTGGGGATGGACATATGATGAGTGACGACCTTCCCCTGTCCATAGCGACGATACCCTTTAGAGCGCATGTATTATTAGTATCTTAGAATCTAGATGGACTGGCGATACCAATGTCTATAGAGGGCTAACTAGCGTTGTCCGAAGGCCTTAAACGGCTAGTCCGTAAGCCTTTGATCAGTCTTTACAACCCTTGGCATCCCTGACAGTCACAACCGCCGGCCCGGTGAGTTACGAGTGCGCACTCACCATCCGTTGGTTGCGGCCATGATTCCACTAACTAGGTATCTAGGGGAGAGGGTTATCTTGCCTTGGGGACGGACTTGTTTCATTTGGCCGAACACTATCTTCCCGTCCCTGACAATGGACACCTACTCTGGCGAACGGGATTGTTTCCGTATCGCCAACTTGTCCATGATGGCCACCCCTTCTGTCGAGGCATTTGCCCTGCAATCTGCATCCCTCCTTAGCTTGACCACGGGGGAACCTGCCACGATCCATATTCCCTAAGTACTGCCTCTCCGGGACAGTGGTATCATACAATCGCATGCAGCATTAATGCCGTTCTAGGCCAAGCGACAACCAACCCCCACGAATAACTGCGGCCTTGTAAGAGCCATGACAACTTGAGACGAAAGAGAACCCTTTTTGCTCTATGAGTTCCATGCCGGCCAAATTCCACCTGTCCACGACCTCCGGTCGGCGCAAGTCGACGTATCATTCCTGCGCAAGGTGCCGTCTAAAGAAGGTCAAAGTAAGAGAGACTGCACAGCAATCATTGTTCGGTCCTTGGTAACTGACTCTCAGCACAGTGTGATAGGCAGCTGCCTGCTTGCTCCCAATGTGTTGCTGTCAAGTCCACTTGTGCCGGGTACAGTGCTTCGCAGCTGGAAGGTGTCGTCCCCCGTCACCTCATTCAGCACCTGGAGAATGAAATTGCGCTGCTGGAGAACGAGATTGCCGAGAGTGGCGGTGCCGAGGCTTTGGCGTCCCTGGATGCAGACAGCCACCACACAGGAGACACTTTCCGCCGCCGAGACCACCTCGTCGGCGCGGGTCGAGTAGGGGAGACAGTTCAGGAAGACGCAACCCTGGATGCCATCAAACAGTCGATCCTGGCGAGTGCCAATATTCAGAGTATCATCTCGGCAAGTCAGCCTGCGGGAAAAGCACGGACGGATCTGGTCTCTCGCATCAAAACCGGGCTCACACCTTCCCCGGCCTCGACGAGCGGCGGGGTGTTGGATGCCCACGAGAGCAGCATTTACATTGACCACCCTGGCGCCGAGATCCCGGCGCGAGTGTTCGCGAGTCTGCCTTCGGCTCTGACGTACAAGCTTGTGGGAAAGTTCATGCGATGCTTCCTTTCGGGCAATTTGATTCTGCGAGAGCCAGATGTCTGGCAACAATTAGAAAGGGTGCTGCAGATCATCAGTGATCGCAAAGCCAGGGTGGCCGACCCTAGGACCATCACCGTGGCTCCCAGCTACGACATGCTCGTCATCTATCTAGTCTTGGCCATCACGGTCACCCTGGACAGCTTCAAAGGGGGCCACGAAGCACGGTGCATGGAGCTTTCCGCGTCGCTCTTCAATGAAGGCATTCGACATCTCTCTGAAAGAGCTGGCATCCCAGACGATCTTGCTGGTTTGCAGGTCACTCTACTGACGCTACATTCGGCCATCATCAATCCTCAGTTTGGCAATGTCTGGGTCTTGAGCGGCGTTGCCATGCGTGCATGCCTGGAGCTTGGGCTTCACCGTGAACCCCCACTCACAGCTCAGTTCGATCCCGCGATTCTGGAACATCGTCGGTGTCTCTTCTGGGCCGCATATTGTGCTGACCGAACCATATGTTCTGCGCTTCAAATGCCCCTCTCGATCGCAGATGCGTCCATCAACACGCAATTGCCGCAGGCTGCGCAGGAAGCTCACGCAACGAAAAATCCTCTCCTCCTCCTGATCCAATATCATCAGCTGAGATCATTGATTATTCAAGTCCATTTCCAGAACGCCCCACTACCGGCCAACCTGGATTGGGAAGACTGGCTTTCCGATATGGAGACCAAGCTCCGTGCATGGTATGGGAGCTACCGCGCCACCAAGTCTGAAATCAGTGAACTGACCGAGTTCGAATTCGCACATACTATGCTATTCTTGCACCGACCGTCACCTCGCAATCCGCAACCGTCTGACCGCAGCCTGCTGGAGGCATTCGAGGCCGCCGCGGCGTCAGCACGGATCCTCAAGGAAGACATCTCCCAAGGCTTCCTCCGTCGCCGCTGGCTGTCGGCTTATCACACGCTCGAGACGGCCATGATCGCACTCTTCTGTCTCCGCTACGGCTCGAGACACCTCCGAAAACGATTCTCCGTCCATCAGATCTTCGAGATCGCCAAGCTGTTCACGTCGAATTTTCTAGCCATTGCAGCGCTGGGCTGGACTGAGGTTTCGGCCTTTGCCCGCACCTACGAGCGCCTGCTGGCCCCGCTCCTGGATTTCATCTTCTCCGGGGAGGACGACCCCGAGAGCTTCTTTGGACCAGCTGAGGAGGCGCAGCTTCGACGTTGGCTGTACCCTGGCCAGACACGCTCTGACGCGTTTCGTTTCGAAGCGCCGCTGCACATGTCCACGTTGGACGATTTCACCCTGTTCGATGTCGATCGCATGCTGGAGGACCTGGACCCCCGTAATGACAACAGCAGTGCCGGCATTGACGTGAATGCCTCATGGGCAGACCGTAATGCTGACTCGGAGCCCTGGGGCTGCTGGGATTTGCTGAATAAACCCCCTCTAGAGTCTCGACCTTGACTGTGACATGCTTCCGAGTGTCAGTGCGATCTCTTCCGACAATTATTACCTTTGGATCGTCATCATGAACGCAAAGCACCAAAAGGTCAATGAAGCCAGTCGAGGCCAGGGTGTGCAGATTGCAACCCCTTTTGTCTCCTTACCCATTGTATGTACATTGGGAGGTTAATGGAGGAACTGTAATAACACCGACCGGGACCAACAGGCTCCAGGGCAGAGGGGAATGAACGAGGGCAAGATGTAGGCATCTTCACGCCTGCAACTGTGTCCAGGCTTAGAAAAGTGGCCCAAAGGCGGGCAGAATGTCGATTGCAAAGATTCAATCAGCTGTGCTGTCGTATTGTGGGTGGGCGAACACCTTACCTTGGGCCTAATAGTCAGCTACGGTAGGTGAGTACCTCATCTCCCGGCTCCGTGGTCTGGGGTGCCGGTAGGTATTTTGGTATTGGTAACGATACCGTTCCGGATCTTAGCGACTGCCCGGGCTGGATGTGGGCCACCTCGCCGTCGCCAGCGTCCGGGACTTTGTCGGGTCTAAACTTTCCGAGATATCAGATATCGCAGGGTCGAACCAATCAAGACATGTTTAGCCCCGTAGCGGATGGGGATCGGTATACGTCGAGACGTGTACCCGCACAGAAACATGTCGCTTGGATCCACGCAACAGCGCATTTTGCCGGGTGGCGGCATTCTAACAAGCAAGCCGTCCAAAAGCCTTTATCGCGACGAGGCGGCTGCTCCAGAGGGACCGAATCCTGGTCGTCAAGTCCCGCAAGGCCGCGTTCAGTTCCAGAAACACCACTTTCCTCTCTATCACTACTATCAGGTAGAGAGATCATGGGTCGGCACTCGGGCTGCACTGCACTGCACGGCACTACACACACACATGTATAAAATGACTGATTGGGTTTGTTGCGATAGATACAACTCTCTGATCGAAGGATGAACGTTCGGTGATTGTCTCTCTATCTCTCTCTCAGAGTGTCCGTCGTCGAGGAAATACGCAGTCCACGGGCGCCCCCCCAAAAAGAAGACGGGATTCGATTTTCCACAATACCGTCATTATTACAGCTGTACGTGGCCATGAACACGCTCGCACGTCTTCCGATGGGGGAGAATGACAGACTGACTTTTTGGCGTAAAACAGAAGAGCATCAGTCCTGTGAGGCGTTCTGCCGCCATGGACAAGGTCGACATCAAACCCGAGTTTGCTGTCGATGCCACCACCGACCACAGCAAGTCGGGTGGCAGTACGTCTTCCAAGGTGCCGGACGACCACGACGACGACGCCTCCATCGTGGTCGACCCCGTCCTCGAAAGGCGCGTTCTGAGAAAATTCGACCTGCTTGTTTGCCCTCAGCTGGGTCTGCTCTTGCTGCTCTGCCAGCTCGATCGCTCCAACATTGGTAAGTAGAGGGAATCCGCCCTTCCTTGCACCCCTCTGGAAACAGTTCAAAAGGTTCTCATCAGAGAGAATACGCCCGTCTCTCCAAAGGGTGACGGGCAGCAAGTGCGACTGGAAATTGATTTACCCGTCGCAGAGGTTGATGTCGATTGCTAACCAAACTCACCGCATCTGCAGGAAATGCGGTGGTCTTTGGCCTCGTCGACTCACTCGGCCTCGTGGGGATCGAGTTCAACAATCTGTCCATGCTCTTCTACGTCCTGTACATCGTGTTCGAAATCCCCTGGGTCATGGCGGTCAAGAGATTCGGACCGAACAAGGTTCTCGCCATCGCGCTGGTGAGCTGGAGCGCCGTCACCATCGGCACGGGCTTCATCCACAACTACCACCAAGCCATCGCATGCCGTCTCCTCCTCGGTCTCACCGAAGCAGGCACCGTCCCCGCCTTGACCTTCATCGTCTCGACCATCTACAACCGACAGGATCAAGCCAAGCGGATCGCCACTCTCTACATCGCCTCGGCTGCCTCGGGGGCCTTTGGAGGCTTGATCGCCTACGGCATCCAGTCAATGGGGGCGCGCCATGGCCTCGAAGCCTGGAGATGGCTGTTCATTGTCGAAGGCATCATCTCCATCGTCCTCGGTGGCATCTGCTGGCTGTCGTTGCCGTCCAGTCCTGAACGGGCCTGGTTCCTGAACCAAGAGGAGAGGGAGATGATGGCGGCTCGCAAACGCCGAAACTTGCTGTACAAGGGCTCCGATGAGTTTTCGTGGTCTTGGGTGCGTATGGCTTTCAAAGACCCGTTTGTGTATGGGGCGGCTGCCGCCATGTTCTGTTCCACCATTCCACTGTACGGGCTCGCCACCTTCTTGCCGACAATCATTCGTGGCCTTGGGTACGTACTTCTTCTTCTTCTTCCTCCTCCTCCTCTCCCCCCTTCCTACTGCTTTCTTTTCGGAGCCTCGTCGTTGCGACTGACACTAGAGTGGTTTTTTTCTAATCAATAACCTTTCAAGATATTCGTCGCTCCAAGCCAACTATTTCACCATTCCGGTATACGTGTTTGTGACGATTGTGGTCATCATCGTCTCCTACCTGTCGGACAGATTCCAGCAGCGGAGCTTCTTCGCCATCGGCGCCGCCTGGGCGTGCGTCGTTGGCTACGCCATCGCCATCGGCTCCTCCAAGCCCGGGGTGGGCTACTTTGCCATGTTTCTCGTCGTGGCCGGCGTGTATCCTTTCAACAACATGGTCATTACCTGGGTCTCGAACAACATCTCGCCAGAGCACAAGCGTTCCGTCGCCATCCCTCTCTTCTTCTCCCTCGCCAACAGTGCCGGTCTGGTTGCGTCACAGATCTATCCCTCCCGTGACGGGCCGCGGTACGTCATGGGCAACAGCGTGTCCCTGGGCGTCGAGGCCTTTGCCAGTCTCATCGTCATCGCCATGTATCTTCTGGTCCGACGCCGGAACCAACAAAAGGAAAAGCTGGTCGCTCAGGGCGCAACGGAGAACGGCAAGTTAGGAGATCAAGCGCTGGACTTCAAATATGCTTACTGAGCCATGACGACGTGGGTGGGTGAGTGAGAGAGTCGGTGGTGCGGCTATTAGTGGAGGGAATATTTTACAATCGTCGCAATGAATCGCAGATGGAGTATTATAGCTTTCCGGTGTCCGAGGCACTCTACGAGCTGGACAATGGCAACTGTGTTTGTGTGTATAGCAGGAGCCCCGACGACCAGACCCGTAGTAATCAGCTTTGGAGCCCTGCAAGATCTTCCGCAGCTCATACACGTCTCTCTCGGGGGGGCGGCGCCAAAGACGGCCCGCTGATCAAAGGTTGGAGAATTGGTCTGACGTGGAGGCGATTTTGCCCGGCTCAGGCCAAGCCTTTCCTAATCATTGCTGGAACAAGCTTCACATAAAGAGCTTGATAGGTATTCAGCATGCCTATCAGGGAAGGGAATTTCTGAGAGAGCCACGTGAGCAGCGCAAGGCACGACGCCGTCGTTTCACAGAGGTTGTTGTACAGATCTCTGCGTGTGGACGAGGGTGGGGAGCCGCTGGCGGCAGTTGGAGCACCTTGCGCGGCCGAGGACCGTGGAGATGCGAGGTCCAAAGACACGATAGTAGGGTCCAGCAGGTGCAGAGAGTCGTCGAGGTCCAAGAGGCAGAAAGCCATGATGATCAAGCCCGAGTTGTAGACGCCGTAGGCCGATATGATGGTGACGGGGTAAAGAGCACGTGGATCGTCCTGTCTGGCGTGGAAGACATCGTGATAAGCTTGAATGTGAGAACAGGCCGACCAGTACGCCTCTGGGGGCAAGGAGACGGGCGATCGAGGTGCCGCCGGACCCGTGGCAGAGCACTGCGGGTGGTCGAATGGCGGCACCAGGCCACGGCGGCCTTGTTGCTTCTGGGCGGCGGAGAGTGCGTGGAGGATCAAGGGCTGGAACAACAAGGTGACGGCTCCGTGGTACCCGATCAGGCACGCCTGAAAGGCGTTGCCGTCTCTGTTGACAACGGATAGATGTGCTGGGTGCCAGGCCGAGAGCTGGATATACTTTTGCTGATGCCATCCGACGCCTAGTTCAGGCATCGTGGCGGGGAAGTACAGGTGCCGGTAGATTTCCGCGCGAAAGTAGGCGTACTGCGTGTGGTACACGGCCAGGGAGCAATCTGACAAGGGCCCGTCAGTGACGACCGGGCTTGGATGCTCGGTGGTGATGATGGTTTCGGGGAGGTCTGAGCTCCGACCAAAGTACTGGCCCACAATGCGTTCGAGAGTGTACAATGCCCAAAAGGTTGCTCGGCGTCCTCGCTGCTCTGATTCATCCTCGACGCGCTCGGGATCCTCGGTGTGGTAGCCAAGCTCCAGGCTCAATCTGCATGCGTAGTTTAGGATCTTCCAGACATCACCCTGCTGGGGATTCATCAGACAGTACCCGCTCAGCAAGGACAGGGCTCTCAGGGTTGCAACCGAGACTTCTGAAGTGACCTGCTCGACGCATGTGAGCGCTTCCGCGTAAAACCGTCTACTTTCCGCCGCGGCCAAGTCGGAAGATCGCGCTTGAACAGAGCAGGCAATCGCACAGATCATGCTGATTCGGAAACATTGGTGAGTCTCTGAAGGCGTGCGTTCCGGCTGCGAAAGTCTTGGTCCGGATTGGTTGAGGGCGATGTAGGTCTCCAGGTCCGCTCTTACCAAGGCCTCGTCAACGAAGGTGTAGACTTTGCCCCAAGAACGAAAATAAACATCCACCAGAGAGCGTACGGCTTGGGCGTCGACGACGTGGTCCCGGACACGCGGATTGACCTCGACCGGTCGTTCGCGGTGAGGGACATCATTTTGTTCCACGACGATGCCTCTGCACCGTGCAAGACAAAGGACCTCTACCGCCAAACTCAGGCTCGAGCTAGAGCCAAAGAAACGAGATGAGTGACAGTCCCCTGATGTCGTGTCGATCAGCAAGTCAAATGATTTTCCCGAGACGCGTGGGACGAATGGATTTGCGGAATGCAGGGAAGAAGCCCATTCGTTCTGACCGGGAGATGCTTGTGGACGCGAGACCGCTAATTTTGACTGGTGGGACGCGTTCTTGATCACACGCAGCTGCTCGAGGCGTGAAAGAAGCGACAAAACATAACTTGAACCTGCCGTCAGGACATTTCATGTATGATCCAAGGAAGTGTGGTAACTGAGCATATGGGATACTAGAAAAACCCCCCCCCCTTCTTGGAGTTGGACAACAACGCACCTTCGCGGTAGAGGTTGATCAAGGCTTCCATCAAGGATCGTGCATTCAACTCTTGCTTTCTGGCAGAGTCGACAATCAGGCAGCTGTGCATCACATTTCTTGCGGAGTTTTCGGCACCTTTGGCATTTTGGCAACAAGGCCTCAACCATCAAGCGATCTCGTCTGAGGTCCGGATGGTCCAGTGCACGAGGGGAACTATCATCCCCAGGATCAGAGGCAGAGGTAGCCATTTGGGTCTGCGCGCGCAACCGGCGAACGCGACTCCCAAGTTTCTCGCTGTGTAGACGGAAGAGATGGAGGGAATGCCAAAAGGGGCCGCTGAAGCTTCCTCTTTTTCAACTAGTGGTGGAGGGGTAATTGCAGAGATCGGTCATGCTGACAAGATACCTGAGGCCTTTCTGAACCGAGACAGACAGACGGGGGACTGGAGTCGTTGAATGAATTGGCATCAGGGTGAAGATGTTGTTGTTGGGGGTTGCGCGATCCAAGGGCGAAAGGACGGGATAGCATCTACTGAGGACTCAACCTGTGATGATCGAATCCCGACCGGCGTATTGTACATGACAGAGTATTACCAGGAATGTACGTCGAGTGTCTCATCGACTCGGGACCTTATCTGTGCCTGACAAGACTACCTAACTAGGTAGGTATCCTTATCTACTGTACTTGTAGGCCTCGAAGTATATCGCTGAGATTAGCAGTATTCCCGTCTTTTTATTCAGGCGATTTTGAGGGAGCCCTAGGCCTATTCCTGACAGCGACCGGACAGCGCTATACAGCTTTCAGACACTCGACCCATTGTAGACATTGTACAGACTAACCACCGCGCGATGTGATTGGCTGAGGCGTTCGGGCTCTGCTGGGATCCTTCTTCTTCTTTGGTAGTGCTAGCAGGACAGTTAACTTGGGAAATCACGCAATCAATTGTACGGATATCTACTTGTGCTGTTGTGTTATTATTGGTTGTGTTGGGTGTGAAAAGCTCCCCCTGCCCGCGTACGAGTGGGCTCCCCATGGCCATATAGCCTGACCCCAGTTCACCATGAAGACTACAATTTCGACTTTTCGCCTGTCAGCAAGACCCTCTTTCGTCAGGGAGCCCAGGGTGAACCTACATCTTGTGGCTCGCGATTGAGGCTCTCAGGAGTCGCTTTGGACCAGCGCGATTCCACCTGGAAAAAAGACACGACTGTGAGCGAGGCTGGTTCTGCACCCCATCGGAAAGGGCGGCAATCTTGCTTACTTCTTGAATATGGTCGTACGAGAACAACTGCGGCGCGAAGCCTGGGTCTCTCCACGCTATTGCTTCGCCGGGCGGCGGCGGCTGCATCTTCATCTTTTCATCTCGATCCATCTGCTCGGGCCCATCGGGGAAGTGATAAAGCACTTGCTGGACGTTCCCCCGTCGGACCAACATGACTGCACGATCTTTGCGACACGATTCATAGACAGCGAGGGCGTGTTGTTTTTCCGTCGGCGACTTGGACTTGATTCGTGATAGACATTCGCCGAGCACGGCTCCGTCTTCGAGGCAAATGCCGGCACTAGGGTTGGTGTCAGCCGTGGGGACCACTCGAGTTTGACAAGGCGGATGCAAAGTTCATACCCGGAAGCATAGTACGGCACGGTGGCATGGACGGCGTCTCCAAGCATGGTGAACGAGCCGCTTGGGTCATTCCAGGAATCCAGACCCAGGCGGTAGCAAAGGCGCCATTTCTCCACCGACTCACACTTGCTGAGGAGCTTGGTGATTCTCGGTTCCCAGTCCTTGAAGTACTCTCGCATCACATTCACGTCGCCTGGGACCCGGTTGGGCTGATCGAGAGGGATGTCGTCCTTCAAGGCCAAGGGAAAGTTGAACAGCTCGCCACCTCGCAGGACATAATTGACACAATGCGCGTCCGGACCCAGCCAGTAGTTGACCTGCGGCTCCTTGATGAAAATGGCCAGCTCCGGGTCGTCGAGAAGCTTCGCCGCCGGTAACGTGATCCTGTAAGCCATGTCGCCCGAGCGGATCGGGGGGTCGGGTCTCTTTAGCATAATCTCTCGCAGGTGGCCAAAGACACCGTCCGCCCCAACCACCAGATCTGTCGCCCTTACCGACCCGTCTGCCAGGACCACGTTGGCGCCAGAACCATCGGCATGGCATTGTACATCCACCACCCGGCAACTATTATGGAGCTTGGCACCGAGCTCGATGGCCCGGTCCAACAGTATCTTGTGTAGAACTGGGCGGTGGAAATCCAAGAAGTCAGAGCCCGGATATTGAGCAGCGGCGTCATGGTAGTCCAGCGACGAGATCAGGTTGCCTTTCCAGCCCCACATGTTGACTTTCCCCGGTCTGACGGCAAGCTTCCGTACGATTTCTCGAAGGCCCCATCGGTAAAGAATTCGGGAGCCGTTTGGCAGAAGTTGGATTCCAGCACCGATCTCGCCAAATTGGTCGGCAGCTTCGAGAACGTCGACATCATGACCGGCCAGCAGACAACCAATGGCCGCCCCAAGTCCTCCGATCCCACCACCGACGACAGTTACCTGGATGGTGCTTGTCAGGAAAAGGCAGAACGTGACCACGGTTATTGGATTTCAGCTACATACGTGCAGTTTCGAGTCATTCCCACGTTCCACCTTCTCGGTGGTCCTTTCCCAGTAGTCGGGGGAATCTTTGGCGGCGGCAAGAGATGCCATGGTTCAACTCAAGTCTTGGCCTTGGTGGTGGTACTGCAAAATGCACCCAAGGATGTTTCAGTCCTACGGCTTCAGTCCAGGTCGACAAGGAAGCCATTTCAATATAAACTCTACGCTCATGCTTCATTGCTTATGTGCCGCGAACGTTTCGACAGCCTCACCAGCTTCCGTATTGCGCGCATCCTCGGCACGTAAACCAATGGACGAGGAAAAGCGATAGAGGGTGTCCATGTCGCAAAAGGCCGAGCTGGTCTAATCAGCCGGATTGCTTGCACACACACATCTCTGGTCGCGCAGGCGCGGGACGTCTTTTGCCACAGCGCTTGCGTCCGGAGGCGTTTGGCGCTTGACAAGACTTGCCAGTGGCGAAGAGAGCTAGATGTGCCACCATGTAGTGAGCTACTGTGTGTGATGGGATTTCTTCCATCGCAGTTGGTACCGTGGATGTCCGGCTAGTCCCACCAAAGACGAGAGCTTCTCTCAAACTCATCACCCCGAGGTACGCACATACCCATAAAGGAAGAGATGTTCAGAATGAGATCAGACACACCAATCAAGCAGGTGACTGTCTTTTCGTTCCCGGGCACTATGGTTTCCTGGCGACGCAAATCTCCGGGTGCACTCTCGCACTTTGACCAGCACGCACAACATATACAGGTATCTTATGCTACTCCTCTGCTAGCTTCTACGATGCCGCTTCCTGCCTCGAGAGCTGGAGTCGGCTGGATCAAAACATTCCTGCACGAATCCTCCAAAGTCGAATTTGTGCTGCGGCCACGTGATACGTCTCTGCACTGACACTCCCTCACGTCCTCACCGCCGACGAACATCATGGCACCACAACTAGAATCCTTCTTCAAAAAGTCAATCATGAGCGTACCACATGGTCTGCTTTGTGCTGATTTGTCTGTAGGGTGGACGAGCTGGCCGAATCCTTCATTGATCGTGAGCAACCATTACGACTTCCCATCTCGGGACCAACGCAGTAGTACCGACAATACTAATTCGCCATGCAGGTCTGCGACACGCCGTGGCAATTCCGTCCGTATCTGCTGATCCAGAGAGACGAGAAGAAGTTGTACGGGTAAGTATGCTGCAAGGTACACCATTTCTCGCGTCCGCTTTACTGAGGAATGACAATAGATGGGCCGGTTTCTGGCCTCGGAGCTCGAAGCCTTGGGTGCAGAGGTGCACCAAAGACCTTTGGGGAGGCAGCGCGGTATCGACTTGGACCTGCCACCGGTCGTCATTGCTCGATATGGCCATGACAAGGCGAAGCGCACGATCTTGGTCTACGGACATTATGACGTGCAACCCGCCCTACGCGAAGATGGTTGGACAACACCGCCATTTGAGCTGACCATCGACGATGAGGGTCGTATGTTCGGGCGAGGGAGTACCGACGACAAGGGGCCCGTCCTCGGCTGGCTGAATGCGATACAGGCGCATCAACAGATCGGCCTTGAATTGCCCGTCAACATTTTATTTTGTTTTGAGGGTATGGAGGAGTATGGGTCTGAAGGACTAGAAGAGTTTATCAAGGCCGAGACAGACCAATTCTTCAAGGATACCGACGTTGTCTGTATTTCCGACAACTACTGGTTGAGTACGGGGAAACCCTGCTTGACATATGGCCTACGAGGATGTAACTACTACTCGTTGGTGATATCTGGCCCAAGCCAGGATTTACACTCGGGTGTGTTTGGCGGGGCCGCTCAGGAGCCGATGACGGACCTAATACACGTTCTGGGTAGGCTGGTCGACACTGATGGGCAAATTCTCATTCCTGGCATCAAGGAAATGGTCGCACCATTGACCAACGAGGAGAAGGCGCTATACGACGGCATCGACTACACAATGGACGACCTGTATGAGTCGCTCGGCAGCAGGACGAGTGCCTTTCCAGACCCAACTCGTACGCTAATGGCTCGTTGGCGGTACCCTGCGCTCTCGCTACATGGCATCGAAGGTGCATTTTCTGCTACAGGCGCGAAGACCGTCATTCCGGCGAAAGTGACGGGCAAGTTCTCCATGCGTACTGTCCCTGACATGACCAACGTCAACGAGCTGGTATTTCAGTATGTTCGCGATGAGTTTGCGAAGCTAAATTCCAAGAATACTCTCGATGTCTACTGTCAACACGAAGGCAAGTGGTGGATTACTAGCCCTGGGCATTGGAACTTTACTGCTGCCAGCAAAGCTGTCACCGCTGTCTTCGGTGTTAAGCCAGACATGACCCGCGAAGGCGGCAGTCTCCCCATTGTCACCACTTTCGCAAACGTCATGGACAAGAACGTCCTTCTCCTACCCATGGGCCGAAGCACCGACGCCGCACACAGCATCAACGAGAAACTCGACCGGCGGAACTTCATCGAGGGGACGAAGCTTCTAGGCGCTTACTTACACTATGCTGCTGAGGAGCCTCTCGTCGAGGCTTCAGAACACCATCACCGGCAGGACGGGAAGGAGGTGAAAAAGAGTGGTGGCAGGTCTGCACACAACGTACCCAAGATACTACATCTGTAGAAAAGCCGAGGAGACTGCTCTGTAGCGATTGTGGTGAAAATGAAACTTTTCAACCAGACCACGAGGCCACAAGGCTACGAGGAGGCACTAGTTCTATCAGGTCGACTATAGTCATTCTAAATCTATGGAAATTAGAGCAGGTTTGATCTTACGCTGAAGACTCTGAGCCTCGACGACGTTCGGAGCCCTGAGTTTTTAGGCGCATCATAGGGCGAACGGCATCGTTATAATAAGGATGAGTGACGAGCGAGGACAAGTCAAGAATTGAAACAATCAGACAAGATCGAACGCCTTATCTGGGATGATGTCGGCTACAAGCACAGCAAGGTATCCCATCAAGCCTACCATCTGCGTCATCTGCGGAGGAGACCATTTTGGGAGAGCGTGTCGAACAGACGGCGACTCTTTCTGGCCATGCTGCGGGGGTTATCGCAACCAGCGGCACCGAAGTTTTGGGCCGGAGTAGCGGAAGAGAGAGGAAGAGGATCGGGTAGAGGCTCAGGTAAAGGAGAAGGTCGCCGCGAAAGATGTCACCCATAGAGGGGATTCTTAGCAGGGAGGACGTCGTCGCTGGGCGAATTGCGACCGTTGAGAGTGTGCGAGCATGAGCGTGGGCAAAGGTGTCGAGGCGGCCGAGAGAGATCTCACAGCTTTCGCTTGCTTGGATCTCTTCTCTATAGATTCACTGAGGTCCTTGCTTGTCGCCGCAAGAAGTAGATATTGACGGTGTCATGCCTCTCGGGTAGCGTACCACTTTCCCAAACTATGATCTGGAAACGTGATGATTAGGATGCCGCTTTTGACTTGACTCACCCTGACTCGCGTGCGGCCGGGGTGAGCATAGGGCGGCATCACCCTTTGCCCGGATCCGGGGTGCGCCGCGTGCACCTTTTAATCATCTTGGCAAGTTTCGCGTTTCCCGACGTCGAATCCAGTCTACATCCTTCATTCCGAGTCTCTCCCAGCATCTGACCAACACGTACGAGAGAACATCCAATATCCGACGCTTCCTATCTTGACAACAAAGTCTTTGTCCAGGAGCTCCAATGCGTTTGCGCTCGCGCTCGTGGAGGATGAGTTGGCCATCTCATCGGAGCTGGCAACTCAATTTGAGAGATGAAGACTACAGTTTGAGAGCCCAAGATCCCTAGAGCCTTGCATTCTGCGCAGCCTCCAGTATGAATCACACAGCAGTGCATCGGAGAACCAGCAGCGGCTCCACGGTCCGAGCCACTGTGGGCTCTCAGATAGGCTTGCCTCCCGGCGCCCAGAATCCCCCAAATACCGTGTCAGTTCGCGCATCGCTCTGGATACATGATGATGCATTCTCATCTGAGGATGTTTTGATCAATGAAGCCATCCTGGCCGGCTCGGATATCCGCGAAGGCGGCTTGATCAAAATCTTCCCAGCTACTGAAGCTTCAGATGTCCGGGACTTTCAATCGCCCAACAATGAACAGGCTGACTCCAGGCGCAACACTGGCCCTTTGATCGAGACTGGCGATATATCCATCAGGGACGACTACTATCTGTGTATAGCCAAGTTTGCGTCCGCCGAGTTCAAGGCAAAACAAGCCAACTTGCAAGTCTCGATTAAGAGTAATATTGCCACAGCTTTCGGATTTAGATCGCGCTCGCATGTCCGCATATTCCCTGCTTCTTTCGAGGAATCGACGGCTTCCCATGTGGAATTCAGCTTCAGGGATACCTATCTCGCAAGATCGGACATGTGGCGGCTCGTTGGGCAAGAGTTGGCGGGCACGACAGTTTATGTCGGACAGAGGATCACGTATTTGGGGAGCATCAAGCTCACGGTCAAATCTATTCACGTGCGAAACCACAAAGCGCCTACTGCTTTTTTTGCCGGGACCACGATCCCAGTCTTCCGCAGCGAAGCGGCGCGGTATGTGCTCTTCATACAAATGTCCAGCGAAATGTGGGATTTTGATTCCGAGGGCAATGGTGAGATCATGTTCAATCGGGTTATTAATGGATTTCTTCCCGAAATTTTCAAAAGATGGACCGACCTGGATGTTCGACACCTTGTCAGCATTGTTCTTTTCGGGCGTCTGGAGTACGACCGCTTTGAACTCGCTCGAAATAAGGATAGAAGACTAGAAACCGCACCAATGTCAGGCTCTCCCAACATGACCGCTCGCCAATACCAGGACTTCTACAGGGTGGTCGTCACAGATATGGCCAGTGCGCAATGGACAACAATCTTGGATGAACTCAAAAAGGACTTTCTTGTCTTTTTGAGAGATATCTCCCTGCACACTTCAAACACCAAGGGAATAATATCAGAAGACGCCAAGGCGCCGCCTACGCGCATTGCTGGCAGACCAAGCGCTGCACTAAAGGGAAATATACTGGAAGCTATTAATATCGCCAGCAGTCAATTTGCTCACGACTTTGAGGACCGAGATCTGATCCGGACTGGCGTTTCGATCGTGGTTGTCACAGCAGGGACTGGCGTTTTCGAGGTCAACCGAGATTTGTTGAACCTGACATCGCAGAACTTGACGAATAATGGTGTCGGCATTGATATCGTTTGCCTTTCTAGGATGCCATTGCACTCCGTGCCTCTATTCAAATACCGCACATCTGGAGTTGAGGAATCGTCTCTGCCTTCGGTGGTTGAGGAATTCACCAACCCCGAACACAGGTACGGATCTGGTCCAAGCTTTTTCGATTCGAGCCAGCCTCGCAAGCTCTCCCCGGCACTGTCGTCTGCGGCGACAAATAGCACGCAATACTTTGCGAGCTTTATTTCGGGCCGGAGTCACGAAAGTTCTCAAGGGTGGAGCTATGGCATTCCGCAGTGGGTTGACCTTTCATACTGGTCGGCTGAGGGAGAGCCAGCCGTGATGAGATTTCTGGAGGATGTCCCGAAGGATGCGGACGGTATCTCAAAACGCAAGAAGGGACCTTTCTTGCCTCGAGTGAGGATGTACGAGATCCAAATGATGGGACTTATGGAGTTGGGCATGGCCGACATGGTCATCCCATTCATGACAGAAACTCAAGCACTGTTCCCAGGTTCGCACAAACGCACGGGCTCGAAACGCAGAAGAGCACCCGGAAGTAGGAGTCTGTCACATTCGCCAACACTATCACGCAAGAGTCGCCTCGGCCCAGAACCTGCGCGGATAGCCCAGGGGTTACTGTCAATAAATGCCAGAGCACTGGGAGACATATTCGACCGTATGGACGCATATGACTCGCTGTTGTTCGAGGTCCAGTCAACCGCAGAGACCAGATCTAAGGCCACGAAGACAACAAGTAGTAGTTTGGCAAGGACTAATACAGCCTCCTCGACGCAGCCAAGCAAGCTTCAGCCTGGAAATGAAGCACCAAAATCGGGGTCCGGATTGACAAAGGTGCTCACCAACAAGTCTCTGAATTCGCCTTTCCGGCCACAGCTCCCGTCTCTGGTCTCGGCAGACGCTTCAAGTCCCCCACTAGCAACAAAGAAAAGCCGCGAAGCATCAAAGGTCAACCGGACGCTTAACTATTCCTTGAGAGGGTTGGCTCCACCTGTTCGTGCTGTCGCTAGCACTGAAGTGAACATTACCAACGTAGAGGCACACTCGCCATTCGGCAACCTTGGCCACTCGCGACCGACAGTGGCAACGTCAGCCGCTAGCATACGGTCGGTGTCCACTAATAGTGTGCTCGGAGACAAGCATAAAGAGAATTCCGATCCCCTGGAAAGGTCGAATTCTCGATCGTCCGGTCTACCAGAGGACACACCGTCAAAACCGATCTCGATAAATACCCCTTTGCGGAAGATTCAAGATGAGTTTCTCGCCGGATCTCAAAGATCAAGCTCCACAACCCGGCGGGTTCAAAGCCATACATCTGCGTCAAAGGATGAACTGGGATACAACAAAGAGGCGGAAAGCGAGTCGTCGCACTCTTCGGTTAGCGATGAAGCAGACTACTCTGACAGCGTCGAGCCTGCTGAAAGCCAGTTGGGAATGTCGGTCGCCAGCTCTGTTCCAAGAAGTACTCTCCCATATGTACGCAATGTCAACGCCTCAAATCCATTGAAACGACATCCCGAACGAGAGTCGTTCTTTGGCAGGTGGCAGCATCTCTATCCTCGAAAGCCACGTGCTGCTACCGTCAAATGGAAGTCTCTGTGCACCCCTGCGTCGGTCCCTCTGACAACAGAGGATTTCCCCACAAAAGATGAGCTTGAAATGGACTATGACTCTGAACAATACCACGTCATACTAGCCAATTCCAACGAGATGCTTGAAGAGCCCGAGTCCCGCGACAAACTCCTTGGGGAGATGCTTGCCCTCAGGTTCGCTCATGGGTACCAACTCGTGGTTGGTCCGTCATTGCTCGAAGCTGTCGGGCCTGGGACGTGCGACACGTCTTCGTTCTTCACGCCGAATCTTGTGCGCCCTGATGGTTCCTTCATTGTCATGTCAATGGGCAACACGATACAGAAGTTGTCCCTCGAAGTGAAAAATCGCATTCAGGTGACCAAGTATGTTAGAAGACCCCCAAGTGTCCAGCCTCCCTATCCCCAAGAGATCCACTATCATCCCAACATCAGGACTATCCTCTCCGGAGCATACAAAATACGAGATTTGCAGTTCAACGGGTTTTCCGAGCAGTATCCATGGGAGGCGGCCGACAGGTACTTGGCTGACTTCAGGAAGCAAAACGAGGTAGACGTCAAAGCTCTCCGTTTCTGGCGGGCAAGATTTGTGCTCATCCCAGTAGCGCTACCCGCCAACTCCTGGAGGCCAACACTGTCCGAGGCTGAAGAAAGCGATGAAGAGATTCATCTGCGCGGCATTCGAGCACTGACGCAGATGTGGCAAAAAGCACGATATGTGCCGCCGGATGAGAGAAGACCAGCTCATACTCGGCCAAGCACCTTGAAAGGCAAGGACAGAAATCCGTTGAGGATCAATCTCGAAACTCTCAATCCGTCTGAGTTGGTGGCGACGGAGCTCGACAAGCTCATCGCGGCTGAAGAGGCGGGCGAGGTACAAACCACACAGCTCCTGCCCGAGGCCGAACAGTTCGATAGGGACTCCTTTAGTCTCCCAAAGCTAGCGCAAGCCTTGCAAGGCGAAAACGGGATAGAGATCAAGACTCGGCGCTGGCACTTCAAGCTGTACTACAGTTGCTTCATGGGGGAAGATCTAACAAATTGGCTAGTACACAATTTCAGGGATATTGATACTCGTGAGGAAGCCGTTGAGTTGGGCAATGATCTCATGAGGGAGAATCTTTTCGAACATGTCAATAGCAAGCACAACTTCAAGGACGGGAACTATTTCTATTCCATCAAGCCCGAGTTCCGCACCCAGCGAACGGAAGCGAGGCAGTCATGGTTTCCCGCGAGCCGGCGCTCAGATCGATCGATTCCGCCCACCCCTGCAACCGAGCATCCGACTCGAGAGTTGATCAGTGGCAGATCACGATCAGGTTCCAACCTCGCTAACCATGGGCAGGTGGCTTCTGAACTGGCGAAGACGCTGGGCGACAAGAAAAGACGAACTGTGACTTTGAGCAAGATGATTCGGATCGATGTCGATACGAGAAAACGGTCCAACAGACCTGAAATCATCAACCTGCATTATGACAGACTTCACAACCCAGAGAACTGCTATCATCTCGAATTGGCTTGGTTCAATGTCACCTCGAAATTGGTCGATGACGCCATCGTCAGCTGGACTACACAAGCTGAGAAGTACGGGTTGAAGCTTGTCGAAGTTCCCATAGCGGAAGCGTTCAAGGTTCCTGAGCACGAACCGTTTCGTGCCGCCTACCACATCAAGCTTGCTCTCGAGCCTCCTCGCCGCAACTCGGTCAGTACACTGTACTTTACGGCGTCGTCTTTCGGGCCACAAGCGCCACTCAATCCCGATAATCACTTCTACCAAAAGGAACTATTGAAGGGTTTCAACTTCGTCCTCGATCTCGAAGCACCGTCGGAGTTTCCGCAAAACGTCGAGATCAAGTATTCCTGGGGGGATCTAGACTATCGCTACACGCAATTCGTCCACCGCTCAGGAGTCGTCCTTGCGCAGATTACGGACGAGGGTGACATCCTTCTCCTAGCAAACAGGCTGTATAACTCGCGTCAAGCGGCTGCAAAAGACACAAGCTCAAAATTCGATGCTAGTAAGAAAGATCTCACGTCCAATGCCTCCGCCTCTATGCTCCTACGTCCTCAGACATTATCCTCGACCCATTCTGCGCCAAGCATGCAGGCCTCAGGAATCATAGGATTAAATGTACAATCTCCCCGTGCTGGAGCCTACGCATCACCGCTCGTTCGGCCCCTAACGTCGATTCCCATCTCTCCCCCTCAAAAGGCAACAGAGACAACAACATCCACCGCCACCCCATCCGCATCCGGCGCACTTCCAGCTCCACCTGCGACGCCCAAGGTCACGGCCGATGTCCTCGGCACTCGCCGGGCGCTCATCGCCTCCGGGTTCGGGCAGTTTGTGACTCCGGAACAGATCAAGGACCAGCTCGAGGCCTTTTGCAGTGACAAGGCGCGGTTAGAAGTCTTTTACAGAGAAGTCACTGAGAAACTTCCGGCGCAGCATCCCGCGCTGAGAGAACACGAGAGGCATGTTGGAGGAGGAGGAGGCGGACCATCCATAGGAAGGGACAGGGGATACAGAACCGCCGGGACGGGCTCGAGCTTGCTCAGGCCGATCAGGGAACCCGAGACGGAGACGGGCATTCCCGAGTTCAGATTACCGGACCCATTGAACATTGGCCTGAAGAAGAAGGACCACCTGTCCCTGTCTGTGTCTGTGTCCGGATCTGGACTCGGTCCAGGTGGCGCCAGCGGGACGACGAGCTCATGATTTCGTATCGTATCCTCTCTCCTTCCCCCCTCTCCACGCAAATGTATATGTATGTATGTATCAATCCCGATGCCAATTTGTACCATGTTATTTCTTTGTATGTCCTTACTACCTAGATACCACCTGCAGTTTTGGAGTGCTGGGTGGGTGTCAATTAAGCCCGGCGCCACGCACAGGAGGATCGATTTCCAAGAGACAGACAAATAAAACAATTCAAAGCAATGCAAGTATAAGTATAAGGATAATACTTGTATGAAGCAGGCAGACAAGCAGCTAAGCAGGGCATCTTCATACCTAGGGTATTATATACATGGCTTTTTTCATCACGCCCTCACTGCCAGCACGGGACGACAAGCACAGAAAGAAGCATTTATATAGCGGCAATTACTTAGGCTCATCTTTTCATCAATCTCCCATAATATATTTACTGTTTGTGTGTCCTTTTCCGAAGTGTTGGGAGCTGGTAATTAAAAATGGTACGGTCTTCATTGTTTCACTGTTCCTTTCTGTCTGGTATACTATAGCCAACAGAACACATCTTGGGTAAAACGCAGAAACGGGTGGATTCACTTCGATCATAACATCCTGGTCGGACTCCCACTCCTGCTCTTGGACCGTCCGTTCACACCGCCCGCATCTCCTCCAGACAAGCTCTCTCGACTCTCCGTCCTGACCACCAGTCCCGCGCGATCAATCGGATTCGGCGGCCTCAACCTCTCAGCAGCACCATGTCGCTTGCTCTGGAAGGGAGAGTTCCTGCCGCCCTGTGATGCCGTCGGTCTGGAGGGGCTGGACTTGGAGAAAGCCACGTCGGGGTCGAGGGCCGAGTTGCTGTCGTCGTCGTCGTCGGATATGTTGTTCAGCTCGAAATCGTTGGGGTCGTAGAGATGCTGGGAAGCTCCGTCCTCAAGGTCACGGTCTCGGTCCAAATGGAAGGCGGCGCCCTTGCGGCGGCTGAGGAGCGCATTGAGAAAATTCAAAGGCGTCCTCAGTTTCGGAGTCGATGAGGCTGGGAAGGCCGAAGAGGAGGACGGCGAGGATGGTCGAAGCGAAAGGTAGATCCTGGAACGTCGTTCGCGGCCGCAGAGATAGAACCCTGCAATGATCAAGATAAGGATGAAGAAGATGAATCCCGGCAGGCGGTGGGGGGCGTCGGAATTGAAGAGCGTGTCGTGGATATGGTCGGTGATGCTTTGGCCGTTTCCGTCGTCGCCGCCAGTGGTCTCTGATAAGTCGCCGGCAGGTGCTCCGGGGTGATAGTCTGGAGCAGCTTGGAGCAAGCCTCCGCCGGGGTACTGAAAATCTTTCGGGATACCACGCACATTACTTCCAAATCCAACAGGTAGGTCCCCATCAGCGGCAGGTGGAATCTCTGCAGACGCATACAACAACATCTTGCCCATTGTCCAACTGACTTCTGTGGATTTGATCTTGTTCACAGCTTGGAATGGATCGAGAAGCCCCTTTCCCTTAGCGCTATCCAGAACTTCTTTCGTGCCATTGTGGGATGAGACGTCCGTGTCTTCGAGTCCGACTCTGGGTATCCCAATACCGTCGTGGAGCATATTAATCAGCCAACTGGCCTTGAAACAAACCTCCAGTGCGCTCTTTTCGTCGACTTTGCTTCCCCACGTTTTGTCCTTGACACCCTTTTGAATATCTGACCAGTCTTGCTCACAGAATTCCTTGACCCTCTTCTGGTAAGTGTTGAAATCATACGCTTTATCCTTATGCGCCATCTCAAAGATCTCGTGAGTAGTGTGCCAGTACTCGCTAACGCCAATGAAGTGATTGACTTCAAAGTCGATGGCGGGAACGTGGATTCCATGGATCAGGCACGGTTCGTCCGGACAGGGTATATCCTTCTCGAGTAAGGGGAATGTCCGTCTGAGACATTCATCGAACTTCCCGACGCCCCTGAGATAATGATTTGAAAGGGAAGGCCCATCGTCTGATATGATGGTGCCGTCGAAGTTTACTCGCAGTCCTGTCGGTAAACATGGATCCGGAACCTCGAGAATACCATCGATGGCATACGACTCTTCGAGGTCCTCCACATATCTCCGTCGTGCCTCGTTGGCGCCGAAACCCAACCACGTCGTGACGAATACCTTGTGTTCTTGCGGCACACCGTCTATTGTCCGGAGGCGTAGCAGTGTGAGATCATTGGCGTGTTTCTCTGCTTCTGTAGCATTGGGTGCGAAAGCAATCTGCGCAGACGCGCCACCCATGTCTAGAAATCCATATGTATGGTGGCCCTTGCCATGATCGTGGTCTTCAGGTGCGTCGAATCCCCCAAGCAAATAATTTGCAGCAATCCACCCATACAGCCCTTCTGTCTCCCCGGAAATTACTTGTACATGAACGTCGCAGTCTGGTATTGAGAATTCCGTTTCGGATTTGATATAGGAACAAATGTTTCGCAAAAGGCTCTTCTGCTGTTGATTAGGGAGCAGGCGCATGCCAGCCGTCGCAAGCAGGAAAACGGGCGTATCCGGGACTGCATCTTTAGGGATATATTCCAGGGCGTGTTTAAGTAGAGGTTTTAAGTGATCCGGGCCGACCAAGTCTGGTGTTTCCCCAAAGGTTGAGACTCCTGGGTGCACCTTTTTCGTCCACTTGTCCTTTGTCTCTAGATCCGGTAGCGCATGTAGGGAGGTGTGATCAAGACGTGCGACCGAGTTTGGGAGCCATCGATAAATGTAAACTCTCGTCCCGGATGAGCCAGCATCCAGGACTACACCGTAGCGTTTCTCAGGCCCGTCGACCATTGCGGGAAGCACTCAGCTCATATTTGGAGTGATAATCTCAGAGTTGAACCAGCCAACTGCCAAAGAATAAGGAAGAGAATAGGAAGAGTGTCTGGGTCAGTATAGGGTATTAGAGGAAGAGAGAAAGAAACTGGCTCAGTCGATGCTGTAGGAAAGTGGAAGAGCAATTCAAGGGTTGGGATTCGCAGCGCTGTTTCGACAGAATGAAAACGGACAAATTACGTAGCCACACGTGATACATTCGGGTGGTATCCCCCAATATGGGTTAGCGCTTCCCTCTCAGCCTCGTCCAGCCTTGTTGTCAGTTGAGCCAGTTTCAAGGAGTTTGTTGTTGTTCATCTGGCAGAGAAGGCCTTGAACAGGAGACGTACACGACCTTAGGTCCTTGTTGGAGACAGGAGCAAGCGCACATTGTGCAGTGACACGGATCCCTGTGCTTGTGCATGTAAAGGAGCCTGTAAGAGATCTAGCTGAGGCCGCTTGTGAAAGGGTGTCTCGTTTTTTCTATTGTGGTCTCACATGTCAAGATCCCAATCAAATGAATCCTGGGATCCCAATGAAACACAGCAGGCAGATCTCGTTAAACGCATAGAAGGTTGATCTTCAATCTCTTGGTACAACCGTAGGTATAAATCCCGTGAAGGCCCGCATTGACAGCGACAGTTCTGAATCCAAACGATCACGAATGATATCCATTCGTATATTCTCTCTGTGAGATTCTTGCAGAGTGCAAGAGATCAAGTGCCCAGCCGGAGAGGACACTTAGCCAAAGCCATTCACCTCTCGGGCAGGAAGTGGGTTCATAGCCGAAACGGACACGTCGCTCCTGCATACTTGATCGCGATAGACAACAATTCAAACTCTGGTAACGACCATCGATAGCATCCTTTTCGGTATCAAGCCAGTAAGATCCAGGCCAAGGCACCGATGGTCTGTGAAGCTTGTTGTCACTGATGAGACACCCCGTCCTCAGACAAACCTTGAGCCTCGACAATGCTTTTGTCCAACATACATGATAACTCCACTGAAGCATAGGCTCTGCAGGGAGGACAATGAAGGGTCCTTCGAGTAGCCACTGTTCGGGTTCAACTGAGTAGGTAGGGGTCACCCGATCTGTGCTGCCCCTTACTGCCGTTCATCGTGCTTTCGGAGGGTATCAGCTGCGAGTTGAGCGTTATGCGTGCACCTGGGAAGTGACATGTGCATTCCACAACAAGATTCTCCTGATTCAAGCAGCCTCAGTGGTTTTCTGTACGTCCTTTTGAATACCAATACCTTACCAAACCCTTACTGGACTGAGGGGGGAAAGAGCGGTGAAGGGTCCGCCTATAGCGGAAGATCAACGGAAACTATAGGCAGCACGGAAAGCCCCTGGAGGCCAGTACCGGTACCTGCAGAAGTCTCCGGGGGCCGCCAACCGCTTGTTTTGACGTTCATGGCGCCCCCTTTTCCCTTGCATGCTCCCAGCCTTGCATCGTCGCCACTGGCGGTGTGAGCAAGTTCATGCAACATGTCAAAGGAACCGGTTTGACAAAACGACAAGCCCGTGTGCAAGGCGGCAGGGTGCACGACCTCCTTTTCCGGCTGCCAGCTTCCGTACATGTGAAACCATGATGAGATCGCCTACGACTGGTCGAAAACGGGCAGCGGCGAAAGTTCCAAAGGGAGGAAGAGACATCAAATCAAGCACGGGTCGCAGTCCGGCTGCAGGCAGCAGTGCTGCAGCCTACCGACGCGCCTGAAGGGGAGCCTAACAGAAAGGGCGCAAAGAAGTTGAATGGATTGGAGAAGAGCCGCCTTTCTGAAGATACGAGTCAGTAGCAGCTCGTTGAAAGGGAAAGGGGCACGATATGGTTGCCGTTGGATGCAAGGCAACCATTAGCTTCAGGGGGCGTCTGTTTCAAATGTCTAAGCCGGAATATCGCCTCCTCTCAAGGAACGGCTCTCCCGGTTTTTGCGTGGCGTAAGTGCCAGAACAAGTATCTATTCCATGGTTTTTGGAAGCGATTGGCCAAGACTCCTCCAGGGATGGTGGTCGATATTTTCGAGTTTATGCCAGGCAACAACAAGATACGAGCGATCCAGACCCAAGGCTTGGGGCAATGCTGCGAGTCCAGGCGGCAAGGGAACGAGCTGTCACTGCTGTTTCACCATCTCGTGTGCCGTCTACTCTCTAGCACAGACGCCCTGAATTGTGCGTGGCGCGAAAAGCACCAATCAACTCAGACGACGACACTATTCAGGCCCCTCGTGGCGGCCTGATAGACACACCACCCGGGCGTTAGGTCTTTACGAGTATACTTGTGATCTATATCCAGCATACTCGTATACCTCAAAGTTGCCTTCAGCGATGGCCCATGTGAACAAGGCGTGATGCCCGGTTGCAGCTCACAGACTGGGCGACTATCACACCCACCACTACGATTGGAGCCGAGCAGCCATGATCAGTAGTTCATGCACGTCGCTGGAAGAGTTTGGACGTGGGGTCACACAAGCCGCAGCATGTGCCGGCAGGCATTGGCTACTCATGGCGGCCAGCTTGTGGGTGTCACAGGCGATTCAGCGATAGCTAGCTGCCCGTCAAACCTCACCAGCCATGCTCTCCTCTCTGTCTCTCTCTCCGTCCGGCACATCGCCAGAGTCCTTTACAAGATCACACACGTCACGCGGATTCAGCGGGTTTACTAACGAATAGTTATCCAGCCGGCGGCATGACCTTGGGGATCTCTGATACGGCCACCAATGGACACCCCCTACGGACCGGATGCTACCTACGATCTGATTAATCCTGCAAGTTGACATGCGGGTGACATGTACCTCCGAACGGGACACATGGTTCACCCCTCCCCTCTTCTCATGTTCTCCCTGGCTTGTCCTATCACGGTAATTTTGGGCTCTATGCAAGCGAGCCAACGGCAGAACGGAGGGGCTGGGAACGGCCAATGACGCCGTCTCGCGTTCCCCCCCATCCTTTCTTGCAGCCGCTGACGACGAGCTGCATGTGCGCAGGATAAACCGCTCATCCCTCCTATTCCCGTTTGGCTGCGCGGGTTGACAATTGGGGACTAGAGACTTTACGAGTACCCGAGTCCAGGTAGTTCCTACCGAGCAACTTCCAGGGACTCCGTTACGATTACGGCTGAAAGATTGAGAATTTGAGAGCAACAGGGAAGGAGACGGGGCTCACTAAGCGCCCTGATTATGTCTTTGTTCACCCGCACCTCCATCACAGCAGAACTTAGGAGGAACCGAGTACGGGTACAGTAGGCCGTAGTTGGACGCCGTGGTGCTCAACACCACACCACAGACACCTCCGGGTGTGTCTGGCCTTGACCATGTTTGACTTTCATGACGTTGTTGCTGCCCTAACTTTTGTCAAAGAGAAGGGGGAAGGAAGATGGATCACGAGCCCTCAGCTCAAACTGTGCTCGTAAGTGCCCGTACTCGTCTGCGCCCTAGTGACATGGCCAGTATTTGTATTTGTATTTGACTTTACAAATTGCCCGACAACGTAAACAACACAGCACTTGCGGATTTACCTCACTGCCTCACTACTAGGTACCTACCAGGTAGGTATACGTGCAGACATGTTATGGCCATGTCCAAGGTTCGATCTACAATTAACCCGAGTACGTCGTGTCGTATCGTTCGCCACAAGGTCCTATGGAGGTAAGGTACCTAGGTAGCGACTTGCCTGATCTACTTCTCGCTCGTGCCCAGCGAGCGAGTTGGAGAGAAACCAACCGCCTGGCTGCCTGAACCGTGAGGCAATAATTATTCTCTCAGGTCCAAAGAACCTACCACCACTACCTATCTGGAGGGGATTGTGTGAGTGTGATGCCTTGAGTGGATCTTCGGACGCGTACTTTTGCTTTCTCTCTCTCTCTTTGTTTTGTTCATAAGTAGTTACGCTTTTGGGCGTACTGCGAGTGCGGATACGGCGCGAACGGTGCGCGGGGTGTGCTCTTGTGTGTTTGTGTGGGTGTGGGTGTCGATCTGTCTATCTCTCTCTCTTGGGCAGGCGCTCGGTAAGGAGGAGCGGTCGTTATTGTGATGTTGATCGGGCTGGGTAGTGCTGTGATGGGGGTGATGGTGGGTGCTGTGATGGGGGAAGCTGAACAGGCTGAACAAGCTGAACGGGGCACGCCCCAAGGTTGTGTCTTTGTCCTCGTCCTTATTGTTGTCAACCTGTCTCTTTGGAGTTCGTGAACCCCCTCCTCCACTCCTCTCCCCATCGGCCTTCCGAAACACCTGAACTGAACGGGCTGGCTGAACTGAGCTGAGTCGAGTCGAGTCGCTCGCACCCAGTTGGACTAAGTTTCTTAGCCCCTAGGTACAATAGGTACCACAATAGGTTGCGCACTGCTAAGGCCCGGAGCAACATATGACCCGTAAACTCAATACATTGCAAAGTTCAGGAATAAATCACAAACTTCAGGAAGGCGCCACGAGACCCCGTAGGAAAAGGCTATCTCGCAGCTTTTCAAGTATACTCGAGTTCCACACAAATATCGCGCACACTTGGGCGCAGCGCACTCTGTGTGGAAGGGGGGAAACATTCCTACTATCCATAAGGTACCTAGCTAGGTACCTAGTGTACTCCGTCTCTAGCGGAGCTATGTAATATGTGTACTCGGTCACGGGTATTACTCCTAGAAAGTGCTCTTAGAGCCAAGCGCTTCCCTGCAAGAAGCATTGACTACATGGATGATGATGATGATGATGAGGAAGATGACCCGTACCAGTAAGCCATGGTCCAAAATACCGCCCCCAACTCCAACTCCGATTCCCCCGCGCGTGTGACAAACCGTGCATATCGAGGTCGTTACGGTAAGACGTGTCTGCTACGCGAGAGGGTTGCCCTGCAGGAATGGCACGTACCTATGTACCTTTGATGAGTAAATTTGACTGAATGAAGCGAATGGTGGGCTTGCTCACTGTCAATCCCGTCCATCTCACCTCTGACTCTGAGAAATAAGGAGAAACACGAGAAACAATGT